GATAGGCTTCTCTTCCATAAATTTGCCTAAGCTTTACTTGAAACTGTGACACTAATGGCTATCACTGGATCTTGTGGTAGTAAATCCCATAAGTTAATTATGCAGAGTTTGAGGAGTAAAATGCCTCTTGGGAGCGATGCTCTAAGTTCCGCTTTCAGTGACTTCAGTCACTTTTCCTAGGCAGCTCATTCTGCCACCAATTAGGTCTGCTTTTTTTCTAGGTTTTGCAATGCTCTCTTCTATTAAATTATTCCTACTCTAGTGGAGAACAGTAGAATTCCCATTATGCTGTTTCTGGCTCATTGAGCCTGTAATTACTTTGGTTTTGATGTCAGTAGCCATTTATCACCGATTAAACATTTAATCAGCAGATGAGCACAGCTTTCAAACAAAACATACATGCATTGATTACACATTGCAAAGCACATCTATTATTGATCATCAAGGTTGAATAGCTGCCAATAAGGAGAGTCAACACAGAAATATCATGTGAGCATGCAATTAACAATCCTGCCAGGAAGGCTGAGATGTGTCTCCATTTTTAGGCTAGGGTATTCTCGGTAAAACAGAATCTTACATAGCATTGTTAATTTTTTACAAAATCCCCTGCACTGTACATGTTTTACTCTAAACCATTGTTGTCAAGCATGTACAGGATCTTGCTGAATTAAGGATTTTAGAAAATGAAACAAAACTACCATGATAAGCAAGGCACCCTTCATGTAGGCAAACAAAAGGCATTATCCCAATTCCAACCAGGCAAAAGCACTTGAGGAAGGTGTGGAGCAGGGCCAACGCATGGTGTATTCTGGGGACTGCATTTGGCCCCAGAGTTTAAGGATTCCCACCCCTGTGGTAAATGGGTTCCTGACATTAAGTGCTGTGCTACCGTAGCAGAGGCACTTAAAGGTGTATGTTTAATGTATATATGTTGGAAGTTGCCCAGAATGGCTGGGGCAACCCAGTCATATGGGCGGGGTACTACTACTACTACTACTATTGTTAGATACAGGAGGTGTCATTCATGGACAGCCCTAGGCTATAACATACCTAGTATGACTGCATTTCATAGCAAGATGGGATGGGTTCTCTCCTCAAGAGGATGGCACTTATTCATTTGGTTAACAAAATTTATATACTGAATGATTATAAGAAAACCTAAGCGGTTCATAAAAATATAAAATAGAACATTCTCAGTATAAAAATTAAAAACAGGTATTTAAAAAGATTCAAGAGATTATTATAATCAACAGTAGCTAAAAAGAGATAAGGCATATATAACTTCTACATGTCTGAATTGGCTTGCCTAAACAAAAATGTTATAAGCAGGCACCAAAAACAATACAGCGAAGGCGCTCGCTTCCAGGGAGTTCCAAAGCAGTAGATGCTGCCACACTAAAAGAGTTAATTCTTTGTTTCTTTAGATTTTTTTTTTGTTTCTTTAGTTGTCAGTCTCTCCCTGAAATGAATGGATTTGGATTCAAACAATGGGCCCAGAGGGGCAGCCTATTGTAATGATAATTTGATTGGATATGTCCTATGTAGAAGACTGATATCACCTCCCTTGAGTTGGCCAATGTTCCTCCATCAACCTCCTTCCTTTTATTGCAAAGTAAACCAAACTGAAGCTGTTTTTATATCACATAGGCAATACTGCAGTAGTGTCTCTCAGGCTCTTGTGGCTAGCTAGCATCTTTCCGATAGTCTGGAGGGCTGCAATATTTAACAGGGATTGGCAAAAACTGTGCCTGACTTTGAATGAGTTGAAGGCAGCAATGGATACAACTCATCGTATCTAATACTCCCAAAGCAATCTGTAAATCTGAAACACATACCGGAGGCTAGTTTGTAGACATGGGTCTAATAATGCTCATTAATAATTTTGTTTCTTTGTTTTACATTTCTGCATCACCATTTTACTTGGTGGGCATTCAAGGTGGTTTACAACTCACAAATCAACAAAAGCACACTAAAGTCCCACTGAAGGAGCTCAGAGTACTCAGTTGTGGTCTCATCTGTGTCAGAAGCTGATACAATATAGTGAGGTCTGTGGAGGAATACTATTATATAATAAAAAGTGCTCATTACTTATGAATGCATTTCAACAAGGGAACAGTATTTCTCCCCTTTTTTCCTTTTGACTTCTGTTTTATGAGCACTAGAAATAGACTTCCCAAATGCCAAAGTACAACACAGGAGAGAAACTTGTTTAAATTAAATATGACATATAATTTTATGACAAGACCTGCATTAAATTAAAATGGTCATTACCTTTGCCCGAGGAAGTAAATAATGGTATATATTTAAGTTCTAATTGGTTACATAACATGGTTATCCTGGAACAGTGTAAGGCAAAACACTGGGACAAAAGGCTTCCAGATAATGTATTCATGGCTGTCAAACTTACTTTATCCAGAGAATGCAAAGGCAGCTTTTCTGTTCCACTGTGCACTGCCTAATAAGTGTTCTTTGTTTTACTGAAAAGCATAAAGGTTATGAATGCTGTCAGGAAGCGCATATTGTATCAAGAAAGTGGATTGTAACATTTGGGGGGCAGGCAAGGCCACACGCACAATTAATACTAGCTCATATCTCCACAGAAGCATAGAGGTTTGTGGCATTCTTTCTTGACACAAAGAGAGGGAGAAGCTTTTCATACATGAAAAACATTGATCTATCAGCAAGGTATCATTAGGTATGTATGGATGAACGTGTTAGGATGTATATGTCTGCCTGTGCTATAATTCTTATGTTTGTAAAATATTCTATTACATTAGCATATGAGTGTGGTGGCTGCATTAGAGTTTATACTTTAGGCAAGTCTGTTTATGCACACTTACTTGAAAGTTGTTGGTTCAAGGAAAAAATTGGTATACAAAAGAAGAATTCCTGGCCAATATCCAAGTTTGGGGCAAATAATCTTTGGTGAGAGAACCCCAGCAAAGATTTAAAATCACAAAATATGCAGCAAAGTAAGACGTGAAAATATAGACCGTTAGACCTTTAAAATATGCCTTTGTAAGTTCTAAAATTTCCCTCTTCCCCTACCACCCGTTTAGTTAAATTTAAAAGGGTTTACCTACAAACTCCTCAAAGGTCAGATTCATGTGCTTCAGGAAGTTGCACAGACAGTAAAACTTGGCTTAGTTTCAAAGCAGTGGAAGTTCCTAAATTATTGGTTATAGGAAAACAAGAATGGCTTGTGAGAGCCATGCAACTAAACTGGATGCTCCAGCTTAGCTTCTTCACAGGTTGAGCTTCTCAGGTAACAAAGTCTTGATTACCTAGTCCCTTCCCAAGGCGAGCTAAGCTTGGCACGACAGCTTACATTATGGTTTTAACCCTTTTGTGCATTAATTAGACCAGGGGTCAGCAACCTTTTCCAGCTGTGGGCCGGTCCACCGTCCCTCAGACCATGTGGTGGGCAGGACTATATTATGGAAAAAGAAAAAGAAGAAAATAAAAGAATGAATTCCTATGCCCCACAAATAACCCAGAGATGCATTTTAAATAAAAGGACACATTCTACTCATGTAAAAACACGCTGATTCCCGGGCCATCCGCGGGCTAGACTGAGAAGGCGATTGGGCTGCATCCGGCCCCTGGGCCTTAGGTTGTCTACCCCTGAATTAGACTTAAGCATCTTGGTTATACAAAGCTGGATATCCCACAAAAGTAAATCTCACTTAATTCAGTTAAGCTTATTTCCCAGTACACATGCAAGATTTGATAAACAAATTGACTGGCAACTCCAAATACTAGCTTGCAGTAACGGCTTCCCAACAATATCAAATACTAGTTGGGGTTGAGGGGCAATTTTCATAGGGGCTGCAGCACAAGAGGCAAGCATTCATATTGCTCCTCCAACCCAGTTCTTGCACCTTCAGAGCTCTTTTGTAAAAGGAAAAGATCAGAAAGAAAAAGGTAAATTATGCAGTTAATGTAATATGTAGCTTGGACCTCATCACTTCCTGGTTTTCATGTGAATGCAACTGAATACAACTCAGTATAGGCAGGCAGTATGGGCTGGGCAAAAACTCCAGGTCTTAAGAACAGCACTAATGCTAATTACAATCTTCACTTCTGGAGTGATCATGGACTAACTGAACAGGAAAACATTCACACACCTACCAGTGCTGCCCTTGTAATAGACTTCAGTAGGAAAGTTATTACCAATGGAGATTTCGACTTACATAGCATATGAGACATAGGTTTTGAATTGGAGAGTGGGGGAATGGCTAGACATTCTGTACAGGTTGCTATTTTCAAATGGCTTCTGGCAGTCCTTCAGCAGCACCAGAGCAATGCATTTTTATGATTCAAACCCACCCAGAGATAGCTGTGGGCAGGATTACTGCATTGCAGAGTGTTGGACTAAATGACTCCTGGGGTCCTTTCCAACCCTACAATGCCGTGTAAAGTTGGAAAAGATTTTTGGAAATTGTTTATTAACAAGCATAGCCACTGCTGCAACGTTATTAGTAACCAAAATTTTTTAACAAAAATAAATGTGTAATTGTAAGCAGATGGAAATGCACAACTATGATGCATTCTGTTTGCAGTTGAACACTAAGAAAATATAGTACAATAGGCATCCATTCTATCACCGGTAATCTTTTTGTGCATTTGTCTTTCATCCCAAATCATGTCATTTTTGTCATCCAACTGAAAACTGCAATTAACAGTAGGCCTTTCCTATGTAACAGGGACAGCAATATGTAACAGGGACAGCTGATCACCTGACAAAAGTTAATGTAAATATAATAATGCCCTGGGAGGACTGAGTTGGGAGTAAGCCCAGCGTATGTTAAGATTTTTATTAAAGTTTTATCATAATACGGTAAGATATAGAAAACTAATGGAAATAATAATTTTTAAAAACAGCTACAAAAAAGGAAAAAAATAAACAGAAAGAAGCCGGGAGAAAGGAAATACTGTAGAATTAAAAGAAAAGGAGAGTAATTCCTATGGTACACAGCTGCCCTTATTGCCAAGTAAAGATGCGTCAGATCGTGGCCCACGTGAGCACATGGCCAACGGAAAGGCCACGGCCGCCTTTTAAACCTTCAAGGAAAACCCCCGCCTTCAAGACGCCCGAGACTGTCTCCTCCGCGGATACGTTCGAAGCGGTGCATGCTGGGCCTTGTAGTTTGGCGAAGGCAGCGCCCGGGTGCTTTCCGCTCCTACTGCTTCGTCAGGCTTCGCAAGGCGAACAATTAAAAGAAACAACAGCAAGAGCTCAAGAATTTGAAAATTCCCGCGGCGGCTGTGATTTGTTCTCGCGAGAGGTCAGCCTTCCTCCTCCCACACCCCCCCGCTCTCCTCCTGCTTGCCGGTGAGTGATTGCGGGTGGGGGGGGAGGAAGAGGACGACGACGACGACGAGGCGGCTGCTGCTGCGCAGACAGATACCGAGCGAGAGCGCGCGCGGCGGCCGGCGACTGAGCAGGCCCAGCGCAGAGAGCCCGCCCGAGGAGGGGCGCACGTTCGCCGGCCTTCCCCAACCGCTGCGGCGGGTGCGAGAGAGGGAGAGAGATGTCGCCTTTCTGACGGGAGGCCGAGCGGCGGAGGCGGCGGCACCCGCCTGAGCAGCAGGTACCGCCCGCGAAGAGGGAGGCCGGCGGGCGGGCGGGCGGCGGACCAGGCTGGTAGGCCCCGTTTTGGGCCGGGCGGCCTGAGGCGGGCCACCCCCGGGCTGCTTATGTAAGCGTCTGCGGGTGGTGCACATGGCTCTGCCGGGCGCTTCAGGCGCCTGCCTTCCCCGGGGAAGCCTCCCTCGCACACGCCCAGCCTCGGAGGCTGACGGGGGCGAGGCCTCTCCTTCGCCCTTTGCCCTCCCGAGCGCGGGGACGCCGAGACGGCCCGTCGGGCTGGGGAAGGCAAGCAAGGCGGCAACTGCAGGCGGGGGGCGGGGGCGGCGGCGTGCTGCTATCGGGCGCCTTAAGCGAGCGTGGCTGGACGGGGGCGGCGGCCTGAAGGGGCTCTTCCGCCCGACCGCTGCCCGCTGAGGCGAGGGGCTCCCCGGTTCGTGTTCCGCTCGCGGTCCTGTCGCTTTGAACCTGCGCTCTTAAAACTACAACACGGCGAACATGTGACAGTTCGTGACAAACAACTGAAACGGTGGAGGAACAGCCATTTTTCCCCCCTCGAGGGCCATTGCGTCGAGTTATAATTTGCTTTCCGATTCCTGGTTCTGCAGGCTGGGTGGTTTTAATTTGAGGTGAGGGCACGTGGGCAGCCCGATTCTGGGTGCAAAGCGAGACTTGATTGCAAGGAAGCGTGCGTGCCATTGCAGGCCCTAATTACTTGGGAGTAAGTACTATTGAAATAACCCGGGCTTGGTTCTAACTCGGCATCATAGAATCATGATGTTATTGGGTTGGAATGGTGTGGTAGAATCCTGAGTCAGGGTGGATGTCGCCTCTTAAGGCTGTAGGTTGGAGATGGCATTTATGAATGGGGACTAGAGAAAACCATCGTATGTTCTTTTGTTTCTTGAGTCTTAGTGTGCAAAAGTTGATCATTTTAGAGTTGAATGATAGAATGAGATCTAGATTTGAGAAGTGGCAGATGCTGATGGATCCCATAGACAACCAAATTGTATCAATGGATGGGTATAGGTGACTGGTATCTTGCTTTGAATTCAGTGTTTGATAAGAACCATACAGTACCAGAATACATTACGCAGAGAACTTCAGCCATCTTCATAAACAGTCTTCTCTTGTGAATGTTTGACTACAATGTAGATGTTGTTCAATATTGCCATGAAATCCATGTAACTTTTTAGTGCCTGTCTCTTGGTGTGTTTTAAAAACATGCATGCTGTATTTGGCAGGACTATAGAGAGGTTGGTGTAAAATAATACCCCAAATAATAAGCGTACTGGGTCCTTATTTTATTGTTTACTATCCTTGAGTTTACTGTAAAATCGGCTTTCATTATTTCAGTTCAGACTTAACTCTGGTCAGGTGTAACTGTTGGGTCCTTGGTTGGGCTTATTGTGCATACTTCTAGATATGTTTGCTGATATAGTGGGAACAATACTAATTCTTGGTCCTAACAAAATAAACTGATACAACCTGTGTGTGACCTGGTAGATTCAGTGCCCACTTGGTTTTTTTCTACACTGGGCAAATACCTCTTTATTTTATTTTATTTTACTAGGCTTCTTTTTAAAATTGTACTATTCTGCTCATATCTGCTGTACCTTTATTGCATGTATACAACTAAAATATAACTTGTTAGGTGCCCTGGAAACATTTTTATTTTTTAGAGTAGCCTATTAATCAAGGCTGGCGAACCTGTGGCCTGCCAAATGTTGCTGAACTACAACTCCCAACATCCTGGACCATTAGATCATTGACTAGAACTGATGGAAGTTGGAGGATAAAAATGTCTGGAGGGCCACAAGTTCCTCACTTACAATTTTAATGTAAAATAAGTATTTCACTTCAACAAAGATATGTCCATAACTTCAAATGTTTCATCTGCATCAATCTGAAACAGCTTACTGTGTGTTTCAGTCAAATGTTTCCTTTAAGTTAGAAGGTGTGCAACATGTAGAATCCCGTTGTCTTGCAATACTTGTCCTGCTCATTAGCTGGATGAAATTGTGAATCAGTTCAATATGAACACTATGACCACCCTACATGAACTTCCTGTATAAATGTGTTCCTCATCCCGCTTGTTTTTCTTCTGTACCAGCACTTGGATCTCTGCTTATGACTCATTTAGGGAAGTGCAATAACCCAGTGGAAAAGAACCTAAGGTATCTTTAATGACTAGGTCTCCTGTTCTTTTAAAGTTGCAAATAAAAATGATTTGTATTGTCAGGCATTCCTGAGTTGAGCTTTCTTATCTCCTAGAAGATGTTGTAGTAAACATATTTGAAAGCATGGCAGCTGAAGAGTTTGAGTCTGTAAACCAGAAAATGTCTTACCAGTTTGAAGTTTTTACTATTGGAAATCATCATTGTTCAGTTGTGGTAGTTAGTGTTCATTATAGGTTGCGGGAGAAAGCGAGGGAGATTATTATTATTATTACTATAATTAAATTTGTATACCACCCTATACTTGTGGGTGTTAGGATCGTTCACAAGATAAAAACACAAAATACATAATCAAAATAAAAACAAAACCAACCCAATAACCCTTCCCCTCCCCCAAGGGCATTGAATGTTAATCAGGCAAAGGCCTGATTAAGGAGGAGCATTTTTTCCTTGTGCCAAAAGGTGTATAATGAAGGCACCTGGTGAACCTTCCTGGATTGGAGTTGAAGGATGAAACTGGGGGTGTGATTTTGGAACCTGTAAGGTAGTCATCTATTTCTACCCTTAGCTGGCATTGAAATATATTCTATTTTATTTATCATTTATTAAATACGCATGGCTCCGTATCAGTAAATATTCCCTGGGTAGTTTACAATTATGACAATATTTTTAAAAATACTAATTTTGATCAACAAAAAGCAATAAGATAGCAAATACTTTCCTTTATAGGAGACAGCGTAAGTGGTATGCCACTCAAATTAAAACCATGATAAGCCACAGCAGCTTGAAGTCAATTTTAAAATGCAATTAAGAAGCTTGGTTGAAAAAAAAGGTGTTGACCTTGCATTGAAAAGACCATAGATAATGTCCCAGCCAAGCTACTTTGGAGAGACTATTCTGTAAAAGGGTACCACTGCCCTCTGCCTGGTAACCACTTACCTCACTTCACTTGGTGGGTGCACCTGCAGCAGAGCCTGAAGGGGATTTAGGCATATGCAGGAAGAGGCAATATCTCAAGTGACCTTGCCTGAAGCTGTTTAGGGCTTTATGAATTAAAATCAGCATTGGTAGAACTCTTCTATAATCAAGTGTCCAGTCCCAGTAATTTGAACTACCTTCAGTTTCTGTACCATTTTTAAAGGCAGCCCCACATAGAATACAGTGTACCTTGGGTTAAGTACTTAATTCGTTCCGGAGGTCTGTTCTTAACCTGAAGCACCACTTTAGCTAATGGGGCCTCCCACTGCTGCCACGCCACCGGAGCACGATTTCTGTTCTCATTCTGAAGCAAACTTCTTAACCCGAGGTACCCTTTCTGGGTTAACGGAGTCTGTAACCTGAAGCGTCTGTAATCTGAAGCGTATGTAACCCGAGGTAGCACTGTACACTGCAATAGTCTTACACACAGCGTGATTGGAATCAAAATAGATGTAAAAATATTCTGGGGTGGGGAAGCAGAAAATTGATTTTAAAAGAATGGACAGTTAATTTATAGATGCCTCATGGACCCCATTGCAATGTGAATAGAAAAGCAACCAGCCCTAATGCCACAGATTTCATGATTTTTCTGGGCATTCATCAAATTTAACTCCCTACTGCAACTCTAAAATATTTTGAAACAACTAAGTAGCTGCTAAAGGAGAACAACTTATCCAGAACTGAAGAGTGAGATATAAATGCCTTAAATAAAAATAGAAAAATAGTGAACGTTTAACTGTTTCAGAAGGTGGTAGCCTGAAGTCAGAAATTTGTGCAAGCCACAAATGAGTGATCTATCAGTCTGCTGGATGGTGGTCTTCAGGATAAAAATCCTACTCTTTAACATTGAATAGCTGTTCAAATGCAAGTCAATCTAAAAATGGAAGGGGAAATCCTGATTTGCTTCCATAAGCAGAGTTAGAGAGGAATAGATCTATATTAGATGTACATTCCTTCCAAGTAGAGATCCTCTAAACATTGGTCATTTAGGGGTCCTGTGTAACTGAGAAGGAAGTCCTGCAAAGTTAAGTAGTCTTTATGCTCAAGTAAATGTATATAAAATCAAGTGTTCAAAATTTGCCAGGCGCATTTTGCACATGGGTATAGGCCATTTGTGACCAAGTGAAGATGCCCAGGAGCAAGGATGGTCCACCACTTGGAGGTGCATGCCTGGGGATCCTTGGATCTTGACTGTTTTCACACACTAGGAACACATCCTGTAGAATTCTGTTATATTTTTGCACAATCAGAATGAATTTCAGGAACCAAAAAGTCATATTGAAAAATTCAACTTTTGAGCTGTCTGGCCCCAAAATGGCAACTAGGTATTCTGTTTTGGCAAGTAACCCTGGTTTAGGGAGCAATTTGGCACCTAGCTTATATATCTGAGTGTCTAACACTGATAAAATTGTAGCCTTCAGCTGCATCCACATCATACATCGAAAACACATGGCTTTCCACTAAAAGCCTGGAAACTCTAGTTTACCACTCACAGAGCTACAATTTGTAGTACTCTTTACAAACAACAGATCCCAGGATTCTTTGGGGGAAGCCATGTGCTTTAAGGTGTGGGTGTGACTTTACTAACATTTCCCTTTCCCTACAGACCAAAAATGTACCCTTAGTGTGCTCAGAAGCAGAACTACCTATCTAGATAACTCATTTGATTAGTAAACACAGGTGTAGACAGAGTGTACATGGCTTTTAAAGAAAATTGAGAGATTAGCTTTTTGTGCTTTCCTGTTAAGGAAAACATTGTAAAGAAAAGTTATTTTAAAAAATCCAATTCTTGTTCCATTTGCCATGTTTGATGCTTGTACTGATGCACTTCACATGCTGTGGAAAAAGGATACAAAACAGTGGAAAAGTGACTGGTAATGTTGTCTTTCCTATTGTCCTTGCCATTGGCAACATACTTTCAGAATATTGTTTTGTTTTTGAATTAGTTTCTGAATATCTTGGTACATTTTTAATTATCATATCCTTTAGTTGTACAAAGGTATTCCAGCTGTTCCAAAAGCAGCAGGGTGCTTGGCAGGCCTTGGGCTTTAATATTCTCCACTGCTTGGTAGCCTTTTTGTAAACTTCAGATTAATAGTAGTTTGCTTAAAATAAAAAAGCCTTTGCTATCCATATTGAGTTGTTGTTTTAAAAACTACAAAATTTATGACACATTGAATGATATTGAATGTCTCCATTTGTACGGCACATATTTTTTTAAACTAAATGGCATGTTGCTCCTACAGATAATATAATGTTAACTAGAAAACAGAGACTTAGAAGAAATGTATCTTGGCTTTTGGAAGGAGGAGGAATAATTGGGCTATGCAGATTTGGCACTCACTGAAACTTACAACAATGTCCTCCTTAACTTTGGTGGTGGAGAATTGAGGGCATAGACCCCAGGGTCTAATCTGGTAAAGGCAAATGCCCGTTGAGGACATTCTGTAAAATTAGCGGTCACGGTGAGCTCAATGAAACTATTCAGTCTGTTTTCACTAGAGCACATCAGATCCTGCTATGCACCTGTGCCGGAACACTTGCAAAACTTGGCATGTGTAAATAATTCTCTTGTAGATCTAATGAGTCTCTAGTCTTAAATTGAGTTTAAAAAGAATACTGAGATTGCAGGTTAGATTCACACATAATACACACACACCATTATAAGTGTGATAAGTCTTTTCACTCTCTGTAAAGGAAATGTTCCTATGTTGCTGGATGGTGCTAGTGCTCACATTCAGGATCTAATTGGCTATAATGTTTGAGGTGCCAAGAAACTTATCTGCTAACCAGGTCTGTTCCTGGACTTGGAAATGTTGAGTGATGATGCACATTTTGTATGTTTGGGCTATGTTTCCATGTTTTGCTCAACTTGCTTATTGCACGACTTGTGACCTTCCAGACCAAAAGCTTATTAAGAGCTTGATGAACTCTTTAAAAAAGTTTTATCAAGGTTTACAAATTGTGAAACATAATCCCATTTTGTTTTTGAAGAAGCAGCATGCAACAATATATTAAGCAGTTAAAGTGGAACAAATACTAAACAATAAAGTTGCAGAGCTTTCATAGACTAAGAATATTTTAATTGCCAGAAAAAGCAGTTAATAGATTCTGGCAACCAAGTACTGCTGCTCTATAAATATGTGTGCATCCAGATTTAATACCTTTCAGGGGAACAAAAAGGGATATCTAGCCAGCTTCTAGGGCAGGACAAAGAGGGGCTATTAACTTCCACATCTTGAACCTATGTAATACAGATCAGACTCTTCATCAGCTTGAGAGTAGGTTGCCTGTAGAAGATATAATTCTAGATTTGGACTGCACTAAAGTTCTTTTTTGACTTAAGAAAGTTCCTTTGGTAAGACTTTGGCTGAAAAATTGCAAGTCACAAATCCATTGAGCTATCTACTACCTGCCCTTGGAATTGTGTGTGCAAGTGTGTGCAAATACTTCAGGAAGAGTACATCAATAGGATATGTACTTTTTCTAGAAAAATGCAAATAATGGCGTATTTTTAAGTGAAGTTGCACTATATAAGTATTTAATATCAGCAGTGTGCAACAAATACAATAAAAACCATATAAAACAAAAATCACGGATTAACTGTAGCAGAAATATTTTTTTCTTTGGCAGCATAGAGAATTTTTCAGCAAATGCTTAAAAATGAATACAGAAGAGGCCTGCTAAATCTCTATTGGCAGAGTATTCCACAATATTAGACCAATAACACTGAAAGCTCTGTTTCATGTTGTCATCAGATGAGTCTCAACAACTCAAGGGACAACCAGCAACACTCCTATAGATGCTCTCAGTAATTGAACTAGGATATTAGGGTTCAGCTGGTCCCTAATGTACTCTGTACTTATGTTGCTTATTAATTAATACAAGAATCTTAAACCTAGCTTGGCAGCAGATCAGCCAGTTCAGATGTTTTAACATTGGAGTTGCGTGTTGTTGGCTAACTGATCCTATCAATAGCCTAGCAGCCACATTCTGCACAGCCTGGAGGTTCCAGACCAGTCTCAAGCGCAAACACACATAGAGTGCATTACATTAGTTCAGTTTTGAGATTATCAGCAGCATGTGGTCTACAGTGGTCATACTATCCCTGTCCAGGAATGGTCATAACTAGTGAACAGACAAAGCTGGTAGAAGGCACTCCTAGCCACAGTAGTACACTTAATACTGTATCACAGACCAGCAGCAGCCTGGTAACTAGTTCTGTGTCATACCTAGATCTACTAGTAGGGATGTATGAATATGCCTTAATCCATTCCAGTACTCATTCATGCATTCATCAGCTGTTCTTTGTTGTGTGGGACGTGGGTGGTGCTGTGGTCTAAACCACTTATCCTCTTCTGCAGGGGTCTTCAAACTTTTTAAACGGGGCTGGTTCACTGTCCCTCAGACACTGTTGGGGGCCAGACTATACTGTAGTTGGAAAAAAAATATGAACAAATTCCTATAGCACACTGTACATATTTTGTTTGTAGTGCACAAAAACAGGAAAAACATTACAATATTTAAAATGAAGAACAATTTTACTCAACATAAACTTATAAGTATTTCAATAGGAAGTATGGGCCTGATGTTGGCTAATGAGATGGTCAATATCCGGTTCCATATTTGTCACTGCTAGTCATAGCAAGTGATGCAAGTGTTCACCAGTTAGTCTGGATCTTGTTGGAGATTTCAGATGTTTCATTCGGGAAAAAGTCTGTTCACAGACATAGGTGCTTCCAAAGATGGTTGCAATTTTGAGTGCATGGTTCCTGAGGTTAAGATATGTCTCAGAGGGGAGAGATGCATAGAAATTAGTGAGGCTGCTTGATTTGAATGTGTCTCATTGCGGGTTGTGGGGAATAAATGCGGAGGGTGAAAACCACAGACCTTGAGCTCCTGGGAGAAAAAATGTGGGATGGAAATTCAGTAACTGTTTTGTCCCGCTTCTGGGGTGGCGGGTTGGATGAACCCATGCCCATTTTTTCCCCCAAAGCCTGCGTCCATGTGGGCTCCTCTTGGATGACAGGCAGACGTTTACTCGCGAGCAACCTGATGCCAAAGGGGATTCCTCGTGAGCAAGCACACCTTGGATCGCAGCCCAGCCCCCAAGCACTTTTCCCAGGACAAAAACTCCCTAGGATGATGGCGGCCATCTTTTTCCTTGGATGCGATCCCCAGCGGCCCCAAGGGGGGCTTCATTGCAAGTAAGCCCCAGAGCCCTGCGTTCCTTGTGAGTGACCTCCTTCCCCTGCCCTCTGCTCGTAGCTCACCATCCGTGTGGAGGCTGCCACAGGAGATAGAGGGCGAGCCCGGCCAGAGGAGGCGGCGGCTGGGGCTGCCGAGCTGGGCTGCAAGGACAACAACGGCCGGGGCTGGATCAGGCAGCGCGCCACGGCGGCGGACCACAGGGCACAAGCGAACAGCATGGTGGCTGGGGATCGAGGGAGGCGGACACACGTGGGGAGGGACAGGCCGGATGGCAAGGCAGGGCAGGGCCAGGAGGGGAAAATCCTGACCTGCCTCTTTCCCTCCCGCCTGCTCTGCTTAAAGGCATCGCGGCACAAGCTCTCCAAAGCGTGTTGAGTCTCCTCCTCAATGGCTTTGCAGCAGGTTCTGCAGCGGCTGGGTGTGCCAGATTTAGGACCCTGGCAGGCTGCATTCGGCCTGCGAACCTTAGTTGAGAACCCCTGCTCTTGGGCTTGCCTATGGAAGGGTTGGCAATTCAAATCCATGTGATGTGGTGAACTTCCCTTTCTCTGTCCCAGCTTCTGCCAACCTAGCAGTTCAAAAGCGTATCAATGCAAGTAGATAAATACGTACCGATGTGATGGGACAGTAAACAGCATTTCCGTGTGCTCTGGCTTCCGTCATGGTGTTATGTTGCGCCAGAAGCAGTTTAGTCATGCTGGTCACATGATCCAGAAAGCTGTCTTTGGACAAATGCCGGCTCTTTCAGCCTGAAAAGCGAGATGAGCGCCACACCCCATAGTTGCCTTTGACTGGACTTAGCTGTCCAGGGGTCCTTTAATTTTTACCTTGCCTTTGTTATGCTGCAATTGGTTTATTTTACACAAGTATATTTCATTTTGTTGTCTGTTGATGTAGAAGTATACATAATCTTTTATGTATATCACAGAGCTTGATGGATGTGCATTTGTAGATATTTACAACTCTTCCCTTCCCTATGTGTTTGACTTCAAAATTAATGACTTTTCAGAGGGGTATCCCTATTTATTAGTTGTAGCAAGAACAAATTCTTGTGGCAGCTTAAAGACAAGGTGAATGAAGTAGATGATGGGCCATCACAAAGCCACCTATTGCTGCAAGCCTACCCGTGTCTACTTGGCAGTAATTCCAATTGAATTCAATGGGGATTCCCCCTGGAAAGCGGGGTTGGGCTTGCAGCCTTGCTAACTTGATTTTACAGTTCGGCATAAATTTAGTTCTGGCTCCCCCTCACCCAGACATCAGGGAGTGATAGTTTAGTACCCTGTTGATATTTTGCTCTTTCTTTTCTAGGTTATATGAATTCCTGTGGGTATATTAAACATTTAACAGGCGCTCCAGTACCAATGTAATGCCCCTTTTATAAACCATTTTTGTAATGCAGCTCTTTATTTCATAAATGCACATTTTATACAGAAATTTGTTCTATGTGTATCTGCTGAAACCCTGCCTAAACTAATGTATGTTTCAGAATGTTCTCAGTAAGCATGATTTTGTTTTACAGCTTGGTATCCTCAGACTTCAACTGAGGAACAGGCACAAAGTCAACAGTTAACAAAAGAGGTCACTTTTTCATGTGAAAATAACAATAATGATTTATTCCTTCTATCGGTCTTTGAAATTCACAGTAGGAAGCAGATTAAGGCTGCAATCATAGCTCCACTTAGCAGAGGAAGAGCTCCATTGAATTGAATGGGATTTACTTATGAGTAGACATGATTTAAAGAATGCAGCTTCCACACAGTCAATGAATAATATTTTAGAAAAAAAGTGAAGCAACGAGGCCACTGTCAGGATAGCAGTATTTCTATGCCAATGAATATGTAAACAATGTGTATTTACATACAATGTGCACATATTTTTTTAAAAAGTTGTTGTAGGAGAACTAAAGTGATGAGAAATCATAGCAAATGTCCTTCCATCTTTTCTCTCTCTCCCCCATCTTACTTTGTTTCTTGCTGTAACTTTGCAAGTCAAAATGGTATTTAAAAAACCCCCTGTGGTTATAAAAAGAGGTGGGAAACCATCTTAATTGTTGTTCTTGCTCTAGTTTCCCCATCTTTTCCCTCCTCCCAAATCAGTATCAGTAAGGGACGCGGGTGGTGCTGTGGTCTAAACCACTGAGCCTTTTGGGCTTGCCGATCAGAAGGTCGGCGGTTTGAATCCCCATGATGGGGTGAGCTCCTGTTGCTAAATCCCAGCTCCTGTCAACCTAGCAGTTCGAAAGCACACCAAAAAGTGCAAGTAGATAAATAGGTACCGCTCCGGCGGGAAGGTAAACGGCGTTTCCGTGTGCTGCTCTGGTTTTGCCAGTAGTGGCTTAGTCATGTTGGCCACATGACCCGGAAAAACTGTCTGCAGACAAACACCAGCTCCCTTGGCCTGTAAAGTGAGATGAGCGCCGCAACTCCAGAGTCGTCTGCGACTGAACTTAACTGTCAGGGGTCCTTTACCTTTACCTTTTTAAGGTTGTGTGTGCTACCTGTGTGTCTTACACATTCAGTGTTCGGCATAGGCAATGACGTATTGAAGCTGTTGACATTTATTTTAACGAACCTTAGTAGTACTAGTGATTAGTAAACTTGATTCTTGGCTACCGATGAAAGTTTACAATTTGTGGGAAATGTGTTTGTTACATAAGATATACTTTGGAACCAGGTATAGATCCATTACTATTGACTCTCATCTGTAATCCTGCAGATTACCATCTTCTAAAGTTAAGGGTGATATCTAATGCTAAGTCAGTTAAATTATTTGATTTCAGTGGGTCAGTGAGTAACATTGGTTATCCCCTATGATTAATATCCTTTACTTCCTCTAGGCTTTGCTAGAAAATTCTGGTATTTACAGATAAGGATAATTGAAAAGGAGTAAATTACGCAGAAAAAGCAATTATTTTGACTGCAGAATTTGAGTTCCCTTAGACCATGAGTATTGTAGTAGCTGTAATAACTTACTGGAACAGTCTGCTTGCTGAATAAACTTCCTATTGTGTCTCTACAGTGAAGCATGCGAGACCTAACAGCTCACGTAACCAGCAGCCTGCTGCAATTTCCAGAAGTGACTATACAAGCTCTTGGGGAAGATGAAATAATGATAGATTCGGTACTTCATGGGAAATTCACTGGAGGTAAAACTTTGAGAATTCATTTCTTATCTGTTAGGAACATTAAATGTATGTTCTAATGTATAAATGCATAGTCAGTAATATGATCACTAGAGCAAAGAAAAATGCCCTTGACTGGGGAAAACAAATTGGGTCCATGTAGGGAACAGTTTATCAGAACCCACAATGAAGTCACTGAGCAGTTGGTCATCTGTGTGAGTCCAAATGCAGGAACTGAATTTAATGTTGCAGCAGTTCTATCTTCATAGACACTGAAGCTAAATTCTGGCAGGATGGAGTTGCTAATGGTTGTTAGATATTGCCCATTCACAGCAGGGTCATGATGCCCATGAAGAGAGAAATACACTGCTTGGAACCGCAATTTTGTCCTGCTTTGATGCTAGATTCCTAGGTGGTAGCAGTGGGCTAAGGGACACTTTTTTACTAGCTTGGGTAGATGCACCAGCTGATTTCCTTTCATATATAACACATGCGACAGTAACTTCTCATTAGTTTCTATAAAATGTCCAGTCTTGGCCTGCTGTTGAACATTGGAAGCTTCAGCTAATACAGAGTGCAGCAACCAAACAAACCAAACTCATGTGAAGAGGAGAACAAACCACTCCTATCCTGGATTATTTGCATTGGTTCATCTTAACTCAAGGTGACAAGTTTCCTGCAATGCAGGAATCTTTTGCCCAATGTGGGGCTCAAACCCACGAGTCTCATGCTCTCCCGACTGAGATGTTAAATGCAGTAATCTTCAGAAAAATCCATATTGTACCTCAGAAGAGATAAACTGTAGTTAAGGCGGCTTGGCTGTTCACTGAAGTTTTCAGTATGAAGGGTTTTCATTGACTGAAAGTGTATGCACTTGCCAGGAGTAGATCTAGAATCAGAACTCATTTTCTCCCCTTTAATATTCATTGGCATTGTGTTTCCCATATACCTGAGTCAATATAAGCATGGAACTGAGTTTTTGTGTCCAGGCAAAAGACATTTGTTTCTAAGTTTTTGCTTGTAATTTGGCCCCTTTCTTATTTTTAGTCCCATTGTCCTCTTTAACTTCAGGGCTAGTACAGTGGTCCCCTGGGAAGCAACTGTGCTTGTGTGCAGTGTTGCATATATTTTTGTAAATATGCATGGATGTTTCTCTGCAGAGTGTCCCAACTCTTTGGAAATGCTGTCATAGGTAGTAAGATGGAAACTGGCTAGGTATGCTTGTATTACAGTTTCTTGTGTTATTCAGGAACATGTTTTTTTAATGTATCAAAAAATATTTGAATCGCTATATATATCTATATCTATATATCTATACAAAGATGCTTAATAATAATAATAATAATTGTATATACCTTTCATCCGCAGATGCAATGTATGCATTATTTTTCACTATGTTTATTAGGAAAGATACTTTTCTTCTTCAGCCCTTCTTTCCAGATCCTAGGTTTACAATAATGCCTCCACATTTTTCCTGTTACTTATGTATATTTCTTCTGCTTTTTTCTAGGACGAAGTGGACTGGCCTGCTTGGCTTGTGGGCCTCAGCTTGAGGTAGTAAACCCAGTCACTGGAGAACGGCTGTCTGCATACCATTTTAGTGGAGTGACTGAACAGCCTCCCACTATCCTTGCAGTGAAAGAGTTTTCCTGGCAAAAAAGAACTGGACTACTAATTGGCTTGGAAGAAGCAGAAGGGAGTGTTCTGTGTTTGTATGACCTTGGAATATCAAGAGTTGTCAAAGCAGTTGTTCTTCCTGGAAGGGTACATACATGGCTTTAAATATAAAAATCAAGACTTTTGCTTTGTTGTATACTTTAGATATTATTTATATTTTATTTCTTGCTGTTGGCATCAAACCAAATTCTCCCCTACATATTAGTGATACCCTTTAAAACTGAAATCCAGGTCTTATCTTCACAGTGATTAGACAAACTCCCCCTTTTCTCAGCAAGTGAAAGGCAGTTTAAGATCCTTTAATAGGATTTGTGAAATCAATTGCATGAGTGTAGTAGTACCAAGGATGAGGGCATTAAGCAGGCCAAGCGCTTAGTGAAACTGGAAATGCAGCTCTTGGTGGAACATAGTTTTGAGGCAGATGGAATAAGAGGAGGCAGGTGCTTTGCAGAAGTAGGGAGGCAAAAATGTTGTTAAAAAGTGTGTGGACACTCCTGGGATCTTTGTATTGATGGGCATTCTCTGCTGTATGTTCTCTTCACAGAAGACAAAAGTGCTTTTGTGTGTGAAGCCAACCATTTGCCACTTTGGCATCTTGAACTTATTTTTCAGTCAGTTGGAAAGAGTTCAGATTTGTTTTGGGTTCATTTTCTGCCGCTCTAACTTTTCGACTACCTATCAATCATATTGAAAACTGGGATGGCACAACTGATAAACACAAAAAAGAGGAAGAAGTTAGTAGAACTGTAGCTTATTTTAAGATCATTGCACTTTGGAAAATTCCTTCCTTGTGGTCACATTTTTAACAACAATTCTCAGTGAACAAGAGTTATATCACATATCCTGGATGTGAGAAATGTTAAAACATGCCCCTAAAGGAGTTTTATGAAAAGCATTGGGCATATGATAAACTATTTCCGGTATCTGGAGTGTTCCTTGCTTCTTTTTTGCCTATCAACAGTAGTATTGTCAGAATAGTGAGTTGCATCCATTCTGATGTCAGCACAGCAATCTGTCACGCTTGGGAATTATTTCCCATTGCTGCTGCTACATTCCATTGTAGACCCTGAAAAGACTGTACTTATGGTCAGGGGGGCTGTCTGCAAAAACATGGAATGGGTTGTGGGGACTGCTAGAGGAGGAAAGAATCACCCAGAATTGAACGCAGCCTTATACTTGAATTGGGGGTGATTCTCCCATCTTCTAAAGGAAGAACTGTAGCTCAGTAGTATAGCATCTGCTTTGGATGCAGAAGGTCCCAGGTTCATTCTCTTGACATCTCCAGATAGGATTGGAGATAACCCTGTCTGAAACCCTGGGGTGTTGCTTCCAGTCAGCATAGGCAATACTAAACTGTTTGGATGCTTTGTATTACTTTGTATTAAGGAACTTCCTAAGTTCATAGCAACTCTCATGCTTTCCCTAAGGAGAGGTTCTTTGGGACGCTGCTATGCGGTGTGGATAGGCATTGAAAAATTCCCGAGCGTGAGACTTCCTCACAGTTGTACTAGGTTGGATGCAACCCAGTATATCCTTGGTACTGCATTGCTTTATTTGCATGGCCTGTTCAAAATGAGAATGCTATCTATTGCCCTGGGTTTGGGATTACCTGCATAAGCAATGTTCTCTTAACTTATGCCACAGGTAAAATATCTTATATGCACTGTTTTCTATATACTTAGTTTAGATAATATTTGGGTTCAGAGACCAAAGTAAAAATTTATGAGCAGAGAAGCATTAACGTATGGCAATGGAAAACAAAATTCAAATGGTGAGCTGTTCTCTGGTGTATATTTGGTCATATGCAGTCCAAATTTGTATTAAACCTGATCATTAAAATATTTGGCATTCTTGGCTCTTGAGCTTCTAGAACAAATATATTTAGGTCAGTTGTGTCCATAGTGTTGATGCTGAAGGCTTGGAGCCTGGAACTTCCCGTTGCAGATAGTAAGCAAACATCTGCAGGCACATGGTATTTTCCATTTCCACAGCCACTTACAAGAGAGTCATGGTTGTGTATCTCTAATCTGCAAAAATGTGCCGTGCTTCATTTTGATATTACATGAATTTTGTTTGTGATTTCTCCTGAATTCTCTGAACTGCAAGCCATACTTTGAGTGGCATATCAAAGTTCTTTCGAGATTTTTCTGGAGCAAATTTCTTTTAAGCTCATTATTCAAATGTATGTTGAAGGAAATCAGTATAAATTTAAGGACTGGGAAGGTGTTAATAAAGAGTATTCAGAGAGGTTTTAAAAATATGAAGCCAAATAGTCAAATGGGGTGAATTCTTATCTCCAGGCACATCCAACGATTTTTGATTTGAGGCTTGGGAAGAATTGATAAAGTCAGAGTGGAAACTTGTAAATTTATTGATTACAGTAACCTGTTTTAACCTTCTTGTGGAATGGAAGTAAATATCTTTTGGCGGCAATCTCTAGGCCCGAGTGCTCAGAATTTTAGCTATATTCTTTGTCAATAATAATTTTCAGACTTTTTGCTTGATCCTAAGCATTTGTGTCATCATCATTCTGTGACTCTAATTATACTCTTAATGCATGGTTCAGTGGGCTGCAATATTTTATAATGACCTGATCTACTCAATATCCTAAAAGAATCCGTTTCTAGTGCTTGCTGCTATCACTTGAAATCTGTCATATCTCCAGCATTTGTCAGGTCTTAAAATGCTGGAGAACACCAGTGAGTATGAAATGTACTTTTCTGCTGAATAACCTTAAATAATAGGTCAGTATTACTTTGAGGATACATTTTCTTTGTGGCTGTATAATGTTCTCGCCTGAATCCAAGTAATTCTCAAATAGCGTCTTGTTGGGATGGGATCTTGCATGCAAGGACATGGAGATCTTACTTTCAAATATGAGATCTCTGCACTTTTTCTACAATGAGCTAGAGACACGGTCTTAATCCCACTTTGAGGGCCTCTGAATAATCTTAATAAAATAGAATAAAGGCTACAGTTCTCACAAGTGTAAAAATGTTTATTCTGGTCATTTATGTTCCTTGGTTTTATCTTTTAAAGCAGCAGTTGTGTGTAAAGGCTTTTAAATAGAAATGTTTCTGTGAAGAAATGTCCAAGCTTTTATGCAGAGTTCTGTGCTCCATCATCAGGAAGCCTTTATTTTTTAAGGGAGGGGGGTTAATTCAGGTCTTCAAAGACAAGCAGAGTCCAGATAGTGTTGAATTTGTGAGGCATTTCAATGAGCAATTGTGTTCTGTCCAAAAGGAGTTCTCTGTAGCACAATGGCTTGTGTTTTAACAGTGCATCAAATCTCATTAGCTTCAAAAATTATTTGGAACTCAGGAAAACTTTCTTTCCTTTGAAGACAGCTTTTCTTCTGCTAACTGAAAAGGTGCATATAATAGTTCAGACAATAACCTAGGATGGTAAAATAGTCTCATAGCACGAATACCTTTTAAAAGTTGGCCAGAGTTAAAAGCTTTAAAAAATTTAGTACTTAATATAACTACTTACCTGACCAATAACACATTTTTATTGAAAAACTAAAAAACTTATTTAAATTGTTTTCCAGGACTTATTAATGTATCTGTGGCTGAAGTTGCATCCTCTGCTTGACATGAGAGATGGAACAATTCAATAATACCCAGTTACTGGGCAAAAATCCTTAGTATGAATAACAAAAAGAGCCAGTGTAGTGTAGTGTAGTGGTTAGGGTGTTAGACTAGGACCTGGGAGGCCAGGTTTCAGATCCCTGGTTGGTCATGAAACTCACTGGGTGACCTTTGACCAGTCACTGTCTCTCAGCACAGGGTGGTTGTGGGAATAAAATTGGGAGAGCAAGAACCATGTTCGCTGCCTTGAACTCCTTGGAGGAAAGGTGGGGTATAAATGTAATAAAATAGGGGGAGGGGAAATAAACTTAATAATTCTGGGAATGCCAAATATGGATGGAGCCATGACCAAATCCTTATACCTGGGATTGCAATGCTGGGTAGTAGAGCTGGACTAAATACAAAAACTAAATGGAATTCATGTTGCTTACCTTGCAATTTGTCAAATATCTTAAGTAATACTCAGTTTTTTCCTAGGTTACTGCCATTGAACCCATAATTAACCATGGAGGAGCCAGCTTGACAACGCAGCACTTGCACCAGAGTCTCAGGTGGCTGTTCGGTGTGGCTGCTGTGGTTACAGATGTTGGGCATGTCCTCCTGATTGATCTATGTCTGGATGACTTATCATGTAGCCAGAATGAAATAGAGGCATCTGGTAAATTCAATTAATATTTCCTTGTAATATTGCTTGATTATTGAAAAACAAGAGTTAAGTTTCCTAGATAGTGACCTGATTTTCACACAATCCATGGTATGTCCAGCCAAAGCAGTTACTTTGAATGTCCGAATTCAGCCAATCAATCTAAATATAGTTGGTTTTCTGGCACCAAATTGTGATGTTAAGTTATGTTTTGTTGTTGGCTTGCAAACCATGAATTATTTATACCATAATTTTGTATAATATCCAGATCCAGCAATCTTGCTTAACTTTCATTTGTTTGGCGATCTTGCTCCAGATGTTTGCCAAGCTGCAGAGACACTGGGGGTGGAGGGAGCCAAGCTTTGGAGAAGCAATACATGACTAGTTTTTTAATATGTGAGATGACTTTTGGATTGCTTAAATAATGGTTAAAACATACCATGCCTTAGCATCTGATCACAATGTGTGTGCCATTTCACATATTTTAGTAAATACAAATTCCAGCGATAAGTGGGCTAGGAAGTACAGTATGCCTGTATTGCTGGAGTTCAGTCTCTGCTGATCTACAATAGGATGGCTGGCTTTGATCTGTCAACCTATTAAGTGCATATCCTTTTGGGCTATAGAAAACCTGAGGTTTTGGTAATTTCACTGTAGTTGCCATAGATGGTGGGGCAGAACAGTAGGTTCACTGTATCAGTTCTCTAGGCTGGATGTTTGGACGAATGGATTTAGGCTTTCAGTTTTGTCTGCAGTAGAATAGTCAAGTCAGACTACGACTGACTTGAAGTTCATCTAAAGCATGTATAACCTTTGTTGGCACTGAAAGCACCTGGGAATCTTCTTTTGCATTCATGGGGAGGAGTTGCCACAAATTTTGTTTGGCTTACTAAGCAAAACACTTTTTGCTGCTGCTGAAACCTCTGCCAAAATTAGGGGACACAATACAGTGACCTCCTTGTTTTTTCAAGAACCTAGCTAAAAGGACAAAGTTCATTTTGGGATTGTTATATTGTGAACCTTCAGTTTGTGGTATGTGCTTATTCAGATATTGGAGTAGGAAACAGTGTATTGATTGATGTGACAAATTATCAAAAACTGACCGTATATTAAGAAAAACTAACTAGAGGTGTGCATCCAGAGTTAGACTATATATAATAATGGCTGGATCTTCAATTTGAAATATATGGAAAAACAAATGAACTAATGAATAAATGCAGTTCTGCCAAATGAAAAACAAAATAAATAATACAGTAAGAATGAAAACTAATGGGATAAGAAACTTTTTACATGTACATTCCTCAATTGAACTGTGTAGTGGCTGCTTGACACTTTGAACCAACATTTTAAGGGCTAGCTACTTTAAAGCATGGCTTTGTGTTTGTGTTGCATGCTTTCATATACAGATCTAGAAGTCATCACTGGAATCCCTCCTGAAATCCCCCAAATAAGGGAAGCTATAACAAGAAAAGGTCGCCATCTTTGTTTCCAGTTATTGAACCCATCAGGAACTCCTGTGACTACTCTTTCATACATACACAGGAGCAACCAGTTAGTTGTGGGGTTTTCTGATGGATATCTCTCACTGTGGAATATGAAAAGTTTGAAGAAAGAGTGAGTATATGTATCTGAAAAGTATTGGAATATGGAATAAAAGTACATCAGTTAGATGCATATTCAATACAAAACAAAAAGCGGTTAAATTACTAAATGCACAACAATCTACGGATTTACACAGTTTTATCCACCTACCTTTCTCCTCTACCCATTTAGATACCACTCCCAGTTAGAAGGCGGTAGAATTCCTGTGTACACTGTTACTTTTCAAGAACCTGAAAATGATCCTCGCAATTGTTGTTACTTGTGGGCTGTTCAGTCAACACAAGAAAGGTAGGTATAGGCATACTGACAAATTTAGAAAATAGTAGCTGGCTATTGTCAAGATAATAAATTGTCTTAACTTGTTTTGCTTGCATGGTTTTGCTTATTCCTGCACGGTCAATCTTGTTCTACGTTCTAGTACCTAATCTTCTGGTCAGAATGAAATCATTTACCAAAGCCTTCTGTAGCAAGTGTAAGGAACTTTTAATGCTTGAGAGCTGCATTGTCTCTTGACCCAACCATCTGGGGGGCTGCTTGCCAACAGTAAAAAGGTACCCCTGCCCGTACGGGCCAGTCGTGTCCGACTCTAGGGTTGTGTGCTCATCTCGCTCTAGAGGCCGTGAGCCGGCGCCGTCCAAAGACACTTCTGGGTCACGTGGCCAGCGTGACGAAGCTGCAGCTGGCGAGCCAGCACCAGCGCAGCACACGGAAACGCCGTTTACCTTCCCGCTATAAAGCGGTACCTATTTATCTACTTGCACTTAAGAGTGCTTTCGAACTGCTAGGTGGGCAGGAGCTGGGATCGAACGACGGGAGCTCACCCCGCCGCGGGGATTCGAACCGCCGACCATACGATCGGCAAGTCCTAGGCACTGAGGTTTTACCCACAGCGCCACCCGCGTCCCGTCTTGCCAACAGTAACAGAGGCCAAAATAAGAGTGAGTGTGATAATCTCACTCTCCTGCAATCAAGAGCTCACATAGTACAGATTCTCACTGCTTCCTTCTCCAAGCTTTTAAAAAGTGGGATGGTCTTTATGGAGACTACAGCAGGAAAGGGAAGAGTTAACCCTTCCATTTGCACCAGTAAAAAGCTGTTTTCAAAGTTAGTTGCAGTATTGGGGGCTGTTTTTGCCAGGTGGTCACAGTACACAGAGGGGTTAAACCCACCCCTAGCTATGAGATAGACCCCCATGTCACAGTTAGGCTTGAAAAAACATTTGTATGGCTTCAGGGGTTGTAGCCAGCTCCACAGGTCTCTGTTCCCCACCCATGTTCTGTAATAACTATTTTCAAAGCAGAAGTAAATTGAAATACAAGTCCAGAATTAAGGTCTTGGTAAGAAAAGCTAGGGAACTTCCATGGTAAGATTCATTTGTTGACTTCTGCCTGTGAAATATGATAAAATAATTTGATGGTGATTGAAAGGAATAATTATTTTAGAAACTGGATTTAAAATGATTAGCTATATCTGTGAATCTTGCAGAAAATATTTAGAAGCATTTAATAAAGAATGATTCATCATAGCTACTGAGAACCTGTATACTAGGAAAGTTGGATTTGTTACAAATAGAACACTACAGTCTTTGTGGAATGTTTTAGGCACTATTTTAGATTTTAAGTGTTCCAGTGATAATATGCCTGATTCTTGATTGCTATGGGGATGTAAAAGTGCCTGCAGATCTCTCTTGCATGCAAGGGTTTTCCATCAATTCAGTGGAATGAATCTATGTGATTAACGAAATGTCCGTACAGATTAGACAGGACTATTTCTATGCACATGTCACAGAGGCCATGCCAATATAGGCATGTCACGAGCAAACTAGAAGGCTATGGTTTGACAGTTAACAAATTCTGTTAAAGCTTACTAAAGTTTACTGTGATAAAAAAAGGTTTATTTTCAGGTTGGTTATGGTTATATAACAGTACTTAGTTGGTTACATAACAATACTTAGTTTAATAACTTGCTTACAAATGGTTCTGTTGCTTTAAAGAGGTGTCTGTAGACTTGCTGTTGTTTCTACCTCTGTACTAAACCACTATCCAATTACCTCTACTCCATTTAAACTGCAGGTTGTTTTAGAGGACTTTTAAAATTTGTCTAATCAGAGTTCTCTTTGCTACAGTTGCACAACAAAGTTTTTCAGAAGTTTTTCTGGTCAGAGACTTGGCATTTCTTCTGGTTTAAAGCATAACGTTAAGAAGTATTTATTATATAGCAGCTGTGTTTTAAAATATTCTATAGTAACTATATTAAGTAGTATTACCTGACAAATAACAAAGGTGCCTAGGTTTTATACTAAACTCTTAACTTGTTTCTTTCTAGTGAAGGGGATATTGTTAGTTTACATCTACTGCAGTTGGCTTTCAGTGACAGAAGGCGTTTGGCATCAGGACAAATCATGTATGAGGTAAAGTATTTGTATATACTAAAATTCAATACTGCTTTACTTGAACTGGTGTTCTCTAAAACTACAACTGGGTTCTAAATATGTAGTCCACCTGTAATCTTGCTAATAGGGAATACTTTAGATTTTAAGATTTTACTCCATTCATCTCAGAGATTAGATAGTATTTATTACTGTGCTACAGATGTACAAATATGTAGAGATGTCCGAATGGCACTGATAAAATTGATGTAATCAGTTTAGTTTCAGAGAGAGAGAGAGAGATGTATGTGTGTTTCAGAAGACATTTCCTCAGCTTTTAATTCTTAAATGTTCACTACATTTGCTCTTTATTAATCCAATTAACAAATCTGGAGTGTGCTTGTATCACTGAGTTTGCATTCTTAAAAAATGAAATGATAAAATGAAACTTGTATGCACAATAATATAATGCAATTGGCTTTAAAATAGGTGTAATTTAGCTTTCTTTCCTGCCACCCATTGTCAGTGCTCCTGGCATTGAATCTATAAGAAGCCAAATATGTGGCAAATAATCCTTAGGATACTACCTGAAGGTGTATGTAGTCAGTTAGACTACATGAAATGGAGCTCATGGCACTAGCCAAAGACTTTTCTTTTGGTGAACAGCTTCCAGACTTGAGGCACCTGTGAAGAACAAACACGTGGAAGCAGTTTCAGTGATCTCTTTATAGTGATTTGAATTGTCTGTAACAATGCTTCATATAAATGATCAACTTGTCCTGCATTCAAAAGTCATTACTTCTATTCTAATTTGTTTGAGGCTCAGGTACTGTCATAAAAAGCCAAAACAAATTCCTGGATTTATCTACTTGTGTTTTGAGCAGGTATTTTTATTGCCTGTCACTCACTGATTGTATGAGTTCTGGGTTTTGTTTTTTAACAGTGCCCCAAGCGTTCTGGCTAGCTTAAAAAGAACTTTCATGCTTGTGTTTTATTTCTTCCCCCGGGCTTAATTCCTCAGATGCTTCCTAGTTTGTCATGTGCTTCGACATCCTGTCATTATAAAGTGATTTTTTTCTTGGGTTTGCATCTTTTAATATTGCTTTAATTTAAACATAATACTGTTATATTCATATACTACAGCTCAAGCACAGTTTGCCTAACAAATTGACATGAATTCATATGGTCTGTTGAAACCTCACAGAAAGGTCTAACTTTGATTAAGTATTGCTTCAGACTTGACACCTCTAAGAATATATAACAAATTTCACTGAGTGAAATTCCGGTGTTGTTCATACTAAGAATACTAGGAATAGACCCTATTTATTTCAGTGGGTGGATTCTGAATGACTAATATTGGCTGTCACAAACTGTTTCTATTTCATGGAATGCTGCAGTGTGTACCTTTATTATAACAGGTATGTTTTACAGGATATGAGAACTTATACAAACAGAGCTCCACTCTCTGAGACAGGATATTTTTGTCCCTAAAGCAACTCTGAACATCAACTTTTTATTTAAAATACCCACATAGGATAGCTTTCCTGGATAACTTTTTCATTGTTGAAATGCTCCTGCAGGCTATTCTCATAATTAAATATGCTTCTTGTGCTTGGTGGAACCAGTTTTGTCTTTGACATCCTTTCAAAAAATGTGAAAATTGTCAACATGTATAACCGAAGCAAAAAGACTGCTACTGGCATCAGTCTTTCCCTCCTTTTTGTGCACTTTACCTTATATTACCCTCACTCTTCTGTGTCATAATTGGGATATTAATTTTAAGCATTCCTTTTTTATTAAAGCAGAATTTCTTAATATCTTGCTAACCTGTAGACTGCACATTGTCTTAATGTGATTACTTCCCTCCCCCTCAGGGTTTAGAATACTGTGAAGAAAGGTACAGCCTAGACCTCACAGGTGGAGTTTTCTCTTTAAGAGGGCAGACTAGCAACACCAAATTGATCGGTTGTCAAACAGTAGAGAAATTTCGAAGCCATGTTGACAGAGAAGATGGTATTAATGAAGGTTGGTACAGCAAGTATTAAAAAACTTACCATTAGAACTAAGAATGAGAACATGCTGTGTAAAAACCTCCTAATTCTGCATTGAGTATTCTGTGATAAATAACATTTTGGTTAATAATTTCAGTGCTGTATCAACAAATAATGATAAAGTAAAGGTTTCTTAACTGCTGCTCTTCAGATGTATTTGTGTAATTGGTAGCTTCCAGCACTTTTATAGCAGTACCATCTCTTTCTGCCTCCTAGTCATATCACCTGATACAAGTGTATCAATCTTCAGCTGGCAAGTAAACACATATGGTCAAGGCAATCCATCTACCTATTTAGGTATATTTGACATAAATCGCTGGTATCATGCTCAAATGCCAGATTCATTAAGGTAAGAAATGACAGCTTCTCTTCATAGATTTTCAGAAATAATATCTAGTATGTTAACAGCTTGTCTAACTATTTTTTTGGTCTGCTTTCTCAAGGCCTGGGGAATTTCTACACAATTGCCCCTATTTTGCATTATGGTCCCTGGATGCTGTAGTGAGCATGACTTCTCCACATCACATTCTGGATGTCTTGGTACATGAGCGAAGCTTAAGTCGTGGTGTACCTCCTTCGTATCCTCCACCTGAACAATTTTTTAACCCAAGCACCTACAACTTTGGTATGTGTACCATCAATTACTTCTACAGGAACATGTTCAGTAAGACATTCAAAGATGAAATTTGTATTCTGTGTATCATTTCTAGCATTTAGGACTGCTACTACTTGAAGGGAATGTCTAGATGATTTGTTAGGCAAAAAATGCACAGCCCTTGCTCTATTGCAGGCGGTCCAAATGTCAGTTTGAGGGGAAAGCATTTTTTCTTCATTTCGTTTTTGGTATTTTTAAGGTAGAAAAATCCAGTTCTTTACCCAGCTAACAACACATTGCTGCACTTTCATATGGAATTGGTTGTTCTTGTGTCACAGGGAACTTATTGGTTGTTACCAATAATATCATTGGTGGAAAAAGTGAACTCTTCTATATAGTGGCTGTATAACTTATGTGTTTTTATATTGTGAACTGCACTAGTATTTTATACCTTTCCCTGCACTATTTTAGAAAAGGCATTCATGTAGTCTGTATGTAGGCAAATGGGAGAAGTGAGATAGTTGAACATGCAATCAGACTTAAGGAGGGGCCTTACTGAACATGAGCTGTGCCTGCCTCTGTTCTGCATATAATAAGCAGAGGTCCTTATGTAGTTGAGCACTTCTGCTCCAAAGTTCGACACCCTTTCAGTCTCTCACCCAGCATGTAGGCTGCAAGCACATCTGCACATTTCTAACAAATCTTTCTACAAAATAGTTAATCTGTATTGCTCTGGGTCTCTTGCACAATTGGTGTCATAAATCGTATCTAGAGAAAAGCTTGGAAGTTTTCAGAATAGGAAGCAAATAAGGAACTTGTCATACTTTCAGCTAATTGAGCATTATACCTATTTAATGTTGCTGGTAGCAATATAATCTAATGAAATTCTCTATTCTTTAGATGCCACTTGTTTGCTGAACACTGGGGTTGTTCATGTCACTTGCACAGGATTTCAAAAGGATGTAAGTTTTAATTCTCTGTTGCTCTCATTATGATGTTTTCATGTTCACATTTTTACTAATTTTGGCAGCCGTCAGCATATAACATTTGGTAGAAGTTCTACCATGGCAGTTTTATTCTAATGTGTCTGAGAATGTTCACCGAAAGCAAGCAAAGGCCTTCCCAATCAAAAGTCAGATTGTGATTACCTGATCGTACTATACACTTTTATCAGAAGCATTCAATTCTGCACTTAGTAATGACTTGGAATGAAGGTCAGTGAACTGAAACTGAATCGTGAGAAGGCAGTGTATGTAGGTAGCTCTCATCTCTCAGTAACTGGTATTCAGGCAGGTTTTTTTCTTCCCCTTAAAGACCAGATACACAGTTGATACTAGTTAGTGGAAAAATCCAGCTAGTACAGCTAGGGTGGGCCATATTATACCTGTTGTGAAAGAATTTTAGTGGTTGCCTATTCAGCTCTGGGTCCAATTTAAAGGCTGGTCCTTACCTTCAAAACCCTAAATAGGGACCCAGACACCTGAGGAGAGTGCCTCTTTCCATACCAGCCTGCTCATGACTTAAGACTGACCTGTTTGCCCAGGCATTTTAAATAGAATTTTAGTTGAAACTGCCTTTTGTTGTTTAGCTTTATGCGTTTAGCCCGAATTTTTAAAAAGAAATGCTGTACTGTATTTATATGTTTTGTGAATTTTCATACTTCTGCACACTGCCCCTGGAAGATGATGGGTAGATGAATAACAGAATGCATAAGAGTGCTTTATGCAGAAGAGGCAAGCAGTCCTGCTTCGTAATAGGGTTTTCAAGGTTATTCAAGGAGACCCTCCACTGTGAAAGTTTATGTAAGTTGTAGGTGGAATAGAAAACAAGTACCCTGTGTCTATGTGTACTCAGAGTGCTTTCCATGCATGCACAAGGTTCTTTGGATTCCAGTCCCCAGGTAGTTCTAGTTGTATCCAGTATATCTCTAACAACAGTAGTACATAGGCTCAACAGTGAGCAACACCCTGAGTACGGACCAATTAAATGTCCATGAATCTCTATGGAGTGCTGCCAAAATGGTACTCAAGAGCAGTAACACACAAAAAGTCCACAGAAGTTCCTGGCTCCAAGATTCTTATTAGCCTTCCTATCCACAGAAAGAAAACAATGAATTCTATAAATCTTCCCTTTATGGTTATAGGAAAAAGTGATAAGTATAACTACTACTCATCAGCCTTTGTTTTGGCAGGGAGTGTTTAATCTTTTTTATGACTTGTGTTTTGCAGTTTACTGCTGACAGCTTAATTTTTGCTGTCTTAATAAATAGTGTTTTGTTATTTACAGACATTGCATTTCTTAAAAAAATTTGGTGGTTCCTTAAATGAAGCCATTCCTGATAGTTATAACAGATGTCTTGTCGCTGGCTTGCTTTCTCCAAGATTTATCGATGTACAGCCTTCAAGTCTGAGCCAGGTGTGTCCATGACAAATACGGAAAAGAAAATGTAGTGTTTTCACAATGCCTCTCTTTTTAAACACCCAAATCTAGTTAAATTCAGATATTGTTCCTGATCTAGGCATGCATGAAAGTAGGCTTAAATGTGTGCACTCAGGACTCATTTTAATTGACTGTCTGGATCATTTGGTGATGCACATCCTTGTCTGACCAGTACAGTGGTACCTCGGGTTAAGTACTTAATTCGTTCAGGAGGTCCGTTCTTAACCTGAAACTGTTCTTAACCTGAAGCACCACTTTAGCTTATGGGGCCTCCCGCTGCTGCTGCACCGCCAGAGCACGATTTCTGTTCTCATCCTGAAGCAAAGTTCTTAACCCGAGGTACTGTAACCTGAAGCATATGTAACCTGAAGCATATGTAACCCAAAGTACCACTGTATTATATAGTATTCATGACTTTAACATCTGCATAAAAACTTTATAAATGGGGCCCTGCCACAAAATGTTATGGAGGGAAGCACTTAATTTCCAGATTCCAGATTTCTCCATTCATATCTATGGGCTAGAGACACATTTTCAAATAGCTTTTCGGTGTAAACCAAGAACTGACCTATCCAGACACTGTGAGGATCCTTTTGATATCTGTTTTTCTCCCTTTTTCATCTTTTCCCAGTCAAATTTCTCCATTCTAGGGGTCCTTTACCTTTACCCGTACCTGTACCTGCTATAAGCATGAGAATACTTGAATCAGCATTAGGAGTGATCAATGCATTTTTATTACTATTTTGTTTTAGGAAGAGCAATTTGAAGCTGTATTGTCAGCTGCTATCCAAACTAGTTCCTTAGGACTTCTCACTAGCTTCATCAAACAGTGGACCTCTGAAGGTAAATAAAGCCTTACAATTTGATTAAAATTTCCTCTAGCACGTAAAACCTATTATCATAACTTCTGCTTTTTTCTTTCTTTCTTTCTAAGAGCAACCAGATTCTGCCCCTAATTTGCGCTTTGTTCTTGAATGGACATGGAATAAAGTGGTTAGCACTAAGGAAGACTTTGTTCGATTATGTAAGTAGTATGATTTGGTGGTATGAAAGTTTCTGTTGAGCATATTTAGTAAATGGGCTGGGTTACTTGTTCATCTAGTGATAAGGGAAAGCATGCTTAAACTCACTTAAACTAATATTGTCATAATTTTTGTCTTTGTTTTAAAAGGTGTCCCACTATTTGATGGGTCATCTAACTTTATTGGTCCACAAACTCTACAGTCTTTGCAGCACTGCGAGTTACTTCTTAGCAACCTTAGTACTGTTTTGAGCTGTTTTGTAATGGAAGCACAAGAACTCACAGAAAAAGGTGTGTAAATGAGATCCAATCTAAGGTGCACATTTTATGTAACTTTCTAATGAATATGAATGTTATTCCCCCCCCCCTCCTGTAAGGCAGTTTATGTATGTGTATTTACAGCTATTTTAAATTTCATCTCCTTGGTGAAGAGAGAGGGCCTCTATTTTTAAATTTTATTTTAATAATAATAACTGGTGTCTGATTGCAAAATCATAGGATGTTTATACCAAAAAGATTAAAGGAAAGCTTTTTCAGAATTTCTAGACTTTTAATTCTGGGTCTTGAACTTCTAATACAGTTGGCTTGGTATCTTTTTATGGCTGTATTTGGGATGGGAGTAGTATGTTTTAAAATCAGTCTGGAGGAAAGTAGAGCCAGAATTGACGACTCTGTTCACCAAGATGCGAGAAGGAATGCATACCCAAGTAGACTGTTAATCTACCAAGTAGATAGACGATGACAGTTTGTCATAGTGACAGTTTACCAGTGAATGATCTGCTGTGATCTATCAGTGCTTTCAAAAGGATGCATTATGCGTAAAAGCTGACACAACTTTGCTGCTTTATTTTCAGGCATTACAGATCTGACAAATAAGCAGGTTGTGACCAGTCTCCTTTCACTGTATGTGCAAGTGGTCATCTGGTTCTGTCGATCCAGCCTTCTTCCAGAAAGTTTAGGTAAGCCTTTAAAAATTGTATTTCAGTTCTCGGACACAACTCAGTTGCATCAAAATAACCTGAAACATGAACAAGCGTATCTTTAATTCTAATCCCATTGGCTAAAATTTGACTAATACAGCATTTCTATTTTTCAGTGATTTGAGTAGCGAAGTGGCTTGCAAAGGTAGTTTTCAAAAAAATGTGGTAACACTGGTAGTTTCTCTGCTTCGGTGGAGTTCAACTGTTTTCAACAACAACAACATTTTATTATTTATACCTTGCCCATCTGACTGGGTTTCCCCAGTCACTCTGGGCGGTTCCCAACAGAATATTAAAAATAGAATCGAACATAAAAACTTTCCTAAACAGGGCTGCCTTCAGATGTCTTCTAAAAATCAGATAATCGTTTATTTCCTTGACATCTGATGAGAGAGCGTCCCACAGGGTGGGTGCCGCTACCGAGAAGTCCCTCTGCCTAGTTCCCTGTAACCTTACTTCTCACAGTGAGGGAACTGCCAGAAGGCCTTCGGCACTGGACCTCAGTAAAATGCAGATATGATCATTTCTGTGTGTTCTGTTTTTACTTGTTTTCATTTAACAATGTTTTTAAAATGAGCATTTCTCTCTTGTTGGTAGATGAAGATATGCAGTTGTCAAAACCATTCTATAATTACCAACATATACAACATTTTTATGCTGGGTGTCGTCAGAAGCTGGAACGTTTATCAAGGTAATCTCTTAGTAAACGAAGTTTCAAATTACGTCATAGCCTATGGGTTTTCATTAACACGGAGATAAGCACCAAGGTGTAGGCAAGATTGCTTAAGGGACTTGCTTGCACTTCAAAAATTGCAAAACGTTTGCCTATGGACACTCATTGTTTGCAAAATACTTATATAAACATTCCTTCTACAAGCACTATAACTGCAGTTTTTGTTCTTCCCTTCTCTTATATTGTCGAACTGTAAGCTGTTCTGTCAGGATCTGTTGTAGCATGTAATCAAAAACTATGCCTAATAAAATCCAGCTGCTTCCTATATTCAGGAAAGCTTAAATTGGTTTTAGTGGCTTTACAGAAGGAACATCTACAGTCAGAGTGAGGAGCCTCAGGCCAGGGGACCAAATACATTCCTCCACTGTGTATGACGCTTGGGACTCTTCCTAGCCACATGCCCTCTCCCAAGCTATAGCCTTCCCTGACCCTGATTCAAATGCCACTTGAATGTTCTCTTTGACTGAAACGTGTCCTTGAACTCTGAGGATACCTATTGCTTGCCTAGATGGATGAATAGGGTATGTGTCTGTTTGTGCATAGAAACTAGGCTACTTTACTAAGGTAAAATTAGCATTCATTCTCCCACCCACTTTTCCCTCTGGTCCCACCCACCACTGACATGCAGCTCCCAGAAGGTTATACAGAAGGGAATGTCACTGTCAGGCTGAAAGGTTTCCTACAGAGATCCCTGTTCCAATGAATTCAAGTTTTCAAATTTTGTTACAGATTTCTTGCTCTCTGAGAGAGAAATCTAAATTGCACAGTCATTTAATAGAAATGGTAAATATGCTTTCAACATCTGGGAAATAAGTTTTTTTAAAAGAACACAACTTTTTTTATTTGTAGAGGCAAATGGAACCCTGATTGTTTGATGATTGATGGATTGATTTCCCAGTTAGGCCATTCCGTAGTGAAGTTGTGGCAGAGAGATGATGGAGGAACAGGAAAATACCCTCCTCCTACATTGCATGTAAGTATGATTGGTGAAGATTTTCTAATATTTTAACAAATGGAATACTGTACTTGACTCAGTGTGTTCTGCATTATAGGCACTACTTGATCTCTACTTGTTGGAAAATATTGAAGATCTCTACAAGCATGCAACTGTATCCTTTCAAAGACTTAAATATAACGTTGTCTTTAAAATACATCATACAGAGAATAGCCTTTTATTGGCAATTCATGAATGTGTAGAATTTAAGGGGTATGGGGTGTGATGAAGAAAACGTAAGATGTCCAAAAGCACGGAATTGCAAAAAAGAGCAGTATCTGCCATCTCATGGACTTAGAGAATAGCAACCTGAGGACTGTGCTACAATGTGAAGAACAGAACCGCCAGTCCTGTCACCTGTGCATGTATTGCACACCATAACCAAGGATCTCAAATTACTAAACTAAATCATTATTTAAAAGCTTCACAGTTTTAGCTTTTTCTACTCCCCCCATATAAATTAATTGTATATATTATTTTTGGGACCTCATAATTTTCACATAAGCATAATCTGTTTCTTGAAATATAACCTTTTTACATAAACTGGTTCGATTCTTATTGGAATAACATTGAGTTGATTCTCTTCCCCCACCCCACCCCCAGCTTTTTATGTTGGACACTTTACTCTGCATTTCTCTTACTCTGGTCAGAAACCCTCAGATCTCCCAGACCTCAGTCTGAACCCCAGAGGAATTTATAAAGCAAGCATGACATCTTGCTGTGCTGCAAGTGTAGCTCCTTTTAAGTCTTTCTGAGGCTCAGTTCTTTGTTTAGGGGGGAGGTGCAAGTGTTTGTCTTTGTAGTTTCTTTTTAAGAATAATTTTTTATTAACCGACCAATCACATCAAATCAAACCAAATTACATAAATTCCAAATTACACAGCCGAATTTTAAATTTTTGTTGGGGGTACCCATATTTCAAGTTCCGAAGGGATCCAATCAACTTCTTGCTTCTTACTGCTGTTTTAATGTCCACAAATCTAACCTTATGATGTTCACAGTACTATCCAGTCCTTTCTTATTATTTTTCCACATCTCTTGTTGTTATTTTCATATATTTTTCCTTTCTCTTTGTGACCTCTGATAGTCTCCGCAAGCTGGTTAGAACAGTTTGTAATCCTGCGTGGATATTTTTTTTTAATCCAGTAGCCATATCCAGACGTTTTCCATATAACATCACTTCCATACATCAAAACAGTCTTAGCGTCATTAATCTTCACCAATCTGCCTCCTTTCTCAAAACCTCTGAGGAGATTCACTAGGAATGCAATCTGAAAACAAATCCGTTCTTCCTCCCGGCTATAAATCCTTTGGCAAGATGGCGACTCCGAATTAATTGCTGCGCCATTCCCAAAAGCTCTTATTGCTTCTCGGTCTCCATAAAGCATACTTTTGGTTAAAGTTTATCTCCACACAGACCTTAATCATCCTGCTTGGGTCAGTTCAACCGACAATTCTAATGAGGAGGGGTTCTTGTAAATCACATAGAAGGAAAGTAAAAAAGGTCGTCCCCCCCTTCAGCCCTGTTGTCAACATACCCCGCCTTTGGTGTATCTTCATCGTAAAATATTCCTGTTTCTCCAGCCCGTCGTCTTCTTTCGCAGAGGTCACTTAAATTAGCAGACTTCACTCCCCTTCTTCACTTGAAATATGTGCATTTGCTTCTTTTGTAATTAATTATTCCAAATTGCTGCAACTAGTGCGCGATCAGAGACAGCGTCCAGGAGAGCCGATGTCCACACGGGGGCATTCTGCCTAGGGCCCTCACCCCCTTCTTTCAGAATTAGGGGTGATTTATGGGCACAGCAGGCAAGGGCAGTGTTCCCCATTTCCTTGGGGCAACAAGGGAGGCTGCCTACTCCCATAACAGCCTCTTAATTACCCCGTGTGGGTCGGAGAGATGGTATTGTCGGCCATCTTCCAATGCGCCCCCTAGTGGCCCCCCCATTTGTAGTTTCACTTGGCTGCTAATCCTCAGGACAGTGTCATAGGCAATAAATAAGCTTAGTGACCTTGGTTGGTTGCATCAACAAATTTTGTTTGTCTATCAAGGTGATGCAAAATGCACGGACCTCTAGTTGGACACTATATAAAATTTAAATATTTGGTAAAACTCATTGTTACAGGCAGCATCCTAATTCTTTAGCTATCTCTTAATTTTTTTGCTTCATACACAAAGTTAAGGTTTGTCAGCTACCTATGTTAAGCATTGCTTAATTCTAGCATTTTTCTCCATTGTAATGCAAGTTCTTGCTGTTAAATAATTGCTGCATTCCAAAAAAAACTGTGGGATATTTGTATATGTTAAATAATATTGTTTTGCAGCACTGTATTCTCTCAGTCAGGATGTCTGTTACAAATCTACTTTACTTAAGCATAAGGTTATAGTTATATAGTTAAAAGATGTGTAAGCAAAATGAAAATAACAGCTACTGCTGTTCCACAAGGGCTTTCAATGGAACTCATGCAGTTTTCTAATAGGTTCCCTAGCAGTTTGCATGCTTCAACTCAAATAAGTGGCTGAGTAAACAAGAATACAGTATACTTGGACTTTGGTTGTTCTCATGCAAATCACCAACATAAGATATTAATTATTGGAGACAAAAAAACAAAGGAAGAAGCTGCAGGAAAGATGGTTTTATGTTGTACAATGTGTCTGTTCTAGCACGTCATAGAAAACAAACTCAAATAATGATTGCCCTTAATATTTATAATTAGACAATTTATTTACTATTGGACATCATGCATTCCTGTCCAAACAAGGCTGATACTTCAGTGGGCTCCTTCCCAACCGCATTTGCAATTCCTATAGGTCTGGTTAACTTAATCCAAGGTTTTTGGTGTTTGGATCACAGTGACTTTGAGGTGGGTATATAAAGTGATAATTCATTGGTCTGTCTAGCTCAGTGGCAGTGGCTGTTCAGGATTTCAGACGGGGTCTCTCACGGCCTTAGCTGGAGATGTTGAGAATTGAACCTGGGAACTTTTGCATGCAAAGCAGATAGTCTGACACTGAGCTATGGCCCTTCTTCAGTTTAATGGCATACTAATTGAATAAAATTATAATGCTTTCTAGAGCAATGGTTTCTGTATTAGCTCTCTATTCAGGATCATAGTGGGCTGATGCTGCCAGTAGCTTATTGGCTTCACCAGTGTGGGACATGACTATTACCCTGGCAACAGTCCCTTCAGTGTAGATGGGGAAAGAATTAGAAATCATCTGGCTTTGAGCTTTCAGTTCTCAGCATCACTGCACTAGCTATACTAACACTAACACTAACTGACCTGCTTACAATGTCTTGTTTCACTTGCTTTAGTGGGAGCACAACTAACTGGTGGCACTATAGGACAGATCAAGCTGTCCTATAGAATTGGTGTATATGTTGAATTCCATAATTCCATAATTTCATTTCAGTGTAGAAAACTGTTTAGTAGAAAATAGATTGAAAGTGCACAGGAGGTTTCTGAATATTGTCTTGGATTCTTGCAGAATTCTCTGACCTATCTGTTTCATCCAGCTACAATCAAATTGCCTTGGCAGCACATAAGGATAATTCAGTTCTTGATGTGTCAAGGAGAGCACAGGCGAGCCCTCCGATACATACAAACAATGAAGCCATCATTGATGAGCAACAGTGAAGTAACACTTCACCTTACTGTCTTGCTGTTTAACAGGTGAAAAAAGTGCAGCATTTATTACTACGTTTACTCTTTGTGATATCACTGTATTCAAGAAGAAAAATGTTTCCCAGTTGATAAGATACTAATACTCATTTTTATGGTATTGGCGTGCTTTTTAAATAAATAAATAAAATAAATGCCATGATAGCATGTATTGGATGAACACCTACATCCTTGGCACATCTGTAATACTAGTTTTTAATGTTTTTTAATGCAATTTTTCCTGTAGCAGAAATATCTGTCACAACATTAATCTACTTTTCAAAAAATGATTGCAGTTGTATGGTGGAAGCTTGGAGTGTCCTGCGGCAGCATTCTACTCGGTTAAATGTAGAAGATATGCTTAAACATGTATACGAAACCTGTCAGGGGCTGGGACTGATGGAAGATTTGCTAAAGCTACCATTCACAGAAACTGAACAGGTAATCTTGGGGATGAATAACTTCTGAAAGTACAATTCTACACCAAAAAGTGATTGGAAATCTCATTGACACTACGTGCATGTGTGTTTGCATAATTAGACCCTTATTGCTCCAGAAAAGGAAGCTTAATATTCTAAATCCTTTTTTCCCCTTAGGAGTGTCTGGAGAAGTTCTTGAGGACAAGCGCTGGTGTTAACAATCATGAGTTCCTCTTAGTTCATCATCTTCAGCGTGCCAACTACGTTCCTGCGCTACAGCTGAATCAATCACTGAAAGCTAATCTCATGGTAAGCCTTAATATTTTTTAATTGATTCCATTTATGAAATGCTTCCCTTAAAATCTCAGGTGGGTTGAGGAGTGGCATGGAATGGCTGGAATTCTGAACCACAGCACTCCATGCACAGCATTTTATTTCAGGTCCCATTTATTTAAAGTTAATAGTGATGGAAACACTGAACTAGGGAGGGCATTCCGCAACCAGGGAACCACCACTGAAAAGGCCATGTCACAGGTCAGCATCAACTACCACCAAGGCCTCACGTGCCAATTTTGGGGGCTGAAATTTTTGATAGGTACTTGGGTCCCAAGCCATTTAGGGCTTTATATGCTAGTGCTAACACCTCAAAATTGTTCTGGTAGCTCACTAATCTCCAATGCCATGTTTTCGGGATTGGTGTTAAGTGGTCTCTTCAGAGTGCCCTGCTTGCAGCTATATTCTGCACTAGCTGTATCCTCCAGATTGTCTTCAAGGACAGGCCCACATAGAGTACATTACAGTAGTGCAATCAGGAGGTTACTAGAACATAGACAACTGAGACCAGACTGTCTCAGTCCATGAATATCGGTTGCTGGTGGACCAGCCTAAGCTTGAGCATACTAGCCACAGAAGGCACTTGAGACTCCATTGAGAAATTTGAATCCAAATTACAAACCTGATCCTTCAGTGGAGCAACTTATCCAAGAACACAGGATGTACACATATCTCGCAGACATGGGAACCACCCACCCACAACACTTCCTCCTTATCAGGACTGGTCCCCATTCACTCCATCATTGTTTCCAGACACCTGACCAACACCTTCACAGCCTCTCCTGGTTCTGATGGAATGGAGAGAGAGAGTTGTGTGTCGTCAGCATGCTGATGACACCTTTCTCCAAATCCACAGAGGACAGCTCTGATCTAACTGGTCCCCCACCCCTGCAGAGGGGGTCATTCACAGTTAATACAAACCTCATCAGGGTTTGTATTACCATATTTTTCAAGTTTAAAATTGGGGGTCGTCTTATACACGGAATGTTGCAATTAAATATATAAATAAATACATGCCGCCATCCATATTATTTCCCCCCAGCCTCCCCTCACTATTGACCTCATGACAAACCCTGGTCTGGTACTCCCCCGCAGCAGCCCCCGCACTGTGCTTTCCACCTGGTTCCCTCAGTCGCTCCCTGGCTACCCAGACCCCCCATTCCCCAAGCACACTCAGGCAGATCTGGCAGTCGCAGCTCCTCGCAGCGGCGGAGGAATCCGCTCTGGCGCCTGGGGCGGGGTGAGCTGCCCATAGGGGCGGGGTGCACCGCAGGGCTTCCGGAGGCTGCCTTCCTCCTCCCACTCAGCCGCCCTACAGCTGGGGGGGGGGCAGCGGGCAGACCATTTGGGCCAAAGGGGCAGAGTGCAGTTTGCTACCCTGGGTGTTTGAGAGCGGAGCAGAAAAAAGCAATTTGACTTCTGCAGCATACAAATTCCCTCTCAAAGGGTTCTTTAGCTATGATTCTTGCATTGTGGCGCTGACTAGTTCCCGGCCATCGGGGACATGCTCTCGTTCCAGCTCAGCTTCCCAGCTCTGCTCCAGTGCTGCCGCCACTCCAGTTCTTATACTGCACATTATAATAATGCTGACTAGCTCAAAAAAAATATTTAAAAATTGCCTACCGTAATTACGATACCAAATATATCGGCAAAGTTGTTCTTTTTGTTGTTTCAATATACGGTTCGAAATATACTGGTATATTGAATATTTAATAAAATATCAAAGTTCTGTTAGGTGTTTAAAATATTTATTTTTTAATTTTGGGCTCAAAAAATAGGGGCCGTCTTATACATGGGGGAATCTTATACACAGAAAAATACGGTGTATTATAACAAGGTAATATTCACCCCCATCCCCGATCACCATATTCTTTCTAATATCTACTATAGCAAGAAACAGATTTTGATCATGACCTGAAGTATGTCGGGCACATGCTGTATTGAGACAGCTCCATGGTTGTTATGCAGCCATGAAGTGCTGACTGGTCCAGACAAGGCAGCATCAGTGTGGATATGTGTCCTAGAATGAATTCTTCTAGGACACACTATAAAGCTTGTTTTACCCTCAGTGCTCAAGATAAGCAGAACTGCTTGTATAAAATAGACTGTGGGTATGTGGTGTAGTATTAGTACAGTATTAATCTTAATACAAAGAGACCCTTTCAGCATCCAGGTTTATCCACAATTATAGTTTGCATGGGACGTGGGTGGCGCTGTGGTCTAAACCACTGAGCCTCTTGGGCTTGCTGATCAGTAGGTCGGCGGTTTGGATCCTGCGACTGGGTGAGCTCCGGTTGCTCGGTCCCAGCTCCTGTCAACCTAGCAGTTTGAAAGTAGATAAATAGGTACCGCTCTGGTGGGAAGGTAAATGGCGTTTCCGTTCGCTGCTCTGGTTTCTCCAGAAGCGGCTTAGTCGTGCTGGCCACATGACCCGGAAAAACTGTCTGCAGACAAACGCCAGCTCCCTCAGCCTGTAAAGTGAGATGAGCGGTGCAACCCCAGAGCTGTCTACAACTGGACTTAACTGTCAGGGGTCCTTTACCTTTTTTATATATAGTTTGCATAGTGTACTGTTGATATATTAATATTGGTCAGAAAAATCTTCCTGTCCAGCTTTAAGAGCCCATGAATAAGCAGTTCTATACAGTTTGACTGTGGAACTGCCTCTCCTAACCCTGGGTTTACTATTTCATGTATTTCTGTAAAATATTAACTTAAATTCCTCTTATCACTCCTTTCTTAAACAGAATGATCGGGATCCCCGCTGGCGAGAGAGATCAGTTGCCAGAAATTCCATATTAGACCAGTATGGGAAAGTTCTACCCAGAGTACAAAGGAAGCTTGCTGTAGAGCGAGCCAAGCCTTACCACTTGCCAACTTCACTACGGCGGGAAAGTAAGTATTTTCAGTGTGTTGTGGTGAAACCTTTCAAAACCTGCTTTAAGTATTTAATGTTGTTTTTCCTTTTTTTTTCTCCTTCAAGTTTTAAGACCAAAGCCACTGTCAACAGTTGCAAAGAAAGTTACTGCAGGAAATGTCATCACAAAAGCAACTTTAATCAATAATGTATTGTCCAAAATTGGAGAGGTATGGGTGGGAACTGAACAGAAAAACAAGTCATTTCAAAATGACATGTAAGTATTCATTTTGTTGTCGTAGGAAATTACTGCATCTTAAGTTGCCCAGTACTAAAATAGGAGTTTCACCACAGCTGTCCATATTTTTCACCTGCTTTCCATTGACCATAATGAATAGCCTGGTGTTGATACTATTAACAAAAGTGTTAATTTTTAGGGTAGAAACTTTGACAGATACCAGGGCCCCCACCGTTACGTAACATACTAAGCAGTGTGCTTCTCTTTTATATTAGTTTTTTATGAAAAGAAGGGAATAAGGTTGAGCCAAAAGAGTTGAAAAGGCAGCAATTCATTGCTTAACCTTTGCTTCCTCACCCAAACTTGAAATTACCTGTCTTCTGACTGACTGTGTGCTTTATTTATTCCTCTTTCGGAAGACAGTACTTGTGCATCTAGTGGTTTTCATGAGCTTGTCACTCTCGTGTTTTCAAATCCTAGAACTGAAGAACAACCACCTGCAGTGGATTCCTGCACTGACACAGAGATACCAGATCCATTTGTTGGGACACCAGCTACTAAATCTTTAAGAAAATGCTCCAGGTAAAATTTTTCAATAGGTGTTTGTTTGTATCCTTTGGGTGCTTTTCAGTCCTGTCGAAAACATCAGTTGTAATGAGTGAAAATTAGTTTTGACAGTTGCCTTGAATTATATATTTTTTATGTGGGCCTTTTTAAAAATGGAAGTATATTCACAGTGTCCATGCTCAAAAAAGCCTCTTCTTTCTTTTAATTACTAAACTAAAATGACAGGTGAGCTGTGATAATTTATTGATAAAAGCATAAAGCAACTTCAGATTTTAAAATCAGAAAAGCCTAGATGAATCATAGTGGTAGGGCAGAGATGGCTAAAATATCCTCCTGTTTATGGCAACACCATTTTACATTTGTATTCTGTTTGTTAATACAACTTAATTCTTAAACATTTTGAAATGTTTGCAGATTGCTTGACTTGGTGGTCCAGCCTATTCCTCTTGATTCACCTTCCCTTCGAAGCAATCTGCACATGTCACCAAGAGCTTCTGCATCCTGTATGCTTTCTAGTCCATTGCATTCCAGCCCTCGATGCTCCCTATACAAGAGCAGTAGAAGAGCACCTGAATTAAAGCTCCTAGAAACTCCTCTGGTTGTTAGGGTATGTAGAATTGTGAAGGTTTCATGAACTTGTTTGATACAGAGGCTGAAGTGCCATGTAATTAGTGGGTTCTGCCTCCCATTTTGACATGTTTCCTCCTCTTCTTAGAGAGCTAAAGCTTTGACATCTACATCTTCCTCTGGCTTTCCTGGTTTTACTCCTCAATCTATTTTGAGATCCAGCCTTCGGACTACTCCTTTAGCTACTCCAACTGCATCTCCAGGAAGGTCTATCACACCCCCTCTGCGTGCAAAAGAAACAAAAATATCATTTATGGAAGAAAGCAAAGCTTCAGGATGGACTGCTGGGGTAGGTTGGAAGAAACAGATGCTGGAAAGTAGAACATTTTGAGCCATATTCAGACAAGTTGATAGTTGTGCAAAGGACCTTAATTTTCTGCTTACCTTTTGGCAAGGTGGGCTTTAGTTAAATCTGGTTTATATATATGCATACATTGTGCATTTTAGGTTCATCTTTGTAAGTCACTTTGAATTTAACTTTTCTGGAATGAAGTATAAATAATAAAACAGCAGCAACAACAATAATAAAATAATGATGTGGGTGATTGGGTTCGTTTCCAGGTCTGCTGACACCCATGCATTTACTGTCCTATTCCAATGATGACCAAATGTGTAGAGCCAACACATACAGGCATAAGAGTCCCTTAATTTCTTCCTGGAGCTTTAAAACTGCATTTTGTGTACTTTGATGCATGCTAATTCCCAGGCCTATAGCCTCTTTTGCAGTCTTCTATGTATTCTAAGTTAACATTTTTAATTCAGGAAGCCCACATCATGTTCTCATGGCTGTATCTGCATTCCAGATATGAGGTAAAGGACCCCGGTTAAGTCCAGTCAAAGGTAACTATGGGATTGCGGCGCTCATCGCGCTTTCAGGCTGACGGAGCTGGCGTTTGTCCACAGACAGCTTTCTGGGCCATGTGGCCAGCATGACTAAACTGCTTCTGGCGCAATGGAACACGATGACTTGCAGTGGCGTGCTTTCAAACTGCTGGACTGGCAGGAGCTGGGACAGAGCAATGGGAGCTCACTCTGTTGCGGGGATTCGTGGGTGGCGCTGTGGTCTAAACCACTGAGCCTCTTGTACTTGCCCATCAGAAGGTTGGTGGTTCGAATCCCTGCAATGGGGTGAGCTCCTGTTGCTCTGTCCCAGCTGCTGCCAACCTAGCAGTTTGAAAGTCGATAAATAGGTACCACTCCGGTGGGAAGGTAAACAGCTTCCATGAGCTCTGTTTTCCGTCATGGTCCTCCGTTGTGCCAGAAGCGGTTTAGTCATGCTGGTCACATGACCCAAAAATCTGTCTGTGGACAAATGCCAGCTCCCTTGGCCTGAAAGTGAGATGAGTGCCGCAACCGCATAGTCACCATTGACTGGACTTAACCGTCCAGGAGTCCTTTACCTTTACCATTCCAGATGTGCAAAGCCTTTGTATGCATGTGTGGATTGGTCAATGAATTTTAGTAGCTGGAGCCTGCTTGTTCAAAAATGCATGTCTTTAGAAGTAAAAACATTGACTATTTCAAGCAGAGAGTTCAGTGTTTGCCTTCTGGATCAAGGCCTTGCATGGTCAGAATTTTCTGCTCACTGGGGAAATGGTACTGCTTGTTTTAACTTGGACTGTTTTTTTTAAGATGACAGATAGTAAAACAAAACACAACACAGTTTCATCTGAATGCATTATTGAAGCTCACATGGAAGATATGTGGTCTAAGACTAGAGAAACTCCTGCATTTTCAATATGCAGTCTTCAGGAAGACTATGAAGAAGCGGGCTTGTCATCAGAATGCGTACCAGGCAATGATTTGAATAAAGCTGAACCTTCCAAAGAAACTAGTTATGGTTCTGTAAAGTCAGATCAAACTACTTCAGATTATCAAGATGCAAAATCGCCAGGTGACAACAGTGATTCCTTCAGAATCTCTCAGCCAGCGGGTTTCTCCCCTGAAGATCTTGTAAACATACAAGTGTCAGCTGAGAGAGAAAGCAGTGAGGCAGTAGCAAGGGATCCTTTGCAAATGGAACAGCAAACATCTACAGATGGAGAACAGTCGCCTGGTATGTGATCTACAGATATGCAAATGAATTAATAAGAAACGGGGCGTGCTGTAACATAGGAGAGATCCATCTAATCCAGCATTGGTTCTCCAACACTGCTAAAATAGATCCTCAAACTCCCAAAAAGGGCATGATGGAGATAGCCAAAACACAGCCACCATATTTGGAAACAGTATATCTGGCAGATACTGGAAAGGGGTGTGTGTGGAGAAATTTTCTATGATACCCTCTAATAGCAAATTCAGGTGACTGGATGACACATCAATTTGGAAAAGAAACAGTGGCTTTATATATTTGGGGGCCATCCAAGGTATGCAGAAGTATAACAGTTTGTGAATCACAAGAAGAGGGGTGTGTGGACTGCCAAATAACAACCTGTGAGATTAAAGATTACTGGTGGCAGTTAAGCTTACAAAGAGGAAATAGTAGTAGTAGTAGTAGTAGTAATAATAATAATAATTAATTACAGTATTTTAATATTTTTTTGGAAGCCGCCCAGAGTGGCTGGGGAGGCCCAGCCAAATGGGTGGGGTATAAATAATACATTATTATTATTATTATTTATACCCCGTTCATCTTGGCTGGGTTTCTCCAGCTACTCTGGGTGGCTTCCAACGGAATATTAAAATACAATAACTTATTAAACATTAAAAGCTTCTCTAAACAGGGCTGCCTTCAGATGTCTTCTAAAACTCTGGTAGTTGTTTTTCTCTTTGACATCTGGTGGAAGCTCGTTCCACAGGACAGGTGCCACTACCGAGAAGGTCCTCTGCCTGGTTCCCTGTAACTTGGCTTCTTGCAGCGAGAGAACCACCAGAGGGCCCTCGGCACTGGACCTCGGTGTCTGGGCAGAATGATGGGGGTGGCAGCAAAAATTGTAGTTGGTGATAGCCAAGCCAAAATTGTAAATTCTTGCTACTAAAATCAAGACTTACTGGTTGCAGCTATACTGTATCAATTTTTAAAAATTAGATTGAAGGATGCAATCTGTCTGTTTGTTTATGGGTTCTCCCATTCATAGGACTACCTGAAAGAGAAGGTGAAGACTATGGCTCACTTCCTGAGGATGAAGAATTTGTGATGCATCACTTAAATGCTATTCCTTACACTACGGTCTCTTCTATGCCATCTAATGAAAGGTGAACATGTCAAGTACATCTTTTTTAAAAAAAAAACCCAGTTGTATCATGCTTCATACCTTTTACATTGTTTTGCATTCAGTTTCTTGAGTACTGTGAATATGATACATTTATTATATATTTATTAGTAAAAAAAAGGGACACAGCTGGAGCACCATTTCACAGCCTTGATTGTAGTGTTTGTTTTCTGTGACCAACTATCTCCCAAACAGCATGCTGATAGTTGCAAGCTTCTATTTTGATCCCCTGATAATCTCGATAGATTGACAAATTGCAATATCAATTGTTCAGCTTTCTTTTTCTCTCTCACTCTCTCCCCCCCGCCAGCAATGGGGGTACCTCCAGCCTGGCATGTGTGCCAAATTTACACACAAGGCCATTTTCCCTAGCCCCCCTTTAGGTCACTGCAGGAACCATGGTGCAGACACTATCCATCAGCTGATGAGTGGTGACTTCAAGCCTGCTACACTGGCTCTGTGACTTGAGTTCTGCTGGAGAACTTGGTTGTATAGCCTGTCTCTGCAAAAAGTAGTTTTGCCAGTTTATGTTCAGCACATGGGAAGCACTAGACAGAGGGCTTACATAGAACTCTGCACAGAGCTTCCAAAACACAGAGCATAGGACTAGTATAAATGCAAGTTTAAGGACCTTTGTCCCACCCACCTGTCAATCATCTGACATCATAATGGCAATTGGGTCTTTGACCGTAATAAAATTATGATGATTGATATGTGAGTTATCCTATCCACGTGTCCAGGTTTGCTTGTGCGTGGTGGGAACAGATAAGGATCTGACCTACTGGGTAAAAAAGGTTTCCCACCCCTGCCCTAGTCAGTTCTTTTCATGTCCCACTCTAAGGCAGGAATTGACAAGTTGCCAAATTTGCCACACAAAGGAAAACTATTTTTTTTCTTAGACAGTAGTGTGCATTTGGATTTTGCATAGCAACTGCCCTGAGTGAAGTGTACTCAGAGGAAATATTCATAGGATAATATGCACATTAATACTTGTTTGATGGTTAATCAAGCAAACAGGATAGTAAAAATTAGACTTTAGTTAGCCACACCTGCAGAACTTTATAATTTGCATATAACAAAGGGATAGATTCCAGACTTTTCCACAGAACTGGCTTTGCAGTATCTCTTGCAGTACAGCTCAATAATAATTGGAATGGTTTAAGGTATTTGTTGACAAAAATGTGTTAGTAGCTTTCATAAAACGTTTTCAAAATTCATTTTATTTAAAAACTGTAAGTGAAACTGTCCCTTACTTTCTTCTTATAAAGTCAAACAAATGTCCTAGAGTCCAGCATGCTGCCATTGTTGGAAAACAACCAGCTCCTTGATGAAGCAAGTCCCCAAGCTTTGGAGCCATTAGGAACAGATGCTGAATGTATGTATATTTGAATAATCAAGTAAATTTTCAAATGATCAAACAGACAAGGAAAATAATATTGAAAAGCTTGAAGTTATGTGACTTGATTCTCACTGTGTGCCTTTGATGCATGTGTGCTAAAATCTTCTTAGCCTGGTATATTTACTTTTATGTTAATATAGTAACTTCTGAACTATTCAAGATCCCATTTTTTATTAAATGAAATGTTTAATTATAAGTATATAGCCCAAAAACATTTCCTCTACTTATTAAGATCTGTGCTTCACATTCTGCAGTGCTGTTGTGTAATTTGGTATACTCTACAGTAGGGGAAGTGATACGCCTCCAAATCCTGTACAAACTTAAAATTTGGCTGTAATTGGAAATCTGGATATGCTTTTATTTTATTTAAAAAGGACTTAGGAGTCATTCTAAGCTATTAAATTAACTTTGGACTAAAGCACTGCTGTCTTATAAGCCAATTAAAATTGCAGATTGGGATGACTTTTTAGCATATGATACATTTTCGCAAAAGACTAACATCTTTTTTTTAAAAAAAATGGGGATATGCTGGATGATCTCAGACATTGCAAAAGCTGTAACTGGTGACGTGTTTTTCCTTTGGATTAGGAGGCCCAATTGTGCTAACAATTATTCATTGATTTTAAATGCACTAATTGTTTATTTAATGGGAGAACAAATCCAACTGCAAACTTCTGTTGTACATTGGTAGCTTCGTATCGCTGGCTGAGAGGCACAGTAGCTCAGAAAAACCTCAGTTTTTCTGATTCTGCAAAGCAGAAGTGAGCAGAGGTCCAGACAGTTCCTTAAATATTATTGGTCTTATAACTGAAAAGTTTTAATGTGAAACAATAAAATAAGAAAAGTAATGAGATGACAATCCTTTTTCAGCTGTCATAAGTATTCCTGATAGTGAAGACATTGTCAGTGTTCATTCCAAAAATGAACTTGAAGAAAGAGAAGCATTAGATGAAGATGGGTCAAAAGAAGCTGAGAGCGAAGAAAATATAGCAGTCCTGCAAGAGAAAACACCACTTAATATTGAACCTGCAAGTCAAGAAGTAAATGTAAGGGCTTCATTTAGCACTTTGGAACTTTCTTTGAAATCTGTTTGGAATTATTGGTTTGCCAGTGTAAATACCTTGGATATTTGTAAACTTTCACATGTGGGACAGCGCTTAAGGAAGCAGCTGCAGGAGAAGACAGTTTTTGTCCCAGAGCACCCACAGATGCAGATACTGCTTCCCAGGGACCATTTATTTGCATGCATGCAACTGCTGAAAAACCAATTCCATGTGGCTGTGTTCCTAGAGCTGTACTGTGTGGAGCAGTGTACAAATAGCTGAGTACAATAGCTAACTTTAAACCATTTGAATATTCCTCTAAAATTGGAAGAACTCTTTTCATTCATTAAATTTATTGAAATATGTGTATTGGAATTAAATTTATATACTTTTTGATTTTAGCTTGTTGGTGATGGAACACGTGAAGTACACATCTCAGAAGCTGTAGTTGAGGCACTTCCGTACAATGAGCTATGTCCTTCAAGCAGTCTGAAATATCAGTACAGCAGTGATGCTATGGCGCAGCAAGTCACATGTGACGTACTCAAGAAAGATGCTGGTGAATCTGACTTTACTGGAGGAGATGGAGATCTGCTGATGTCCCAAAACAATTTTACGTTACTATTAGAAGGGGATGAAGAAGCTGAGATAGGAGATTCTAGTGCATTGCATACTTCCCCTCTTAAATCAGCCAGCGAGTTAGAGGGTGCCTGTGTAAATAGTGCTGGAAGTAACAACCCAGAATTCATCACAAATACGGTGTCTACTGTAACTAGTGATCAGATATCACAGAATACTGCTGAGGTGTTGCCTTATGTACCTGAACCTATTCAGATGGCTATTGCTGAGAACCTATTGGATGTAATCAAAGACACAAGAAGTAAAGAATTTTCAAGTGAGGTTGTGGACCAGTCTTTTCATGAAAGCATAAGTAAGAAGGTATTAAGTTCACCACAGGCACCTCTGCAAAATGTTACCGAAATAAGTAAAGATGTAAAATTGAGTCAAGTTGAAGATTCAGTGATGTCTAGCACCAGCACTGTGGAACAGATGGCACAAAATGTAAATGACCCAGTACCTGATGGTCAGCCATTGGGACAGATGGATAAACCAGATCTGCTACTACCACCAACTCCAAGGAGAAGTGCTAGACGGGCAAAAGAAACATTGAACATTCCCGAAAGCCTTCCCCTTGGTTCTGAACAAGAACCTCAAGAAAAACAGATAACACAGGTTCCTGCTTTCCCAGGCTTAGATACTAAGGAAACAAAGGAGTGTGACTTAGAAATATCAACAAATGTTCATCCCATCACACAGGAGTTTCAGGCAACCATTGCTACAAGAAGAGGGGTTAGAAAACCAAAAGAGCTTGCATCAGAGCTTCATAAGCATCCAAGTGAACAGCTACCTTCTGCTCGCAGAAGGACTCCTAGAAGCACAAGAAGTTTAGTAGGGGATCAAGAAGGTAGTCAGTTTATCATTGACCATACAATTCAGATGATGGTAAATCCTAAAAGTGCAAGAAAACTGAAAAGCATTGCTTTCCACCTGGCAGAGAACGTGATTTCAGATCAGGAGGTAGAACCTCGTGAAGAGCAGCTGAGTACAAAACCAAGAAGAGGAAGGCCAAGAAAGCATGGTGAACTGAAAGTGATGGCCCAGTCAGAAACTGCAGCTGGGAAGCTGCCATTACCATCACCAGTTAGAAGGGGCAGACATAGAAAGTCAAGTCTACCAGAAGCCATTTCTGAACATGACATACAGCCAAGTAAACCACAGCTACCTGTATCAACTGAGCAGGAGAGGGCGCGAAGCACAAGTATATCAGAAATTGTTTCTGATCAAGAGACTGGGCTTATTAAACAGTTGCCTGTGCGACGAAGAGGCAGACCAAGAAAGAATCCTTTGAATGTGTCAGCAGATTTGGGACTGGAGTTGTCTCTGTTGTCTCCTCCCCCAACACCTAGTCAATCTTTTGTCACTCCTAGAAGAAATACTAGGAGAGGATCTGTTCAAGAAAAGACTCCAGTCGACACCACAAAGAGGAAATCTGCAAGAATTGCATCCGTAAGAATAGAAAAAACAAATACAAGTATAGAGAAAATGGATGCAGACAAATATGTTCTAGAAGAACATTCTGTACAACCAAGTGAGGCAGAGACTTTAGCAAGGAGTTCTAAAAAGAGGCAGTCCAAGATGACGGCAATCAGAAAGAGAAGCCAGTTACCATCTCTTTCTGAGGAAGGTACGGAGGAGGAGGAACACTTGCCGCAAGCAGCTGAGATTGCAGTAGGATTGCATTCCACAGACATGACCAAACAAAGGCTTAGTGAAACAGGGAAAACTTTGGCACATCGTGGTACTCTTGTGAAAAGGACCAGATACAGCAGAAAGAGTACGAAACAGAGTCCCACCCTGGATACAAATGAGACATTCTGTTTTTCACCTCCTCTTACCAAACTGACAGAAAAATCTAAAGGTACTTGAAATGTTGCCTTCGGCTGTGTAAGGCTTTTTTGCTTATTTAAAATTGCTTACTATGCATGAATTCCATTGAGGGTAAAACAAAACCGGAGCAGGATAAATACTGGGGATTTTTCTTAAAGCAAGACTGCCTATAACCCTGCCCACATTACTGCACGATATCAGTATGCCATCTACTGGGTATGGAGCCTCTACCCCATGGACCTAATTAGGCCTGCTGGGCTCACCAGGCCGTTTTAATCAACCCTCACAAACCTGACATTGGCACATATATAGGAATTGTGTACCCAAAAGTTTCACCCAGTTGTGACTTCTATGTATTGCCTCATCCATTACAAAAAGACCCAGTTCATGTGCCGGGGAGGCATTAGGATTCATCTGTTCTGTAAAATGTGAAGAGAGCCTTAGAATGAGCTGACTTTCTGCAACAAAACATTCCAAGGTCATAGACCACAATTAGTGCAATAGGGTGTGGAGCAGCCCTCCATAAGACATTAGTTTTTACTTTGCCTTGTCCATTTGCAGTCAGCTGGTACACTACTGCTGTAATGACAGCACTGCAGCTTAACTGTCCATTCACTTTAAATCAGGGAGGGCCAGAAACTTATCTCCCCATTAGTCCCAGACCAAATTTGCTAGGTGGGTGAGACTGTCAATCATCTGATGTCACTATTTTGCCAGGTGATCCTTTGAAGCAGGAGGGTCAAAGAGGAGCATGGGGCTGCTTGCCAAAGGACTTTCAAATATCACTGCTCCAGTTTTTAGAAGTTCAAGAAGCATTGCTGAGAGGGAGAAGCAGGTTCAATGAAAACTGCTTCCCTCTCTAGAGCAAGGTGCAACTGATGGATGGCGGAAGCGTGCCTTGCTTAGCAAAGAAACAGTTAGAGCTCACTTTAAGTTCCTGATTGTTCCTTTACCCGTTGTGTGCCTGACATTATGTATGACAGCTGGTTAAGGGAGGTTGGGCGTGGCTCTCCCAAAATGGCCTGGTGGGCCAAGTATGGCCCATGGGCCAGAGGTTTCCCACACCTGCTTTAAATGAAGACCCCACCTCTTTAAATGGAGACCTGCTTCCATCTCCCCTAATGCCCCAGCTATTCTCAGAAAAAGGGTAGGAGCAAAGCTGTGCTTTATGACATGTTGGCTACCATGGCGTACAAGGTTTGAAGGGTCTTTGTGTAACAAAGCCATGCCAGGTGTTCTAAGAAGCTTAAACAAAGAGTAGTTAAATTGTGGGTATATGGAAAGCTGCTCTGCACCCTGCTTTCCGCTTATTCAGGATTGCAGATAGAGTTGCATGCCTGGAATGCTTAGTTTCAAGTTCAAAAATAAACGCATGCTTTCTGATTCTAGGTGAGAAAGCAGTGACGCCTGTGCTACTCAAAGATTTCAAGGCAGACTTGACTTCTCAGTTTGTCTTCTCGCCCCCTGCTTTGAGATCTAGGAAGAAAAAAGTGTCCAGTATTTCAAGGATTGTGGAAGAGTTGGTAAGTAAAACCTTTGATCCCTTCTCCAAAGATCTGAAGAGAACAAGCCAGCAAATTTCTAGTGAAAGAGCCAGATTCTCCCTTCTGACATGATGTAATGATTGGGAGATCAAGCTTTCCACATGTTTATAATTGCAATGGACCTTTTCAACACCTTTTGCAGCTTGCTAGAACCAGCTTGAGGTGTTGCTTCTTGGGTGTCCAGGGCACTTAATTGGTTTTATTGGTTTTTACTGTTTTTTAAAGTGATTAATTTTATTTAAGTTTTAAAATGTAATGGAAAAACTGTGGTTCTCCACGATCATGCTGGCTGGGCTGATGGAACAACAACAATTGGAGGGCAACTCAAATGACAAGCGAAAACAATATACACATCACCCCTTTGCTATACAGCAAATGACAAATGGTTTCAAAGATTAAAAGATGCCAGCTTTTGCAATATTTAACACACTTAAAGCAAGCTTTCAGGTTCATTGTATAGCATTTGAAGAACTGCTGACAGCAAGCAACACAGGGCAGTTATGTTGCTTTTTTTATCTTTATTTGTCAATATGAGTAATTACATGGAAAAGCAAGGAGTTTGTATTGATAAATTGGATTATCCAATTTAAGACTGGAAGCCATATATCATTATGGAACCAATGGTCTCTATCCAGCTTGTCTGTGTGGAAGGTCCATACATAAAGGAAAGGAAGCTGGTTTATGAGTGATGGGAGAGGCAAGAAAGATGGGAATAGATTTTGAGTGTGAATGTTTTAAATTACTACTGTATAGCACTGGTTTAACAGTGTCACTACTAATGCCTACGTGTTTGTATGTGGGCAATAAATTTAAAAAGTAAATAAAAAGGAGATGTCAGAGAAACAGTTTCACTTTGTGCAAGTTTACCACTCTACATTTGTCCTTTAGGAATTACCAGTTAAAGAGGAGAAGGATGCAGTCTCAATAGAAACTTCAGAGAAGCCGAAAGTAAAGAGAAGCAGAGCTACAAGGTCAAAAGCAAAAAAAGCAAGCAAGTATGGGATGATTCTATATATCCCCCCCGCAAAAAAAACACCTTGTTATTTCAAAACCAGTCATGTGCAGAAATTATCACAGTAATGCATTTGGCATTTGGTATCGTAATAAAAAAAAACATTAATTTGGTCTTCTGTGGCCTTTCAAATCTTGCCAGACTCCCAACTTCCACTATCTTGGCCATGTTGGCTGGAGGTGATTGGAGTAGGGGTCAACAACATCTAAAGGTGCCTCTGTTCTGTTGCCCTAAAGCATAAGAAATACTTTATACCAAGTCAGGCCATCAGTTCATCTAGTTCAATATTGACTGTAACAGCAATCTAGGTTTCAAACAGGACATTTTTTCCTTATGTGGAGATGCTCAGGATTGAACATGGGACCATTTGCATGTACAGTTGTACCTCGTTTTGAGTCCGCCCTGTTTAGGGTCCATTTCATCGAATGTCCGTAGCCAACCCAGAAGTACCGGAACGGGTTACTTCCGGGTTTGTTGCTCATGCATGCGCAGAAGCGCTAAATCTCGCTTCACGTATGTGCAGAGCAGTGCTTTGTCAGGCATCCCTTTCGTTGAGCTTCCGGGACTCCAGAACGGATCCCAGACGCAAAAGGAGGTACAACTATACTCTATTATTCTCAGTAGTGGCGCCCACCCTGTGGAATGCCCTCCCGCCAGATGTCAAGGAAATAAACAACTATCTACTTTTAAAAGACATTTGAAGGCAGCCCTGGTCAGGGAAGTTTTTAATGTTTGATGTTTTGTGTTTTTAATATGCTGTTGGAAGCCGCCCAGAGTGGCTGGGGAGGCCCGGCCAGATGTGCGGGATATAAGAATTAATTAATTAATTAATTACGACTGAGCCTACAGCTAATTATTCAGTCTTCATTCATCTGAACAGAAACATAACTTGTCAGTGTAACCTCTCATTCCTCTTCCTTGCAGAGTCCTAGAGAAAGATAGCAGTTGGTCAACGCCACACATGGAAATTCAATTCATTTCTCCTTTTGGCACGCCAGTAGATGGAGCAAAAAGCAAACAGAAGGAGTCTGTGGATAAAGCAGAAAAGACTGTTCGTAAGACTCTTCATAGGAACGAGAGAATAACTAGCTTTCCAAAGCCAATTGTTCAGAAGAAGAGGCTATAACTGTTTTTAAATATGTGTATTGTACACCAATGCTTGTAAAGTCATCATTGTGTGGGATATTAAGAAAAAATCATTAATTTGGAAGATAATTTATATAAATTATTGTAAAATTTCAGAAAACTAAAGGTCTTCAATAAGTAACTCCGTATGGAGTGTGATTTCTTCAGTCAATGCAGGTTTTCTATTTTATAAGACTTCATACATTTATATAATATGTAAATAATCTTATTTTAGGAATGTTAAATAAAAATGTATACATAACAGCGATTATTGTCCACTAGATTTTTGAGAGAGAGAGAAAGAATAAAAGAGGTGTGTGGTGCAAAGAAATTAAAGAGGATTTTAATGATGGCTTGTCACTGTTGGTGCTTCTCTAATGGGAGGCTACTCTTTTTTAACAGTTTGATCTTGCAATGTTTTTGAAAATTAAAATTTGGCAGTTTTAGAATTTATAGAAAATGTTTTGACCTTTTGGGAATTGGTAAAAGGGGTTATCCATTGCATACAAGTTCCTTACTCCTGGTTGAACATGTACCTTATTGAAGTCGGAATGTAAACAATTGTATTGAAGCTGTGCAATATTTTTTTGTATTTGTCTTAACTTGGGAAAGCTGCTCTTCAGTTTATAAAACAAAATCTCACCTCAGATGTTTCATTGTTCTTTCAATTTGCTGCATCAGCAGGAGTCTCTAACATTAGAAATATTTATATGTTCGCATTTACTCACCATGGGACTCAACACTTTCAGGGATTTCACCTCCTTAAATTTGCCCCCAAATTTGATATTTTGAAATGATGCATGTTTTATAGACTTTGTGGTTACTAGAGAAATGCTACCACAATTTTGGTAAAATAAAATGGTCTGGAAATATACATTCTCCTGTAGTGTTTGACCTATATCACTGCAGCACAGAGAAAGTGGAGTCAGGCTGAATCAGATTTGTGGTTCAAATTGAGAGAGAAGCTGAAAGAGGCAAGTACTTTAAATGAAGTTTCACTAAGGATGCCCAATATTCAGTTGCCTCTTTTAGAAACGGTACACACTGCTGGCAAATGTGACCTTCTGGAGTTCCTCTTAGACATAATGTATCAGGTAACATTCAGGTAATGAGTGGACACATAAATAATTGAGGAACAAAGCAGCAGCTGTATTAGGATCCACTCTACCCTTTTCTTTTTCCAAAACAAGGTCCTAAAGAGAAAACTTGAGCGATGCACTCTGTTTTCTTTCTGAATTCCTTGGAAGAGTTCAAGCGGCAGAAGCATGCCCGGTTCGGACAGTGTGAAAGTGGCAGTACGCGTAAGACCTTTCAGTAAGGTTAGTCACTTATTTTGTCTTCACTGAAACTATCAGGCCTAAGATCACAATGGGGCAGCAGAGTGGTTGGTGATGGGAGAGGCTGGGGACTATATTTCAGAAAGGAGGAGGAAGTGTCACTTCGTAAGGTGAAGAAGGAGCCCTTCCGGTAATGGTGGCACCTTTTAGAGGACAAAACATCTGCTATGGAGGGGGTGAAGAGAGGGGAGAGTGATGCTTGGAGCAGCTGCCCTGCTGCCAGTCCTTCATACACACTCCTGTAAGTCTTTCATGTAGCAAATCAGGCTTGGATCACGGTATGCCTTTCTCTGGGTGTGGTAGGCATGTCTGGCTAGTTCAGGCAGGTTTGTGAAAATGTCTCTTCGTATGCATGTTAGGCCTTGATAGGTCCTTAAGGTTTCCTATAAAAGTAAGAATCTAGCTGAGGTTGCTTTTCTTACCTTACTGTAACAGTAACAGGAGAAGGAACCTTTTTAGAGTTAGGCTGGATCTACACTGATACATAAAAATGCTGTAAAAAAGAAAAGTAGTATAGCTCTCTTTGCAGTTTCCCATTGCTGGCGAATCGCTGCTCTGCAGTGCCTTCTGGTGTCACATTTTTTATTATGCATTTTTAACTAACCAGTGTAGATTCGCCCTTGGTCTTGGAAACTCTTATAGCGTAGTCCCTTGATTCCAAAATTTTCCTGAGGACCCTGAACTCTCCTCTGCCTTTGTGTGTTTGATTTGTTTTAAAGCCAGTTTAATATTTGCAAGAGGCTGCTGTTACTGCATGGACTGGGTGGGTGGGGGTGGGGTAACATGACTTTTTGGTCCACAGTTAATGGATCCATTTGGCCCTAGGCCTGATAGTCGTCCACTTCATTCTGCCAGGGCTTCTGTGCTTTCTTAAATGTGTATGACAAGCAAGTGTGTAAACAGCTGCAGCTTTTCCCAGTCTGCACCTGTTGTGCACCTGTCAGTCATGCAGCTTTTCAACAGGACAAAGCCAGGCTTTCTAAAACATGGGTAGGCAAACTAAGGCTCTAATTGCCTCCTAAATCTGGCCTGCGGACAGTCCAGGAATCGGCGTGTTTTTACATGAGTAGAATGTGCCCTTTTATTTAAAATGCATCTCTGGGTTATTTGTGGGGCATAGGAATTTGATTATTCCTCCCCCCCCAATATAGTCCGGCCCCCCACAAGGTCTGAGGGACAGTGGACTGGCCCCCTTTTGAAAAAGTTCGTTGACCCCTAAAAGCTTGTCTCAGCTGTCCGGAGTGAGGTAAACAAACATGGATATTGCCTGGGGGTGGGGCGGGTGGAAGCTGGAAAGAGATGTCTCTGCTGCTGCCAAGCCAATAATCCCTAAACAAAACAACCCTCACAGTCGGTTTCCTCACTTCAGCTGATAGCATGCATAGTACTGAACCTCTTCAGTTTCCTAGAGCAATTCAGTCTCCTAAAGGTTTGAAAAGAGAAGCGAGGCAAATGTGACTCACTAATGGAGATACTTCCAGACTGAATACAGATATGAATCTGTCTTGAGGCATTCTGACCAAGGCTAAGTAAGCATATGAGGGGCAAGAGGGTATGCATGAGCACACTAGCCCTTCCCTACAAAGCCTGGGCAGCTGTTAGCCAGTGTAGACAATGCTGCGTTTAGATGGACCCAATGGTAAGACATCACTTCCTGTGAGCCAGTGTGGTGTAGTGGTTAAGAGCGGTAGTCTCGTAATCTGGTGAACTGGGTTCGATTCCCTGCTCCTCCACATGCAGCTGTTGGGTGACCTTGGGCTAGTCACACTTCTCTGAAGTCTCTCAGCCCCACTCACCTCACAAAGTGTTTGTTGTGGGGGAGGAAGGGAAAGGAGATTGTTAGCTGCTTTGAGACTGCTTAGGGTAGTGATAAAGCAGGATATCAAATCCAAATTCTTCTTCTATATTCCTACCCGTTGCCCACCATCTGTTCAAAGTGACTGTCGGCATGTGGCCTCCAGGAGGCTTGTCCGAGAGTGAATTCAGACCTCTGATCCAAGAAACGTTAGCCACTCTTGCAGTGCAACACTTCTACTTTCTCTGCTTTGCATCAGCTTGAATTAATCTTGACTCCCATCAGCAACCAAATCTGGAAGCAGCTTTTCACATGAGGCAAAGATCCCAAGGTCTTTTCCGGCAGAAATGTCCTTACTGATACCACCAAAGCATTTCATAATTAACTCTGAATGTCCAAAATCCATTCTTTACTGTTTCTTCCAAGCCTGTGCTCATACATGCTTCTACTCTCCTGGCATGATTACTTTTAAGTTTTAAGCCTTATTCTGAACTCCTGAATAGGTCTCATAAGGATGTGATGGTGTGTGTTTCCCTCCCCACCCCACAACATTTTAATGCAGGCTTTAAGCTTGAACTTCCTCTAAATTGCTCATTTTTTTAGCAGCACTTAAAAGATCGTGAGTATAAGAAACAATCATAATTGCTGCTGAAACTTGCATTTTTAAGCATGCATAGATCTTATTACAGTCAGTATAGCTAACTTCTAAGTAAATTTGTTTGAAGATTGGAACCTAAATGTGATGCGTTTCATTTTTGGATGGTTTAGCATGTGAAGATTTTTTTGCCCTCAATCTTCTTTGGGAAACCATCTAAACCCCCTCTCTGACAACTGCGCAGTTGGTAGAGCTTGAGACTCAGGCTTGTGGGCAAAAGATTCTGGCATTGCAGGGGATTGGACTAGATAACCCTCTTGGTCCCTTCCAACTCTGCAATTCTATGATCCCATTATTATGGGAGGTTTGGACAGAGGCATCCCACTGCCTTGCCCTGCTGGCCTCTGATGTGAAAGTATTCTGATGGCACAGAGCTCTTCGTTCTGTCCACAGGTAGAAATAATGCCAGCAGGGAGCTCTGAAACCGGGCATTCTAGAGGTGAGGGGCTGAGTTGGGCCCACTGTCATCACTTGATGTCATCAGGCCCAATTGCTGTGCTAGCTCCAGGTTGGAGCACCCCACTGCCTTCGTACCAGAGTGAGCAGCAAAGATGCAATGGCAGCCCCATTGCTGCCCAACTGGGTTTTGGATTGTAGTGTTGCAGGGCCCTTTGGTGTATTTATGTGGATAGTGATGGGAGGTACTGCGTTATATGAATATCTAACACTTTCAAAGAACTCTGGTAGTGTGTGATACATTATAAATGGCCATTTGAAATGTGCAGCATAGATGAAATGTTGAATAAGACCCTGTCTGTACTATACATTTAAAGCAGTATCATGCCACATTAAACAAGCACGGCTTCCCCCAGACAATCCTGGGAACAGTAGTTTAAAATGCTGAGAGTTGTTAGAAGACCCTTATTTTCCCCACAAAGCTACAATTCTCAGCTCAATGAAAATAGGGATTAATTGTTGAACCACTCTTGAGAGTGAATTTTAATTTTTAAATATTAATATGAATTTTTAAATTTCAATAGAGAGAGAAGAATGCAGGCAGCAGATGTGTGATTTCTATGAATTGCAGCACTACAAGCATACATGATCCCAGGAATCCGAGCCATGTAAAAACGTTTACCTTTGACCTGGCGTATTGGTCACACAATGGATTTTTAAAGGACCAAGATGGCAAGCTAATTTCAGCTGGGCCAAACAGCAAATATGCAGGACAGGTAAAATGCATTTCATACAGTGATTTATTCTTTCGCAGTGCAATGCTAAAAGCATAACTACTCATTCTGCACTAGGACCAGTTCACAAGGTGGTAAAGCAGAGGTTGGATTCAGTAAGAAAACTAAAGTTCTGAATTTAAAAACCCAGTTCCTTTGCCTAGATTTTCACATCTGCACTTGGGTTGCATGTTTACAACTGTCATTGCTCTGAGCACAGTGTTAGAGCACCTTATTGTTGAACTTTTTGGAGTATCTGATATGGTCAGGGCACCAAGACCAACCTATCCATACCTGCAGTGCTTCATGATATCCAAGGGGCTGCTGCCAAAAGAAGCAAAATGTCCTTCCCAGTGTGTGCAATACACACACATTGGCACCTATTCTGGTACTGAGGACTATTTTCCTCACATTTCTGTTTCAAATATTTTACTGATTTTCAAGGAAAACACAAACATAAGCATTATCAAAATAATTTGTTCCCCCTTCCTTCCCCTCCCCTCCCTCCAGAACAGAAGACTAATGCATCAAATGTTCTCTTAAGTCTATGTGTGCAGTCGGTGGGTACCAGCGATCAGGGTGTTCATTTGAATATTTTATAAAGGAGTGCCTTTTTAAAAAATAATCCATATCAGATATATCATTCAGGGCTTGTACTCTATTAGCTACGGTAGTTTCTCAGATAAAACAATTGCCTGTTTCCATTGTGTCCTTTCCAGTTTTTTGCAACTACCAGAAGAAAGGTGATAAGTTCTTTGTGTAATAGGTTATGTTGAAGATTGCTAATAAACCTAGGCATGGATTACATTGTATATTCTGGTTTGTGATTTTACTTATTTCTGTGAATACCTTTCCCAAAATAGTTGCACTAACTCACATGCACATGAAAAGTCGTACCGGTTACCTTGCACCCTTTTTTCTTACATTTCTGAGCCTGCATATTAAGGCAGCACTGGAGTAGGCAAGTAAGATTCTATGTAGATGTGCACTAGACACTTTATTTGTGTGTTGTTATAAATCTTACTTGGATTTATTTATTTTTTAAACCCCATTATAGAAGGAAGTTTTTCGTGACCTTGGGCAGGGAGTTCTAGACAGCGCATGGCAAGGTTACAATGCTACCCTCTTGGCTTATGGTCAGACTGGTTCAGGGAAGAGCTATTCCATGATTGGATATGGTGCAAACAGAGGCATAATCCCAGTGGTCTGTGAAGAGCTCTTTAAAACAATTCAAAACCAAGAGCAGAACAAGCAATATCAGGTTTGTTCAAGTTGTATAAAAGTTTGTAAATGCCAGCATTGCTGGATGCCTAAAACATATTCTATATCTGGGCAATATTAATTGCAGTTTTTGTGTTTCAGGGGTGTATATATGTAAACCTAAACATATTATGCCATGGTGCTGAAGGATGATACAGATTAGGCCCTAAAAGTAGTGATTCTGAGTAGCTAAACCCATAGAGATTAATCACATAAAGATTCTAGTGACAAAAAAGTCATAATTTCTATTATGGGTGTGTGTATGAAATCCGCAGCCCCAGAGTTGGCCACGACTGGACCTAATGGTCAGGGGTCCCTTTGCCTTTGTATGAAATCACAAAGTTATAAGATGTATTAGTTTGTTGTTGAGAGTTGATCTTTCTTTAAAAAAATCAGTTTAAAAGGCAGCTTTTCAAGCTGTTGGAGTCTCAAGAGTGTGAATAAAATGCAATAAGGAAGAGAGAAACTGGGTGTGGAGGGAGTTGAAAAAACCACTATAGCTGAGTAGGCTCAGTGCACTCAATGCAGACTGACATATGAAATTGCTGAATTTTGCTAAATTGATTTTTCAACTGTTCATAGTAGAAACGGTGATTTTTTGTATTTCGCTGTTCAATCTGCAGGTTACATTTAGCATGCTGGAAATTTACAATGAACAGGTAATTGCAGTGAATGACACTATTTCGTTCTTTTATTTTTCTGTGTTTCTCCCCTAGAACCTATACAAGAAAGGATGTTTTCTAATAACAGAGAACTTGAAATTTGTTCAGAAAGATGTTAGTATTTCAAAAATAAACCCAGTCATTTACACCCAGGTCATGTGACACTGCACCAATCTTGCATATTCAAAATTGGACAGGGTAATAATAATAATAATAATAATAATAATAATAATAATAATAATTTCATGCAGAAGCAGGTTTTGGCGAGGGGAGGGAAAACACCTGTATTAAGTAGCCTACCTTCAATGTTGTGTGAGCCAATACCACTGTAGTCTCATATTTAGAGAAGTAATGCCAGACTAATAGCACTTTGGGTGAGAGGTGAGAAACCATTTCTATACTAAACTGCCGGATTCTCATTCTTCAAGTATTGCTGCTTCCACAGGCTTGTATATGCAACCAAAATATTCCCTCCTTTAATCTACAAGCTCCAAGTTCCTACAAGTGTGATAGCTATTATTGGGAATGTTATTATTAAAAATATGTATATTGTAAATGTTCTGTACAGTTTTGGAAGCATGTGGGGAGAATCATGTGTACACAGTGTACATGCACAAACATTGTACAGTGGTACCTCTGGATGTGAACGGGATCCGTTCTGGAGCCCTGTTCGCATCCTGAAGCGAACGCAACCCGCATCCGTGGGTCACGATTCGCCGCTTCTGCGCATGCGCGTGACGTCATTTTGAGTGTCTGTGCATGCGCGAGTGGCAAAACCCGGAAGTAACGTGCTCCGTTACTTCCGGGTTGCCACAGAGCGCAACCCAAAAATGCTTAACCTGAAGCTACTTCAACCCGAGGTATGACTGTATTTATTTCTCATGTATATGCACATGTTTACTTCAGATCATGTGACTCCTTGAGAGTATCCATATTTCCTGCCAACTTGTCAGTTCTACAGAGTTGCAATTGTTTTATAAACCATGAAATGGGCCTGTGTTCTAGCTACATGTACCAAGGGTGCAATTATTTTTGTCCATGAATGAGATTATTTGATGTGTTTTTGTGGCATTACTGCAAGTATTTTTAAAAAATACTTCTGAAATATACTGTTCTTTGGCCAATTAATCCTAAATATATACACAAGTGTGTGTGTGTGTGTGTGTGTGTGTGTGTGTGTGTGTGTGTACTGTATTTTTTGCACCATAACACTCACTTTTTTCCTCCTAAAAAGTAAGGGAAAATGTCTGTGCGTGTTATGGAGGGAATGCCTACGGGTGGCATGCCTACGGATTTTCCTCCTCTAAAAACTACGTGCGTGTTATGGTTGGGTGCGTGTTATAGAGCGAAAAATACGGTATATAATCTTGTTAGGATCTCCCCTTCTTTTCAGTAAAAAAATACTCTAATAAGACACTTTTGTTTGCAATCCAAGGTTATAGACTTGCTCTCTAAAATAAAGAAGCGGGGTGGGCTCAAGTTACGAGAAGATCAACAGCAAGGCTTCTATGTGGATGGCTTGAAACTGGTGCCCTGTGACAGTTATGCACAAATTGAGAGGTTAATGGAACAAGGTACCAAAATAAGAACCACTGCTTCAACCAGCATGAATGCCACCAGCAGTCGTTCTCACATGGTCATCACCATTCAGTTCAAACAGGTATGTACAAAACACTTTAGGTGTGGCCAAATGTAAGTAGAGAGTTAGATCTTAAAGCATTGGATTCCTTGTGAGGTTTGTGCTATTTCCATGGATATATTGTAGACCATCAAAACAAAGGACTACTTTAATAGGTCGTGCATAGTGATCCTGTGGCAAGAGTGGTACATGTAAGAGTTTCTAGTACATGTGGACAAGACCTGAGAGTTGAGCTGCTATCTGGTATTTCGTGGACTTGGCTTGTGGCGCACCATTGTCAAAATCATTGGCTTGGATGTTAAGCAATAACATTAAGCAGGCCCCTGCCATGGTTGACAAGAGAGGGGAAAATGACTTGGGGGAAGAGGGATTCTAGAACCACTAAACAGTTTGCAACATCTTTTGTGTTAGGTTTGCAATTTGAAGAACTGGTTTTGCATATTTTGAAATCTGGGATACTACTTATTTTGTTTTGAGCCAACAGAGTTTTGCTTTGATTGGTTAGAGCCCTATCAACTTGTGAAGCATGTACTATAGTTGGATGTGCTGAGTCCAGTAGTAATGTCTCCTCTGCAAATGCTGGTTGAGAGGAGGAGAACTTAAAAGGCTTGCACTGATGAAGTTCCCCTTCTCTCCTTTCCCCAATGCTGCTTCTTGTAGATTTTTCTTAGAGAAGACATCACTAAGCAATCCATTATAAATCTGGTAGACTTGGCTGGAAGTGAAAGACAAAAATCATCAGGATCCGAAGGAGACAGGCTGAGGGAAGGGTCACGTGTAAATCTAAGTTTGACCACCTTAGGAAATGTTATCAGGTACAAAATAGATTTTGTGAAGTGACCTAACCATCCCTTTGGTATTGCATGAATAGTAACTTTCAATTATATGATAAGCATCTTAGAGCAAGCACCAGTATTTTTGCTCATTAGTCTTTAAAGCACCAGGTACATAATATATTTTTTAAAAAATCCTTATAGTTAATATATATACGACGCTTCCAGTCTTAGAAATCCAAACTTAGAAACTTCCCTGAGTAGTACGCCCTTATTTCAGAAATAAGAGAATCTCACTTTTCTGTTAACTTCCTTTAAGGGATGTTGTTGACAAACATTTTAATGTATTATTTGGGATATTAAACTTTTTAAATACTGCCACTTTTTTTTTTAGCATTTCCTGAACATCAGCCCACATCCCATCTAGTGACCTTAAATGACTAATTCTCATATGTAACAGTAACAAATAGAAATTCTTGTGCTCTTTAGCTTTGCAACATATTCAGAGAATATGGTATTCAGATATATGATTTATTTATTTTAAAGAAATAAATCTCCTGTTCACCCTCTTTCCCTTCTATCATTTATTGTTCTTCTAGTGCCCTGGCTGAGGCTGCTGTAGGGAAGAAAGTATTGCACGTCCCATATAGAGATTCAGTTCTTACAAAACTCTTGCAATCTGCTTTGGGAGGAAACAGCAGAACTATTATGGTAAAGCTATTTTTTGGGTAAATTTGGTAAATTATAGCAATTTTCTCCACTAGAAGATGAAAATGTGTAGTTTCTTGTTCTGTAAACACATTTGAGACAGTGTACATAATTATGTGTTCTTTGCTGTTTGGGTGCAGTAAAAAGGACTGAAAAAAATCTGATACACTGGCTGCTTGGGAGTTGGATGCTGATTACATCACCTAGGAATGAGAAATATTTCCCCAGCTCTGGCTACTGAACTGTATTTGCATATCTTATCCTCCCCCATCCCCAATTTCAATCACTGAGATATTTAGAATTTCACAGCCAGATTCTCTTAAGCCGTTATCTGGGCAGGTATATCATCTGAAGTAAAGAGGCTGTTGTGTCTTGTCATGTTAGTGCTGCCTTCAGCAACCTGTAAAGCTCCAGATGTTTTGGACTACAGCACATACTGGCTGGGAAGGATAGGAGTTGTAATACAAAACGACTAGAAGGCAACAGGTTGCCGAAGGCCACATTAGTGATTCGTGAAACCGCTTTCTCCTGTATATGTGCAGTCAAAGCCATTCTTGGGACACAGGTGCTGTGTGGAAACATTAATGCAAACTCCAAAATATGCAGTAAGGCAATTACGACCAGCCCATATGTCACAAAAATGTGTTAAGCATTTCTGTTTTTCAGAACTCCGTATTAAGTTGAATGTGAAGAAAAACAGGGCAGGGGGAGACAGGGAGCAAACCAAAAGTTGGCATGAAATTAAAGCCACAAAGTCTTTCTGCTTTAGAAAGTTTGTTTGCTAGTTTGGTTGTTCCTAAAAATGTTTCTCTACTTCTTATTTTGGAGGTTCTCCACCCACGCACCCCCACAATGGAGCAGCGTGGTTTGCTATCTGCTTTTGTTTTTGTTTACAGTATTTTGTTATCAACATTTATCTGAGAGGGGTTTATTTGGCTAAGAGGTCTGCCAGTTACCAATTCATATTCTGTTAGTAGTAGTCGCAGTATAGAACAAATAACTGAAAAGAAACTTGTCCTTTAACATATTTGCAGATTGCAGCTATCAGTCCAGCAGACATGTGTTATGAGGAGACGCTGTCAACTTTGCGATATGCTGAGAGGTATATTGTTTTCACATCTTGTAAGAGAAGTGATTGGAATGGATTTCAAAGGAGAGCAAGAAATTAAATAATCATTAGCTGCTATTTATTTGTGTGGGCACATACTACCCTGTTCAAGATCTGATCCACCCTGGAAATGTTAGGTTAAGGTACCCTAGACCATTAGGTCCAGTCACGGACAACTCTGGGGTTGCGGCGCTCATCTTGCACTATAGGCTGAGGGAGCCGGCATTTGTCCGCAGACAGCTTCCGGGTCATGTGGCCAGCATGACTAAGCCGCTTCTGGCGAACCAGAGCAGTGCACGGAAATGCCGTTTACCTTCCCGCCGGACGTGCTTTCGAACTGCTAGGTTGGCAGAAGCTGGGACTGAACAATGGAAGCTCACCCCTTTGCGGGGATTCGAACCGCCGACCTTCTGATTGGCAAGCCTTAGGCTCTGTGGTTAGTTTTAAATGCGTACTCCTGAATTAGAGGTCCTGTTCCTTTTTCCAAACCAAGTTAACTTCTAGAACACATTTAGGGGATTTATATGGGATTGACTACTTTTTTGTGAATGGCCACTGTTAAGAATTTAATTATTACCATCTGAAGTTTTCTACATTTCATTTATTTCTAAGTGCATTTGTTCAATCCTGTGTGTATATTTATCTGCAACTCATAATAATGTTTCGTGCATTCAGTGGGGTGAACTATACTCCAGTAAAGCTTAAGTCATAATAAATTTGTGAGTCTTCAAGCTGCCACAAGACTTTGTCTTAGTCTTGCAGCAAAAAGTAACATGGGAACCCCTCTGGAAATCAAGTCATTATTGTGTTTTAATTATATCTCATGTCAATCCTTTGCTGCAGCCCAGGGAAAAGGGAGTGTTGAGGAGGGGAAGCAATTTAAGGGAGACTGGGATGTGTTTTTTCTCACTGTCTGGAGAAAGAGAACTGGGCTGGGCTGCTTATTATCTTACAAGAGGAAACAAGGGCCTTACAGCAGACAACAAATCATGTTGCCATGACTATTGTTTTTGCATCCCCCAAATTGCCACTGAAGCTTCGTGAGGGTATGTTTCATTTGATTATGTTATTTGCTTTTGCTATACAGCAGAATAATAGTCGTTGTCCCCCACCCCACTCCCGGTTTTTTTTTTTAATCTGAAAGAACCAAAAAGATAAAGAACAAAGCTGTGATAAATGCAGGTCCCACTGCGAAACTGATAAATGAGCTGAAGGCAGAAAATTGTCATCTGTTGTCCAGATTGTCAGGCCTTGGAAACTCTGGTAAAACGGTAGCCGATGAAACAAGTAAGTATTCTTGAGGAAGAAACAACATTTATTGTATTAGAAGACCTCGTGTTACCATTCTGCTGCCTTTTCTACTGTTTTCCTTTTCTGAGAGACTTATACAAAGTGGCGAGGCTTGGGGTCTGAGGCATCTGGCTCAAGCATACTCTCTTTAGCACACACCCCCACCCTGCCCTCCAACTACAGCCCCACAGAGGACCTACCATCTGTTTCAGGAGGTCCCCTAGCCCCTCAGGAGCAGGTTTCGGGGAGGTGGTGGAGAGGGCTGTAGAGGTCCTTGGAATCCAACCCATTGTTTTTAAGGGAATGAGCCCATCGGGAGTGTATTAAGGCGAACGGAGCTAGGTATGTTATACCTGCCTTGGAAACAGGTCACTCACACGCAAGAGCTAAATGCTGAGGCATTTGTGGCGCACTGGGGTTGGCATCTTGCCTGCCCCCTTGTGGCAGCACTCCTGCAGCTGCCAGCTCCCCCATTTCTCCCACAGGTTGACTCACGGGCTTTACCCAGAAGCAGTGCTGTAATGCACCATTACAACACTACTGACACCAAGTAAGCCTGCTTGCTTGTGAGCATGAGTCTGGTAACTATTCCACCTCTCCCTGTAGTGTTTGGTTGTGAGTGGACCTCAATGTAGCCCCCCTCATGCCCCCTGCAGATCCAGGTCCCCTCCCCCTTTCTGCCCCTGCGATTGTGCCTGCGCTGGTGCCAGTTCTGTCACCGCACATTGTACCCTCACTTGTTGCTGTGCCTGCACTTCTGCTACAATGCAACAGCGGCAGTGAAGGCGCAGCGCCAGCTGTGAGGGCAACAGGGTTGGGTTGGCAGCGTGGACAAACCCCCAGGGAGGCTGGCAGCAGCCCAGTGGTGGAGGTGGGTAGGCGGTCAGATGCACTGCCTGAAGCAAATGGCCTCATCACCACCACCCCCAATAGCTAAAAACACGCTGAACCTCACAGGATCGGTGCTGCTTGAGCCTCAGTCTAAAAAGGATTATTCCTTTTGCAAGCAGTGCAGACCTTGAAATACTATATAAAATACTACACCTGACCTTATAAGTAGTCAACATTTGTAATGCAGTGCCTGCCACGTGACATAGGTAATGTGAGCCAAAGTTACTTCAAGGATCTCCAATATGCATAAATTAGGGGTAGTAAAATAGATCCAGAAACCTTTCATCAGTTTTTCTGGTAGGATAGAAGCACTTGAACATACTGTATGGCTAAAGTTCCTAGCTATAAATATTTCACTAGTGCTTAAGAACTGTTTGTTTCAGTTACGGAATATATAAGAATCATAAATATCTGAGTATTTCAAGCCTGCTATTTCAGGGTGGCTTAAAGAAGGTACCGCAGAATTCATTTGGAGAGAGAAAGAGTGAACACTATATATATATTGGATTTTTATTGTTGTTGTTTTCATATTTCATCCATAATTAGTTTAGTTTTGTTTATTCCTTCCAGAAGAGCTTCGCTGTTTGCTAGCTGAAAATGAGCTGCGGATTCAAGCCATTCAGGCTACCTGGGAATATCGTCTGGAAGAAGCCCGGAAAGAATGGGAGCAGCAATATGCTGCAGTAACCCAGGTCAGGACATCTGGACACTGGGTGTCCATCCCCATCATTCCTCAGCTTGAGAAATGTTTTTAAAGTAGCAATTGTTGGAGCAAAGTGCTAGACCATACAGTTAAATTCTGTTTTTTCTCCCAAAGAATCCTGAGAACTGTAGTTTGTTAAGGGTGCTGGGAACTATAGCTCTGAGAGGCAAATTACAGAATCCGAGACCAGGGAGAAGAGTCGGTGGAAGAAGATTGGAAGAAATTTAAAGACTATTTACAGAAATATTGCAAAATCAATGAATGTTAGAATGAAGTTAAGTGGTTTAAGCAGCAATGTTATAAAGGTGTATGTAAAAATGGACTGTTAACAGGTGAGAATCCAAAGCTATAACATATTAAGTTAAAGGATTGAGAGAAAATAAAGAGGGAAAGAAATTGCTGAATTAACTAACTGAATTGGAATACAAAAAAGGGAGGTATGAGGAGGTCAGGGAAGCAAGGAAATGAATGTAAGGCATGGAAAGATTGATGTATTTTTTAAAGTGTTTTTTATTCTTTTTTCTGTATTTTGTATTTTTCTTGTATTTTTACTTTTGTTTTTTTGTTTTTGTTTTCTTCTTTATTTATGTAATTCTTTTCTTTGAAACCTTAATAAATATCATTTAAAAAAAAAAAAAGAGAGGCAAATTACAATTCCCAGGACTCTTTGACGGAAGCTATGTACTTTAAATGTATGGTGTGCATACACCCCAAACCAGAGCTTTCCAAACTTTTCATGTTGGTGACACACTTTTTAGACATGCATCAATTCGTGACACAGTAAGTCATTTTTACTAGCAAACCAGAGGTTAAAGGTAACCCCTTTCCAGCTCTGGGAGGAGCGCGGGGAGTGTTTGCGCAACACACTGCAGCCGACACACTAATGTGTTGCAATGCACAGTTTGGAAAGCTGTGCTCAAAATGTTCATTTTATCTGGTTCAGAAAGGCCGTCCTCTTCTGAATGTTTTTAAAACAATATGTACCTAATTAGCACGACTATATACCATGTACTTGGGAGTCTTGTGCAAGTAGGCTTCCCCATTAATTTCAAGGGAGAGGGCAGCCCATCCTACAGAAAAGGATGCTTGCTCAAAACTTCCTTTGCTATTGAAATGAGTGAGAGAGCTCTTGCTGGTGGAGGAAGGTACTACAATACAGGTTGGCACCTTCCACTTGAAGAACTTATTGGATTGTGGTGAGCAATGGCTGATATATTAATAAGATTGAGCTATGCTTCTTATAGCAGCCACCGCAGCAGCAAATATTGGAATGTGTCACATTTTATTGGGTATAAAATGTTGCAGTGTGTGTGCTCAGAAAATATCGTTCTATAGAACTAGTGTTGAAGGAATATTATTATTATTAATAATTGAATTTGTTAGTCTGTATCTTGGCCAGGGCAATGAAAAGTGACTTACAAACAAACAAACAGACAAAAAGAAGAAACTCCACATAGATACTTTAAAACTAAGAGGGAAAAGTAATACATTAAAAACATGGATAGTTAAAGGCCAAAGGCCTAGATATAGAAGAAAGCTTTTGCCCGGCACCTGATGTCTCCAGGCAAGCCTCTCTAGGGAGAGCTTTCCACCAACAAGTAGCCACCACCTGATTTTGTTCTTTCTCATGTTGCCATCCTCCAGACCTCTCATGGAGAAGGCACATGAAAAAGGGCCTCAGATAATGATTGCAGGGGCCAGGTCAGTTCATATGAGGACTGGGTGCAACAAATTAAAAATGCATGCAGGCGTATGGGAAAGAGCAATTGCGAAAAAGGCCTCTATGTTGCTAATAGCTGCAGAAACATGTATTTGGTCATGGGGTGGTGTGATCAGTTATCAGGAACCAAAAATATAGGAACAAGGAGTCCATGCAATTACTATCTAATCTTGAGAAACATAATAGTGACAGAATGACTGGGGGGTGGGTAGGTGTCCAGGAACTCTTGCATCCTATGGTTACAGATAGCCACACAGATGCTATGTCCTGTATGAATTCTTACCTATTCTTACATTTAACCTTGAGCATTTTTATTAAAGTAGCTAGATTTTTCATCAGAGGAAGAATTGCTAGCCTTGTTTATGACCGCAGGTGCAGTCTCTGGAAAGAAGAGACTACTTATTTGGAAGCCACTTGTCACATATGTTGTTGGCTGTCATTTAGTGGGAAGAGTGTGCTGAAATAAGGTTTAATTAATTCCACAGGAAAGATGGATGATGGAGACATGTCCTTATCTTGTGAATATCAATGAAGACCCTCAGCTTTCGGGCGTTCTCAAATATTTCATTCAAGACGGTATTATTTTGTTTTAAGTGCTAAATGTGTGTTGCTCCATTGGGTGATCCATTTTATATTATTACACATCTGAGTAATGTAACCAAAACAAGTGAGTCCTTTTCCAAGGAGGTTGCAAACAAAACTTTTACCCCTGGGGAGACAAGATGGAAGGGTGGAAAGGGTAATTCAGTAGGGCAGCATATTTGCTTACCCACAGAATATTGAGTTATGGAACAGCATACAAATGCTTAAAATAAAATGAGATTAATATGCACAATTTCAGTTACACATGCTTTTAAATGTATACCTTATTCTAGTTTATTGTCTAGCATATTGATAAAGCTTTTTCTTTTTGTAAATTAACCAACTGCAATTATATCCCCCAAATAAGCTCACTGCTAGCCACCCAGATTGTTCTTGTCTTTAGCATTTCACAGGGAATCGTGTTTACATACACCGTTAAAAAGATGTTCACCACAGTTTTCCAAAGCAAAGTTTACACAGGAAACATTTTATTTCAGGTTCTTCAGATGTTGGTCAATCATCCTCAAATGCGATAACTCTCCGAGGTTTAGGGTATGTAGATGAGCTTATTCTTTTTCTGCAGGAAATTTCATCAAGAATGTGGTAACTTTTTTTGGTTTTGATTATAATTAGTTGGGAGGGAGATAGAAACAATAAATATGCTACTAGATCAGGGGTAGGCAACCTATGGCCTGTGGGCCGGATGCGGCCCAATTGCCTTCTCAATCTGGCCCACGAATGGTCCGGGAATCAGCATGTTTTTACATGAGTAGAATGTGTGCTTTTATTTAAAATGCATCTCTGGGTTATTTGAGGGGCATAGGAATTGGTTCATTCCCCCCCCCCCAAGAATATAGTCTGGCCCACCACATGGTCTGAGGGATGGTGGACCGGCCCACGGCTGAAAAAGGTTCCTGACCCCTGTGCTAGATGATGCTTACTAAAGTTATTACCTGTCTCTGTCACTAAGGCTAACATTGCAAGATATTTCATTCAAAACTTTGATGTGGGTTTAATTTATTGCTTTCTCTTAGTTTGTCTTGGGTCATTTGGCCTTTTCTATAAGTGAGGAGGGTCATATGAGCACCGGGGTATCAGTCCTGTGTTTACATGGTTGAGAAGTGGGAATGCCAAACGAACATGAATGCAGCCTCAAACACACAAGGGGACCTCATTTCCTCTGCTTATTGTAACTGGGGTTTTACACCTATTTAATGCCTACTTTAGCATTAAAATATATAATAATAACAACCATTTGTCTAACCCATCTAACTATTTGCTCCATACGGTAGGGGCTCTCCAAGGTTTTAGGCAGATTTTTAGTGAACCTTGAGATCTTTTAATTGGAGATAATGAAGGATCCAGCTTAGGACCCGTGTCATGGAAAGCATCTGGACTCTGAGCTTGAGATCCTTCCCATCCACTTTTCCTTGAGTCTTATTCCAAATGGTGCCTTATTTCTCCTTCCCTATTTTTACTAGAAATAAACCAATGCTAATTTTACTCTGATGGTGCAGTGAAAGATGTCTGTCACGATCTTGAATAGCTTGCTTTACAACTGTCTTTCAGCATTTTGGATAAGCATGCAACATTCACAAATGCTGATGGTAAAGTTACTATAACACCTCGGGATAAGTGTAAAGTCATTGTTAATGGTGTCCCCATTGCTGTGAAAACGAAACTGCAGCATCTGGTAAGTTCTTTGTTTGTTAACCATTTCCCCATGCTTTGCTGTACTGCTTGTATAGCTCAGTTTCTTAGTTATTACACTAACTCTTGCTGTGTAAAGACCAGGTTTCTAAAGACAGCTTTCAGGCTCTGAAAATATAATTAAATATAATGCTTAACAACCAATTGTGCAGTAGAAAGGCTTTCAGCAAGCCCTGTATACTCAATCCCTCAGGACCGTATTATTTTGGGGTCAAATAGTGCATATCTCTACATTGGACCACCTTCAGATCGTACCAGCGAGGACCTGACCAGATACGATTATGATTTCATTCAGTCAGAGTTGGCAGCAGCAGAAGGTTTCAGTGTAGATAAACTTGGTAAGCACTATAATGTATTAGTTTTCTTGTTGATTTTCTAGATTTGTTGCTCCTGATTTATTTGTTATTTTATTACACCTTAATATTTCATGGTAAGCTACCTACCCTGATAACTTGATTGAAAGGTATGGTTCACATATTAATCCCAACACAAACATGGTGCTAAATTAATATGCTATGAACAAATCTGGATTAAGGTGGTTGGCGCCCCTAGTTCAGTTCCCAAAAGAAGGCACCCCCTACCTCCCCCCAAAAAGGAATGGAAGAAATAAAGTATCCAAAAATACATCTTGAAGTATATTAAAGACTAACACATTTATTACTGTATAAGATTTTGTGGATCACACACACACACACACACACACCCCCTTAAGAAAATTAGCAAAAAATAAAATACTTCAAGCACATGCAGTTTCATATTTTAAACTTCTCATTGTTTTTTGCTCACTTCCTAACTTGGGTTGGTCACCAGCTCACATGACTGTTCTGCAGATATAGGAGGAGGCATAAAATGTTGCTTCCTTTAATCAGAGTGATGTATCTTTGTGTTATAAATGTCCATATTTTTCTGGGTAGTCCAACTCTGCCAATTAGTACAGTTCCAAGACTTCAACCAATCTTAATCTAGCATGATTATTGTATGTTTCAACAATGCACAGCAGCTGAAATTTCAATAACCTAGTCATTTATTTCTCTGCCATAACCATGAAAACTGTTCTTGCCTAGACTTGATGATAAGGTGCTTTTTTTCTAAGGTGCTGCAAACAGGAAGGATGGCAAGCCAGATCCCAGCGTCCTTGCTGTGTTCCATGATTATCTTAAGTTAATGCCTTTGGTTGCGGAAGCCAATCAAATGAGTGTGGAGCTGAGGAAGGTAAGTTTGTGTGTGCCATTGTTTTCTGCAGGCGAAAGTCATCCTGTTAGTTCAACGGACCTGATAGTCCACTGATTACACCTGTTGGGTAATTCTGTGTGTCCAAACCAGAGATCATCACATGCAACTATGGGAAATAACAAATTTATTTTCTTCAGGAGAAAAAGCTCCTTCTGTAGAGCTGAGAATAAAGCTTGCAAGCCTAATTCTCAACCCTGTACTGCATGGTGAAACAAAAAGAGTACATAAAGTGAATGCCTCTTACAATAGAGAGGGGCTGCATTTAACAATATGTGTTCCTGAAAGTGTGTTCAGGGGTTGGACTAACTTGTCCAGTGCCTTTGATGATTTTTGTCTCTCTGCGTTTGGGTCTACAGTCTGTGCTGGTGCTGCAGCTATCTGCAGCTCTAAAGATTTTTGCGGCTTATTGCAAACTCAACCATCTGACAATTAATCATGGGAAATCTAAAGTCCTGGTCTTTACCAGGTCCCGGAAAACTTACAGCTGGAAGTTAGATGGAGTCCAATTAGAACAAGTTTTCAAATTTAAATACCTGGGAGTCTTTTTTTCACTACAACCTAAGCTGGAAGCCACAGATACAGTATTTACTAAACAAAGGGAAAACAATACTTTATCCTCTACTCCAATTTGTTGCGGCCGACGGAGCCTCCCACATCCCTTCTGCATTGAAGGTGTACCATGCAAAAGTGGTTTCCACCCTCTGTTATGCTGCCCCGCTCTGGGCCCCAGGATCCAATTTAACATCGTTGGGGACATTGCAGAATCAGTTTCTCCGTCGCCTCCTGAAACTCCCCATGTGTGTGAGCAACGCAGCCATACGTCTGGAGTTAAGGATTGCATCATTGGAGACGGTCATCTGGAAGCGAGTCTTTGGCTATTGGCTGTCCAGCTGGCACAGGCTTCCCAACCATTACCTTTTTCAGTGCCTCTGGCGGGACGACTTTGTCAATCCATGGGTAGGAAAATCCATGCCAAACTTCTGAGCATCGGAATTTCCCCAGCGGACTCCTTAAAGATGAACTTACGCTCAGCCAAAAGACTTATTGAGCAGAGATTAGCAGACATTGAAAATCAACACAACCTCGCCGGGGGTGAGGGTGTCTGCTCCCCCAGGTATCACGGAATAACCTCACCACTTGGCCTTCCATCATACATGTCATCTCTTTCATCTGTACCACACCGACATGCATTTATTCGTGCAAGGTTCAATGTCTTTCCATCGAACCTGCTGAGCCACAGATTTTCCAAGGGTTTGGTGTCTCCGCTATGCGTGTGTGACGGGAATACTGTTGATTCTCTCTCACATATAATGTTCAACTGTCCCCGACATAGCATAGCCAGGACTAAATTCCTGGGCCCTGCTTTACTGCGCTTGGTTGGCAGGCCTGCTGAGTCACATGCCGCACTACTTTTGCAGGATACAGATCCTTCTGTAACTCTGCAGGTGGCGAGATTCCTGAATGCAGTTATCTCACACACAAAAACCACCAAAAACAACAACATCAAAAACTAATCGGACAGTTTTGAAGAGAGTGCATGTCGGATCCCGTCTTTAGTTCTCCTTTTTCAGGGATCCGTCCCTTGGAGCTCTCCGGGCCCCAAGCTGTTATCTGGCTCTGCTCAATGACCTACCCCTGCATCATGGTGTTCACCTTCTGGTGCCGAATATATTAGTTTTTATGCCTCTGTGCTTTTATGTTTGTACATACTTTATGGGCTAATAGCCGTAAATAAATAGATAAAAAAAATAGATATCTGCATAGCTACATTCCCTTGATGGGCTATATTGCCTGCATTGTTCAATATGTACTAAGTTGTACTGTGTTGCAGGATGAGGCCTATTTTTCTTTTTTTGAGGGGGTGATAGTGGAAGTCCACTGGTGGAAGATGGTGGAATTTTTCTCCATTTTCAGAAATATCACACTTTATGATTTTGTCTCTCCTAGAAAATAAAACTACATTATTGGACAGGAGAAGGCAACCACAAGAACTACTTGGCTTCTCCCTTTTTTTCTTTTTTTGCAAGATTTACTGTGATTTAGTCCCATTCTTTAAACTGTGAGAGAGCTTATCTATCTATCTATCTTACCTATTAACACCCTACTGTTTATGTCATCTACCTCTTACACCATTTAAAAGGAACTTGCACTATAGTGATTTGCATATATACCCAATTTTAACGATTCTTGAGATATTTGTCTATTTTAGTTTTCTAAATTGAAAGCTAGTCAGCTACAGAAAAACATTTTTGATATGGTGTGATTTCTTTCTCTTTTTTTAACAGGACCTAATTTTGGAACTGAAAGTGAAAAATTTGGCTTCCTCTGACTCTAGAGGCTATGATCTGCAAAAGGAGATCATAGTTAAAGTGGCGCACAAAGTTACAAACCAGGTAAAGTAGTCTCAACCATTAGTCATGGCAAGTTGTATTGAGAAAGACTATGGTGTGCGCTTCACAGGCTACTCTATTTTACACCAGCTGGGCTTTCCCTGCCCATCCAAAGTCCTCCCTGCTACTGTCTCAATAGCTGGTTCCAGTTTGACAAGGGAGGCTGCTGGTTCTGATGCCAAAGCCCCAGATCTGGTCTCCCAAATTTGTCCCCTTTTCTTTGTATTCTTTGTTCAAGACAAGTGTAAGCTTTTTGAAAATACAACTTAGTTTTTACAGTATGAACCTTATGATTAGAATAATTCAAGTTACCTCATTTCTCCAGATATGGGTTTGGTCAAAACCCAAGTTCATCAACAGGAAGTTTTTAATGGAAGAGCTCTATCAGCGTTTCTTAGATGGAGAAGATGTGCAGGTTGACAAAGAAAGCGATCCATTCTGGGATCCCGTGGAAGTAATCCATTTAGGATCTGCTCACATCTGGCTCCAGTCCCTTGCTTATTGCATGAAACTTGAGGAACAAACAGAACTCCTGAATTCTGAAGGAATGGAGGAAGCCATCATTCTTATCAATATCATTCCATGCTCTCCAAATGGAAGGTGAGCATCTGCTGTTTGTTTTCTTGAAAGGCTACTTGGGCTTGACTTGAAGATTTATGCCTGTACCTTTAAAACAGGGGTTGCTAACCTGTGGGTTTTTAGGCGCTGTTGGACTACAACTCCCATCATCCTGTAGTATTGGCCATGGTCCGATGGAGTCCAATAACACTTGGAAGGGCATGGGTCAGCCACGCTTGCTTTAAAAGCTGTGATGCACCAAGAAATTAGGCAGCTGCTGTGCCTTCCCCTTCCCTCACTGATTTGCCAGCCCCATTGCTCTCCCATTTGTTGTACAACAGACACGACTTTAGGATGGGCAGAGGCTGATGGAGCAATGGGCAGAAGACGGGGGGGGGGCTGTATCTTTCTACTACCTAGGAAACATGCCGATATGTTTAACAACTTGGAGGCAGAAACTTGACAACCCTGTTTCTTACTGCCTCTTCTGAAGCTTGCAGATAAAAATTCTTAACTGACAAAGAACATTTGAAGTCTGACTAGGTATAAATTTATTATACATTTGTTTATAAAGATTTCTAAACCACTATTTTGGGCATAATAGCCCTCACAAAGTGGTGCACAGCTGTGAAATAAAACAAACAAAACCATCTGTTTAAAACATTCACCCATTAAACTGTAGAAATTGATCCAAAATGGCAATGAATAAGTTGCAGATTGAAATAAAAATCTATTTTAAGCAAAGCAAATAATGGGACGCGGGTGGCGCTGTGGGTTAAACCACAGAGCCTAGGACTTGCCGATCAGAAGGTCCAGAAGGTCTATAGTCCAGAGCGCAGTGCTGGTTTAGAGTTACATCCAAATAAGATCAAAGTCACTACCATCTTGCATATTAATTCCCATTTTCCCCATTTTATTTTTAAATAGAGCCTTTGGAGAGGACGATATGGTCATTGATCCTTTGGAATTGCTGGGCAAAAGAATTGATTTCCAAATTCACATTTTACAATGCCTTGGAGTCAAATGGATAAAAGAAGTGGCACAGAGAGGGATTCAGATTGGGTATTGTTAGTTTAAAGCTTCCTGTGAAATATTCTCAGTTTGGCTCCGGAGTAAATAACAATTTCACAACTGAGTTTCCTTTTGCATGTAAACTTTACCCAAGATAGTAATCTTTTCAGATAATGTTGGGTATCTGAATTTCTTCAGTTATGCACTTAAATCCATTCTTGACTTGCTGGTCTCTTTCCTGTTGTTGCTGATTTAGTAAATAATTTAGCTTTATAACTAATAGATTATAATGATCTCCACGGCAACTCCATGGGTTGTTGCAGGGTCAGCCTGTGCTTTTTTCAACTCCTAGTATTGCACAGCACTGTAAACCAGGAGTAGGCAATAGGATGTCCTCCAGATGTTAATGGACTCTAGTTCTCATCATCAGTAACCAGGAATGATGGGAGCTGGAGACTAACATTATCTGGAGGGGCCACAGGTTCCCCATCCCTGATTTCAATGAAGCTTGTTCAGAAGAACTTCCTAGTGAACTGTGTCCAGTGGATGCTAATGCCTGCTACGTCAAGTAGTCAAGATTAGAACTGAGTTGTACATATCTTCAAGGGAAATGTATTTTTGGAAATTGTGACATTTTTGGCCGAAAAACAGTATTAAAAATGACTGCCATAAAGAAATTAAGAAACCATTTCATGAAATTTATTGGGCATGCAAGACAATTTTTTAAAATTAATAAGTAGGAAGGAAAATCTAACCTTGAAATGTTGCTTCAAGATTGTCATATTTCTGTTATTTCAAGCAGTTGATCTCTTTGGACACAGACCTTAGTTTTTAATTGGGTCTTCGTTTGTTTTACTATTTTAGATATAAATTTTATGATCTCCCATGCTCATTATACACAAAGCCTGTTTGGAAAAATGTGAACCCGAAGATAGAAGAGCTAGTAAAATTTTCAACCCTTAATATGTCCCATGATTTTTTGAACTATCTGCAGAAAAATGCTCTAATTGTTGACTTGTGGGGGCTTCAAGGTATGCTTTTGACTTTTTATCTTGATAAAGCTATGTATACACCTTTATATTCAGTACTTTGTATCTAAAAGCATGGCTTTTGTTTGGAAAGATAACATAAAGCTGCCATGTACAAAGTCAAACGATTGATCCTTCTTGCCTAGGCTTGCTTCCTCCAACTTGTGGTGGCATGGCATGTACATCTCATTAAACCACAGTTCAATAATAGTTTATTAAGCCATAAGCTGCCCCACGGACAGTCAAGCAAACCTTTGTTTCATCATACCTTGAGTCATTTCCTCCCCCTGGCTATTTCCACCATCTCCTGTCTCTCTACCTACTATCCCAAAAATCTTTGTGGTGCCCCACTCATGGCACTTCCTTTTTCCCATTCCTGTTGGACAGTGTGTGGAAATGTTCCTGAAGTTTTTAATCAGCTGTAATCAACAGCCAACTCCCTTTCCTTGCCCCATGAAGAAGAGTTTGGATTTGATATCCCGCTTTATCACTACCCTAAGGAGTCTCAAAGCTGCTAACATACTCCTTTCCCTTCCTCCCCCACAACAAACACTCTGTGAAGTGAGTGGGGCTGAGAGAAGTTCTTTACAGAATTTATTTCCATTCCTCTCCTCACAGCCTATCAGCTTTATTTCCCTACTCACCAATCACCCTGTTGTGTATTGACCCTCCTGTCTTGTCAAACCAAACCTGTGCTCTTAGTTGCTGTTCTGCATTACAAGCAGCAGACTATGGCATGGTGAAAGCAAAAGGTCTTTCAAGCTGCCCTGCACCTCTCCTTGAACATCCAGCTTTTGCATGTTTACACAGCAGTATGAGGCTGTTTGTAAAAGGGCTTTCAAACAGTCCCATGCTCCATTCTGAAGTCCTGACAATCAAGGCTTGAAAACACCACATCTTCTGACATCAAGTGATTGGCAGTTCACCCCTGCTTTTAATGTTAATCTGTGGTATGTGTTGTAACTGAATCGAAGGTTTGGACAGCTTTGTGGTGCTGCAAGTAGGTCATGCTGACTTTTAGCCCTGTACAGTGGTACCTCGAGTTACATACACTTCAGGTTACATACGCTTCAGGTTACAGACTCCGCTAATCCAGAAATAGTACCTCGGGTTAAGAACTTTGCTTCAGGATGAGAACAGAAATCGAGCGGCGGCAGCGGGAGGCCCCATTAGCTAAAGTGGTGTTTCAGGTTAAGAACAGTTTCAGGTTAAGAACGGACCTCCGGAACGAATTAAGTTCTTAACCCGAGGTACCACTGTACCTTGATTATGTGTGGTTGGGCCCTTTATGATAGAATAAAGAGTGCTCAGTTATGTGAGATGCTAGGTAGACCTTGAGTTTAAATCCCCCTGGCTCTTCTTTAGAGAGCCAGTGTAGTGTAGTGGTTAAGAGCGGTAGTCTCGTAATCTGGGGAACCGGGTTCGCGTCTCCGCTCCTCCACATGCAGCTGCTGGGTGACCTTGGGCCAGTCACACTTCTTTGAAGTCTCTCAGCCTCACTCACCTCACAGGGTGTTTGTTGTGGGGGAGGAAGGGAAAGGAGAATGTTAGCCGCTTTGAGACTCCTTAAAGGGAGTGAAAGGCAGGATATCAAATCCAAACTCTTCTTCTTCTTCTTCTTCTTACACTTTGAACTATTGACACAAAACATTTTGAACTCTTGCTGGCCGATTCTGCTTGTTCGTTGTGAGACCACGACAGCTACAAGGCTTTGCCCTACTGTATCTTATATTTAAAGCATTTAAAGTTAATTACATTACTCAGCAGCCACACTCTAACCCCACCTAGGACCAATGACTAGACTAGTGCAGTTGTTCTCCCAGGAGATGCTGGCGCCTGTATCCAGCACCCTTGTTTCCCTTGGATACCTTGCATGTGCAGTATCATAATGGCACATGTTAGACAGGAGTGGAGTGGCAGCAGACACCTGAAGCAGCAGAATAAGGTAGCTTTAGGGGAAAGAGGGGTAATTAAGGGGGGCTGATGATGCTCTTTCTAGGAACATGCTGTTCTTTGTTACCAATGTTTAAAGTGATATAGGATGAGAATGTGGGGGATATAATCTATAATTGCAATATCTTCCCAATAATACAGAAGGATGTGTGCAACTGGATTCCTCTCGGCAAGACATGGCATTAACAAGGGAGAGCTCTATTATCATTGATAATCCCAGAGCTGAGGTTCTGAGACACACCAGTCTGGTAAGTGTATTTTTGGTATTCTTGCATGTGGTCAAAGATCATAACCAAGCAGTGTCCCAATTTCATGTAGCTTATATGGCAAGTGTTTTTTTGCTGCTAACATGAATTGCTTTCCCCCTGCCGTTGAGAATGGAAAAAGATCTAAATAACCCCAGAAACAAACTTAGGGACAAAAAACTGATAACTATTTACTAGGGACAAATTCAAGGCAATAGGGACTTTCCTTGTACATGGGGACAGCTGGAGTCTATGCAGCCATATGATGGCCAAATGTGCCATGAAACCAATACTGTTTCCATATGTACACATTATTGCATATGTACACACTTCTTTGTGATAAGAATTTCTTCTATTTTTAGGACACAGAAAACCAGATTGCTGAACTTTACCAAAAGCTGTTAAAACTAGAGCAAGAGACTGAACTGCTTAGAGATATTAACAGAGCTCTAAGGGAAGAAAATGTACTTCTGAAGGATAAATTGAAAGCGTGCGAGATGGAAACCCATAAAAGTAAGCACCTGACCCCTTTTAAAAAGGCAAAGGACCCCTGACAGTTAAGTCCAGTCGTGAATGACTCTGGGGTTGTGGCGCTCATCTCGCTTTACTGGCCGAGGGAGCTGACATTTGTCTGCAGACAGTTTTCCCGGGTCATGTGACCAGCATGACTAAGCCGCTTCTGGCGAAACCAGAGCAGCGCACGGAAATGCCATTTACCTTTCCTCTATTTATCTGCTTGCACTTTGGCCTGCTTTCAAACTTCTAGGTTGGCAGAAGCTGGGACCGAGCAACGGGAGCTCACCCCGTCGTGGGGATTCGAACCGCCAACCTTTCGATCAGCAAGCCTGAGGCTCAGTGGTTTAGACCACAGCTCCACGCAACCCCTTTTACTTCTGCTTTAATTATGCTGAATTTGACCCTCTTCGGCTGCAATCCTGAGAGGGGAGGGGGAACTGAAGGCTGTTTAATTCCATACCCTGAGACCTGCTGGGCTCTTTCCAACAGGGTGGAACTGAGGACGGAGGAGCATTCTTATATTCCCTCAACCATTTTATAGTTTATTTTTAAACTATAAACTATAAACCAAACTATAGTTTGGTTCTAATAGGAAGGAAATACAAGGGAGAGATATTTACATCAGCTCCTAAGCTAGTTTAAGTGTCTTTCTGGTTTGGAGATATGTCAGGTGGCTGAGGCAGCTTTGGATCCTTCAAGCCATTATCTGGTTCTTCCTCCAAACTCTTCCTGTGACATGCTCACTACTTTCTACAGATGTCAGAACTCCAATGCTGGTAGGCTCAGGGTGTTGGAGGTTTCCTTGGTGGCAGGGAGGTTCCCCTCCCTTATGTAGGAGAAGGGAGTACCAGTGTATACTACGTCCTCTTGCATGCCCTCCCAGGGCCATAGAATTGCAGCCGTAAAGCATTAACTGCTCATATTTACTTTAATACATTTTGGGACAGGTGACAGCTGGCAGGTTTCAGGTGACATTATCATGCTTGATTTATTGTAGTAGTGGCCCATCTCAAGGTCTCAAAACAAATTTTGCATTAATATATGCATTGGTGTATCCATGTAAAAATGTTTTACTTGTGCAAGATGTTCTGCTTATTATAAATGATCAAAAACAGGATTACTATTTTTTACATCTATTGATTGAAACTCAGGACAGGAAGTTGGCCTTGGCCCTGACTGCAAAAGTCTGCTAGTAACTTCAAATTAAAAAAAGTTTTAAGAGGAAGTGAAGATGAGCTGCAAGTAAAAGCCAGGAATCTCAGCACCATTGAGTATGGAGCATTTAGCTTTTGCATACCTTTTTGTACAGATTGCTGGAGGGGGGCAACAAGAACACCAAAATTCTGGCCGTAAGTGGCTCTTTCCTTCTGTCTGTTGATACTAATCTTCACATCTTCCTGTTTTAGGTAAGATCTCAAAATCTCCTACAAAACCCCAAGCTGCTAAGGTAACTCAATCAGCGTCAAAAGATTCTCGCCCAGTTTGCAATTCTCGGATGAGCTGCGATGCAGAATTTGCTAAAGCCCTCAAAGCCTTCTACCAGAATATGAATGTGATCAGAGGCCAGTTTTTGAAAATAAAGCACTGCAGAGCTCCGGTATATATATATATCTTAACTGATTCTTAAAAAGAAAGGCTGAATCTATCCTTAATTTTTTCCCAAAATAATAATAATCAGTACAATCCTTTTGAAAACATCTACAGTGAACCAGTAGAAAATTCTCCCAGGACTGTAACTTTCCTCTTTTGCTGCTCTCTTAATTCTACAGCTCTTAAGAATGCCCAAGTGTTCCTCACACTAGGAGCCAAATAATGAAGTACATAATGTTTTCCAGACTTGTAAATGTATTATATTGCAGGGCAAATGCACCTTGTGTCCAATGGGAGGGTTTATTTATTTATGAAGGCTGAAACTGGGACACAGGAATGCAGAGTACGCCTCTGCTTTCACTTCCATTGTCAAGACTGAAGAGCTTTTGAATAAAGCTGTAGTACTGCCTTCATAGTTCACCCCCCACTTAGGATTTACTGTTGCTCGGGTGTGTTCTTCCTTGCTGAGTTAAGTTGTCCATTTGCTGGTGTAAGCTATCCTTTCCTTTTCACACTGCAGCTTCTGCATTTCATTTCATTTCCAGGAAGAAGATAATGTGCAACTACTTCGACATTTTGCTGAGAGACAGTCACACATGTTAAAGGACTTTGGAGAGCAACTTGAGTCAAGTATAAGTAAACTGAAAAATGATGTTGCTTTGATAGTTAAAAAGAAACGGGAGAGGCTAGGTTGCAGCAAACCATAAAGTCATTGTATGAAATAAAACAGTAGTGTTTCAGTATAATTGTAACTGTGCTAAAGCATATGTTGTTTTGTGTCACTACAAATTAAGAGCACAACTTACATATTTACCAGACCCACCCTGGACACAGCCGCAGGAGAATAATCTAGTTCCAGGGTATGATCTGAAGGCACCTGAGGCAGTCTCCTTGCTGAAGCTGAACAGGTCAGGATCTGGTCAGTGCCTGGGTGGGTGACCCACGATGGAAGAAAGGTGGGGTAGAAATGTAAGAAAAGAAGTAACAGTGCATGAGAGTATTAGAATGTGCTGGTCATTGATACCTCTACAAAAGTGTTCCTAAGCTCCCTGTGTGTAAATTACTCCTGCTGTAACTCCTGAGAAGGAAGTAGATGGGAAACAGCTATGGGTCTGCCAGTTCTGAACAGTTTCGGGCATTGTACTGTGTCTGTGGTAGGAGAGTGACAGTTCCATTGACCATTGTACTGTTCTTCTCACACTGACATAGGAGGAATTGTTCCATCAGGAATGTTTATACACTTTTTCAAATTTGTGCACTAATGCCTTATTCAGAATAATCAGTGTTGGAATACTGATCAGTATTTGGAAAAGTCGTTTGTCCACTTGTTTGTTCTCTATGTTAGGACGCTTCTCGATATAGGGGTGCCAAACGTGGCACAAGGGTTTTTGAGGGGGGTGGTAGTAGGTTATACCACCATTTGGACATCAGGTACCATTTTGAATCAAGGTGGCGGACTGAAATGTGACTTTGGCGTGACATTTATTGGTCTAGGTTTTCTGCAAAATTCAAGCACAAGGATTCCTGAGGTGCGGGTGGCGGTCTCTGTCACTGTATGGGTGCTGTGCACAATTTTGTTCCAACTATTGGGCCAAAATATGACTTCACCTGATTTTTGGTGTCACGGGTCCAAACTCACAAATTGCATGAGCCATTTAAAAATCACAGTATTTTTTGGTTTCTAAAAATAGCTGGGCAGTCCTCCAACAAACCGCCACCAGGATGTCCTCTTATGTTCCTTAAAACAGCCCCACGCTCCTGAAAGTAGCAATGTGTGGAGGGGAGGCTAGAGCATCTAGAAGGGAAAAGCAGAAACTCATTTACACAGAAGGGCCCTTGCTGTTACATGCAATACCCTTAGCACCCCACCTGTAATTTGGGCTTAAAAGAGGGACTTAACTTGTATTCTTGTTCCATTCCATGGTCTACTAAAAATGACAGTGGATTACTGCTTAAGGCATAGCTTATTCTAAGCACATTAGATAATGCTTATTAAAATGGTTGGCTTTTAAGTACAGTGATCTGTGTTGAGTTAAACAGAAACCAAGCAAATTTGGAACCCTCTTTTATTACACTGAAAAATGAGAACAAAGGGAATTAATAAGTGCTAGAAATCTTTCTTCCTTTCACAATGACATATTTCCCCTGCCTTGAGGATGTCTCAGTACACAGGAAAGGAATGTTAACTGATCAGGTATGCAATGAAGCTACCGATTCAAGCAAGAATATTACTACGCTCCCCTCCACCAAGTTCATATTGAAAAAACATTGCAGGCAGAGTCCAGCTAAGTACCATGAAACCTAACTTAAGCATAATGAATTGGTTCCATTAGTGACAAGAGAACTATCTTTAATCACAGAAATTGCAGTTGTCAAGGGGACTTGATCCCAGTCTATAAGAGTGTAGATTACAGTATTAATTGTGACAAGGTATAGAAGGCTAGGGAAACCTGTCTGAAGGAATGCCCACACAACTTACTCAAACTTACTGAAGACACCCTTTTGTTTTTCAGTTTGCTTTCTCATTACTGATCTTCATAGAGAGTTAATTGGTTAAGGCACAGATTTTATAGTAAAGTCAACTTTCACAATTCTGAATAAAAATACTGCAGTTGTAATTTGTTACTGATTTTTTTAGTTACCACAGCTAGTTCAGTCAAGCCCTTGATTCTAAAAAGCACTATTATTTAGCACTATTAATATTAATATAGTTTTCTTTTCATTTAACTATTGCTGTGCTACTGTGCACATTTCCAGTAGTAAAAGTTCAGTCTTATTTCCATTTTGAGCAACAATATGAAACATGTTTTCACATTACATAAGATTATGTCAGTATTTTATTAAATTTAGCAACCATTTGTAGCTGATCTTTTTGGTATACAAGTACCATACAAAGATTTGTTGGTCATGCAGCCTTCAGGATGTTTTTTCTTGTTTCAGACTTCAGGCTGGCTAATGACAGAAAACTCAATTCCATGCTGCTTGAGCCTGTCAATAAGTTTTGTATTGGAGAATGCAGCCCCAGGAGAATAGACACCACCCCTGTAAAACAGCCACACATTTGGGGTTAGTGACATGTAGCTGCAAGCAAGCTTAACACTTATTATGAACAAATACTTACTGAAAATGGGATAGTTAAGTTCCACTCCCCCCTGTGAACCTTCAACAAATGTTTAAGTTAATTCATGAACTATGCATAGAAAAGCTTAATAATGTAACTGATTGAAATACTTTGTTATAGTTTTTAATACTGAACTTGACATGAAATTTTACTATTTCTTAATAAATATTGTGATTGACAAACCATTAAATGACCTAAAGCTTGTACCTTACAACATGGATTAAGGTCATTTGCAGATATAATGGCATTATCACTCAAGCACTTTTTGACATGTTTGCAATAACTTGACAGAAAGTTTAATGCTTTTAATGCAAATGCTGGCTGACAAAGTGAGAGAAAGGGAAGTTACTACACCATAGAACTGTGCAGTGCTTTCAATCACTTTGATGCTTACTTTCATGCTAATATATTATTTACTCAATTGTATCCCATCCTTCCTTCCCAAAGAGTCGGGAATGGCAAACAAATGAAATGGTAAGAATACAAAGATTTTTTTTAAAGAAAGAAATCAGATACAGTACTATTACAGCCAAATAATTTAAAGGCTGCTAGGAACCCTGAAAGTGTAAGCTATTTCACATCAAGAAAATTAAGACTTACTTTTTAGGAAGAGAAGACTTGTCCTTCAGAAGTGCCACAGCTGCCTGAACCATTGCAATGGGTGTAGCAATGTAGCCAGCCTCTACAAAAATATGCGGGAGGGGAAAACACTTCAATTACACTCATCATTTTGACTCTTGGGCTGGGGTGTTGTTTGGAGTGGGTTTTTTTGGGGGGTGTTGCTGTTGGTTTTCTCTATCTTAATTTTAGAGCTTATGAGATAATGTGGAAATTGTTCAGCAAGGCTGTGTATTTTTTGACATTTTATTTATTGTTTATGACTACTTTTGTTATGTTGCAGTTATATACTTTTTCACGTTGTAAGCTGCCTTGAGTGTGGTTTGAACTGTGGAAAGGCAGCATACAAATAAAATTACTTCTGTTTCTATCATTTCTAGAATTTGATTCAAGATTAAACATCTCCCTAAACACTGGGCCAGAACCATCTAGCTAGCATTCCCCCCAGGGCTGTACATCTATGTACCATTTGCTTTATTTTCAGCAAGTATATAAACTAAATAAGCATGCAACAGTAACACACACAATCTAAATCTCCCAATAACCTTATGAGCAGTACATAAAGCAATCATCTGCCTGTTTCAGTCACAAATCACAGTATAATCAGAATCAAACAGCTCAGCTAAATTGAAAGCATTTCATAAAAAGCAGCCAAACCTTCCTCAACAAGCCCCTAAACAGGAAGGGCATCTGAGCAAAGGTATATTGTTAAACAAAATTTGCTATACCTGGTCCCTTTACTTGGGTGCAGATTTTAACATTTGGTTTGCCCAGCTGTAAATCTTCTTGTGTTCTGTATCCCTCACCAAAAAAAGTCATTTCAAAGGATGACTCTTCCATCTGTAATTCAAAAGACAAGAAAGAAACAGCATCAAATCTCTAGGCAATGCCACAGTTTCTATCAAACACACATTACTGCTTATACCACTGAATTTCAGCCCAGTTTAACTACAGTGAACTACAACCAAAGTTGAGGGAGTAGTTAGTTTGTGTACAAAAAAACCCATTGTAAAATGTTATGCAAAATAAGCCAATTATTAGTACTTCACAGTACTAATGTGGATTTGGCTGAATGGATTTGGCTGAATACAGTGTGACTTGCACTGCAAAAAGTGTGGTATTTACCACCCATAAAATAAATTTGAGGTTCCAGACTGTCTTTGCTATAATCCAATCCAGCACTCGTATATTGTCATTTAACCTTCATAAAGTTAAAATTATCTCAGTGGTCCTGCCACATGTTTGGTCTCAAATACTGCTTTTAAGCTAGTTTCTGAATAAGAAACTGCAAAAGTAGGTAGAAAAGGTTCATAGTCAGAATAGAGTAGATATGGGTTTCAGATTTAAGCTGAGATTTTTTTCCAGTCAACTTTCATTGAAGACTGTAAGCACTGGATCCAACACAAGGAAAGATACACAGCACACACACTCATCCAACATACACTCCACAAAATTTCACAAGCTGTTGAACAAAAAGGGAAGGCCAGAATAGCACAAGCAAGATAGGTCCCACTTCAAACAAGGAAGGAAAACAAAATGTCACCCCAAGAAAAGGGTGGGTCAAAGATTCTGTTGGAGTGATACCATTTTCCTGCCTTCAAGCAACAGGAGAACTAGTGTTCGCTTGTTCTCCTAGTGCTCACCTGAGAATTTATTGCTATACATGGGTTAAACATGTCTGCTGAACGTTTACTTCAATATTCACAGTGTCCCAATATTAGAACAGTAAGCCCTCAACTTAAGCACATTAAACTTGTGCATATTCAGCTTTATGCGCTTGGCAAAATAATTATTAAAAAATGAAAAGGGTGCAGTGTTGGAAAAAATGACTTTGACAATCCCACCCACCATTGAACTCTATGGGTTTTGACTGTACACTATTTTGGCTTCATGCGCGATCCTTGGAATGCAACCTCAGCGTAAATTGTGGGCTTATTATACTCCACATCAGACTACCCATCACCCTTTCCTTTACCCATTCCGCTTGAAAGACCCCAAGATGCCTCCTCCTCCACAATTTTCCCAGTATTTAAACTACAATCTCACATAGAATTAAGGAATTTTCCATTGCTGTAATTAGTAAGCTAGTCCACAGGTCACAATATACTACTGTACCTCATGCAATATAAACAATACTAAAAACAGGAGAAAACTACTCATACACACAAAGATATCAGGCATAATCAAAAGATACATAAACAACAGCCGCTTCTTACTTACACATATAGAAGTTTTCCTGTGACACTGTAATTATGTAGAAAACGGTCGCATCAGAAATACAATCACCTAAGAACAAAAGTAGTTACCTGTTTTTCTGTTGGTCCTTCCTTTGTGAAATGTCCCCCAGAAAAAAATTCGGGATACTGAAATAAGACAACCCATAATAAATTCCAGAGTAATAGAAGAAAAAATCAAACTTCCAAAGTATTTAAAACAAAACCTACTTTTAGCAGGAGCTTTCTTCCAAAGTTGAATTTCACAAGCATTAAAAATAAAAGGCCAGCAAACATTAGCTTAATAACAGTTCCAAGACCACCCACAGTCGCGTAAGCAGCATACTGCACCTGAAAAGAAGAGAAATTTTATATCAATGAAAACCTGTCAGTTTATGTATAAACTATTCCAGAATACAGATCTTAAAGAACAGCAATTCACAAACAACCAAGCCTTGCTTAGGTGACAAAGAATAAATCCAGAAATAGGCTAGATATGATTGCTAGCTTTAACTGTGGGCACTATAAGAGCAGCTGGAGGCATTAAAAGAAATACAATTTTCTTTTAGTACTACAATTACAGTAACACAAATACGTTATCATGTGGCACCACTGCAGAAGGAGTGATGACAGCCTTGCTGTTTGACACTTTTTCCCATTTCAGAGAGCTACATGAATATTCCCACATAAGTGGCAGTGGTGACAGACATTCAGCAGTAATAAGATTTTCCAGAAGCTCATAAAGTAGTACGGGCCTGCAATCTTTGCAGTGTTAGGCACATGAATTCAATATGATTTTCCCTCAGGCACCTATGCATATTATTGCAAGTTTCACATTATCAGATTCAAAGATTTCACTGATGATAGGACATTCTTTAAAATAGATGTTTAAGTAAACTTACAGGTGTTTCTTTCAGGTCTGTGTGCAAATAGTGCTGAGTTCGTTTTACTACAGAGACATCTGATCCCATGAACGGAATGGAATATTGTTTAAGTTCGTTACTGTAAAACAGTGCACCTCTGCAAAAACAGAAGCCAGGACAATTAAAACAAAGCTTGGCAAAGTGTGTTTCAGACAAGGCACTATCTAAAACCTGTCCTTTCAAGCACATAAATCTGTATAAAGAAATTCTACCAGAATGCTTCCTTTCATGAAAATGTAAGGCACCTACAATTTTCCTTACCTTACATTCCTTCTGGAAACATCTTCTGAGCTACGTAAACAATAAATTCTAATCCACAAAAGTAGTATACCTTCTCTTAAGCTTTCTTCCAGTCACTGGAAGGGGTTTGTGTCCTATTTGCCTTCGAATTTTTTTCAGACTGCCTTGATCTGCAAAGCCATGTATAGCTGATTTCCAGGTCCCATCATGAATGCAGGAACCCTGTTAAAATGTTATGTTAATTCAATATACTATACTCACAACACATCTATACCATTAGCCACAATAATGAAAACATACCTTCCTTATACACCTGATTCAGTGACTAAATCAAAGTATAGCTGAAAGCTATATACTTGATCCTAAGCATGACCATTTTCTCACTTCACCTCTCCTGTCCCCTCACAAAGATTAGTGTGTCTGCTCCTATGGCATTTATCGTCTGCTGTAGGAAGCAGGAGTGTGAGTGCATTCTAGTGATGTCTAGACTAATCTGGCTAGCTGTGTGAAGCACTCATGAGAACACAGCATGTATGTCTGCAGGATTTTCACCCCACAAAAACCGTTTGCATAGACAGAAAGTAACCTGTTTCTGCTCAAGGATGTGTCTTACTAGACTGGGCTGAGTTTAATATTGCATCTACTCCTCCTCCAACAGTGTTATAAAAATCTACCCAACATCAGCTATCTACCCAACATCAGCAATAAAGCAATTTCTTACCACCTAACAGAAAGCATATGCTTAGGTAAGGCTATCAAACTGGTATTGCATTACTTGAGTACTAGAAGCGCTATAACAGAACAAGCATTAAAGAGTGATGTTCTTCTGTCTGACAGTTTTGTAGGCTACCACTACCAATACAACAGCCAATGTAATAATTTATTTTTATATTGTCTATATGGTAAGTACCTACAACAAACTTAGCTAATAAAGAAATCAACCAACCTGTGGTCCAGATTTTACAGTCAGGAAACTTTCAACTGCAGTTAATGTACCTGGGGGGGGGGGGCGGGGAGAAAATTAATCATTAAGTGTGGTTGTAACAAAGAATTAAACAGCAGTTTATACTCAGGCTGTCATGGCATCAGATAAATGAAGATACCAGGACACATTGGAGATCCTGTACTGAGAAGCAACAGCTTGATCATCATTTCATTTGAGATTCTATCAGTACTGAACTTGCCACCTTGTTTTAAGTCACACACAACCTATTTTAATGATAGTATTTCCAGAATTATGCAACTTCTAATCAACTACACTTTAGACGTTGGAAAAATCTCCATAGGCCGTAACAAGCCCTGTTTCTACTTGGGATGTGTGCAAACAACTCACTACAGAAATGGAGCGGTCTGTGTTATTTCTACATCCCTTTCTAGCTCTGTACTCCATTCCATTAAGGAGCATAAGCTCCAAGTTTTTGTTTTTTGCTAATGCAGCAGAAAGACTGACTGATGTACATTGTTTTAAGATGATGGTAACTGAAGATATTTATTACTGCATAGCTTAATACAACAGAATTCTGGTAACTATAACAAACATTTTGTAGCAACATCAGTCCTTGTGAAGAATTACAGAAGAAGAAGAATGCAGAGCATATTATTGTTCCTAACTACTCAAATGTCATTTTAACACTCCACAAGGAAAATAATTTCTGCACCACATATCAAAATTGTGATTAAGTTTAAGAGTCACCTTTCAAAGAGTTTCTGGTGTACAATACTCCCATATCTGCTGGGATAGAGTCAAAGCCACAGCTTCCAATAATATATACTCCTTTTTCTGCAGCTTTGTCATTGTAATTCAGATACATTCCTTCCAGGAACTGAAAGAAATGAAACAACATTGTACTGAAAAATAGATAATATTCTGTCTCAATGTTCAAGCAAAGATGATAACTTTCATAGCTGTGTCACTTGCACTATATTCAGTGGCTGATGCTCCATTTTGCAACATTACAGAAGGTTATTATATTATTATCAAAACATTTACTGAGATGGATGACAGGGAGGGGGACCCACCACAACCAAACTCAGGATCCCTGACTGCTGATGCTTAGGATGGTGCAGGAGCTGCTATTCAATGGCAGTATCACAAAGTTGGACACAAAAAATAAAATTCCTGCATGATGGTAAGATGTGCAAATATGAATAATGTCTTAATACAATTGCGAAGCTGGCTTGTTTTCTCAGTTTCTCATACCTGAGGCTCTCCACTGATGTCGATACAGCTTGTACCATTCTCAACACAAGCTTTCACCACAGGCTCACCAAAAAACCTGTACTGTAAGAAGAAATAAAGCAATTACTACTTTAATAAATTATACTATGCTACTTTAATAAAGACAGTAAGTTATCTCACCATGTTTATGTAATGGTTCTAGGGGTTGCTCGTGCGTAAGCTTGTCCCAACCTCTGGCTGGGTTGCCTGAGTGAACCTTTCCTGTCCGGGCAGCCACTCGCCCGTGACTGTCTCAGTCGCTGGCAGAATCCGTCAGCGGCCGTTTCTTAAACTTCTTCCAGCAAAGAAGCTCTTTGACACCAAGTCTCCTCCTACTCTCCCTGCGCGGAAGCCTTCTGCGCAAGGAGGGCATAGGCAACGGAGGACCCTTCCTCTCCCCACTGGTTCCCAGCAAGGAGTCATGGGACCGCCTCGCCGATTCCCCCATCTGCCCCCCTTCTCCACTGGAGCTACGTTGATTCTCTTCCCCAGAAGATGGGCTGCCTCTCCCACTCCCGGGACGCTCTCTGGGATCCCTTTGGAGCTTGCTCCCTCCCTCGGACACTGATGGCAGTTCCCTGACAGTTTACATATTTGAACAAGGTTATGTAAAGCAATTTTAATTTCTAATGAAATTTTAATCAATAAACACAATGATTAAAACTATTTAATTAGCATTCAGAATTTAAGAAACATCTCCCTCTGCACGCAATCCTTTCCTACCTCCTCTACCACAACTACAGCATGCACGTTTCAGTTATTAACCTTTGCTCGAGATTTAATGAGCTGGCAGAACTTTGCAACTGAGAATGAAGCAACAATGCCTTCCTCTTCATCTGCCTTCCCACAGCCTCACCACACACAGCTGCAATAGGCACTGTTTTGGGGGAAAGCAGCAGCATATTTTCCACATACAGCAATTTATCAGCTATTTGCTTTACTTAATAACTGCAAGTATAATTAGTATAAACAGAGGGAAATTAATTATGGCAAGATTTATTTAGATGTTCACTATACACACTGGGTTAAGAGTCAAGAAACAAACTGAACTGGTTCAGCTGCTATTATTAATACAGTCTTGTACATTTTACAATGGCCTCGAAGGACTGTCAGGCCCTTCTTGCTGATTTCTAAGCCTGCAAATATGTAGTGGTGCAATGGTGAAACTAGGAATCACTCTGCCCACATTCGAACCTATTTAATGAAGTTACTTCACTGTCTTAATATCTGCTAGTGAGGGCTGGGCATAAGCCTATTTCACAAGGTCAAACTAGAATAATCCCTCATTTTATGCACATCTGACTTGCACAATTTCAACCATTGTAGCTGAAGGTGGGCTGAGTGAAATCACGCAAGTCAAGTTCCAAGCAAAGTAGAAAGCTTAAAAGCTTTTCTCACATCAGGCTTACTTGGGTTACCTAGCACAGAAAGAAATTTTAAGCTCTCTGCCTGGCTTGCTGGGCAAGGCCTGCTGGGCGTGCAGGCTGCCTCTAGGATGCAAAATCTTGCATGAACTACCCTTCCAGGGCCAGCACATAGAACGGGTCTTGTCCAGCAAGCATGGCAGAGAGTTTGAAAGCTCTTTTCACACTGAATAACCCAAGCACTCTGGCATGAAAAGAGCTTTTAAGCACTTGGCCTTGCTTGCTGGGCAAGACCTGCTCAGTGTGCAGGCTCTGGGAGTACTGGGGGTGCACTCTCTCTCCCTCTCACCTGCTAGCTGTGGGGCAGCTCCATGAGTTTGACTATACACAATTTTTGCCTGCACATATAACCCTTGGAACTGACCCCTTGTGTAAACAGAGAGATTACTGTACTTCAAATGCCAAACAACACTGTCAAATTACAACCCTTTCTGATAACAACTGCCTCATAATTATTTTTAATATCTGATCACCACTATAGAAGAGTGATACAAACATTATAAATTAATAAGTAAAAATATAGGATTAATATATGCCTTTGTTTCACAATGGCAGACAGCAGAGTTGCCCCTTTAACTTTTATTCATCCAGAAAATATTTTGGTTTACATACTTAGAAAAGATTTCTTTTTCAATGTTTGCTAAGGTAATAAAAATATTGCAATATATTGAATCTTCATTTTTAAAGCTTTTAGTATCATGGGAATTTTTTACTTATTCATTTTCCAAAAGAGGAAAATACTTACTGGGCCTACACAGTTCAGAACAATAGCAGCTTGTTTAGCCATATTAGCAAGAGAGGATGGATCACTGACATCACACAGTATTATGCCAACGTCTGACTTCAGCTCTTTCTTTCCTGAAAATGTAAAAGAGAAATGTTATAAAAGAAGCCTGGCACTGTATAATAATTGCTCTCTAATATACACATTGCTTTTTCTTAACCTTCATTATTTAGTTATGAATTATTAGATGAATGGATCAAACCCAGGTCATTTTTAAATCCTTTATTTTTTCAACTACAGTGCATTTGCAAAATAGGTTACTTTGTTCTGATAAAAATTCAAACATCTACCCCCCAAATATGCTTTTTCAGTATAAAACAACTGTGCAAATCGGAAGATGGGACTTCTTGCCACAAAAGATGACCAGAAAAATCTCAAGAAATTATTGAAAACTATTTAAGAGAAATACAATGCAGCAAATCAACCATGTAAGTGCGTGTCACAAGAGTATCACTATGACATTTTATTTTAGTCATTGGCTTAGAATGAGCAACAACTCTGGTTTTAAAGATAAGTTTCAATAGGGTTTCCCCCCTTACGCACGTTTTAACTTAGCAACCTCAGCACCACACAACCTTTTTCCAAGACTGCATTTATTCATGCAATATCAGAACCAATACATTTTCCCAGCCCCAGAAAGCCTTGGGCTATAAAGCAAAAGAATGCAACAAGTGTCAACTGAAACACATTAATGAACCAACAAGCATTTTCACAATAAAAATTGTGTGGGCTAAGAAATCTGAAACAATGCTCAACTCAGTTATACCGACCAAGCGTGGGAACCTCTAACTAGAAAAGGCTAGCATATACAAGTCAGGACAAAGTAACAATTAATAGTTGGAGAAGTACAATGTCTGAAACAGCAAGAACTAAAGAACTCACACTGTCACAAAATGACAAAGAACACAGAAAAAAGCTGACATTTTAAACAAGAAATGGGCCCATGTATGCAACTAACATGGTGATACAAGGCCCCAATACACTGCGGAGGATGTTTGGATGTAGCAGAGGTGCCTCTCCACTTAGCGCTGCCTGACTCCATTGGTGGGGGGACTTCCACAACTGCAGAGGTCCTTATCAAAACCATGGCTGGACAGAAATCACTGCTAGCACCAAGAAGCAGAAACCCCTGAAACAAACTCTTCTAGAGTGGGAAAGAGGACTGGTTGTGCTGGCCAATGATCCACTAGATTTTAAGCTGGTCCAGCTACAGGCAATAGACCTTACCTGTGCCCAACTGAAATGCCTGCCTAAAGACAACAGAGGAAAACATGTAATGAAGCTGCTTCTGCCCTTGCGAACGTAAGTAGCAGAACTGCAGAAGTGGCAATGGCTTTGCAGCTGAGTCCAGTCCTGCTGCTCCCAGACGGGTGCTAGAATTGCTCCCTGAAGCTACAATTTTAAGTCATGGAAACATTCCGGTTGTTAGTCAGGAAAAAAAGGAAACAAAAAACCCTTTGCAGTAAAAAAATATGTATCACAAACAGCATCATCCACCTGGGTTTGGCAAACTTGGGTTCAATATCCCCCTCTTCTATGGCCATATCACAAATTCTTGGTTTCACAGTGCAATCCTAATCCCCAGTTAAAATGGGTGGGAGAGGTTAGCACATTGTGTATCTTCCCATCACCCCAGTTGCCAGCCATAAATGAGCATAAATTATTATTATCAAGCATATTTATCCTACTCTCTTGATGCCAGAGTGGCTTGCAAAGAAAAGTCAGTCCTTGCCCTCAGGCTTGCAATCAAAGAGACATGACACAACAGGAAAAGGGGCTGGGAAGGAGTAGGAAAAAAGCAAGCTCAGGCAATATTTCTTAGTTACAGAGACCCTGCAATGAGCAGCAAGAATTGAAAAATTTGGCGAGGAGTCAAACGTTGCTGTTCTTTCAGCAGAGCTGATGGAGAGCATCTGCAGTTACATTTCCCCCTCTCTCTCACAGCCTGACAGACAGTTGGGGGAGGGAAGTTGCTGTTTATTTAGGAACTGATGAGAACACTGTGCAGTCCCATCTCTTCCTTTCCTATAGCCTGATGGGCTTACCCTGGAGTAACAATTTACATAGGCTGAGAAAGCTATGCTAGAGTAAGGAAAGCTGGCATGGAAGGCACAAAGGAGTGTGGTTAAGGGTGGAAAATTGCAAAGCATCCTAAGTCATTTGGTCTCGTTCATAGAGCTTGGAGCTTGAGCTCAGTGTAACTTGCAGCACCAAAAAATAAAGGTGCAACTAATTCACTCCACAAAAATCTAAGAGTAAGGCTTACCCTGCCCACACCCCTGCTAGAAGCAGTTAGGAAACAGCTTAATTTACACAGGAGATACACAGGCCTCTTTGTTGGGGGTTAGGGTCGCCCTGCCAATTCCCTTCTGCAAACAATGGCAACTTCCCAGCTAAAGTTGCTGTGAGAATAAGCACAATAAAAACTGTAAAGCCCTTTGGACTTGGAAGGGTTATTATCTAGATCAGATTTGTAATAGTCTGCTATCATCACCCCTGCCCTTAAATGGGATGGAAATCCTCCTGCTTGCTTGAACTCGGGAGAGGACGGCTGCACAGTGATATGCTCCCTACTCACTCACCTGCCCTGGATCAGTAAGATGGGAGGAACCACCACTCGTTCACATAGCTCCAAAAGAGAATTAGGCCTATCCTGCATGGGCCCATCCTGTCTATCAGCAACTACTGGTCATGACCAGGGCCATAGCAAGGGGGTGGTGAGGTGGGCCCCCGCCAGGGGCGCAGGTGATGGGAGGGTGCAAAACCAGCTAAAAATATGTCCATAAATACAAATATTGATTATTGCCTCATAGGAAATGGTTTTAAATAGAGAGTGAATTGAATTTGGGGGTTGGGGTTGGAGGAGAGGTGAAAAGAAGAGCTAATTTGTCCATGGCTAGGGGGCGCAATCTGAATGGTTCTGCCAGGGGCGCAAGATCACCTAGCTACGGTTCTGGTCCTGACAGCTGAATGTCATGGCTCTATGCTTGTGGGCTTCTGCAGTCACCTGTCCGGCCACTGCAGAGAAACAAGATGCAGCCAGACTAGGTAGTCCTTCCGTCTGGTCTAGCAGGGCTCTTCCTGGCACCTGACAGGCTGCTGACATGGGCAACCTGGCCGTTTTGCAGTGAGCAGCCTACCCCCAGTGGTGTCCAAACTATTTTCAAAGAGGGCCAGATCTGATGAAGTGAAGGGCCATAAGGGCCAACCAAAGTTTTTTTTTTAGGGTTGAAGTTGCTGAGCTTTTTTATGATTTTACCCCAAAGTCCTTGAGCTTTTTTTTAGGGTTGGAGTTGTTAAGGTTTTTCTGGATTTCACCCCAAGAAATAAACTGCCACAGGGGCCGGATTAAACCGACCGGCGGACCGGATTAGGCCCCCGAAACGGACTTTGGACACGCCTGCACTAGGACTTTGGACATGCCCTTATCGCTCGCTCCCTTCCACCACCCTGGAGACACGTAATCAGGCTAAGCTCAGAGTCCGGGGCTACTCATTTTGAGGGAAAGAAGCAGCAGCCCTTGGGCCAAGCAGAGCAAACCACCCCCCACTCGCCCGCTCCCTTACCCAGCTTCTCGGCCGCCTTATCGACCGCCGCCTGCAGCTTCTCTCGGTTCCTGCCGGCCACGGCCCAGCGCAGCGAGCCTCGCAGCTCATCCTCGCCGGCCACCCGCGCCACCTCCTGGACCACGTACTGCCCCGTGAAGCCCGACGCCCCGAACACCACCACCTCGAAAGGCCGCCCGGTCGCCATGGGGACGCGAAGAAGGCGCCGCGCTCAGACAGCGCGAGGCGAAGAAGCGGAAAGGCGCTGCGCAACGGCTGGCAACCCGCGACTGCCGATGGGGAGGGGGCGGCGCCGCGGACAACGGTCCCTGCTCGCGCTAGCCTCACGTGACCAATACCCGCCCCCAGCGCCCCGCCCACCAGCGGCTCCGCCGTGAGAGGCCCCCGCCCCCAGCACGCTTCCAGCGCAGCGCCTTCGCCAGGCTCGGCTGGCCCTGGCTGCTTCTTTCCACACCCGTCGCTGCCACGCCCCGTGAGGCCTGTTTGCAGGAGGCGGGAGTGGATTGGCGGAGTCTCGTTCTCCACGCGTTGGGAGGCGACGTGCAGGCTCTGGCGATGTGCGTGCTCGTGCCCGAGGCGCATGGTTGCAAATCCTCGCCAGCCTAGCCGCGAAATGGAGGATGATAGGCAAAAGGGCTGCATGTTGGGCTCGAAGCAAGAGGGTAATAATAATAATAATAATAATAATACAGTACATTCACAACAGCTGTTCTCTGCTCTTGGGGACCCTCTACAGGAAACACCTCGGGAAATATGGGCTAAAATTGTCAACGTTTTCCTTTTTTTAAGGGAAATTCCCGTATTCCAAATAGGATTTCTCGCAAGGAAAGGGGAAAGTTGACAGCTATGGCTAAAAGCTAATGCACAAATAGGCAGCTATGCTCGGGTGCATGGGACAGAAAGTGTGCCCAAGGCCTAGAGCCATGTTACAAGTGTGTCTTGGAATTAGGCCCACGTGGGCAGTAATTGGGTTCGAGGCAACAGGCCAGATAAAGACTTCTGTAAAATGAAGCATTGGACCACATATAATACCAGGGTGTATCATGGGATTCAGCCTCCCAGTGGTGGGGGTGTATTCTTGGGATAGCCCAAAACATCTTTGGTGGAGGGTTGCAACCTCTGGTGCTTACTTAACTGACACGGGACAGCAAACTTCCTCAGTAACAAGCTGGGACAGACAGCATTAGCTTAATTTACCTTACACACTGCTTCAGTAGCTTGTGTTTGTGAAGTAGTTTATAAATCTGCAAATCATTTGTGTAGGAAATTTTTCCATTCAATTATTTCCAAAAATCCCGTCTAGAGGATTTCACCCCCCAAATCACACATCTATGGGGTTCTGTGTCTGCAACTCATGATTATAATAATTTCCTCAATAACACAACAATACAGTAAAATACTGTACTCTTACGTGAGAGTATCCACTTTGCAGGACTGGAATCCTCTCTACAGCCATGGTCCAGTGATCATATTCTCAGTGAGAGGAGGATAGAGTATTAGTAACATGCCCAATATGATATTCTCTGTACTGCAGATTTCAAGGGTAGAGAAGCATCAGAAACTGCACACTTATAACCTTGCACTCATTTTTTCCAAAATAAAAAACGCAATTGCATTCTAAAGTGCTTTTAAAATCTTGAGCCAAAGAAGTCAAATTCTACTTCAGTGTAAACAAAACATTATTTCAGGGGTAAGTGCAATGTACTGATACATCCACCATGCGTCTGAAAGTCCAAACAAGTTTCACAGTAGTGTCCTTGGGATGAGTTTCAAAATGTAAAAGACTAATTAACTACAATGTCAGGGGTAATGTCTTTATATTTAATAAGGTGGTGGTGCAACAAATTACAGCCCATGGATATGTGGGAAGTGCGTGGGTTGCTGTAAAGATTTACATTACAAAGCTGTCAGTAGGTTAACTATCAGTTGCCAAGTTTCACTTTGGAATGGCCTGTTCCTTCAGACAATTTAGAAAGATTTAAGGGTATTATTTGCTTTAATTATAGAACCCCCAGCAACAAGATTACACAAAATTCTGCCAGGAAAGAGTGTAACTTTCAATGGAAAGGAATACTTTCTGGGACTTTATGCTGACAGTATTGTTTTATATACATCAGACCCAGTTAATGCTAGAAGGTATAGAATTGAAGATGTTTTTCAAATGTCTCTCAAATTAACTTAACACCTAATGTTCAGAGTTATTCTTTAAAACATCAGTACAATACCGTTTGCGAACTGACTAAGTATCAAATTTGTTTAGGCTTACAGAGCAATCCTTACAGAGCAATCCTAAAATTCTGAGCAAGGAACAGAAAAAGGACTCCATCACTGCTATTGCTCTGCCACCAGCTGCCCTGATTGCATTCGGGATTGAATGGAGGAAGTATTGGATTGGTAGAATCCAAAGCCCTCCCATTCCTCCAACACACCCTCTTTTACACCTCTTTTACACTTCAGTTGAACTTACACTGTTCAACTGAAGGAAAGAAGAGAAAAATTGACTGTGATGGGTGGGAAAAAAGAAAAAGGCAACCTTCCCCATTCCACCTTGTTTGGTGTGATTGTAGCAGAACTTAGGAAGTGGAAATTTATCCACTACAGACTCTTCCTCCTCCCTGGCAGCCTCTCTTTCCACCCCAGCTGCCTAGTAGTTAATATTATTATAAGTTGAGGGTGCCAAATGCCTGACTTCAGTAAATGGGGATGTCAAACCTGTTTGGCTTAAGATGTGTGTTAGACTCGTGTATTAGCCAATCCCAGTGAGTATTTAAGCTTTAGATAAGCTTTAGATTCAGCAGGAGGCCCCATTACCTAAAGTGGTGCTTCAGGTTAAGAACAGTTTCAGGTTAAGAACGGACCTTCGGAATGAATTAAGTACTTAACCCGAGGTACCACTGTATTTAGGGAAGTTAGAGTTCAGAATGACAGTTAGGAGTTAAGAAACGGAGTTACTAAGCAGTGGCTGGAGGGAGAGAGTCAGAAAGCAAGATGCTGATGTCTGTTTTGAATCCAGTGCTGTGGCTTTGGGAGAAGCCAGAACCCCTTGGAATGTAATGCTGGAGACCCCTTCATTGAATTTAGGTTGTATATATGTGTAAATAAACCATATATCATAAAGACATCACAATCTCTGTTGTGCCTCATTGCCCCAAAGGGAAAACAGATCCTGGGTTAAATGCCTGCAATCCTTGGAATCTCACACCACTTGGATATTGGGGTAGTGTGTAACAATACTTTAAAAATACTTCACCTTTAATTCACCATATCTTCTTTGACTTTGCTCACTCCTACATATCAAAGTGTGAGAAAAAGATACACCTGAAGCCAGAGGCATTTAACATATCTTTAGTATTTCGACAGTAATACAGCATTTTGCGCGTTTGGCAATATTACTATTACTAAATGTTTATCACCAACAGGGACAAATCAACACAGCTCATTAATACATACTGTTCTGGTCCAGAGGGCTGACTGAAAAGACTGGCATGGGAAGGGCAGAGATTTCATGGATTAGTGAAGAGGAACAGTGGAATATGGAGAATTAATTTAGGAGAGATCAGAGAGGTGAGGTTAGAGTTGTTGAGGGAAGACTTTGATAAAGAACAGAAATGTGTGGAAGAGGTTGAAAGAAGAGATTAAGGTAAAAAAAAAAAAAGCAGTTAATCCTGAAAATTGAAGCAGCGTAAATCCTGAATGCATAGTCAAAGCTGGTACATAAGCAGTGAAATCTATGGAGGCCTAACCACACCCTCTGCTGGTTATTGCAGGTATTCCTGTATTCTTTTTTTTTTTAATTATTGAATGATTTTATGTTACAAAAAACAATACAGCCATACTACTACTAAATATAATTAAGAAATAAAAATTACATACATCAATATTTAGTTTGTTGTTTGTTATTTGCCATCTTACTTCCTCCCAAACATTGCATACAAAAACACTCATACAGGTATTCCTGTATTCTTAGAGACCGATTTACTACTGTTATTTCTATAGGGCTGGGTTCAGAATTCCTGTGAACAAAACTCATAGGATGCTTTTGTCAGAGGAAGGGTGCTCTGGAATGTTGGCCCCCCTCTCCCAAACATTGTGGGATGGGGGTTGCAGGCAGTGGCAGCTGGTAACATTTTGACTTGGTAGGGTTACAGTGTTTAACCTTGCTGTCTTCATCACAATAGGGCTTGTGAAGCACTTACTTAGGAAAGTATGCCTTTACACATGTGCAGAATCACTGGCGGAGGAGCGTACCGCCGCTGGCAGTGCGATTCCGGTGGGGTGCCATTGTGGCTGCCTCCCTGCCTGCGCTGGGCACCACGCCCCCAAGACGTGCGCCAGCCATGCCCCCGCTTGCTCTCCGGCCCCCGGTGCCGGAGCATGAAGCTCTGCCACTGTGTAGAATGCTATTGTCTCTCCCTTTCTTGAAAAGGTTATTCTTTGTACAGCTATGGACAGAGAAAGAGCTTCCAAGTAAGAGGGCCGAGGTTTGATTTTCAGACAAGAATGACTCACATTGCACCCTTCCTTCTACACACCTGTAAGAAATCTAAATGATTTTTTTTTACTGAAAATAACTTCACAGCAAAACCAAATTATGGAAATGATCGGAGGATGAAATGTGATATAGCTACTTGTCTTTCTAGTTGCTCATCTTATTTCAAGCTCAGCAGTTAAGTTCCATGGCCTTTGTGCATTGACACCCTTTGAAAATTTTATTTTGAATACGACTGAGCATTCTAAAAAAAAAAGGATGATGCTCAGCAACCAAACAATTATGAGAAACAGTCCTAGGTGCCAGCACCAAAGAGGCGGACTGGAACAATTTATGGGCCAAAAACCCTTTAAGATCAGTGTTAATTCGCAAAAGGGAGAATTATTTTAAGTTAATTTATACATGACATTTACACCTTTAAGATACAGTTACATAGATGAAACACCTACCAATGTGCTGAAGAGAAAGTAAGCCCTTTCCATAGGTGGCAGTCATGTGAACTTGTGCAGACATTACGGGAAAGACTATTTGTGGAAATAAGTGATTACAAATCAGCATGTACAACGCAATCCAAGCATGGATTTATTAAAGATATTTAAAGAAGATCAGTTCAATTTACTTCATAAGCAACTCATCATTTTTCTCCTGGTGGCAGCACAGTTACTCATAGCACGAAACTGGAAAGGACTTGAACACCTACATATCACATGATGGTAACAGAATGTATAGATTATTGCCGTAGATGAAAAATTGACAAAAAGGGTGCATGCCTTGAACAACACACCCGATGCAGATGCTTTTATTGAAATACGGTGCCCCTTTATAAATATTTGAATGAACACTTGGAAGACCCACCAGGCTTATGGTAAAATCTGATATATTACTACTCTTCTGTTCCAGGGGGGTGGAACTGGAGAAAACTTAATGTTTGGTTCATATTTTGTTGCAAATCAATAAAAATATTTTATATATGTAAAGAATGACATCATACCTCTTATTTAGAAATTAAGCCACAACAAATGTTTGAATTCATGTCTTGTTTACACTTACACATCCGTTGCCAAAAAGCTAAATACACAAAACTTAAAAATGTGAGGAACAGTTGCATGCAGTTTTGCTCCCCTGCAATCAGCTGGACTATTTATTATACAAACTACTTTCCCCCTCTAAATTAAATTAACAGCCAATAGACAAACAAATGATTGTTGTGGGCTTCCTATAGGCATCTGGTTGGCCCCTATAAGAACAGAATGCTGAGCTAGATGGGCCTTCAGTCTGATCCAGCAGGGTTCTTAGACAGTTCTGAACAGGACAGGCAATGAGATATGGAAAACACAAACAGCATTCTTCTTTTTTCTGGGACATTGTGGCAAATGAATTCGGACATATCCATCTTTGAAATTCTATACTGCAAGAATACTGACCATAGATTGGACTGGAGATGGGACAGTGACTTTGTAAATTAAAGTCACTAGGTGGCACTATGGCATTGTTTTCACTTATTGTGCAGAGAATGTGTGTCGAAGGCTGATAGTACCATGTGACTGTATTCCTCTGACCCTCTCAGGAGTTCTGCTTTTTAAAATACAAAGAGGTATGTCCTCTTATGCAACTAGGAAAAGGTTGTACAAAGGTTCCCATCGTATGGGGAAAATTAGGTAAGGCAAAATTCTGTTGGGGAAAAAATAGATATGCTGATACCGGCAGTGAGAACATGAGGGAATAAAGCACCCTGCTATTTTGCAATTACATTAATAAATTAAATAGTTTGAGAACAAATGTTATGCATTCATTTTTCACTTAAGATACTTGCATGCTGCTTTCAAAGCAAACCTCACATTGTTACTTAACATTGTTTAAAAAAGCCACTACATTTGAGGTGGTTGGAGAAGAGGAAGTCCACCACTCAGAGGCAATGACTCCTCCAAAGTTTTGGGTAGTGGTTGTTTTTCTTTTACACAAGGTACTCCAGTTCCTCCATCTTGGATTGAAGACACTGATGTTATTTTTAAGCAGTTTCTCCTAATATCTTTTGTTCGCTTTTAAATAGATGTAAGTTGTTTGCCAAAGCGAACCTTCTCGATAATAATAGATAATAATAATAATGGTATCTGGGGTTAATTTATAGATTAGCCAAAAAATAATCTGGTCTGAAAACTGACAGAATGAAATACAGTGTAGAAGTTTTGCTTTTAGGCAAAATATAATTATGAAAACTTGAATGTAGACTTCTAGAATGGAGTGCATGTGAAAAGGATCTTGGAATGGTAATCAATCACAAGCTGAACATAATAGCAATGTGATGTTGGCTGAAAAAAGGGATAATGGGATCTTAGACTGTATTAATAGAAACATTGTTTCCAAGTAAATGAGAGGTAATAATTATACTTTGTTCTGCATGAGTCAGAATACATCTATGTCCAGTACTGGGCATCATAGTTAAAAGGGATATATTTTATTTTATTATTTATTTTATTTATTAAATGTATGTATCACCCTTCGCCCAAAGATCACAAGATAAAAATACAGGATAAAAGCACAAATAATAGAACAAGAGCAAAACAAAAACACACACACACCAAACACATTTAGAAGGCTGCAGAATATTAAACAGCCAAGGGCCTGCTTGATGAGGAACGGTTTTACCTGGCGCCTAAAGATATATAGTGAAGGCACCAGACAATTTTTCCTGGGGAGAGCATTCCACAAACAGAGAGTCACTGCAGAAAAAGCCCGTTTTCATGTTGCCACCCTCTGGACCTCTCATGGAGGAGGCACACAAAGGGCCTCAGATGATCATTGCAGAGCCCGGGTTGGTTTATATGAAAGGTGGTCCCTGAGGTACTGTGGTCCTGAGATGTTTAAGACCATGGATGGGGAACCTGCGACCCTCCAGATCTTGCTGGACTTACAACTCCCATCATCCCTGACCATTGGGCCATGGTGGCTGGCCTTATGGGAGTTTGAGTAAAACAACATTTGGAGGGCCATAGGTTCTCCATTCCTGACAGAGACAAATCTGAACAGACTCAGAGGAGGGCAACACAGTTTGCCAGTGATGTGGGGGGAAAAGGCCTATGAGGAAAGGTTGAAAGGAGCTGATACATTTAACCTGAAGAAGAGGAGGGAAAACATGGGAGTACTCCTTAGATACAGGAAGGGTTGTCAGATAGAAGAAAACAATCTAGTACTGGACTAGATTAACCAGGGCTAGTTTAGATCTTAAATTTCCAGGTGGGCTTAATTTATAGGAAGGTGCATTTCCAAATATAACCCTATGCACATTTACTTGGTTTTAAAACATCTAGTTGAAATCAGTGGTTCTTCGTTCCAAGAAGGTATTCATAGGGTTGGCTATATGTTGGCCTTACACAAGGATGATATTACACTAAATTACACTAAGACAATTCCCTAAGTAGACTGCTGATGACAAAGTGTTTAATTTATAGGTGCCTGCACAACATACCCCATGTTACTGTTTTCAGATGCAGTAGACATACCGTATTTTTCGCACCATAGGACGCACCGGACAATAGGACGCACCTTGTTTTAGAGGGGGGAGAACAAGAAAAAAAAATTCTCCCCCTCTCTGCCCAGCGCCCCTTCAGCGAAGCGGCAGGAGGCGCTGCGCAGAGAGAGGGAGAATTTTCCCCCTCTTGTTTTCCCGCTCTAAAACAAGGTGCCATTTAAGGTGCGTTCAGGCGGCTACCTTGGAAGCCTGGAGAGCGAGAGGGGTCAGTGCACATCGACCCCTCTTGCTCTCTAGGCTTCAGGTTCCTTTCGACCTGCTCTTTGGGGCTGGCGGGGGGAAGCCCACCACCAGCCCCAAAGAGCAGGTCAGGGAGCAGCGGAAAGGCGCAGCGGAGAGGCTGCTGCCATAGTCGCACGTCACTTCTCCAGCTGGGAGAGGGTCGCGGAGCTATGGCTTCTTTAGCCCCGCACACGCTCTCCCAGCTGAAGAGGTGGTGCGTTTTGGGATACTGCCAGGGAGATAAAGTCCATCATGGCCCCCAAGCCGTCTGCCGGACGATCCATCAGCCTCCCGTAGGCACGCAGTATCAACAATTAGCGACATGAGTTTCTCGAAGATTTCTTGCCACATTCCAGAGCTCATGCACACTCTTATCAGCAGATAGCACAGCCAAAAGTTGCAATCAGGAGAGCATTATTTACAAGTTTATTCAGCGTTGATCAGAACACAGAAAAACATGACCGACTGCTTTAGTGTCTGCGACAACAGAGAAAACGAAAGCAACAGCAAACATAAACATCCTGTGAACAGGAAATACGCAGACTCTGACTCACAAAGCCTGCTCCCTTTTAAGGTGGAACGGAAATATCCTAACATCCTCCCCCTTTCCGTGTAACCTGTAGTACCTGTGGTTCAACCCAATTGCAACCTTTGTACGTAAACCTTAAGTTGTTCTCTGTTAACAACCTTAGACAACAGATCAGCAGGAATTTCATTTCCTGGCATGTAGGACACCTGAATGAGTCCTTTCTGAATACACTCTCTTGCACGATGTAGCTTAATCTGCAAGTACTTGGTCCTTTGCTTGCAACTCTCCGAGTTCAGCAAAGCCAAACACGATCTATTGTCTTGATACACTTGTACAGGACACTTCACAGAAACTCCGATGTCCTTAAACAGTTGCATCAACCATTCACAATCCATGAGTGAAAATGACAGAGCATTGAGTTCTGCTTCACAGGAACTTAGACTCACTGTCGTCTGCTTTTTGCACAACCAGTCAAACAGGCAGTGGTTGTACATGTAGCATACTCCAGAAGTGCTCGTACCATCCATGGTGTCACTTCCAAAACTTGCATCTGCAAAGATTTCAAGACCTCCAGTCTTCTGACTGGTGAACCTCAGCCTGTAGTGCAAAGTCCCTTTCAAATAGCGGGCTATGCGCTTCAGAGCTTTCCAATCCTGAACAGTAGGATTGTTGGCATGTCTGCTAAGCAGGTTAGTGCTTACAGCTATGTCAGGTCTTGAGCATCTAGCAATGAAATTCAACTTGCCTAGAATGCATCTGTACAGCGTTGTGTCAGAAAACGCTTCAGCAGTACTGTCTACCTGGTAACCTGTCACCATCGGTGTGTCTGCTGGGTTTGCATCAACCAAATTCAACCTGGTTAATACATCAGCGATTTTCTGTGTTTGGTGTACCAGAAAATTACCTGCTTGGTCCCTCTCCACCTGCAGAGAAAGATAGTTGGATACCTCACCAAGATCCTTCATGTCAAAGTGCTCCTTCAGCTGAGCTAGGGTGCTTTGGTAGAAAGCCTGATTCTTCCAAAACATCAGAAGATCATCAACAAAACATAAACAATACAGTTTGTTTTGCCCCTCCTCCTTGACAAACACACATGGATCAGCTTTGCCCTGGTGAAAACCTAGAGAAAGCAACGTCTCAGTGAGTTTCGTGTTCCAACACCTGGCACTCTGCTTGAGACCATATAAGGATTTCCGCAGTTTACAGACCATTCCCTTCTGTATCTGCATCCCGTCAGGTGGAAGCATGAACAGCTCCTCGTCCAAAATCCCGTACAAAAAAGCTGTATTAATGTCATGATGGGAAACATGCAGTTTCTCCTCTGCAGCTATCTTGAGCATCAGCCGAATGCTCTCATATTTGACGGTGGGTGAGTAGGTCTCGTGGTAATCCTGTCCTGGTACCTGTGAAAAACCTCTGGCAACCAATCTGGCTTTGTGTCTGACAACCTTGCCATTCTGGTCTGTCTTGGCCTTGAAGACCCATTTGCTGCCAACCAGTCTCATTCCTGGGACTACCGGTACCAGCTCCCAAGTTTGGTTCCTATTCAAGGAATCAACTTCAGCCTTCATGGCATTAAGCCAAGGCTCAGCATCTTTAGAGGTTAACTCCTGAACCTCTTTGAAGCTTGAAGGTTCCCATACCTTCTCTGAGCTACTAAGAACAGCAGTTGCTGTCTTAGCAAACTCATCAGCAAATCTCTTTGGAGGTCTGCCCTTGGTCGCTCTCTCAGATCTGCGTACTAGACGCAAGTCTTCTGGACTCATCTCCTCCTTCTTAGGAGAAAAATGACCAATGGTGAACAGTGGTTCTTCCAGTTCATTGTCAGACGCATCAGATGGTCTGACTGAGGCCTTTGCGCTCTTGTAGTCTGCTGTGTCATCACTATCACCGACATCAGCAGCAGCGCCGCCCACTGAACTGGAATCCGAACTCTGATCATCATCGTCATCATCATCCTCAGCAGCTTCCTCAGCTTTAGCTGCTTCTTTGACATCAGCTTCATCCTCCTCTGGGTAACTCTGGAAAATTCCCACATTTTCCCCCCACTTAGGATTGTACTCAACACTCTTTGTGAACTTAATGGACTTAGAGTTGGTCATCCACACCCTGTATGCACCTTTGTCGTACCCCATGAACAAACCATGTGCCCCACGCTTCCCAAGCTTGTTGCTCTGTGGGGTGTGTACCCACATGTCAGAACCAAAGAATCTCATGTGTTTGATGTTGGGTTTCTTACCAAACATCTTCTCATAGGGGGTACAACCAATAGGTGATGACAATCTGCGATTATAAGTGTAAGCAAAATTTGCCAGAGCCTCCCCCCAATACTTATCAGGGAGATTGGCATCATGCAACAAGGTTTTCATTCCTTGCAGCAACGTTTGATTTGCTCGCTCCGCAAGCCCATTCATCCATGGCGATCTAGGCGTTGACAAGTCATGCTGGATTCCCTTCTCAGTCAGGAAAGCTTCAAACTGCTGAGAAGTGAACTCCCCGCCTCGATCAGTAAACAGACAGCCAATACGTTTACCATGAACATTCTCCAACCAAGCACAGAATGCCTTGAACTTCGGAAACGCTTGCGATTTCTGCTCGAGCATAAACACATGAATGTACCTGGAAAAAGAGTCAATTAGAACCATGAAGTATCTTGCTCCACCCAAAGAGGGCGCAAGTGGACCAACCAGGTCTGCGTGCACTAGCTGGTAGGGTTTGGAAGCCTGCCTGCTAGACTCCTTGCCTTTTGGAGCAACCTTCACCTTGTTCTCTGCACAAGATACACATTTCATGTGAAACTTACAGGGTTTGATGTTCAAACCCTCAACCATCTCTGGCATCTTGGCCAGCGCCTGCCAAGACATGTGACAAAATCTTCTGTGTGCATCATGAATGCATCCTGCATGAAGAACTTTGTTAGTTTGTGCAACACAACAAGAATCAACATTAGACTCAACAGCAGCAATGTCATCATAAGTTATACAGAACAAGCCATCCATAAACTTTGCATGCAAAATGTCCTCTTTGCCTTTTCTGATGACACAGACGCTCCTCTTGAAGGAAATCTCAAAACCACGCCCAGTCAGCTGTGGGACACTGAGCAAATTGTCTGCAGCACCTGGAACATACAGTACATCTTTGATGGTAGTGTGCAGACTTGCCAGTTTCACAGTCCCTTCTCCTGCGATTCGCAACGTTTTTCCGTCAGCCAGGTGGATCTCACCTTCTTGAGGTTTAAAGGAGATAAATAGGTGGCGGTCCTTTGAGATATGGCGGGTACAGCCTGAATCAACAACAAACCTGGCCTTGGCTTTTGGAGCAGCCTTTGCAGCAAGCAAAACCTTGTTTTCCACCGGCGTGGGCTTTTGCAGCTTGCCCCCCTGCTCCTGGCCATCAGACTTGCCTTTAGCCTTTGGTGAGGCTGTGCCAGCAAACAAAACCTTGTTTTCCACTGGCGTGGGCTTTTCACCCTCCCTCTGCTTCTGGCCATCTGCAGGCGTCTGCCTCTGTTTACCTTTGCCCTTCCGGCCTCTGCAAATGCGATGACCTTGGCTCCCACGAGAAACAGAGTTCTCAGCTGCCGACTCCTTGGCTCCCCCTGGAGGCTGGAATGCTGCCTGGGATGACGTGACAGTCAGCTCCCCCTGCAGCTTGCAACCGGTGCCCTCGGCATCCCTGCATTCACTCGCATTCTGGGAAACAGCCAGGACCTCCAATGCAGTCAAACTCTGGGCTGGGATGACTGGCAGGTGGGCTACTTTCAAAGCATGCCACATATTACGTGCAGTCAGATTGCCAGCTAACGTTTTAATTTCCTCCAGAGAGACGGACAAGACTATTATGTCAACGGCCTTCGAATTAGCGGCCCTCCATCTATCTGTCAGAGGAACTGGAGGGGCTTCAGACACAGTATGCCACACTCCAAACTGACGCAGCAAGCTCTCACACCACACAGCCCAGGTCCCATAATTGTGCCGATTTAACTTTGGGCACGCAGCAGCCTCAGAAGCCTGGAAAAACTCCATTCCAGGTTTCTACTTGAGCCGTGAATCTTATTCACTTCAGAGACTCCTTATCTTGGCTCCCATTAATCACGAAGCCTTTTGGCGCGGCTCCCAGATCCATTAATCTGCCGGAGTTCAAAGGCCCTTGCCTCGGCAAACAGAAAAGCCTCACTTTCGCTTTTCTTCCACATACCTTTCATCAGTCTGTCGCAGTCTTACTCTCCTGTAAGTGCTGTGAATCTGGGCCCGAAACCTGTTTTTGGGATACTGCCAGGGAGATAAAGTCCATCATGGCCCCCAAGCCGTCTGCCGGACGATCCATCAGCCTCCCGTAGTCACGCAGTATCAACAATTAGCGACATGAGTTTCTCGAAGATTTCTTGCCACATTCCAGAGCTCATGCACACTCTTATCAGCAGATAGCACAGCCAAAAGTTGCAATCAGGAGAGCATTATTTACAAGTTTATTCAGCGTTGATCAGAACACAGAAAAACATGACCGACTGCTTTAGTGTCTGCGACAACAGAGAAAACGAAAGCAACAGCAAACATAAACATCCTGTGAACAGGAAATACGCAGACTCTGACTCACAAAGCCTGCTCCCTTTTAAGGTGGAACGGAAATATCCTAACAGTGCGCGGCTATAGAGGCTCCTGCCATAGCCGCGCGTCACCTCTCCAGCCGGGAGAGGGTCGCGGGGCTATGGCGTCTTCGCTCCATAGGACACACACACATTTCCCCTTCATTTTTGAAGGGGAAAAAGTGCGTCCTATAGAGCGAAAAATACGGTACATCTATCTTATTGTACATAGAATGTGGTTTACATTGCAAATCACATGTATGTAATTATACATTATAATCCAGGTCTCGTAAATGGTAAGGTTTGTTCTTGGCTACTGCTCGTTTTTCATTTGGAGAGAAACAAACCTTGATCCTGAGTTTAAACATAATGACAAGCCAGACTATAGCCGATTTCCTTGCTGGTGTGGCCCCTGCAAGAACAGGAGAGGCGGGGAGTGCCTGCTATTGAGGAGAGGGCACTGGCACAATAAACTATAGTTTATTGTCACAATGGTTTAATGAGACATGCAAACCAGGCCAATCAGTAAAGGCTTCAGTCAAAACACTGGGCAGACCGAGAAAACATTTGTGTGGTTTTGTATTTCCCATTTCCAGGCAGTAAGGCTCCTTATTTTTTTAGCTTATCGATTGTAAGCTTTGCAAAGTGCATGCCTAGGGGGGGAAATACTGGAACAGAAAATTTAAAGCATATGGTGGAACAATTATTATTATTTCCATAGCACTAGTTTCCTCTTGTAACACTCCCTTTGCAATTTCAGCTGAACTCCACCCACATTGTCAGAGTTGCATCTTAAACAAAAGTTGAAGTAGTACTATCTGCTGCAGTTCAACTTTTGTATTTACATGTTTTCATAAAATAAATAATAATAATTCTCAGAAACTGCAGCATATTGGAAAACATGACAAAATATGATCTTCCAGATTAGATAAGTAGTTTAATTAGAACAAAATCACAACTTTGTTCTTAAGTGATTGTATGTAAAATCTTTGTCGCACTCCATTAGGAGCAGGGAATGGGGCCACCATTTCTTGGCCGAAGCAGATGCAGCACTGGGCTAGGAATGGCAGAGAAATCACACAATTCCATAGAATTAAGTAGTTAAAAACAACTTAACTTTCATTTTTAAAGAGTAAGTGCTTGGGTCTGAGAGTTCCCCACTGCAGAGTGCTAGGGGGTGGGGGAAGGGAAGGAACATGAAGATGAACAAGAAATCATTCACAGAGTTATCCCAAAATAAATTTAATTCACCTTTAATTCACCTAGCAATTATGGTAACAAATCTCATGGGTAGTTCAGTGAACCTTGTTCATTCCAAGGCCTGGTTGTAGGTCTGCTTGTAATTCCTTATAAGTCACTGTAGAATAACAGAGTTACTAAAATGCTTTTTGAGAACAACAGCAAGTAGTTATCCAGAACACATTATTAAGGTCTACATCCTTTATTAATAACAGCACTCAAAAGACTCAATGCATTTTCTCAGGGACACTTTATTTTTGTTCGTTATATTTAGAAATCACAAGCTTGGTTGATGCTTTCAAATAGTAATTTCCTCCCATGTTATTAGTAGCCAAGGTTTGATTTATCACATCTATTATTGACTTTGATTTGCCTTGACTTTACACAGTAGCAGAAGTTAAATTGCTATGTTTTCTTATTCTTACGAGTGTAACAGCCCTTTTATTGGAAGTTCAATAGTATGTGAGCTAGCTAGACTAACAAAATTCAATTTGATACCCAATTTGGCTTTAGGATTTTCACTTGCGTTTTACTGAAAAAAGCTTAAGGCATTCCCATTGTTGGCAGTAACTGATTGCACATCCACTGAGGCACAATCACACACATGTACAATATACTGTATAAAGATTAGCAAGCTGGGAGGCAGTGATTGGACGAAATGTGCCTTATTAAAGTAGAAGCAACTAGAATTTTCTTTTAAACAAATGTAGCTTAATATTCAGCCAATTGTTTTTATATATAAATTTATAAAAGTTCCACATCCCATGTATTATAGTATAATTTGGAACAATCTAATTGTATTGTCCTAGCTTTCTGCTCTCTCTCACTTAGCTTTATTTACAAGACCCAGCCATTGACAACTAGGAGGAAACAACCATGAGAAATGGGTTATAGCTCAAGGCCTTTTGCATACATGAATTACAATGAAAGAGAAAAACTGTTTCCTACCTTCTAGTTCCTCTCAATTCCACAGCAATTTGGAGATGCGCTTTTCATTTAGAGCGGTTTCAACATGGAGGTTGAGACCCAACATAGCTTTATACAAGAGCCTTCTCTTTCAAATTGGTCACATTTGCATAAAATGTTGGCGGAATCAGAGCCTGAGATACTATGGAGAGCAACTTCAGCATATTTTAAAGGCCAGGTAGAGCAAATTTTGTTACGTAGCCAACCATCTGAAAGGTCACCACACAGCATGTGAACTATCATACCAAACAAGAATTAGTACCAACGTTTTACTGATGTTTTAATTTCTTATATGAACCAACTGGAATATCTAGCTACAGGTCAGGATCACATGATCAGCAGAGAGATGAAGCAGCACATGCAACATGGTCAAAAATTTGAGACTGCTTCCGTATATAGTGCTAATAAATGAGATCAACCATAAGACTGCTCTAAACCCAGCTCAGGACACCAGCCTTTTCTGTTGCCCTCCACCTCAACAAGGGCAGTATAGGTGCTGTGGCCTGGGCTCTGTGGCTGCAGAGTATGTCAGTTTAAGGTGGTATAATGATAGGATTGCCATAGTAAAAATTCAAAAATATACAGAGTCTGGTGGAGCAGGGTGTTACAAAATAAAGGAGATCAGTTCTGTTCTATGGTACTGCTGTGATCTAAAATCAAACAATTATACATTTTTTTAAAGGGGCATCTGGCAACCCTAGTGCAAAGTGAGATATTTTAAAATCTGCGTTGTATTTCTCTTTTAAATGTGCAATAAAAATAATTTTAACATTACTTCTGCCAAAATGAACCTAAGTACAAGGCTTCTTGATGGCATACTTAAAAAAAATAATTCAAGTTATCATTCTCAATGTTTTTGGTGATCAGGAGCACAAACATTTAAAACAGAGGTGAAACTCGTGGTTGCTTTAAACATTAATATTCAACAGAACATCAAACTGAAAATTACAAAACCCCAAAATATATAGTAACTACATAATTATAGATACAACATTATAGCTACAGAAGGCATGCTCATCAACAATCCATCAGAAAATTACAAAATAAAATAATAAGAAAATTCCTTTACAGATCAAGCTAACTTAATAAGAGCAGACAAAAGTGATGTACTGAACCAGCCAGTAATCAGGTTTAAAACTCATGCCTCCCTTTTAGAAGGTTCAAGCACTGCTAGAGTGGAACACAAAAGGCCTTTGGAGTGCACATGGAAAACTGTGTTTAGACATAACGAAGTCCCCCCCCCCCATTAGACACAAAACACATAAAATTGCTAACTACCCCATTGTAAGACTTGCTCTGTCAGCACATAAATCTTCAGGCCAAGAAATCCAAGTACAGTATAGTTGGGAGGGGGAACAAGTGTGCTTCTGAATCCTTAGTTTCAAAAGCTGTTTCCTCTCCACCAAAAAGACTTCCTATACCCTGGAGAACTGCAAGAGCAATCTCTGGTGGTGCGGTGTGAGAAACTGTAGCCGGGGTGGGGGTGAGGGGTAGAGAGGACAACACTAATGTGGAAAGATCTGTGCACAGGCAGCTAAGGAGCTCTTTGGATCCTAACCATGGGCTGGAGTATACCAACAGCTATGCCAGCATAACTCTACAACTAACTGCTTTGCCAACATTGCAGGCTGGCCAGCCAATGGAACTAAATGGGATTGGTGCACCAGAGGTCAAAATGCAAAAGAGTCTTCTCCAAGAAGGGTTGGGAAGAAAGAAGAAATCCAATCCAAAAGACATACCCAGACTGCTAATTAAACAGGTGTGCCAGGTGTGCACTCTCTCTCTTTCTCATCACATAGCTAGAGACGGGGGGGGGGGGGAATCTAGTTGCATAACACCGGCCACTTAGCAGAGAGGGGACATACCTAGAAGAAGCACTACCAGTGTAGTTAACATGTCATTCTTCTGAAGGAAAAGCGTGATATAAAAACCAATCTTTTCCTTACCAATTCACATTAAGATGGATATCCTTTCAAATGCCCCAAAGCCTTCCCTTGTGAGGTTTAACATTCAGAACACCGTTTTCACGATTTAACTTTCACTGCCATTGCACTTTTGTTTTCTGCACAGCCAAGGCCTTAATATTGGTACACTCTGCATCATACACCACTAGCATATTCTGCACACACCTTTAGTGGAATGCACTAGAGTCCTGGAGACTGGTTTCTAAAAATATAAGGTTGGATCCATACTTGCCCCTCTGTGAACAGAAAGGCTCCTTCCTTTTAGAGAGGGAACTGGGATCCAGCAGAGGCTGCCCATGAAGGAAGGGGTGGTGGTGATTTTCGCCAATTCCCTCTTTTGTCTTCTGCCCCCAAAGCTACTTCCCACCCTGTTTCAGAGGATTCCACAACACTCTGGACAGGTTTTCAGGGGACAAAGAAGACTGCAGGGGGGAGAGAGATTAGCAAAAACTGCCTTCCCACCTGCTTCCTCCAATACGAGCATAACTGTTGACTGAGAGCTTCAATCAAGCCCTTAATTTCATTATCAACTAACAGATTATACAATTAATTTAAAAAATAGACATTATATTCCAGTTTTACAGTACAAATGTATATTTATACCAGTTGCTAGAAATGGCAGGGGGTTTCCCACGGCCATCTGCTTGGCCACCAGGAGAACAGGATGCTAGACTAGATGGGCCACTGGCCTAATCCAGCAGGCTCTTATGCCTGATTATTATATAAGCAATTTCTTCTTGGTAGGGAGAGAATTGGGGATTTTATCCAACTTTTCTCTAGTCTCACATATCATTATCAGAAAGCTTAAGAAATGCAGATTAGAAGGAATCAGCATGCAGTGGATATTTAAAAAGAAAAAATTACTGACACTGAATAAGAATCAAGTTCCAAACAGATTTCGGCAGGTGTCAGTCATGAGTCCGGTGTTTGTTGTCGTTTTCAGTTATGGAATTAACAAAATTTTCAGCTAAAAGGAAAACTAAGAATGTACTGTCACCACAAGATAGACTGAAGCTCATCTTTTTCATGGGTGAGAGAATATATATCAGATATTCTTAAACTGATATGCAAGCTTTTTCAGAGCTTTCTTAATTATTTTTTCCCTTTTCCTTCATAATTTGGTCAAGGAGAAATCAATTGCTTTATTAAAGCTAAGGCAGTTTTGATACCGAGGCTTATTTTGCTCACTACAAAGAAGAAACCATATTTGCCACTGAGCATAGACTCAGTGGGGAACTGTAGCTGATAATGGCTCCCTGGACATGATAGTGGTGTTTGCAAAAGTGTTGTTTTCATTCTTAGATGTACACTTAAAACATAATAGTTGTATATCTAAAAAAGAAATTTCTGACATAGCCCTTTACAAGGGATGCAGATGGTACCATTTATTGGCCGAAAAAATTATTTAAAATGCCATTTTTTTATTGTTGCGGCAAACGTTTTCTAAAAATCCACTTTTAAGGAATCTACAACTAAAAAGCTGTATATGAAGCAATGGAGGCATCCACTCATTACAGCTGCTACAATCTGAAATGCAAGACAAATTAATTAACAACTAGGCTGAGGGCTCTGATTTCTGCTGCACCACTCCAATAAAATTACAAAACTCACTAGGACAATTAAAAATCAGGACAAACAGTAATTAAACCCAAATAAGGTACGTTTCCATAAAATATGGACTTATTGCATGATAGTTGAAGACAACATCTTTGCATGATCAGCCAGAAAGACAATATAGTCCTGCTCTAAGTTTACATGGATTGCATACAATTATGTGGGGACTGGAAACTGTAGGGTAGGTGATAAAACTTTTTCTCTTCTTTATCTCCTAAGGTTGGTGGATTGCTGTTGAAAGCATCACACAAAGGTAACAGTAGGGCAGTTTATCAGTCCGTCATGCTGCCTCATGATATAGTAGCATGAATTCCACTTATGCACCCCTGATTACAGGAAAGTATCTCCTGAGCAGAGGTACTTCCTATGTCATTCACTGTAACTCTTCTGAAGGTGCCATGGTACAAGCAGCTTGAAATATTTTTCTCTCTTCAACAATTGTCAGTGAGCTGTCAGCAATTTCTTCTATGTGAAGGATAGCCAGTGCTTAAGTTCCTCTACACCCTGCACTATTCGAGTATAATAAAAGTCCATATTGGCGGCAAAGTCAGTACATACAGGAGATTCTGTGTCACCAAGCGTGCAGTACAGCGCGGTTCCTCCAACACTAAGGAATACAGTTGCTACGCACAATAAGATCAGCAGAACACAGGAGCCACCTCCAACTTCCTCTGTAAAGATAAGATACATAACACACAGCTGTTGAAATCGCAGGCAACCGAACTACTTTTGGACTCTTACAAGATAAAGATGCATGGCTTTATCACTTGTTTCTACAAGACCCTCCACCCCCTCCGTTTACCACCCAGCCTGATGATGAGTTCTGGAGGACTCAAAAGCACCTTGCTCACCATTTTATGACACGTGGGTTGGTGTAACAAAGGCATTGCCTTACTATGGGTCAACATGCCTTTGCGTGAAATGGAAACTCTTCGGGAAACTTTGCATGAAATGGAATGAATGTACTGTGTATGTCGCCCCCCCCCCCCCGATAAAAATATAGAAACAAAATTGGAAGAGAACAATTTATAATAATCTATGCCACGAGTAGCTAAAATGTAGGGCAATGCCTAACATCACTGAATACAGTGTAAGTTTTTTAGTTCTACAGAATTGTTCATCAGGCTAGATGGTAAACACAGCAACTATGGAGTGGGGAGAGAAGAGAGGGGCAAAAATATTTTGCCTAAGGCTGAAGCTATGGAATCTGTATCCGGTACCAGTCTTACAATGAAATGTGGAAGGAGGTAGTAGACATTCAAAGGATGCTATATAGGGCTATGTGGGTAGCAGTTTGCACCAGTGCCTGTTGTGAACGAGAAGCATAAAATGGCTAATTTTCCATTTCTGAAAACAAGAACTAGTCTGTGTCCAACCTTAAGCAGGAGACATGACGATCCCTTGTTCAATAGATTTCAAGTATGCCTTAGTTGACTGCAACTCATATTGTGTAATTTGGGGGGCAGGGGCGGGGGGTTGTGATAAACAAAAGCAGGGTACCTTGGTCAAATGTGTCTTCCATTTCTAGGAATCTTACTCTTCTTTTAGACTCTCTCCGCTGGATCTGAGCATCACTGTCATCTCTCTTCTTTAATATTGACACAAGCCCCTCCGCAGGAACAGTCTAACAGGAAAGATAAAAGAGGTGCTTTTAATGACAGACTATTAAGTGACTGGACTGCCTTGCACATCACAATATAGTAAACTATGGTTTACTGCTGGCTCCCAGAGAAGAGCTCATACTTATTTGCTCCTCCTTGGTCCTTTTAAGAACAGCATCTTGTCTGGTTAAGGGATCTCCTCCTTACCTATGACCAATAGGCAAGTTTTTGTCCTATGGTTACTAATCATGATTAATAAGGAGACCTCAACCTTGGTTTATCTCAGGGGCGGACTTTGGTAATCTTTCATAATATGGTGCCCTGTAAAGTCCCAAATTTGGCGCCCCCAATGGATCTTCTCAATTATTTATCTTTTCAATTTTGCACCCCTTCAGCTCAGTTCCCTATGCAGGAGAACCGCCTGTACCACCCTAAATCTGGTACTGCTTAGCTGTACACTGAGCTGAGCTAAAGGAACTGGGGAGGAGCAAAGCACATGTGAATTTCTCTCTAGGAGTTGGCACGTTTGTGTGGTCCTGGTAAACTGTGGTTTGGCTTTCCCTTGATGTGCAAATTAGGCCACTATGTTTGGCTTTATATACAGTGGTACATCGAGGTACAAACACCTTGGGTTACAAACACTTTGGGTTACAGACTCCACTAACCCAGAAGTAGTACTTCGGGTTATGAACTTTACCTCAGGATGAGAATAGAAATCACGCGGCGGCAGCGGGAGGCCCCATTAGCTAAAGTGGTGCTTCAGGTTAAGAACGGTTTCAGGTTAAGAACGGACCTCCAGAACGAATTAAGTTCGTAACCAGAGGTAACACTGCATTTCATTGGCTACATAATTGCACCAATGTATTCCAATAATTATGCAGCATTATATAATTTATATTACTAAACTATGACATTTGCTTCTAAACTTTGCTGTTGTTGGAACTTATAATTAACATGGTTATTTTGCAAAGAATTTCCCCCTAAATCACCATAAACTGTAAAGGTAGTGCTATACTGTGATTACAATGTAACATACAGTCTGAATAGTCATATTTTTTCTTTATGTTATTTATTTATTTATTTATGATGAAAAATATTTATGCTTTTTCTTAGCTGAAAAGTTGCCTTTATTCAATTTGATTACAATCTCTTTATATATTTAAAGGGGTTTCCTTCTCTTACACATACAGTTAGACACTCAGCTCAGCGTACATCTCTATGCAATTTTAGCATCAGGAGGGCATAGGTTCCTGATTTAAGGGATCTTGTACTTACTACAACTCTCAAATCACAATGTAACTCTCTGCTGTCTGGAAAATGACCACATGAGTATTACAATTCCTTACTGGATAATGCTAACAACATCACTTCTCATGAATGATACAATCACATCAGCCCCTACCACACTGTGACTAACACCAAAGCTCATTATGCAAAGAAATGGCTGACAGAAGAGTTGAAAGTGACTAGTCTCATGATAAAGTGTGAAGACAACCCTTCTCAGTTTCCACCCACAAAGCAAATCTTCAGATTTTGCAGTGAGACTTGAGATGGACTCACTGCCTTGGGCGTGCTCAAAAGCTTCCTGACACTTTATTTTGAGACTACATAGTTGGTGAGAGTCATTCCCTGCTATGGTGGTATATCATCCAGCAATAAAAGGAGAATAGTGAGGCAGACTGAGGAAAGTGCGAGACCAGTGAAGGGCCCACTTTCAGCTGCTTGTGTGGATAAATTCAGACACAGTTTGATTCTTCTGTGACGCATACAGGCTACTGCTGCACAGGTTGGAAGCCATTTCGCCACACAAGTGCCCCCTTGCTCAGATGCTGGGAATGTAACAGAGCATTAGAATGGGCGCAATCTTGAAAGCAAAACGCACAATTACAAAGCACATTTTTATAATGTCTCTAATGCATACTTCTGGTATTAATAGTTTTAGTTCTATCTGAAAAGAGAAAATCAATAAGCTGAACTTCTAAAAGCACAAGTACACAGAGCAGAGATGTTAGTAGCTTGTCTCTGAAGAGGGAGAAGTTATTTGTGCTATTTTGGCAAAACCATTAATAATACTTTATGAATTATTCAACATTCAAGGCTGCTGCTGCGCACATGCTACTGCTATTATAATTTGATGTGGTCAGGCTAGAAACAAAACATTGATCGTTGTTTTTTGATTGTATTACATAATAATATAAACCCTAACAGGAAGATTGCACCCTGGAGTATTAGCTGTTGATATGGAGACAACTGGCAATATTAAAGGCTTCATAATATGTTCCATATTCCAAGCAACTTGGAACATGTATCATTTATCTGAAAATAAACTTTCAGCTCCTAGTAATTTGCTATTACCCTGCCTTGACTTTGGAATTGCATTGTGCAATGCATGAGCATGGATACAATAGACAACCATAACTTATAGAAATAATGAAGGTTTGCTAACTTGGAGTAAGCCTCCAGGACATCATGGGTCTTACTTTCAAGCAAATAAGGGGTGTGCATATATATCTTGCAGACTGTTTTAATGTATGGGCATGCTTTTGGTTTCCCCCACACCAACAGTTTCACACAAAGATTTGCTTTCTGAGCATTACATGTGGACAATAATCTATTTTCCATAGATTAGCTGAGTGGGGTGTCATTGTCCATCACATTATTCTCATCCTGATACAGCATATTTCAATGCTTCATGCTGAACATGCATGCAGATCAAGCATTAGGGTGGGTCAAAGGTCAAATTATGTGTTAAAATGTCAACAGAATCTTTACTGACATTACTTTTAATGCTAGAGTCAAGAAAATTCCCCTGTCTTTATGAACTAAACAAAGCAAAGGTCAAATTCTAAAAACAATGAATACTGAACAGCTGATCACTCACAGGCTTCAACCAATTATTCTTATCAGCCTTTGAGGGTCCTTGGCTAAGGCTCCCTCAGTGGGGTCCCATTCCTAAATGGGCCTACCCAGTCGCTGTCCCTCTCACTCTCTGTACCCAAATCACACCACTGCCTGTAAAAAGAGAGCAAGGCAAGTGAAGGTTTCTCCTGATCTTTGCTCTTGTCACTGCTGACATGCTTGGAGAGAGCAGGTGAACAGACTGCAAAAGCGAGACGAAGGCTTTGGGGGTCATGTGAAACTAGGCGGGTGCCCAACTACACCAACTCCAGTCCTGATGCTTGTAAATCTGATCAGAATAAAACAGGAAACCTAATAAAACTACTGGATTGCTCTTGCTTCCCCTGCAAATGCATAGCCAAGGCAGGTAAGCCAGAACATTACAGAGTCTTACATAGTACAAGATATAGCCCTGCTCCAACACCCCCCCTTGCTTTTCCTTGATTTATGTATCTCTGAAACACATACCTCCAGTTGACACAGCCTAGGGAACAAACTCCCTCTAAAGAGAGCCAATATTACTCCATATTTGGCCTGGAGAGATTGCTATTGAATGATGCAAGGTACTCTCTGTCCCCTCTTCAGAGACCAAAGTCTGCCTGCTAAGAAGTCAGAGCCCAGAGAACAGCAAACCTAGTTTGGAATTACATAATGTTTCCCATAAGAACACTGTATCATCAGCTTTTGCCTTCTTACAGTAAACATAAGATGAGGGGAAGTAGGAACGAATGGCATTCAAATGGTACTTAGAAATGCAAAAAATAAATAAACATGGGGTGCGGGGCTCACTATGTTTATGGATACTGAAGTTTAGCAAGTGTAACATAAAAGATGGCTTTCCTCTTAAGTATTTAGAAATATAGACGTTGATGCAATTTTGGAGCAGATTTTTGCTGTATACAATACTCCCTTGAGACATGGTAAAAAATGAGAGAAGATAATAAATGTATCCAATTGTAATCCTTACCCATAAACTAGGTATTAAGACTGAAGGTTTATAAGAAGGATGTTTAAAATATTGCTAATAAACTTCAAAAACAAACACATCTCTTTGCTGTGCTGTTCCAGTTAACAAACTGTGCCACTGCTACTGGACGAAAATGGAAATGACTGACTACTGAAGACAAGTTTATTTATTCTACTTCTGACAGTTAGCCTTAGGGATCAATCTTGCCTTCAAAAGAGTTTTGAGGGGGGGAGGCAGAACTAAACAGAGAGCTCTCTTCCTTCAACCTTTTACAGAGCAGTGCATAATAGATGGCCTTTGGTGAACAATATTCTAGATGATTCATTTAGCATGCCCAGAAGTACACTGTGACCTCAAATATGTCAGTCAGCTATAAAAGTATGGTGTGTTCTGTCTCAATCTCTGACTTCTGATGCTGGCACTATGTGCTTTGGAACAGCAGTAAAAAGGATAAGCCATTATATCCTCAGGCCTTTCATTTACCAACGGTACATCAATCAGAATAGCTTAAAACTCCTTTGCGAAGTCATTCTGCCCATTTTCTTGCTGTTCAACTTAAAACAGCAATGGTAGAACCAAATATATTCTCACAAAGAGAATAAAATACACTCACGATTGTTCATCAGCCAGCCATGACTAGAATAACTGAAATGTTATTGTTAACCTCAGTTTAAGGTAAAGCAAAAAGGTCTGAAATATTCAAGTATTTTTTTACAAATGCCCCAGAGAGCTTTTTTCATTCTGCGCCCCCTCCTCATGATTACTTTTGCTACTGTTTGGCCTCTTAAGATGCATAAGTTTATTTATTTTATCCTCTTATTTTTCATAAAGAAAACTTTACTTACCTAAAACTTAATCAATAAACTTGGAAAGGAAAAATAAACAACACATCCTCCTAAACATGGCTTCTTTTCAGGAAAAAAACCACTACTTTTTTTATGCTAGAGAACACAAATAATATAAACCACAAATAGTGCCAACAGTGTTGGAAGTTATTTTTGCCAGTGTTTACCTCTGCAATCTCTATTCGTTTTGCAAGTTCATCAAGTGAAGAAAAGCTTTCATCCAGTGAATAACCTTCCGGTGAACTATAAAGTGCTTGTTCAGGAGGCATATGTGGAAGAATTTCGGAGTCCCCTTGGCTTGCTAGGCATTTAAGGGACTCCTCTCTGTCTGTTATGCAACCATTTAAAAACCGATCAAAGAGGTCTTCTGGTTCTTCATTTTCACCTTCCTCTTCCAGTACTGCTGTTTCCTCCTGTATCCCTTCATATGGAACACTGTCCAGTTCAGGCATGTTACCTTCAGCATGCACATCCCCGGTAATGTCTGATGTTCTGCCCTGCACAGATTTCTTATCACTTCCATAAGCTGTCTGTTGCTGGTGCTTGTTTAATACGTTGCTCCCCAACGGAGTACTGGAAATCACAATAGAGCCAGCTGACCTGAGTAAGTTTTGTTCAGACTGAACAGTTTCATCTGAGGGAATTAGATCAGGAGGCATATAATCGGCCTCTGTCAAAACCAATGTGTCTACCATTGGCTCACTAGAGCACTCTGCTGCAGGCTCCTCAGCAGCTGCTTCTATTTTTGCTACATCCTCAGAGAACTGCTCTTCTCTTGGCTGCAGACTGTCATCTTCACTAGCATCCTTTGTAGATAAACAGACTGGCTGAGGCGTGCCCAGTGTCTCTGTGGGCTGGGTGGCTGGCTCCAGTGTTGATTCATCATTGCAGCGCTCCTCCTCCATGTGGTGCTTCCCCACAGAGAGTCGAAGACTTGCCTTCTCTTCAAGCCTATGACGCTTTTCGGGTTGGAAGCTCTCACACCTCTCACTCTCTTTGCGATTGTTCTCTTTCTTTGGTTCAGCGCCAGGCCAAGTCTGAGTATCTAATGCAACAGGGAAAGAGTTCAAGCATTTAGAAGTGATTCAATACTTCAGCACTGTAGGAAAAAGAAGAAGAAGAAAAATCAGCAACCTGATAGCACTACCCGTTAATGTTTTGACTGAATTCCTGTCTGGCAACAACTGCTCTGCTCTACTAATTTTCATGTGTAAAATACAAATCATAGTTAAAGTGAAGCAGCTAACTTGTTTTCTATTGACTTTTAGAGCACTTAAGACACCTCTACATACCCTGCTGAACAAGGGTGTGATTAGTTACATATCTGCAAGTTTTCCTTTGGCTTTGGCACTAAGTGGCTTGATTTCACTTAAGTATTTTATACAGAAATTACAAATTGCTTTAAACATTTTAAAGGAAAGGGAAACTGTGATGAATATTGGTTGCTAAAAATATAATGGTAGCTTCAGTAACTATAATTAAAAAGGTACAAACCATACTGTTTACTGAAATTTTTAAAAAACCTTCATATGAAAGATTATAAAATCTCCATGATGTTTACTGCTGCAGCCCTATGCACCACTAAGTATGTATAGGTACCATTAAAAAAAGTATATTTAACTATGCAATGGGTTGTTATTGGGCAGAGTAAAGGCTGGGGGGGAAGGGGAAGGAAGATTTCTTGGCAGAGAAGCCACTGATTCCTAAGCCCTGCCAGCTTGCAGGTGGGAGCTGCTTGTTCTTTCCCCACCTGCTGCTATTTACAGATGTTTCCTAATTTCCCTCCCATTGACTCTAAACAAATTAACTATGACAGCTCTGTGGTTAGTTATTTGGTTTAGGTATGTGTGTCAAGGGAATGGGAGGCATCTTCTGGTCTACCCAACAGGTCCCTTTTCACTCCTTACTGCCATCAGCAGTGAAGGAGCAATGGCAGAGGAACTTTCTGCTACAACTAGGCCATCAGCCATAGGATGGCTCCCTTAAAGTTTACTTTGATAGAGTGGATGGAAATGATCTTAAGTGATAACAGTATCTTGTGTTTTGAACCAATGCTTGCAGTGCCCCGATGTAGTACATCACACCAGGATACCTGTGTAGCATCGACAGATACAGAACAAGGAGGAGATGATGGAGATACATGCCATCCAAGGGGTCTAGAAAAAGCTCAAAATCCTATTCATTGACGCAACCTGTCTCACATGGTTATTTTAAATACTTTTTTAAAATAAAAAACAACAACCTCATAGAATGAAAAGTACCGCCAAAGCAAAAAGATCTCTCATGTAGAGAAAAAAATATTCAGCAGCAAAGCATAACCAGAAACCTTAGGGAATAAAATGCTAGGCTCAGTTTCCATACCATATTTAGATAAAGCTTATAAGTTTTAGAGCAACAGATACATAGAAATGCAAGCACAAAAACTTGGCTACCTTCCCATAAGGTCACGTGAGGACAGAACCATTAAGATTTCTCAGAACAACATAATTATTGATAAGAACAAATAGATATTTTGACATTTTCTACGTAGAAAGATAAAAATGCACTTGAAGAGTCTCTTTTCCAACTAGAAGCTTTGTTGTGGAAACTTGAAGATCTGCACAACAAAAGCATTGGTCATGCCTCTATAGCGTGAAGTAGTCATTCCTTCAGCGCACCAAAAGGCACTGACAAAAGAAACTTCCTTAGTAGGGCTGTAAGCCTCCTCAGGAGGCCTGGATGCTAAGGGGATGCACTGTCTAGCAAAAACCTTTTCTGCACACAGTGTGGCAATCAGCAGATCAGAGCTTGCTTGGGAACAAACATCTGCTAATGTGATGAGACAAATACATGTAACTTAACCGCTGATGACATTACCAGGGGGCCACATATATGAGGCGTGAAGAGAGGACCTGAAGAACACAGACCACAAGGAAGCGAAACAAGATATTACTAAAGGGGTCAAAGAGGCTAAGAGGTTGCCTGAGATGAAATGTGATCGTAGCGAGAGGACATGTTCCTGATCTTTAGTGAATTGATTGATTAGGATTCATACATTGTCGTGCTGAAATATACTGCTTTGCTGGCACCACCATTTTGTTTGCATGACCTCAGTACTGGAGGACAGCATAGGGAGCAGCTTAGGTTTCTGTATACTAGCTGTGCTGAAAATAGTCACAGAGAAAAAGCTAGCACAGGGAAACGTCTAAACAAGAATTATCTAACACAACTAGCTTGTGTTGATGAAGAGAAGTTGATACCAAGGCATTCAACAAAGTCTCCCTGGTTATAGTGGTACCTTGGTTCTCAAACTTAATCCGTTCTGGGAGTCCGTTTGACTCCCGAAATGGTTCGAAAACCAAGGCACGGCTTCCGAATGGCTGCAGGAGCTTCCTACACTCATTCGGAAGCCGCGTCGGACGTTTGGCTTCCGAAAAACGTTTGCAAACCGGAATACGCACTTCCGGGTTTGTGGCGTTTGTGAGCCGATTTGTTTGGGAGCCAAGCCGTTCGAGAACCAAGGTACCACTGTATTTGATTTTAGGGCACTTTGGAATCAGCAGAGCCTTCCTTGGGCTAACTGGAAAAGCTCCAGTTTTACTTCCACCTCAAGATCACAGGCACACTGGCCATGTCCCTTTACCAAAGGTGTTAATTATACTCACAAGCAGAAAACCATTGTTTGCTAATGATCCCACGTTGTGGTTGGAATTCACAACTGATTTACCATGCAGTCCTGTACTCAGAAGTAAATCACAATGACGGCAATGGGGCTGACTCTTATACTGGGTATAGGATTCCTTGATTATACAGTCTTTTCAACCCTCAAGCATGCCACACACCAGCAAGGAGAAGGCTAAAATCTGTAGGCAGCAGGCAGGTACACATCCAGGCAGACAACATCTCTGCAGCCGACTGCTCCACAGCCACCTTTAGCCTCTTTTTCTATTTCCATGCTAATTTTAGCAACAGTGGTGGATGTACAGAAGTTGGACAGCGATTAATGTTAAGGAAATGAGGTCTATTATTTGAAGCCACTGCTCACACAGAAGCATAAAATTGTATAGTTGAAAGGGACCATGAGAATTATCTAGTCCAACTCCCTGCAATGCAGGAATCTTTTGCCCAATGTGGGGCTCGCATCCACAACCCTGAGATCAAGAGTTTCATGCTGTAACAATTGAGCTACTCTCATTCCTATGTTCTGCTGTTTTCTAAGAGAAGTCTAAGGCATCAAAAACGTAATCACCTTCTTATATTACTCTTGTTAGAAAAATGCCTAGCTAGTGCTATTCTAAATTAAAGCTTTCTAAACACTGACATGTTTTAAAAATAAAACTGAAAAGATTTACAAGAGGGATACCTGAATCACATGCAGCTGCACCTCTTTCCTTAAGATCTTCAGATATCCTTAACCCTACAAAACTCTCACGTTTCAGGGATTTTTCTTTACTTATTAGCTGAAAAACACAACAGAATTCCTATTACTGAATTTTGTTTTTGTTTCATTTCATGCAGTACAGGTTATTATGCAGTGTAAGCTCTACACATTACATTTAGCACATTATAGAACACCCAGACATTTACTTGTAAAACTATGCCAAGAAAAAACTTCACAGTTTACCTTGCTTCGGAAGACCAGCGGCCTGCAACCAAAAAAGAAAATACAAAATAAACAGCTGCTTCCACCAAAATATTATTCACAAAAAACATCATCAAAACTAGACGACAAATCAGATTAGTTCTTTCCATGCTCTAATATTAGCACAGAAGTTTCCAACACTGAAACACTATCTGTGCCAGCATAGTTTTAAAGCACAGAGCCAGACCATATGCTAACGTCATTACAAACTGCCAATTATTATTTAACGGCCCATAAGGCAGTAAAAGTGGTGAAATCAATACAAGAAGTGCTCTTATAGAATGTGTTTATACAAATGTATCAGCTTTCAAAAAATTGTCCTGAATTGAAATTGACCACTCAAAGGAATTAACAGTGCTTTTTAGATCACTGAAAGTACCACCTGAATAGCACTACTTCCTGTTTCTAGCGACACAAGAGAGTTAGGTGTGGATGGGAAGCTGTGAAAAACTAGCCTCTCCTAATATTTTGCAGCACATAGGCAGCACACTCAGTTTCCCCATTTTGCTCAATCTTCTAGTCTTCCACAGAAATAGCAACATATTTAAAAAGTGGAAGAAAACCATAAAAATCACAACACTGGCAGGACAGCTCAACCTTTTAAATGTTGTGCTTTATACTTCAAGAGCCTATTTCCAATAAAACAAATTATAAAGTAAAAATAAAAGCTTAAAGACAAACATAGGTGATTATTAAAATGTTAACTGCACACAATTCTTACCATTGACAAGAAGCAATTTGTCCACAATGCAGTCCAGAGCTGCACGGTGAGTTCTGCATGCAAAACAGTGCTTCTGACACCCAAGCACCTTCATTTTATTGTCACTTATATATCACATTTTTACACTGCCTTTCCACCAAGCAGCTCGGAACAGCGTCCTCAAACAATCACGATCCCCAATAAGTTTCATGGCCAAGAGGTTATGTAAGATCAGGTCTCTCTGGATTGCATCCAGCTCTCTGGCCACTACTCCACACTGGCACTCTAAGAATTCTCTCCCTCAATATGGCACTTGACAAGCAAATTCTGAAACAGTGGGAAGCGGCTTCAAATGCACTGCAGAGAGATTTCATTTTTTGGGTTGGAAGTGGGGGAGTTAAATGTTCTGGAAGCAATTCCTGGTGCATGTGACAAAGAAACCTCTCATTACTGGAGCCTCTGATGTGATAAATGCAACTATAGACCTGTAACACTTACTTTTAAAATATTGTGACTGTTAAGTAAAATAACATTAAACACAGCCATGCTCTTGGATCTTAGCGCAACTAGCGGAATAACAGTTTATGATCCATAATAACAATGCCCCGTCCACACTGACTCATCTATTAACTCTCTATTTTTTTTAAAAAAAATATTTATTAGGGTTTTCACAATATTACAAAATGAAAAGGAAAAAAAAGAAAAAATACAAAATAAAAATAGTTAAAAACAATTCAATCTTTCCATCACTTATCTTTCATTTGCTTGTTTCCCGGACCTCCTCATACCTCCCTTTTTTGTATTCCAGTTCAATTTATTAGTTCAGCAAATCCTTTCCCTCTTTGTTTTATCCTGATCTTTAATCTTAATATATTATAGCATTAAATTTTTACCTGTTAAAAATCCATTTTTTCATATTCTTTTATACCATTACAGCTAAAAACCACTTAACTTCAATCCAACATCATTCTAACATTCATTAATTTTGCAGTATTTCTGTAAATAGTCTTTAAATTTCTTCCAATCTTCTTCCACCTACTCTTCTCCCTGGTCTCAGATTCTGCCAGTCATTTCTGCCAATTCCATGTAGTCCATCACCTTCACATCTATTAACTCTCTATCCCACCCTTGCTCCAAGGAGCTCAGAGCAGCATAAGTAACTTCTCCCCCCCCAAAGCAATTTTATCTTTACAGCATTGTGAGAATGATTCACTTATGAGATGGTGAGCTTGGGGAAGATACTTAGGGAGCCATCCCAACTACCCGTCTTCCCAGCAGAGCTAAATGGGGGTGCCGGGACCAGCACTGCATCCATAGCCCTGCTGTGCATAGTGATTGAAGTGGAAGGGCAGGCAGATTGCCCTTCGATCAGAACCAGATTGAACTCTATGCTGTCATGTGATGGCAGGAGGGCCAGTTTGGGCCCAGGTGGTTCCCCAGCCAGCTCAGCCCTGCCTTCACCCTTGGAATGTCCTGTTTTGGGGCTTTCTGCTGCCTGCCACCAGCAGGTATGCTGGCACTGGCACATCTGCCAGCCCACACATTTGGCAGGTGAAAGGGGAGCCCCTCATCAGCAGAATGACACTGGCATCACTCTGCAGCCAGCATGAAGCCATATCTCTAACCAATCTACCCCATTCCTGCCTGGAACAAAGGGGTTTGGATTGCTCTGTGAGCTTCAAGGAAGAGCAGGGATTTAAACCTGCATCTCCCCATTCTAAGCCCACCACATTACAGTGGATATCTACAACACACAGAAAGCTAAAGATCAGTACACTGACTATTACAGAAGGCTCAAAACTGGATATTTTTATTTCCCCAAAACACATGCTATCTCATTAAACTTTACAACAATCCTGTAATGTAGGCCAGTATTATCCCCATACTTCAGACAGGGGTTGGGAGTGGTTTGTCTGAAAGCCGCCTAGTGAATTTTTGGCCAGGGTGATATTTATATTACGTCACTCTTAGGCTTTTATGCTACAGTACTGTAGTGCCCAGAAAGAACAGTGGAAAAAGTCTACCTCATAGCAGCAGCACAAAAGAAGCCAAGTCATGCCAAGGACATAATTTTGGCCAGCGTGAGTTTTCCAGAACAGCTTTCAACAGGGAAGGCAGGACGTGAGTGGAAGAGGGAGAATCTCCAGTGCTCATGCAATTGGGAATGGAACTCAGAAAACCAGACAGGGTATTCAGCCCCTAACCCATTTAAACAATCCTCACATTGGAGAAGAAGAGGCTTTCTGGGGCAGCCAGAAATCTAATAGCTAAAAATACATTTCTCATTAAACATGGGCTGGAGTTTAAATAGTTACTTTGGGGGTTTGTGTGACAGTGTTAATAATGGTAGAAAAGAAGGGGTGGGAAGTAAGGAAGGCAGCAGTGGACAATTCATCCAGTAAATGAATGGAACGGTGAAGGATACAGCAATAAGAGTAAAGTATGGGGACCGGAGAACTAGGGTAGAGAAAGGTAATTTAGCAGGAATATTGGAAGGTTGGAACAGTGGCAGGTAATAAGGAAAGGGCAGGGACCTGATGGAGGTGAGAAAGGGTAATAGGAGGAAACAAAATCAAAGTGGCATATAGGAGACATGATAGGCAACCTGTCAAGCAGAAACGTGGAAGGTGGGGAAAAGGTTTTGTACCAACCTTTCCCCTTTGTGGAAGTAAGATTCCTGTATACTTACTTCCTCACATGTCATAAGCTCTCCTGGCCTATTTGACTGACCCTCCACTCAGCCCTGTCCCCTTAGCAAATTTGGTGTGTGCTCCCAGCACTGGTATTGGGGTAATCGGTATTAGAGTTCGACCCTTTCTGCATTGTTAAATATGTGAAGCTGCCTTACACCTGAGGTCCAGTGCCGAGGGCCTTCTGGCGGTTCCCTCACTGTGAGAAGTGAGGTTACAGGGAACCAGGCAGAGAGTTTTCTCAGTAGTGGTGCCCGCCCTGCGGAATGCCCTCCCATCAGATGTCAAGGAAATAAACAAGTATCTGACTTTTAGAAGACATCTGAAGGCAGCCCTGTTTAGGGAAGTTTTTAAATGTTTGATGTTTTATGGTGTTTTTAATATTCTGTTGTGAGCTGCCCACAGTGGCTGGGAAAACCAAGCCAGATGGGCTGGGTATAAATAATAAATTATTATTATTACATCTAAAGATGTGGGACCACCATTGATGGCTCTTGCTGGTGGCCAGTGTGCAGAGCCTCCAATGATTATCTTAATGCTTGGGTAAGTTCATGCAGGTGTAGGTGATCCTTCAGATAATGTGGTCCCAAACTATTCTTTTAAGACAAAAACCAGCACCTTGAAATAGGCCTGGAAATTAATAGGCAGCCAATGTAACTGACTCAGAAAAGGTGTAACATGATCCAATACGTAATAAGTATGGAGTTGGATGGTACCTGTAAGAAGGGGACTGGGCAGACAATTTGAGCCTGTGTCCTCTTCTGGCTTTCCATCCAATTCATTGTACCCAAAAAGTTCTGTCAGTCACCCATGAAGTCTGCAGCTGTTTAATTCCTGATCAAGCAAATATAATCCACACTTTGATCTTGGATTTGAGTGTGACCTGGTGTGCATTACCAAGACCACCATGCAGGCACAGCCAGCAAGAATCACTACTGACATTGGCGGCTGTGAGCATTCCAACTGCCTCAAGCCAGCTGTCTGTAAAAAGAACTGTGTGCTGGTGACTAACTCATCCCCGGAGCAAATATCATCTGCTCCACTCTAGGACTGGTCTGGAAACTTAGTGATTCCAATGAGTTCTTACTCTCTGGGTGCAAGCATTTGGGCTAGAAGATAGTGAAGAAACAGGAACAATTATAGCTGAAATAGTGGGAAACCGACTCTGAACCATACTGAACAGAGATTAAAACTGGGTAGATGGTATACAGTGGTACCTCAGGTTACATACGCTTCAGGTTACAGACTCCGCTAACCCAGAAATAGTACCTCAGGTTAAGAACTTTGCTTCAGGATGAGAACAGAAATTGTGCTCCGGCGGCGCGGCGGCAGCAGCAGGCCCCATTAGCTAAAGTGGTGCTTCAGGTTAAGAACAGTTTCAGGTTAAGAATGGACCTCCGGAACGAATTAAGTACGTAACCAGAGGTACCACTGTACTGTACTTATGTGTACTGGTAGATTTGTGTGAGTTGTGTAAATAGAATGATATTGAATGAGCAACATATATTACATGATTTATGTAAATACAGGCCACTCTCAAATACATGGGGGTTGCGTTCTGGGGATAGTACGTAAAGCCAAAATCACGTACAGTGAAAACACATTGAGTTCAATGGTGGGTGGGATTGCCAAAGTCATTTTTCCCAGAAACACACACCCTTTCCATTTTTTTCCTGCCAAGCATGTAAATCGTAATGCTCACAAGTTAAATGTGTGCAAGTTGCAAGTTACCTGTATGAGTCAGAATTGGGTGTGATACGTTAGTGGGGGGAGTATTGCATGTTTTGAGCTAGAATGTGCCTTTGACAAGAGGAAAAGGATCCCTGGATCTTAAGATGTTTTCAAAATGTGCTGCTATGATTTTATTTTGGGAGCATCTTACTGTTTTATATTGTAGTTGTATTACGGTGCATTGTATTATATTGTAGTTTCTCAGTTTCATTGTTTCTTACATATTCATATTGTATTTGCTATTTTGTTAACTCATCAGAGACCGTCTTAAGTGGTATAAGAACACATGAAATAAAAATAAATAAAATTAGTATGCTCGTATGGCGAAGGAAAGCATGCTTTTGTGAAAGTGGGAGTCTCCTTCACGTTTGATTAACTTTGAAATACTTCAGGCACCAAACTTTGAATTTAAAACGTTTATCTTTAGCAGTTAATTTGGGTAAACGGTTAGTGATCTTCCAAACCATGTGATCCAACCTCCTCTGTCACATGACAATTTCATCTTCCCCTTTCTGGTTAGCACTAATCATAGCAATCAGTTAAGATGTGGAAACCATGGTTAATGTTAAACACAGTTTGCATGATTCAACTGTCACAGCAAAACTAAGGTTAGGCAACCTTGGGAAAAAAAAGAGCCCATTGTATATTCCTTATTCTTCCAAACCGTTGTTTTGGAGGATTCCTAACATGATATTTGAATTGAGACCATGAAGATTTTGGCAATTTCATCTTCTAATAATTTTATTTTTAAATTTTCTTATCAAGAAATACAACAATGCACAAGTATTACAAGCAAACAAAGGAAAGTAATTAATCTAAAAATCCAGTCACAGTCCAGAATTCATGCTTAGTGTTTTGGGTTTTCTTTTTACATTTTCTCCCTTTGAGCATCAGCTCTTTGTGCTAAGTTGGCAAATGGCTTTTGAAAATCTGAACAGTTTCAACCACTTTATTCTGCTTTTCAAAGAAAACAGACAAGTGTTCATTAGGGCCACACAATCCCTGAGTGCACCTAAACACACACAAAAAGAGAATTGAACTAATTGAACCAGTATTGTTTTTATTACTTACTCTTGATGTGATGTGCAAAGTTTAGCTAGTTTGTCTAACTCTTCATTATTCAGGACTTTAGCAGAATGTTTTAGAGCTGGAACCTCGTTAGATGCTGCTGCTTTCCATTTTTTTTCTGCAACAACACATAATCATTTTATATTTTTGTATATTAAAAATATTTCAGTGTCTTCAAAAGCAAAATGTTTTGAATAGTCTCTAGACAAAGAGGATTCAACATAATGGAAAAACAAAAATTACAGCACAGAGTAACTGCAATGGTCCATTAAAAGCCAGAAACCTGACTGAAAATAATGATGTTCCTTTTCAAGGAAAATATATCATGATAAAATAAAGAACCACCACTGATCACTGTGCCTACACACAACAGTCACCACTAGGGAAATGTGCAGCTATTTTTATTCTGCAACCCAAAACTTATTCTATTATAATAAAAGCAAGAGATTTCCCAACTATATGACACACTTACCCCACTGTTGTTGTATAGAAGAAAGATTCGCAAGTAGTTGCTCATGATATAACCGTTCAAGCTGAATAAATTTCATGGCTTTCTCGTCTGAATGAAAAACTAAAGGAAAATGCAGACACCGAATGACAGTCGAGCATAGACAGTGTTTTTTTCCTAAAAAAAATGTTTAGGGGTACTCTCATTTTCCTACTCATATTGAAATACTGTCCCTCAATGAGGCCAAACTTAGATTCATAAAATGTTTAGGGGTATGCATACCCCTGCGTACACCCCCCCCCGAAAAAAGCACAGCATAGATAATGTATAATTGTGCTCAAAACTTGGCATGCACATGCTACATGGACCCCATAATCAACTCTCTTAATCTTTCCCCCCTGTAGTCAGAAAGTTTTCCTTTTTTGGGCAATGAATTCTCTAGGATGGGTGTTTCCAGCAGTAATTTGCCATTCACATTTAAAGTTACTCAATTTAATGGAAAAAATACAACCAAGTACCACCTGGAAGCTCTTATTTCTTCAAATGACCAAATTCAAAAATGAAATAAATTTCTCTTTCAAGGGTAAAAGCTTCTCAGTTTTTGATCGCACAGCTAGAATTAAGGGGCGAAAGCAAGCAAATACCACCAACATAATCTCTTCAGACTGCAAGTGCAAAAGAGGAAAATCAAAGCAGCTATAAACATCTTATAGAATCATAGAATCATAGAGTTGGAAGAGACCACAAGGGCCATCGAGTCCAACCCCCTGCCAAGCAGGAAACACCATCAGAGCACTCCTGACATATAGAATCACAGAATCATAGAGTTGGAAGAGATCACAAGGGCCATCGAGTTCAACATGTTACATGGCTGAGTGGGGATTTGAACCCTGGTCTCCTTGGTCTTAGTCCAGCACTTTAACCACTATACCACAGTGAATCTATGCAAAGCCTGACTAAATGCAAGCACCTCCTATATTAGATTCAAGTTCTTATGCTAGATTGAACAAGCTCATGTACACTCATGGCTCATGAACAATACCTTAGTGGTTTGTTTTTTGTTTTTTACACTGTTCTTTACACATTTGAGATAACAATTTAATATTTATAGGTGTGTCCCCTGGAAATTAAGAAATCTGAATAACTGCACTTAAATAATCATAATTTTTCCACTTTGGCTTTAACCAGACCTGTTGCAGGAAACCTTCAGCCATATGCTGAGGGCAATGGCATAGAAATCAATCTTGATTTCAAAAAGGATACATTCTCCATCTTGAAAATACGTTTCAGCAATCTGCAACAGAAAGCAAAGAAGCAACTAACATTTTCAGATATTTATTATACCATTATCACCCTTTATATCATCCTCCAGAAACCACCTCAGAATCTATATCCTGCCAAAAACGTACATGAATGTTGTACCCTGAACCATGGCTGAATATACTATTTGTGAGAAGCGAGATTATATATGTTTGGATGTTTCATATATGCAATAAATTAAGATTGTAGTCCTGGGCACACTGATCTGAGATTAAGTTCCAGTGAACACAGTGGACTACACTTTTGAGTAAGCGTGTATAGATGATTGCCCTAAATTTATTTTCTACTCATTTTATCAAAGCATCACATATATAGACAGAGAAGTAAGAGTTATAGCCACAAAGTTTATATACTTTCCAGCCTCAAGAACTTCTGCTACAGTCCTCAGGATTATAACCTTCTATACTCACACACCTGGAAAGCAAATACTTGGGGTATTTAACTACTATGGCATCTTAAATACTAACAAACATATTGTGCCATAAACTTTTATGGACCAATCCACATTTCATCACAGTCTTTGACCTACAAAAGCTTATGGCATGATGGACTTCCCTCAATAATCTAATGGGTTGGATCCAGACTAAATTAGCTCCCACATAAATCAATGGGACTAGGAACATAGGACGCTGCCTTACACTGAGACAGACTCTAACTCACTCTAACTCAGTGGCTTTCCATTATTTCAGCTGATAAAATCTCTCATAGTATGGCCACAGAGAAACCAAGGTAGGTCTTTTTTTACTACCTCATGGAGGCACAGGGGGAGGACTCTTGAATCCATCTGCTCAAATTCTTCTCGAAGAAGAGAGAAGAGGGCCTGCAAAGTCTGGGTTGGATCCTTTTGGGGAAAGTTTGCATTGGTCTTGTTTCCATCTTCATCTGATGTAGAACCCGTTGCTGTAATGCCAGTCTTCTCTTGCTTGGCTGCTGCAGAAGTGTTCAACAAGAACAGTTGTGGAGTCTCAGAAACATTTCAACATATAGGGTTCTGTACAAAATTGCATGAGCAAACATCTGCTCATACGGGGGACTTCCCATCTCTCCTCCCTGAGCCCATGAAAAGCCACTCTGGGGGTCAAGGGCCTTTTAGGAAGGGAAATGGGCTGTAGCAAAAGAGGCTACATTGGCTACAAAATGGGTATAGCTTAATAGTAGTAGTACTTGACCAATGCTCCTTTGGGAGCAAAAGAAACAAGAGCCAGGATTTATTCCAATAAACTATAAAATATTGTATTAAAGATGGCATAAAAAGATTACCTTCAAAAGAATTGGTTGTTTTCATGGCAACGTGTGACCTTCACTATGTTTGTGTCATGCCAAATTAGCATTTGTTTAAAAGTGCTATCATGCTTTGGAATATCTTTCAGATATATTTCAGACATTCCAAAGACATTTGTAAAGCTAATTGTGAGTGTTGCATATAATGATGGAAGTGGCATTCAAACAAACAAACTTAAAATGGAAGAAAAAAAATTAACTTTATGGGAAAGTGATTTCACAGTGTTGTTGATGCAAATATTGACTAAATTCTACAACCATTTCCCCAAAGTCACTCCTGTTTGAATTAATATAGTTCAGGCTGAAAAAATTCAGCAGTACCACCTTTATGGCCCTTACTCAGGACCATTACCTGAAAGCTAGGCTCATCAACGTAATTATAAAACTACAATCATTCTGTTATAAAAGCCACCACCAACACAGATAAAAAGAATAGAATACAAAAAACACCTATACCTACCCTTGGAAGACACAAACCTACAACACAAGACAAAAGAACATGTGCCCTCATTGTTTGGGCATTTTCTGATACAGAGAACGAAAGCATTTCATCATTACAAACTCTTTCCTAGCACCTGTTAAGTTCCCTCCTTTCTTGTTTCTGTTTTCCAACATACACCACAGATCACCAGTTTTGAATTCTACATCTAATCCCTTTGCAATCACTAGCTTAATCTTTAACTTGACTGTTCCACCTGTTGGGAGACTAAAATATCTGTTTCTCTTTATCCACATCATAAACATTTACATAAATATACAGCATTTGTTGAACAGCGCCAAAAATTGTTTTTGGTACAGTAAGAATTAAGAGTTAACGTGAATTTTCAGAATGGAACTGACCCAATTAGGTTCCTAAGATAGATCTGTAAGACAACACTATTATTCTTTCTTAGGAAAAGATACTACAGAAGATTGTTGCTCAGCTCAACCCTTGACTTATTTATTACACTGTGCAAACACTGCCCTCCCTTGAAATCTCTACATTCCTGAAAACAAACCTGCATTGCCTTTACATGCATAAATGTGACATCTCATTTTTATCTGGTCACAGAAACCACAGCTGATATGTGAGAAACAAACTCAGAACAAGAAGATTGACATGTCAAATGAACAAGAATGCATTAATTAGAGCAAACCTAAACCCTTTGTGTTGGCTAAGAAGCCAGCTTCAGAAATATCAGTTTGAAGTTGGCATGCTTTGAAACTAACCAGAATTTGTTATAATCTACGATTCCTAGTTCAGATGACCGGCCAAGCTAACACAGGGAAACTGAAAGCTGGTGGAGTTCTTCTACCAACCATGCGGTAGGAAGGAAAGTGTGAACCTAAGATGGCAAAATGCAAACCTAAGCTTCCCATCCATTATAAGCAAAAAAGGCCTACGGTGGATTCTGTTTTACATGAAATAGCTTGCACAACAAATCCTTACGTTATGATATCTTGTTTCTGCCATGTTTGTATCTCCTTAAAATAATCAAGAAAAAAACAAATTTAACATTTAAATTGTCATTGTAGTAGAGCTTAGACTGTATGAAAAGTATCTTTTCAGTCTTCAACTATGCAAATCTAAATTGCCTTATTTTAAGCAGTTTATTAGCTGTCTTTCTACTTAGTGTACACAAGACAGTATTAAAAATGGAAATATGAACTTATCATACACCCATTTCTATACACCCCAAGTATTTGCCAGTTCAGTCCTTCTTAATATGATAATGCCATCTAACCAGATGATGAAGATGAGTGATTGCCATTAAAAAAAATATGTTCAACAGAATGCATTTCATACAGTGTAGAAAATGATACAGAGGCAGAAAATAAAAAGGGTTAACTAACACCTTATGAAAGAGGGTGTGACGGATTTCATGGAAGAAGTATTGTGAAAGGGAGTTGCAGATGGCAAAATCAAAGGTTTAGGTGTATTCAACCCATTACATTTATTATATTTGATGTATGGCCTGCTTTATAGGTCAAATTAAACACATTTAAAGCAAACTATGGTTTAAGGTGAACAATGTGTTGGAGCATGCTGCTCAAGAGTTCACATCTCACACTTCCCCTGTTGTTGCTGCCACTGCACCATAAACAAAGCAAGCCAGAGTTTGGCCTGTCATTTTGTCTGAATCCAGGCTCACTGCCTACTCACCCCCCAAAATGAGCTACAAGTTGTAAACCAGTAACAAAGCTTGAATATTGGTTGTGGTTTGTTGGGAGAGAAGCAAACCACGGACCTGAGTGTGGTGTGTGAACTGGGCCATAAAATAAACTATTTTGGACCTTAAGCTGCCTCTGTGTGGCGACTAGAACTGGGGGCAACTTCTGCTACATGGGCATCTCAGCTCAGATTCCTGGCAGATAACTCTACCTGGCAAGCAGAAATGCTTGCACTGACAGAGCGATTAAATCAGTATGACACTGAAATTCCTTCCTATTATTTTTATCAGTTGAAAACAAAAATTAGATTTTAATAGGATCTACTCTTCAAATACGCGGGTGGCGCTGTGGGTTAAACCACAGAGCCTAGGGCTTGCCGATCAGAAGGTTGGCGGTTCGAATCCCCGCGATGGGGTGAGCTCCCATTGCTCAGTCCCTGCTCCTGCCAACCTAGCAGTTCTAAAGCACAAAGTGCAAGTAGATAAATAGGTACCACTCCGGCGGGAAAGTAAACAGCGTTTCTGTGCACTGCTCTGGTTCACCAAAAGCGGCTTAGTCATGCTGGCCACATGACCCGGAAGCTGTATGCCGGCTCCCTTGGCCAATAAAGCGAGATGAGTGCCGCAACCCCAGAGTCGTCTGCGACTGGACCTAATGGTCAGGGGTCCCTTTACCTTTTACTCTTCAAACAACACTATTTTCTCTTGTAAGAAAATGGCTTGTTAACTTTTGCCTTCTAGGTGAATGCATTCTAGGTGCATGCTTCACCTGTCAGGATTGCAGAGTTGGCTGGGAAGGTAGTGACCTTGTAGAGAAGTGACTTGAGATACCCCCAAGTCACGTTATAGGTTAAAGTACAGGTTAGTACAGGTTAAAGGCCTGTACTATGAGTAATAAAATGTATATTGTGGAAGTTATTGTACCTTTCCTGCTGGAACTTTTTGTTTTCCTTGAACTCCTTTTTTCAGATTCACCTTTTTCTAAAATGAGCATTTCATCTGCAGTGAAGCTTCTAGATGGCTTATCGCTTTCATCTTCTTGGCAGGAGGACGTGTAGTCTCCACTGTCCTCATTATTATTAATGCTGTCCTGCTCAACCTTTCCCATTGTGTCGTCACTGCTTTTCAGAGTATCGTGCTTGCTTCCATTAAGCTGATTTTCATTTTCATCTGGTGAAGAAGCTAAGCAAGCTTTGATCTTTTCCACAAGTGTGTCGGTACGAAGTGAGCCTTGTAAACTTAACTGCAGGTCATTTGTAGGAGATTCCCTGTCATCCATTAGAGCGTTCCTAGAGTGAACTTTATATCCACTTAGCACAAATGATCTTCAGCTCTAGAAAGGAAAAAAAGGCATTGAGATTTATAATAATCAAAATCCAAGTCATGTTTTGACTACCTAGCTATATTAGATTATATAGTCCAGCCTTGTATTTAAGCACTAGCCTGGTTACCATAGGATAGGTGATCAGGAACCGCGTGTAAGCGAGTGCATGGAATTCCACCCAGGCAATGAGAACAGCTTGGCAAAGGACTGACGAGAGCTCTGTCATTCCTCTGGTACTCCTCAGACATGCCTCTGGAAGCAGCACAGAGATCTCAGCAAAGGTGATATCTGATGGGCTCCCTCCTCTGTCAGTGGGCCCTGAAGGGCTGACCTGGCAGCAGAGCCAGGCAGCTGAGGGGACTGACACCATTTTGATTCCCAACAATGCCCCAGAGTGACACTGTATGGCACACTGTGGAAAATAAAAAGGGGTTGTCTTGTGCTGCTCAGAGTGCCAGGCTGTGGGGGAATTAAAGGGGGAACATGGCAGGCATCAGCACAGGACAGTTGCCCACGGAAACGAGGTGCTGGCTCTCCTCCAGAGGCAACCAATGTTTTTTGCAGGCCTTTAACTTTTGTGGATTCTGTTTTTCCACAAGGCTAGTCAAAGAGGTTCAAGGGATTGGACTAGATGACCCTCAGGACCCCTTCCAACTCTATAATTCTATGAGAGTAAACTAAACTGTGTGCATTGGCATACTTTACAGTTTCCTATTTCAGTGGTGCCCTGTGCGACGAGAATATTCCGTGCCCCCACCTCTCGCCTGTCATTCTATATCATAGTTGTGATGTCTCTAAATCTCCACGCCCAGTACAACTGAACCAGTCGAGCTCCCCTAAATCCGCCTCTGCTGTACATATCATTCTGGCAATTTAATCCAAGAACGGTAGCATTCAGTGGTAAAATACCAGCACCGTACTTTGTGGAGTAGTAAATTCAAATAAAAGCTCAACACTCAGAAAAATGCAGATGTATATTTGTTAAAACTACAAATTACTTAGATTAGCCATATCCACCCACTAATTGAAAATCTGCTATTTAACAACAAAATGACTAGCTAAAGAAAGGGGCCTCCATATAATTAAGAAAATTGTCCTACCAGCCCTAACATTTAGAAATTAAATGAATTACACATTTGTGATACACTTTGCAAACCTTAAACATCACAACTGCTATCATAAGCAGGCATTGGCTTTCACACCCTTTTTTTTTTTACAATGGAGGAAAATGAAGCAGAAATACTTACGGTAAATGACTGCCTAACAAAGAGGAAATCAGGCAAGACTGTACTTAAACAAATGAACATCTGTGATCTTTGAACAGCCACTTCACATACAAATGGGTGATATTTAACCAAGTCATATTCAGAGCAAACCTACCAAAAGCAATAGATACTGGTGGGTCTTTTCTGAATATGATCAATGTGGGATATAACCTATAAACGAGAAAACTTTATTTATTTATTTATTTATTTATTTATTTATTTGCTGACTCACCCATCCACCCAAGGCTTGTTAGTTCAGGAAACAAGACAGCAGAATGGGACAAACTGCTTGTAACCAGTGCAGTGCTGTAAAACACATTACTCCAGCATGCAGGGAGCTATATGAGCAGATATGGGACACTCCTGCCAATGGGAGCTTAGTCTGGATCTAAGCAGTAGTTTTTAATTCAGTTAAATTGTTTCACATTTTACACTACTTAAAAACCTATATTCTGATTTCTAAACTGAAGCTGATAGTATCCAGTTTATATCTTTTATCTAGTTTACCTTTAGATTTACTGAATCTAACTCATCTCCCTCTTCCTGTTTACTTCCTCTAGTATATTTGTAGTGTTCCAGCAAAGCTTTCCAGTTAGCTAAGGGAGACTAATATTTCCTGCTGAACCACTAGCAGCTTACTAAGCGAACTTGCTCAAGCTATTCTACCTGGGTGTTGTTTGGTAAATTTCTTGTGCTTATTAGCAAGGATGATTGAGCATGAGCAAATACCAGCAAACATGCTCACTAAAGCAGCTGGTGCAACATTAATATAGAATCATAGAGTTGGAAAGGACCCAAGAGTCATCTAGTCCAGCCCCCTGCAATGTAGGAATCTCAGCTAAAGTATCCATGACAGATGGCCATCCAACCTCTGCTTAAAAACCTCCAAGGAAGGAGAGTCCACCACCTCTCGTGGGAGTCTGTTACACTCCTGAACAGCTCTTACTATCAGAAAGTTTTTTCAAATGTTTAGTCGGAATCTCCTTTTTTGCAACTTGAAGCCATTGGTTTGAGTCCTACCCTCCAAAGCAGGAGAAAACAAGCATGCTCCCTCTTCCATGTGACAGCTCTTAAGATATTTGAAGATGGCTAGCCTATCTCCTTGCAGTCTCCTCTATTCCATGCTAAACATACCCAGCTCCTTCAAGCGCTCCTCATAAGGCTTAGTTTCAAGACCTTTGATCATCTTGGTTGTCCTCCCCTGCAGATGTTCCAGCTTGTTAACATCCTTCTTAAATTGTGGTGCCCAGAATTGGACATAGTATTCCAAGTGTGGTCTGACTAAGGCAGAATAAAAGGTAAAGGTAAAGGTACCCCTGCCCGTACGGGCCAGTCGTGACCGACTCTGGGTTGCGCGCCCATCTCGCTTAAGAGGCCGGGGGCCAGCGCTGTCCGGAGACACTTCCGGGTCACGCGGCCAGCGTGACGAAGCTGCTCTGGCGAGCCAGCACCAGCGCAGCACACGGAAACGCCGTTTACCTTCCTGCTATAAAGCGGTACCTATTTATCTACTTGCACTTAAGAGTGCTTTCGAACTGCTAGGTGGGCAGGAGCTGGGACCGAAAGACGGGAGCTCACCCCGCCGCGGGGATTTGAACCGCCGACCATACGATCGGCAAGTCCTAGGCGCTGAGGTTTTACCCACAGCGCCACCCGCATCCCTATTACTTCCCTTGATCTGGACACTATACTTCTGTTGATGTAGCCTGGAATACCATTAGCTTTTTTTCCTGCTGCATCACACTGTTGACTCATGTTAAGCTTGCGGTCCACCAAGACCCCTGGATCCTTTTCACATGTACTGCTTGTAAGCCAGGTGTCCCCCATCCTATATTTGTGCATCTGGTTCTTCCTGCCTAAGTACAGAACCTTACGATTATCCCTACTGAAATTCATTTTGTTAGCTTGCGCCCAGTTCTCCAATCTGTTAAGGTCATTTTGAATTCTGATTCTATCTTCTACGGCATTAGCTATCCCTCCCAGTTTGGTGTCACCTGCAAATTTGATGAGCATCCCCTCAATCCTTCATCGACATCATTTATAAAGACGTTGAACAATAACGGGCCCAGGACAGAACCCTGTGGCACCCCACTTGTCACTTTTTCCAGGATGATGAGAAACCACTAATGAGTACTTTTTGGGTTCAGTCAGTCAACCAACTACAAATCCACCTAACAGTTACCTCGTTCAACCCCCATTTTACCAGCTTCCTTGCGATAATATCATAGGGTACTTTGTCAAAAGCCTTACTGAAATCAAGATACACTATGCCCACAGCATTTCCCTGATTCACCAAGTTTGTGATTTCATGAAAAACAGAAATCAGATTGGTCTGACATGTCTTATTTTCAGCACCAGCACCTAAGAACTTGTCACCTCTTCACTGTTGTGCCCAGCAGAGGGGTTGTGGTATGGGCATACTGTGTTTTGCTTTAGGTCACTTACATGTTTTCACTACCTTTAAATCTTATGGCAGATAGTGGTGGCACAGACATTATGTGAGAAATGGGAGGCAGGGGAGTAAAATAGTAATAGCAGTGGCCAGCCCACCTGACTGCTGGCCAGTGTGCCACAACCATTCTGGTAGGTGGTCCTGCAGGCGATATATGAGAGGGCATGTTCACCACCTACGGAACATGGCTCAATGTGGCTTATGAAAGGGCTGACCCTGGTGCCAGGTGAAGGGATTTTGATTCACACAGAGGTTTTAAACAATTTTAAACAAACATCTCACTGTATCAGTTGCATTTTAATGTGTAACTCGTACTGTACCAGAAATCTAATAATAAAATAAATAAAATAAGTAGCTGCGACCCAAGACTTTTTTTTGCATCGGGAATGAGCCAGCCTAATTCAGTCTGCAGAGCACCTCTATTCCATATTAAAATGGCTGCAGATTTGCAGACTGGGCTTTTAAAAAATCTCACCCACCAGTACCCTCTCAGTTCCTCCCCTTCACATCTAATCTGAAGACAATCTCATTACTTTGTGATATTTCAATTGGTTGCAATGTGGCATGAACCTTTTTCTGTTTTAGCCTAATTATACTGAGCAGTTCTTCATTGCACCCTGAAGAATTAAACTCCACAATATCAGTCATTATAATGCTCTGTAAGAGGCAGGGTTGGTTTTTCATTACTGGCTATTCATATGATGGAAGAAAAATAGTGATATTGTATTCTGAGGAGGCCTGCAATTAAGGGTGTTTCACTAAAACAAATACTTTAACTCCTTCTCTCTTTTCAACACTTTTATACGAACGGGAATAGCTTGATTATGGATTAAAGTGCACAAAGGATTTAAGGAAATTTTGCATTCTGAACCCAGATTAGGCTAAGGAACCACAAGAGAGTATATGGGGAGTGAAATAAACATCTGGCTCTTGGTCTCTCAGCTGCATGGCAAAACTGCTGAAGCTTGACTAACATTTGACACCTGTTGCTTCATATGCGGATTAAAGACCACAAAAATCAAGTGCTGTCCCTATTTTACACATAACAAAATTAAGGTAAAAATATACACAAGTTAATCCATATATCATCAACAGGCTACTAACAAATCATTTGCTTAGCCCAATACTTCTGGTTAAGAGATTCAGGAGGAAATTCTCAGATTATTCTGGCTAATAATCTGAAATACAAGTAACCCATAATGTCTCATTTATACTTATATATAAATTGCACAACATGTGCACTACAAAATGAAGTGCACTACATAAATGAAGCATACAACATTTGCACTGGTTTAATAATAATAATAATAATAATAATAATTTAAAAACACACAATGCCACCTTCGTAAATTAAGAATAATTCTCAACAATCAATAAACCAAGATCATCATCATAAAGACAGGGACATTCAATGGGAATTACTCCAGATGTTTTTGATTAGGGTTGTGGGGGAGAGAAAGAGGAAGAAGTATTTAGGATGCAAAATCTTTTTCCAGCCCAACTTTCCAACAGAGATAATTGCCACTCAGTGCAACTGCCCCACAATGCGGCCTCATTAGTAGTTTCTCTCATCATGAGATGATTGTGTTATGTACAATCTCATTAGTGAGTATGCTCACTATCAGAAAATCTCCTTAATCTAACCTCTTGACTGTTTATGTCAGCTGGATGTTTTCTCTCCACAAAATAATGTGCTGAGAGTAAAAATACTGCTCTGAAAGCTCTTTGGGAAGTAAGCTCCTTATTCCTTCACTTCCCCTTCTCCTGAGCTTGAACTGAACATACAAATTCTGAGGTCCCTTCAAAATGTAGAAAATATGCAGCAATACATTTTATACTAACTGTGCAACGTGTAAGTTGTTTATCTATGAAAATCATATGATCTTCAAACAATCCTTATCTATCTATCTATCTATCTATCTAATTTACATCCTACCCTTCCCTCCCAAAGGCAGCAAATATATTTGTAATTTTGTTGTTGTTTAGTCGTTTAGTAATAAAAACATCTAAAAACAATCAAACACAGTGAAACATTTTATTTTTATGTTATACTCCATTCAAAACTTTTTTTAAAAATCAAAATACAACTTATAAACACATAAATAAATGAATTCAACTAATTGTGTGTCTGAACATGCCGGCCAAAACACAAATATTTTCAGCAAGCATCTAAAGAATACAACAGTGGCACCTGCCTAATGTCAGTTAGGTGTTCCAAAGTAAGGTGTGGTGCCTAATGAACGCAGTACAGACACTGCATGAAACTTGTAGAAGTGTAACTTCTGCAGATCATTTATGTAGATATTATCGCTGATGCAGACACAATGCTATACAACGAACAAGGGAAGAACATTAGAATTCATGAAGAAGGAGCATTGTCATACTATGGTCTGCTCCCAATCATTTAACCAAGAGTGGCAGCATAATGTAACCCCTGTGTGGGACCATGGGGTAGAGATGGGGAAACATGTGATAGAAAACCTGGTTTTAAAGAGTGAAATGCAGCTTGAATTGCCCAAATTCAGTAATTACTGACGACAGAGGCACCAGCTTCTCCAGAAGGTGTGAGGTGTCTGCGCATGCGACGTCCTTTGATATTGAGGGACCCCAGCCCACGGTTACCCTTTGTCTGCTAGCACTGCTTCTCACAAAGAGAGACAGAAATAGGGTGGAGAAGTCTTACTGCTGCGGGAAACAGGAAGTGGCATTAGACACACCTGGGGAATGCCTGATTGCAAAAGGCACAGGCTTGGGCCATGTGAGAGCCGAAAGATAGTTAGATTTAAGAAACTGGCACAGAAATGGAAGGAGCAAAATACTAATAATTACATGTTAGGAGAGGGAGAGGGAGAAACAGAGCAGGTTTCCAGAATTTCAGCATGATCCAAGGGTTTGGAATCATAGACATAAACGAAAGTTGTCAGAGCAACTAGAGGCACAAGTCTACAGTTACTGAAAGGCAAACTTTCTGCCATCGAGAATACTGGTGATGATCTGGGGGGATGGAACAAAGGTACTTTCATTTGTTGTTCTTGAGGCCTGCACTGTGTGATCTGACTAACCCGAAGAACATAGCAAACATAGAAGAGAGGCAAGGAAAGAGCAAAATGTGGAACAGCTTAAGTGACGAGAGGACAAAGAAAGACTTAATAATGTAATCTTTAAATGAAATAAAGAATTTTGTTTCTGAGATGGAAGATTGGACTGAGATAAAGACAGGATGCTTAGATCAAAGGTGTTATGCCAACAGCATGTGGTAGGACAATACATGCTTCCCACAGCAGTATGATTTGGCAAAGGTGAATGTCGTGTGTCAATCACAACACATAGTTCCAAGCCCATACCACATTTCAACTTGTGTGACAAGGCTGTCCCACATGCAAAACAAAGAGGCAGAGAAACATAACTCAATAATTTACACCAATTAAAGTCACCTGTAGGGCTGTGCCAGTTGGAAGGAGACTTCTGTTTTATGTGGGCTAATTAATGTCCAAAATAGAGGCAGAGACTTGTATCAGCAAGTAGCACACTGATCAGATGCATAGATAAGCTTCAGCATACATTTGCAGTTCTTGCTCATCCCAGTCCAAAGACTTATCAACTATAAATGAGGATAGCCAATGTACAACCAGATTTGCTTTCTCAGTCTTGCTCATTTCACAGTCACCTGTGAAGCTAAAGGTGTTTTAGGGCATATGCAAAGTGCCAGCTGAACTAAGCATCTTTGTAACAAAGAATGGCTGTGAAGCAGATGAGGGATGAAGGAGAAGGCTGTGGAAGAGCAGCTGCTGCCTTTTTTGCTCCTTCAACTTTAAATGTAAAGGACAATGTACATATGATATATGATATAAGAAGTAGCAAGCCTATTATTAAATTATATGACCAATGATATTTGCACTGGGATATAAACTTGCTCCATATATAGTGGAAAATGATTTATTTTTTCATTTTGTTTGATAAGGTGCTCTGATAGTTCATGAACCTGCATACCAAAATCAATCTTCTTCAAAGATACCATTTTCTTTTCTTTCAGTATTAAAATTTTACACTTACAGGGACTAGAGTTTTGCCTTTACTGTCTGGGGATCATATATTTTATCTAAGTTTCAATTTTAAAAAAATAATTTAAAATTCTACTGATACACAATTGAAACCATTAATGATTCCCTACTGTTTTGTTTAGATTTTAATTTAACCATTCTTAAAAGCCATGACATATGGTTTCAGAAAACAAAGTTTTGCTTGCAACAGCAAATACTGACCTTCCTTCTGGGTAAGTATTTATTTTCATTTCTAAAGAGTGCCCATCTGTTTTTCTGAACACATATAGAAATTCTTATTGAGCACACTATTACAGAGCAATCTGATGTATGTCAACAGACCTGAATCTTAGAAGGGTGGGATGTTTCTCATCCTTCAAAGGTTCTAAAATACCATGGCTTAGATCTTGGACTCCGTTCCACTGATGTGATCAAAGTTCTGCTCCCAAAACACTCTCACCAACAGAATGGGGGACTTCCTGTGCTCATTTCTCCTTCCCTCTTGAAAGTATCTTCCAGTTTGAAGTAAAAACAGCCAAAAATGGCCACCTCTTTTCTGCCAGGGAGACCCTCCACTACATGCAAAGTCTCCTTTAAGTGGGAGGAGTCCTACCAGTCACAGAAAGAACAATTAGGACCCAAGTCTATATTTTCATCATACTTCAAAAAGCACAGATTTACTACTACTATACAGGGATGGGATGAACCATTTTGTAGATTAAATGTTATATGACAGAACTTCTTGATACCGATTTTCAGAAAATTAAGGATCTGCCTTTAGGATCAGACTTTAGGCCTTCCTATGCACACAAATATTAAGTCCCATGTTCCACAGGTGATAACAAATGACAATTTTCACCACCAGCATGGTATGGTAGTTAAGTGCCAAGCTAGGGCTGGGGATAGGTAAAGGTAAAGCGACCCCTGACCATGAGGTCCAGTCGTGACCGACTCTGGGGTTGCGGTGCTCATCTCGCTTTATTGGCCGAGGGAGCCGGCATTTGTCCACAGACAGCTTCCGGGTCATGTGGCCAGCATGACTAAGCCACTTCTGGCGAACCAGAGCAGCGCACGGAAACACCGTTTACCTTCACGCCAGAGTGGTACCTATTTATCTACTTGCACTTTGACGTGCTTTCGAACTGCTAGGTTGGCAGGAGCAGGGACCGAGCAACGGGAGCTCACCCCACTGTGGGGATTCGAACCGCCGACCTTCTGATCAGCAAGTCCTAGGCTCTGTGGTTTAACCCACAGCGCCACCCGCGTCCCTGGGTTGGGGATACCCATGTTCAAATTCCAACTTAGCCATGAAGCTCAATGTGTGTATCCTTGGGTTAATCTCTAACTCAAGCAATCTCACAGGGTTGTTATAAACCAGGGGTCAGCAACATTTTTCAGCCATGGGCCGGTCCACTGTCCCTCAGACAATGTGGTGGGCCGGACTATTTTTTTTGGGGGGGGGGGATGAACGAATTCCTATGCCCCACAAATAACCCAGAGATGCATTTTAAATAAAAGGACACACTCTACTCATGTAAAAACACACTGATTCCCAAACCGTCCACGGGCCTTATTGAGAAGGCGATTGGACCGCATCCGGCCCATGGGCCTTAGGTTGCCTACCCCTGTTATAAACTAAGGTGCAGGATGGGGCTAGCATATAAATTAGGCTCCTTGGATAAAAGGATATGTAAACAAACAACAGCAGGTGGAAGGTTTGCAACTAAAGTCACATGGCCTAGAAATAATCAACGTCAGATATTTTGATTATCACTGTTACAAATTATCTCCATGAGGTATCATAACACCACGAATACACAGTGTAACACATGCCAATGTTTTGAATGAATAATTGTAGCACAGTTTTCCAGTGACAAACATTTTATATCTTTCACTTCCTGTCACGTTGGTAGAACAGTGCCCTCCCTGCAAAATCAGGACATATGCTACTTTCCTGGGTAGATCATCCCAAGTAAGAAAGACATACCAATATGCTTTACTTAGGGATTTTTACTTGAGAAGTCAAGTTGAGGTCAGTTCCAGGAATGCAGCCTCAATAGGCAGGGCAGGGCGTAGCATGCACAGCTGCTAAAGCAGAGAAAGAAAGAGAGGGAGATCTAAGAGGCCCTTGGAGAAGCTGGAAACAAGACAAGGAATGGAACTGATGAGTTTTACACCATGAGTGCTTCACTGCATGGCTAAAGTCTATCGGCAAGAAGGGAGAATGTACAGAGGATTAGGGAAAGGAATGACCAACTGAGTGGCAAAACTACTGGTGGAAGTGCTGGAAACCCAGCAGGTCCATGCTTTAGAGCACTGATATTCAACAGGTGGCCCATGACGTGACCTAAGGGGTCAACAGCAGCAGCACCATGCAAATATATGATAAAATAAAAATTAGAACGTGGTCCCCTAATGCATGTTTAGGACTAGTGCCAAGCCCCAGTCCTGAAGAAAGAGGTGACATGGAGGAATGTTTGAACCTAAGTACCAGCAGCTCCCTAGTTAAAGGGTTTCCAGGGCTCACAGTTCTAACAACTTCCATACTTTACAATTACTAATATTTTGTATATGTATAAACATAATAGATTAATTGAAGAATTCTTACTTACATAAGATAAATCTTAAGTACCAAAATGATTTTCCCCCTGAATTACTTCCTACAGTTTTAGCTGTTGGCAAAAGTCGATATAAAGTGCTGTGCCTTTGCCAATCAACAAAGCAGAATAAACTTCATAGAAATTACTATTAATCTCTCTAATTTCATATGTGCAATTATGATATTTTTTTTTTAAAAAGAAAAAACGTTCAACTGATTTTAATATTTAAAATATACTAAGCATGTTTACCATTGCCTTGAGTCTTGTTCTTTCTAAACCAGAGAACAGTACTTACCATTTTTCAAAATGGTTCTCAAAGGTATTGCAAGGGAAAGGAGATGCTTTTAGGCAACAAAGAGTTAATACAGAGCTGTCTGGTATCTGTTCATTCTGCCAAGAGAGAAAAAAGAGGGAGGAAATAGTGTAAATTAAAATATATCTTATAAGAAATGCTAGTACACTTGGGTGCTACCTAGAAGGGACAGCCTTGAAAACCAACCAAATGAAAAGCAGAACTTGCAGAATACAATACTAATTAGTTTTTATTCCTTAACATGGAGGGAGACAATTCATCCTTTTGGTACATCTGGGTGAATCTTCTGACCTTTAGATATCGAAGAGATGGGCTCTGAACAACAGTCCATTTACAAAGAATTTGCATTCATTTCTAAAAACAGTACTGTATATATAACAAGTGCTGTACAGAAACAAACTCAATCATCACAATTACTGACAGAAAGCCAAAAAACTTCCATTGACTAACAGCAACAGCCCTGTTGGGTTTTATTTTAACACGTTTTTGTGAGTCATGATCAGAATGTGCAGAGCATAGGCCTTTATAGAAATGGTAAGGCTTGAAATTTATTCAACTCAAGAGGATAGGCTGTCTTGCTAGATAGGACAGAGTTAATCTAAAACCAATTGCCTCAAGGCATGTTACAAATTAAACATTTATTAGTACAGTTAGACTGATCTTATTTGGAATATATGAATTACTTGTCTATCTCGGTTTAAGAAAGGAAAATAGATAATATAGCTTTTTTTCTTTTTTTACTTGAGAACTTTGAATCTGAATCAGAATATACATGCCACATCATAAACAGATTTAAAAGTTTCCCCAGTTTCGAAAGGGGGTTGCTGTGTGACAATGATGGCAGAGTATGCTTTTCTTTAAGAAACCCAAGTCCGAAAACTTAATTGGGCATGGAAAATCAGCTGCCAGCATTCTTTGGATCCCAGCCTACTACTACTTCAAGCAGGCAAAGGAAAAAAGGGATAGTTCTTTTGGAAACTATGCCAACTGTATGAATACAGGAATAAATCAACTATTTGGAGGAAAGAGAGAGGCAGAAAAGCAAATATTTAGCCAGCATTTAGAAGGCTGCTAATATGAATCAGACAATTGATATTAAATACGAATCTGACTAGACCTCCTGCATAACGCAAAATCAAGTATGACTACTATACTCATGCAGTTGAGCAACTGGTTGGCACAACTTTCAATATCAATATCCTGTTGCAAAGAGATCTTATTTAAAATGATATATAATGAGTACATTTTGTGCAATAAAGATCAAAACAAAACTTTCCATTCAAGAGAAAAAAGCACATAAAAAAGAAACAAACGATCAGCCATCTTCCATTTATACGAAGTATCAGTCCAACTATCAAGCTCCATAGCTCTTAAGAAAATCCTCAACTGAGAACACCAAAAACTGATTAGATAAGAGGGTATACTTAGTTCCAGATGCCATCTATGCATCTTCTCATATTTCATTCCCAGCCTTGGAACGATTTTTTTTCCTTTTTTGATCCGAATTTAAAGCCTCTTCTAAAAAAAACAAACCCTTTGGCCCATTAGCCTACAGCAACATTAGTCAGTCTGATGCTAAAGTAATAAAACACAGTGATCTGGGCAGCTCACAGGCAACCATGAAGGGACACAATGATCAGGAATGTAGACTATGTTTAGGAATGTACTACTTGAGTATTGTAAACACTTAGTCACCACGGCAGCTCACTGGCCTATCTAGTTTTATTTAAATCCCTTACATTCATCTGATAAATAGGGGAATATCAACAGATCCAAAGCCCAACCGAAGGCAGATGGTTACGAATAGATCTTTAAAACAAGGGAAAAGTAATTATTACAACACTCTGTTCTTATTCCTCATGCGGTTCATTTCCCCCCAAACATTACTTACACAGCAACATCCCAATTTAGGGAAAAGCATGCAAAATTGCATTCAGACACAAACACACGATTGTGCTTGTGTGTACATTTCACAAATACGTTCATTTTGACTAGATCTTTGCGCTTTCCAGAGTCAGGTCACTAGGCCAAATGGACCAAAGCTGTATACCAACCAGTATTCTCGCTCCGCTCTCAAGTTTACCAGGCAACCTTGCAAGAACCAGATCACAAACGTAGTGATCTCGGTTAGCTTAAAAAACGGCAACAACTCCAAAGCTTGCCCACCCTGAGCTCCCTTAGAGGAAGGATGAGAGCGAAGCGTGGCGAAGCAAGGGAGAGCACAGCGTGCACGGCGCTGTTCGGAAGAGACTTCGCAGCTGGCACGCAAAACCCACACGTAATTCAAAACAAGGATATTGAATCCACAAGAGAGTGACGTGGTAACGAAGAAACAAGCACAGCGACTGGCTAGCTGTGGCCGTTCATGGGGTGGGGAGCAAGACAAGCGCCCCACAGACCCAAGGATGAGCCTGATACTCTCTCCCCACGCAGGGCAGACCTGCGGTGGGTCTTTCCCGCCGTCCCCCCTCCGAGTCATTCCAGCCTAATTAGCAGCGCCCCCCCCCCAAATCCCAGGTGCCTCACGCACACCGTCCCTCCATTACTTGCTCGCCCCTCTTCTCGCCCTTAAAACCGGGTTTCCATTTCAGGAGGCAGCAAAACACGTAACCCCGCGGAGGCTCCCCTAAGGGAGGCGGGAGGAAAGAGGACCCCGCCAGCGGCCGCTATGGCAGCTTCGGCTTCCTTCTCCCCTCACCTGAGGTCGCGGCCGCCTCGCGAGGCTTCCGCCCATCCCCTCGCGCCGGCACAGCTGGGCTCCGAATGGACATCGAACGAAGCTACCTGTGACCCGGCTGCGGACTCCGGAGACTCAGCCCGGCGGCGACGGCGAGAAGGTGAGCACCACAGAGCTCTGCAACGCCTAGAAGGGAGCCTGACCACAGAGAAGAGGCAGACTAGATCGTCGCCCCAGCAACAGCGGTGCCGGAAACGGAACTGGGAGCCCGAGCCCGGCCGCTAAAGTCGTCCGGGTGCCGCGCATGCTGGTCGGCCTCGTACCCCGCAAGGTCACCCACGTGCGGGATGCTGCGTTCGGCGGTGGCGGCCTTGGCCCCGTCGGGCCTGCCGGGGCGCCCGTTGCTGCTGACGGCTCTGAGCCTGTCGCCTGGGAAGCGGCTCTCTTCACGAGGCCCGGCGGGTCAGAGCGAGCAGCGCCGCGGCCCGGCAAAGCCCCGCTTCCCTCCTCTGCGGATCCCCGAGGAGGCCGAAACGACCCGCTTGGTCGCGGAGAAGGCGCGGGCTCCGCCGCCCCTGCGAAGGTTCATCGCCTGCCCCGACCTCGCGCGTGCCGTGGCCTCCAGTCTGCAAAGCGGGAGGCGCTCCGAGGGGCCGGAGACGGTGGTGCTGGAATGCGAGCCAGGTGAGGGTTAAAGGCGCTTGGTCCCCTTTCCCTGTTACTTCGACTTCTGCATCACTCGCTGCACCAGCGGTGCCCCAGGATCTTATTGCTAAGAGTTGGAAGGGACCTCAAGGGCCACCTAGGCTAGTCTTGTAATGCAGGAATCCTGCCCGACACCATCCCTGGTTGGGCTCGAACCACCAACCTTCTGGTTAACAGCCAGATGCACGGACCGATTGCGCCACCTGCAAATAATTCTTTTAGAATAAAGAAACAGGGTGTTTTCAAAGTAGGAACCTAGGAGAAAAGTATTATACCGAGTCAACAACACTAGTTGGCAGTGGTTGCCTGCAGTTTCAGACCAGGGTCTCTCCCAGTTCTACTTGGAGATGCCTGGAAATGAACATGGCATCTTCTGCATGCAAAGCGTACATTCTGCCTGTGTGTGACGGGCCATGCCCAATATATAGGCAGTGTTCCAGAGAGTTTGCCAACAGTATCTCAATTACTTTCGGAGCCTAGTGTTTAACCAAATGTTTATGTGTCTTGTGATTCCGTACCTTGATTGTTAGGCTATTGGATTAGACAGTACTAAGGAAGCTCCCATTAGCATCTAAGGCCCAATTGTTCCTTCCCCTTTTTCTCTTGTGAAACTCACCCCTGTTTGCTCTCCTGGCAAATGGAACAGTAAAACTAATGAACAAAATCTTCCACAGATCCTACATACAGTGTTAAGCTTACAAGGTGAACTTCAAAACTCTGTTTAATGCAGTGTAAGGCATTTCTTGAAATCTCAGATGCCAATTAATTAGGCTTCTCTAATTGAATTAACTAAGATCTGTGAAAGAGAGCTTTCAAAATCATGATTGAATGAATGCATATTGCAACATATGGGACTTCTTAGTTTTGAAAAAAAGGCAAGTATGGTGAGACATAGTAAAAGCAAATAAAATTATGCATGATATGGAGAAAGTGAGTACAGAGACATTTCCCCCACTCATAATACTAGAAGCTGGGATCATCTAACGTAGCTGAATGTTGTAAGATTCCAAGCAGACATCTACTTCTTAACACTGTGCATAGTTTAAATATGGAATCTGCTAGCCCAAGATGTAGTAATGGCCACTACCTTTGACAACCTTATAAGGGGGTTAGAAAGTTTCATGCAAAATGAATCTTATCGGTAGCTACTAGTGATGGCTGTTCACTGCCTTCAGAATCTGAGGCAGTATGCCACTGAATGCCAGCATCTGGAGAGTACAAGGGAGAGTACTGTTGCGCTCATGTCCTCCTTTGTGGCTTCTGGTTGGACACTGTGAGAACAGGATACTAGTCTAAGTGGGCCTTCGTCTGATATCACCTGAGGTATTTCATTTTTAATATAAATGTCCCACAGTTTCTTTTATAAAATTTGTTGTTGGTGACTGCTGGCTGTCGAGAGAAATATGCTGGCAGAAACCCCAAAGTATATCAAGTTGGCCATTGTGTTCCTCCAGTTGTCTTCAGCTGAAGGTTATACTATTGAAAAGTTGTCCTTTCAATAGTTTTTTTTTAAATTCACATTTCCTTCAATTTTTATTTCTTCTTTATGCTTGTATATAATATGTTGCCAACCTAGCAGTTCGAAAGCACGTCAAAGTGCAAGTAGATAAATAGGTACCGCTCTGGCGGGAAGGTAAACGGTGTTTCCGTGCGCTGCTCTGGTTCGCCAGAGCGGCTTAGTCATGCTGGCCACATGACCCGGAAGCTGTACGCTGGCTCCCTCGGCCAATAAAGCGAGATGAGCGCCGCAACCCCAGAGTCGGTCACGACTGGACCTAAAGGTCAGGGGTCCCTTTACTATAATAGGTTGCAAGGGATAGAATCCAGTGTAGTCCCTTGAGAAGTTTTGCATGTTTACATTCATATTTATATTTTTCTCTTCCTAACTTACAGGGCGTATGGGTTCTTCTTGGTCATTCTTTTAAACTAAAACTGTGTTTAATGCTGTGTTTAACCCTGGAATTTTTTTTTAGGTCCTGGAGTCTTAACCCGAACATTACTCAATGCTGGTGCCCATGTGATAGCTCTGGAGAGTAATAAGTCATTTGTTCCTGACTTAGAGGTAGGTTTGTACATGGGGGACTGAAATTTGTGGCTAAACAAAAAGATAAGGAGATGATTGATGGTTTAGCTTTAGAACCTGGACCTTTCACAAAAATCTGTAAAAGGACAAAAATGAGAGATTTAATTTATCTCAAAGTATATTGTTTTCCTGACAGGTTAGTTGTTGATTGTTCTTTTTCTTTTTTTTTCTTTTTTCTTTTCTTTTGGTTACAAATATGTCTCTATTACTCAATTTATGGTATTTTTTTAAAAAAACAAGATTTTATTTTATTTTATTTAAAAACAAGATAAAGGCACAGGATAAATCCCAGCATCTCCTGTTACAAGGTCTTGAGCAGCAGCTCTGGAAAAATCACTGCATGAGACGTTGGAGAGAGGCTGCTCTCTGAGTAGACAATACAGTATTTGGCTAGATGGGTTAATAGGTTGACTCAGTTAAAACAAATTCAGATGTTAATTTCACCTTCTAATGATTTGTTTCTGTTTAGTCTCTGAAGGAAAAAGCAGATGGCCAGCTAGAAGTGGTGCATTGTGACTTTTTCAGATTGGACCCTATGGGTATTGGATCCTTGAAGCCACCTTTTATGTATTCTGAAAGACTTTTTGAGAACTTGGGCATCTTAACAGTTCCTTGGACAGCAGGTACTTAAAATTGGTGCATATCAACTGTAGATAATTAGCAGATCAATATTTAATTGTTTCTATTTGGCTTTTTCCATTTGGTGTGCTTGAGGCAGATATCTTCAGATGAAACAACAGCAGTTAAATACATTGTAAAATGGCACCTGTTAAACACGTTTTTCCAAAGCTTTTTAGAAAGAGGAAAGTTTTCATGGCTTGCCTAAAGCCACTGCTTCCCAAGGGAGTGTTCCGTAACTGCTTTGGGAACTATTATGATCCAAAGGTTGTGTATAAATATAAAAATGACTGTGGTGCCACCGTGGAGAGAGCCCTGTATCTTGTGGGTATCCAATCTAATATTTGAATGTCAAAGCCTCACTAGAGGATTTAAGAGGTCTCATATAAAGGGTAGCAATATTCAAGGCATTAATGAAGTGGGAGTTATTTTTGTAATGATTCTGCTATTGTCTATTTATTTATTTGGTGGTTATTTTATTTAGTAGCGGTGAACATATACATTTTTTTCATTCATTTTGGTCAATTTTCTGTACAGATGTTCCTCTAAAAGTGATTGGAATTGTGCCACAAAGAAAGGAAAGGAACCTGATTTGGAAGCTTCTCTATGCCTTATATGAACGCAGTTCTATATATAAATACGGAAGAACAGAACTGAACCTCTTTGTCAGTGAAAAAGAATACAAGGTATTTATGTTTAAGATAGCTTGATAATACGCCAGCTGCTATGTGGTTGTGTTAAAATAATCAAATATACTTTGTAAAAGTTATTTTAATGCAGCGTATAGATGTATTAATTATTTTAATTTTTAAGCAAAGAACTTTTCTGTACTTGTCAGTTCCATGAACAAAAAAAAAAAGTTTTAATAACTCTCGTATTGGCAGCAAGTAGGGTAGTAATTATGTGTTGCACAGTCAATGAATAGATAAGTGCAGATTTTTAAAATTTATAATGAAACATAACCTTGGTTTTGATGCAAGTAGGAAAAATATAGGTTGCAGTCCTAAAAGATTTGGCTTCCTCTTTCAGTAGGCCAAATATCTGTGGACAATTTCTCAACAGAGGTTCTGTGCCTGTTAGGAAAATTTTATCCCAGTTGGGGGGAAATGTACTTGACAAATATTCAGAGGAACAAAGCCCTTGTATTAAGTTAAGGTTCTCTGGACTAATTTCACAGAATATAATTAAGCTCTGGCAAGTATTAGGAGATGACAGTAATGATCAACAAGCACTCAGTGTAGTGGTGTGGGGTAAGGAACTGGAAAACCCAACTGTTGATTACAAACAAGAATTACTGAAAAACTTAATCTAATCAAGTCCTGCCTCTTCAATAGGGTTAATCCAGAATGATCCGTTTTATATGTAAATGATTTCATCTGCATATAGTACTTTTTGGACTTATGGTCACATATACCACCTTCCTGTTACTAAGAACTTTTTTATTTTACTATTTGCTTTTCACTACTGCCTATCAGTTGCAATAAGGCATGGGAAGTGTTGTTTGCCATAAAACTCTGGAATAATTTTTACTAATCCATGGCATCTCTCATCCGAAGGAATGGTTTACTCATCTGCTCAGCTAATATTACATTAAGGTGGAGCTCTGCAAGAAAATGTTGGTATAGTCCTGGTGTGCATGTAAAACTGGTGACTGGGGTTTGTGTGTGAATTTTTTAAAAATAAAAAATGAGTGTTTGTGCTCTAACTTGGGTCTTACTTCATGTGCAAAACTTACTGAGATAGGTTGTGGTTTTGTTTTGTTTTGTTTTTTTTGAACATTTGAAAGTTCAAAATCAGTAAAACATGGGGCTTCTGAATGCAGTGGCGTGATTTGGCTTGGGGAGAGGTCTGAGGGGGCAGTTTAAATAAATTGAACTTTGCTCCACCCCAAGAGGAATCCAAAAGAGCCCCAGCCCTACCTCTGACTTGCAGTATTAATGGTGGACTACATTACGGGGCTCCCCATAGCTTTTCATCCTGCAAGAAGGGTATAGCAGTGAACTGTACCCCAGGGTTCTCTCCCAGCCCAGCTTGAGGCACAGAGGTACAGTGGTACCTCGGGTTACATACGCTTCAGGTTACATATGCTTCAGGTTACTGACTCTGCTAACCCAGAAATAGTACCTTGGGTTAAGAACTTTGCTTCAGGATGAGAACAGAAATCGTGCTCTGGCGGCGCAGCGGGAGGCCCCGTTAGCTAAAGTGGTACCTCAGGTTAAGAACAGTTTCAGGTTAAGAACTGACCTCCAGAACGAATTAAATACTTAATCCGAGGTACCACTGTACATTTTTTGTACTCTGTTTTAGCCAAACCTGCTACTTTTATACAGTACTGCAGAGTTGTTATAGACTACCCAGAACTGTATTCGTTGTTGTCATATAAACCCCAGGATTGTCTTAAACCAGTCTTCTCCTTAATCCCTTCTAACGTGAATGAACTGGTTTTGTTTTCAATCATCAACGTTTCAAATATGAACTGAATTAGAAAGAGCAGGAACTCTATTCTTTACCATTACCTTGTGGGTATCTTATGTAATGGAATTGGGGTTGACAACTTGGTACACGATCTGAGGTACATTGATACTGGATTCTGCATTGATTTCTGTTCTTGATGACATTTTAAAATACCTTCTAAGAACCAGAAAATGAGTTAGTGGATATTGCTTTTTTTGTTGTATAAGGACGGACAGTCCCCCTTGAAGGTCGGAAATAGAATATTAGATGATATAATAATTGTACTTTATATATACATTTTGGGTCTTCAGAACTATAGCAACTGCTTTGGAAGAACGGGAACAGTAGTACAGATACTGAGTTAGCACAGTTTCGTATTTTGACTCATGACTGAAAATAGTACTGTAGTTCTGTTGTGGCATAACAGTCCTTCTAATACAGCCTTGGACAAGCGAGACTTGTACCTTGATTCAACTTTCAGATGCTACTTGGAACTTCTTGCTTTAATCAAGTCTTTCTTCCATTGTTCATGATAAAGTCAGAAATTTTACATAAATATAAATGCTGTTTTTTTTCCTTGCCAGACTCTTGTTGCGAAGCCTGGGGAAACAAGAATCTATCAACCACTAAGTGTACTATGGCAAACAGCCTGCGACATTCAGCTTCTGCGTATGGTGAGTGTTTAATACATGCGATGAATAGTAATGCAATAATACTGCTCTTAGGGCTCTTAATGGTAAGGTGATATTTCAGGATTCACTTGGCTGGAAACTACTCCCACCCACCTGCTTGTAAGCAGGAAGCGCTTCCACCTGCCCACAGGTGAGGATATGCCTTCAAGGGATGCCACTCAGAAGGGTCCCTTGATCTTGTGGATCAGCTTTTTGTTTTGCAGGCATGCAACAGGACGCAAATATTTAAATACCTTGTGTGTAAAAGGAAGATTACCCATGGCACTTTAGATCCCATTCTCCCAGATCTTTGTCATAATTTCTCAAGCAGTTATTTTGTCATTTCCTTAGCACTTATTGCTGTACAAATGCTTACATTCTTAATCAGAAGCCAAAGAGCTGCATGTGGTGCTCATGTATGATCTGAACACCACATGCTTCACTGATGGGGAGCCTTGGGCTGCCCTGAATAGGTACTGCTGAAAGTTGAGGGAACCTGGCCTGTGGACCACCAGTGCCCTGTGGCAAGTCCTTATTGAATATTCATACTAAGTTGCATTACTGTTCCCTTCCTTCTAGGAGCCTTGGCCTTCATTTCTGACGAATTCAAAAAATGGTGGACTTTCTATACCAAAGAGTGTGGTAAGCTAAATATAATTGAATGCTTAAGGAAATGCTGTGTGAATGCAGACATTCTCAAATTCATTGAACTATTGTCCAGATTGCTGTTTTAGTGAGAGAGACACATGCTCATTCAGCTGTGCACTTAGTAATCGGCTGTCTGTCTCCAAAATGCTTTTCGCGTAAGCCAAATCTATATTGGTAGGGCTAGCGTCAGCAGCACTCATTGAAAATCCAGGTTGCAAAACATCTTTGTTGCTATACTTTTGCAATAATTGCCACGTCATTGTCATTGAATGGGGCTGGGGGTTGTTAATATGGTATCCAAACAAAATTGGTGCACATTATGCAAAATCCTGACTAGTGAACAAACTAGCATTTATTGGACCTCAGTGAAGGTTTGATTTTGCTTGGTAGCAGCCCAGTGGAACAGTGAGTAAAGCTTACACACACACACACACACACACACACACACACGGAGAGAGAGAGAGAGAGAGAGAGAGATATGACAAACTTCCTACTAGAGATGAATGGTTACTCAAACTTACAGAATATGCGGAATTAGCCTCTCTTTCTGAAAGAATCGGAGACAAACCCAGACAGGAGTTCATTCTAGAATGGGATAATTTCAAGAACTACTTGAAAAATAGTTGTAATATAAGCATGGTAGTTGCCTTTGAATGATTTCTGTAAATAATATATATAAAGGAAAATGACATCAAAATAGAAAAGCGAATTTTTAAAAATAATAATGACAAATTAAAGTAATATGTTTATTACAAAGGGAAACGTGGAGAAAATGGGAGGTCTTACGTTTGTGTAGAAAACACATAGTTGAAATTATATGTAATTTTCTTTGTGAACATAGATATCCTTATTGGACTGACTGAAATGAAGATAACTACATGTTGTATATATACGGAAAATGAGTAATAAAGCATTTAAAAATCCAAAGAGAGAGAAAGAGCAAATAATACCGATTGTAACTGTAATAGTAGCTGGACGGCCAGCAACAAGATCAGAGGGTCAGCAACAAGATCAGAGGGTTGGGCATTTCCATCGGATAAACATTTCCATCAATTTCACTGTTTATATGGGCAGATCCCCATAAAACATGGACTAAGAATTACCATAATTCATCGGGAGGGAATGAGCAACTGAGACCCCTGTTGTATGAGGCATTCCCCACACACTAACCTATGATACACTTGCAGTGTTGGTTTGCCCTTTCTGGAAGACATATCAGGTGAAAGACACATGAATTAAATTCTTATATTAATATGTTTTTAATTTTTTGTGTTATATGCAGCTGCTGCAGAATGACCACCTATGCTTAATACGGTTGACGCCGCGGAAGAATTTGTTTACAGACAGCTTGACAACTAGTAATTCAAGAATATTTGTTGTGATGGTGAAGCAATGCCTTGCTAAAAGCAAGACTAAACTAATAGATAAATTAAAGTAAGTAAAAGTCTATTTCTTTAGCTGACATCCAGCGTGGAAAAGAATTTAGTCGGATATGGCACTTGGCGTAAACCTGAACGATATTATATAGAATTTGCTTAAGTTTCAAAAGGCTGCACATCTTTAGATGTGTGACTAACGTTTGGGAAGACTAGTTGGCTTTGTGGCTGGATACCTGAGCACAGTGGCTGGCAGCCAAGTGGTTACTGAGCCAGTTTGACTTTTGAATTTTTTAAAACAGCAGAGGCCCTCCATCCCATTGCCATATCAAATACTATGTTTAAAAGCTGCATTTATTTAAACATGGTTGGTTATTTGGCATGGAAAACACAAGGCCAAAGCCCTTTGGGAATGTAGAACTAGTTGCTTGGTTCTTTGGATCCTGAACAAAGATCTATTTTAGGCATGCTTAAGGTAGGAATGTTTTCTCTGAACAGGAGGTACAGTGCCATACCAAAAGCTGCTTCTGGAATTTCTTTCATTGCAGCAATAAGAAAAGGGAGGTTGGTGCTTGATAAACTTAAGTTCCAACCACCGCCAGAGGTTTCAATATTGGCCATTTTATGTTTTAGACAGTCTTCATTTGTATACATGTATCCTCAAAAGCATCCTGGAAACATGCTGTGATGCATTAACTTAAACACTGAAATCAGCGTTTGTGTTTTGGGGTTTCATGATGGTGACAAGAGACCCTGTGTTGCACAATTAGTTTAGCCATTGGAGTTATATTCACAATCTAACCGTTAATGGAAAATAATGATGTTTTAAGGAATGAAATCTGATGAGATCCATGTTAAAGTTTGGCTTTGTTTTAATAAGGTACTGAGCGGCATTATCTTCAACTATCCCATTGTGACCGATTCCCTCTCCCCTCCTTTCTTCTGTTTCAGTTTATGGAGTTCCCAAGGTGGGAAGGAATTGTTGAGACAGTTGGAGATACCAGAAAACATTACAACGGGTAGTCTATATCCAGAGCAGTACAAAAGCCTTTTTGAGATCATGGAACAAGCTAATGAATTTGACCAAAGCTGGCTCTATGATGAAGATTCTTTGGAGGATAGCAGGGGCATCAATTTTTAATCTGAAACTGGTTTATTTTGAAAAGGAGCTTGTTATGGTGCAAATGATAGTGGCTTGAACCCTCTTTATCAGTGAGGATAATTTAGTTGATAAATTATCAGGTGATAAATTATGAAGGTGATACCACATGAAAATTCAACATCTTACACATGCCCAATTGGTCCTCCATGGGAAATTTCATGTCACTGCATTTTCTAAGGTGCAAGGCAAAATCCTTTGTTGTTCAAAACATAGTGAACTGTTTTCAGTCCTGTTTTTATTCCTTTGTATTACAGCAGAGCTACTTTTGGAATATAAGGCAAACATGGCATACATTGCAGTTTGCCTCAAAAATAAATATAAAGCTTGAAATGCATAGACTTGCACATTTAAAAAACAACAACAGGTACTGTAAACCAAAAATTTGCCAAAAGAAGCAAGAAAATGTTCATTTCTGGTTTAAAGACTTGTGCTCAAATACTCGAGTTACTCTAGAACTGGCCCCCACATGGAAAAATGTTTGCAAAAATTGCTCTGCCTTTATATATATTGTATAAACTTATGTAAATAGTATATAGTGAATGCACTTCAGTTATCCTGTTTTCTGACCAGGATGTTAACTACTATGTAAACTAAAAGAGGTTTGTCTCATCACAAACCTTTTTCTAATTTATAAAAATGTAAATATTTTCATTAAAAATGCAATAAAACACTATTTCTAGTCAAGAGACTGATTTCTTTTGCAACTGTTTCGTCCTGTCTACCCAGGCCCTTGTACACTGCTGTTGAAGAGCTGTATGAAAATTTCTCAAATATAATTGCCAGAATCAAATTAAGTAATTCTGATAGTGCAGAAATTTCCATGTGTACACCAAAACTTTCCCCTTGCTCGCTCTTCCTGTTTTCCACTTCATTCTCCCCAAATCTGCTCTAGAGGACTGGGGCAGAGGAAGAGGAAGGGAACTTGTACAGCCCGAACTCCTTGTTCTAAGAACTAGTTTGTTGTTTGACTGCTGTAGAGGGGTGGGGGAAAGATACTGTAAGCTTCTTTGTGGATACTGTTTGTGCTGTTGAGGATGTATATAAAGCCAAAGACAGTTGGGAAATGGAGGAGAGATTATTAAAATGGAAGGACCTGCACAAGGAATTCTCCTTGCACAAGGAATTCTGCAATCATAAGAAATGAATGTAGGATGATGATGATGAAATCTATTACTATTAGATTCACTAGTGCGTCCTTAAATTACAATAATTTAAAAGGAGTAGTTGAACTCCTGTTTAATTTCTTTACAATGTGTTGGATTCAGATAAAAGCTGCAATTCTGCAAAGTACTAACCTGAATTCAGTGATGACTGACTTCTGAGTAGACATGTACAGAACTGCATTGTAAGTTAGATGTACTTAAGTTTCATTTGATTTCAGTGGGAATTAACAACAGTCCAATTATACCTGCTCTGAAGTAAGTCTAATTTATGTCAGTGGAGCTTACACCCAAATAAGTAGGGCTAGTATTGCAGCTTAAGTCATTACAGTGGTACCTCGGGTTAAATACTTAATTCGTTCCAGAGGTCCGTACTTAACCTGAAACTATTCTTAACCTGAAGCACCACTTTAGCTAATGGGGCCTCCTGCTGCTGCCGCGCTGCCGGAGCACAATTTCTCTTCTCATCCTGAAGCAAAGTTCTTAATCTGAAGCAGTATTTCTGGGTTAGTGGAGTCTGTAACCTGAAGCGTATGTAACCTGAAGCGCATGTAACCCGAGGTACCACTGTACTAACTTTTTGCATTTCGAGAAATGCAATTAACAAAGACTGCAGTTCTGTGCTCTTACTTGGGAATAAGCAACACTGAACACTATGAGCTTCCTTTTGTGAATTATGATTATTATTGTTGCATTGTATAAAATGTTTGTCTCAAAGCGACTTACATTTTTTTAAAAAAACCCCGATATTAAAATATATCAAAAAAATTAAAACATTATCTAAAAGTGCTCATGCTGCAAGTACACATGTATAGGATTGTGATATTAATTTGAACCCTACCAATAATTCCTTTCCAACTTTTCCCAAGTGCACAAGCCAGTTTACAGCATTATGTAAGTAACTATATAAACCACTAACAGCCAAAGCAATCCTTAATGTGTGGGACAACTAATATGCTAGATCAATGCTTCAGAAATAAAATACGCTGAAACATATTTGCGTGGGGTGGGGGCAGGAAGGAAGGAAGAAGCAGGCGGTGTGCTGACAAAAACAATTATAGCCCTAATACAGGGAACATGCTGAAAATATTTTGAAAAGTACTGCTGAACATCAAGAAACGGGACCTAGATAACTGGCCTTTTAAATTGTGAGTTGGACCCTGACTTTAAGTGGCCCACATTAGAAGTACCACAACCATTTTCTTCTGTTTTTTTAAGATTGGGAGCAAGATTGGGGGTGGCAGAAGGATGGTAGAATTATCCGTTACAACACACACCAAGTTCTTCCAGTCAACACGGTTGGAAAAATCTAATCTTAATTTAACAACCCAGTAAAAGTGCTCAGAAAACTTTTGATGTCTGACTGTTGCATTATTTAAGGAGGGACAATTTTTCCTTTGAGAATAAGGAGTCATATTGCATTGCAAAGTAGAATCGGTTACCTGTAGCAAACACTATTCTTAGCAACATGATCTCATTTGACAACGATACAATGTCATGCTAGTAAGTCACAAAGAACACTGTACAGGAGCAACATTATACAACTATCCTTGAAGGTCAGATAATAATCTAAAACACTATCTTCCTTGGGCAGAGGGCTTTATTAATGCGAGTATGCAGAGCCTGAAATTATATAACAAAGAGGTCTTGAAATAGGCTGTTGAAACATTTGTATTGTTTTACCTGTAGATGTTTAAACAACTATATTAAAATCCAGAGATGAATTAAGGTGTTCATTAAAAAGGCAAATAACATATCTTAGCACCTTACATTATTTTAAATACATCCACTTTTGTAGAGTATCTCTTTAGTTTGACTCTGCATATTAATATTTGAATCGAAGTGAAAGCAGGAAATAGCTAAGGAATCTGAGAAATTGTGTTGTTGTGCCACCTGCCTGTCATTTGGAATGTGTGCTAGTTTACAGTCTTTCTAGGCAAAGTACACTCTTTAACAAAATTTATATATTGCTTGACTGTAAAGATAAAAATAAAATAGCTACTAATGTAAGCATTAGCTATGTTTTGCTGTTTCCAGGACAAATGCAAACTGTAGGTCACAACAATCCAAAACAAGGTAACATTGCATTTCCCATTTGTAAGCAAAAGATGGTAAGATGATTTTTTAAAAAGAATCTTTTATTTTATTTTTATCCTGTTGTCCCACCCCAGGAGCTCAGAGCTCCCATTATTTTATTCTCATAACAACCAATAAGGTAAACTAAGCTGTGATGTTACAATCCTAAAGTCACTCATTCTTTGTTGCCTTTTCAGTGCAGTTTGCGGCTGAGTGAGGAGCTGAATGTATGCCCAAGTTCTAAATCTAACATTCAAGTTGCTGCACCACACTGAGTTTCAGTTGAGGGCACACTTGACACCATTCTCACGTGTCTCTTCAAACCTGTGTTCATGTGTCCCCAAAATACTTCTTTTCCAAATTATATTTGATATGCACAAATTCCTCAAGCCCAGGATTGGGGGACTCAGTTCTGTGGCAGACCACGTGTTTTGCATGCATGGAATTTTGGGTTCAGTCTCTGGTATCTTGGCCCAAGGAAGCAGAAAACAGCATTCAAATTGCAAGTAAGCCAAACACATAATAGTAATTTATTTGTATTTTAAAAATACCTTTAATCTTAATAATCTGGATTGCTGGTATTAAAGGGGTTGGCAAATTGCCCTTCTTGAAGAGATATCTCCTATGTATACGTATCTAAAGGGCAGGTCTCAAATTTGACCTATGGCACTTTTTTGACCTATGGCACTTGGTAACTCAATGCCATCACTATATGCAAATGTCTGGATCATTTAAGACTTTATGGAATTTTTATTTTCAGTATGATGGAACTCACCGGTGAAGAATACAGTACTTTTTTAAAAAAATAAAATCTTATTTGTAAAGGGAATCTTTGTACGAATTAATAATTTATTATCCTGTTAGAGCTCATCTGTATCTTTGTACTTCTGCCCTTCCAGGGCTGTGACACTTTACTGTTTCAATTTTTGATTTCTGTCTTTCTTTTATGCTTTGTTATGTTGCAAGACTCTTTTCTGTCCCGCCCCCTCCCCTCCTGCAAGGACCCACCAGGGAAGAAGGGGTGAATGAAGATCTACAGCAGGAAGAAGGGTGGGAGACCAGCAGCTCCTCTTATTCCTTAATGGGCCACTGTAGACGTGGCACTGGGGAGGGCTGCCAAGGAAGTGGCAGATCTGGTCTGCAAGAAGCACGTGGCAGCAGTGGCTGATGCATTTCTTGGAAGCTGGATGTGCTGCCTTCCGTCACCAGAGGCAGTCATTCACTTTGCCTCATGAGTGGGCCAACCCTGAGGCTAAGGCGCCAGTCATAGCCCCACATTAATTCAGTATGTCTTACTTATGAGATGATGTTGGTTAGGGTTGTGCTGTGACACAGATCTGTAAATGGTGATTGACATAGTAACTGTGGGCAATATCTTAAGGCAGTGGGCAGCTTAAATCTGATTTTGCAACCCAATCCCGAATATGTTTACTCAGAAGTAATCCCCATTGATTTGATGAGGTTTATCTCCAGGTTAAGCACGTTTCGGATTGCAGCCCTAAATTGGGAAATTATTTCCCAATGTGATTTTGGAAGAGCCTAGCCTCCCACAGACGCTGCAAGATATAATTCTTTTTTCTTATTTAAAGCCCACGTCCCCGACTATCTAAACCCGCTTTTTTGGGGGGGGGAGTGCACATGCGCTTCCCATCTTGCTGAGCTTGACGCCGGGCGCCTCTTGCCCGTACCAAAGATGGTTCCGGCGGCGACACGGGCGGCATCACGTGGGGCCAGAGGCGGGAAGGGCCCTGTGGGCCCGGGCGCCTCTCTTCGCTCTGTGCAAGCGGCGATGGAGAAGTTTGCCAGCCCGGGCAAAGGCAACGGCCTGCGCTCCTCGAAGGCGGTGAAGCCGGGAGAGCTGCTGTACCGCGCGGAGCCCTTCGCTTACACCGTCAGCAAGAAGCGCCTGGGAGGCGTGTGCGAGCGCTGCCTGCGCAGGTATTGGCTGGGCTTCCCGCGCTCCGCGTCCCTCGCCGGGTCGGCCGCCCGCCCGCCCGCTCTCTCTGCCTTCTTTGGCTGGGCGGCGCTGCCGTGCTGCGAACATTTGCGCAGCGCGGGGCATGGTATTCATGCGCCGCAGCTCCCTTCCAGCACCGCCTTTCCTTGCTGCGGCTGTGGAGTCTCTTGCGCGTCAAGACAGCAGGCAAAGGCGAATTGGCTGGAAGCGGGTGGGGCGGGAAGTGGTCCTGGCAACGCTGTGAAGTGTAGCTGCTGTCTCTGGGTGGACTTCAACCCGGTGCTCTATTACTACTACTACTACTGCTACTATTAGAATTTATATACCGCCCTATACCTAGAGGTCTCAGGGCAGTTCACAGAATAAAATCAAAATATAAAACCACAAAATACATAAAATAAAAAACAACCACCACATTTTAAAAGGGCACATAGGATGTAAGTCAAATCAACCAAAGGTCTGGTTAAAAAGAAACAGTCTATGCCACATGCCTAGGGGTCTGAGGCCGACCCCTGGTATTGGAAACTTGCCGCAGCCACTGAGGCAGTAGATAGCCATCCTCCTCATGGGGTGGGTTTGCGTTTTGGCCAGGTAATAATAATAATAATAATTTATACCCCACCCATCTGGCTGGGTTTCCCCAGCCACCCCGAGCGGCTTCCATCAAAACATTAAAACAGGCACAGACTTAAGACCAATCTGTGTGCCTTCAAGTTGGACTCCAGCTCTCATTAGCCCCAGAACAGCCAGTGGTCAGGGATTATGGGAACTGTAGCCCAAGAATATGAAAGGCCAAAGGGTAACCACCCTTGTTTTTAAGATGTGATGATGAAACAATGGGCCTCTCCTTACAAGATTATTCAGCACTTGATGGCTTGTGGCAGGATGCTGGAAGTGACTCAAGTGATAAAGAGTGTGAGGTGATATGAAAGTGCTCTTGTGTGGTGTTAGATTTGTGATGGCATGTTTATACACGCAAGCTATGACTTGAAACATGCCAGTTTCAACCTATGATTTTTGAAGAAGTGATTTCGTAGCTTCTCCAAAGCTTGCCCTCCACTTCCCTTTCCATTCCTTTTGAGTCATACTGCATAGCGAGCCTGCAGGTAGGGACCGTCTGTGATCCCTTAATAGCTGTGCAGTACTTAGAAGAAGTTAGGCTCTTCATAGATGTTAAATAATAATGTCTTTCACACCTGTTGGGAATGGTGGAATGAAAGGGCAGTGCAGATTCTGAGGGGAAAAGCTCACCCTCACATATGCAAGTTGTGGAGGTAAATGCCACAAGATTGTTCATTAGCTAAAATTTCAATTGGAGTACCACCAAAAGGGCCATGCTAGTTTATCTCAGCACTGTCACTGACTAGCACTGACTGGTCTTTCCCAATGACATTTGGCAGGTGTCTCCTATTTGTTTTGTAGCCAAATGTGTAACCACAAGTTGTTCATAATTTGAAAAGCATTTTTCTTGGTCACTCAAATCTCTGGTCATATTTCAGCCATTCAGATAGTTTCACTGGTGATTCCCCCACTGCCCTCATTTCTCCACATGGCATTATTCTCTTCTCTTCCTGTTGTTATTTCCCTGCTGTTTACTGTGTCTTTCTTGCTGTTATAAGCTAAGTGGTCTCAAATTTTTAGCTCAGACTCAAATTTATTTACCTTTTTCACGGTTGTTCCAGATGACGGACCATTAGAATTTAAGAAGGTGCCAGATATTGAGTTAGACTGATGTATCCATAAGTTTTATTATTTTGGCTATAAGATTATTCACTAGGATTTTGTAGACTTGGAATAGCATCATTAGACATAAACTTTTGTGGTTTTGTATTTTTGTTTCTTATAACAAATCTCCAATAGGTGGCAGTACATGAACACAAAAGGTCTATTTGTTAATACATAAAAAAAGACTTAAGCCTCTAGTTTTTAACTGCATGAATAGTCACACTGAATGCTATGTTCTGACCATACTACAGTATGATTAGTTGGTCTGCAAGGGCAGGGGAAGACTAAGCTTGGGCATAAAGCCCTCTGTCACCACATTGAAAGGAGTGGGCACTCATACTTAACCATTTGCTCATAGCCACCTAGTGATTGTGGTGAAATGATTTCCTTTCATCCTTTCAAATATTGCATTATTCAGTATCACAAAAGGGTAAAATGTTTGTTTCTAGAGCTACTCTTAACTATTGAGTGGTGATAGGCTTTCTTTAAAAAAATGTTTAAAATCTAACAAGTGATATGTAAGACAATGTAACAATGTTGCTATTTGCATAGGAAATGTTTTCAGAATAAAGGTGAGTTTCACAGCCTAAAAGACATAAACTGAGCTTGCCATTTTCTCATGTAAAATAAAAAAGTGGAATCTCTATACTCGATAAATATTAATATGTGCCAAAGGAAAATCCTCAACACATAAGGAGGTGGGGGACAAGAGTAAATGGCAGTAACATAGCAAATTAGCACACACTCAGTGCTTCATTTATTTTTCTTTAAGGGTAAATTTTTATTTTTTCAAATTCATAATGAAAATAAGTGCTGTGAGGGAAAAATAGATATTAAAATATGGATAATAGCTAATGTAATATGCAGTTGCAAATTAGTTTCCATTTATTGTTCTGAAGGTAAAAGGGGGTATTTTATGTAAGATCACTGGAAGTTTTGCATTATATTACAATATTGTAACTGTACATATATAAAAATGATATTAGTTTTTGTGGCCTAGAAAAAAAATATTCTACTTATTTTGAATATTTATCTCTAATGTTTAACTTATTATGCTACACATCTTGCATGGAAAACCTGTCTCAGCTTTAAGGAAGTTTGCTTAAAGGACAAAATAATTATGGAAGTTCCACATTTGTTTCCATCTTCAGATCTTTTCAGGGTATTTTCAAACTCACTTGTGGTATGATTTGAATTTGTACTATTTAAATAAAAATGTTAATAATTCCAATGTAGGGTCACATGAAGTAGCATCCCAGCTAATGTTTGGAACGTTTCTGAGAATTGTTTCAGATTTTGGAGCAGACTGGGAGCCAAAATGCCATCCATTTCCTGTCTCCTTGCTGCTGCCTTAATCTGAAGTAGACCTTTTGCATCTCCCCTCCACCTCATCCCCCAGAGTTGTATGAACTCTCAATGTAGTCAGCTTTCCCAGTGAGTTAAATATGAATGGTATTTATTTATTTATTTATTTATTTATTTATTTCGACTATGGCAGACCAACATGGCTACCTACCTGTATCTAGAAGCATAGGGAAAGTAATACATGAGTTGTGCTAACTTAATCTAGTCTGATTGTAGAAGAGACCAATGATTGTGCTAGGAAGAAAGGGTAGTTTTCAGGTGCAGATTATATTAGGTATATATTTCCTGGACACATGAAATGTAAGGTAAATCAAGGAATCAAATGCAATAATTTATATAACAAACATTCTGAGTTGGGATATCAGGAGTAATTGGTGGATCAATTAAAGCACTATTTGTTTAGATGGAAGCTTAAGCACCTATCTTTTAGTTTTGTGGCACGTTGTAGTAGTAAGGAGCAGACTTTTTGTAATGTCTGGAGTCTAACATTACCTGATTTCATATTTGCTTCTGTTGTGAATTTTCATTTATCTTCACAGTTGGGGAGTCTTTTCATTATAGTTTTGATGTATTTATTTTTATCCTTAAATATATTTTCCATGGCTTAAACACCTCCTGTTTCAGTAACGGTCCTTTAGCAATTTCAATGCTAACAATGGCCTTTTCAAAACATGTGTTCCTATTTATAATCTCTCTTCCTCTTATCGTTCTGACCCATGCCTCTCCTGCTGTCAATTAATTTTGTTCTTGTTTGTATCACACACCCAGTTGTATCATGTCCTTGCTTTCAAAGTCCTACATTATTCAGAGTCTCTTTACATCTTGGATAGGATATCTTTATGCTTTGTTTTGATTTATAATCTGCCTGGAGTATAAATATTCTTCGCAACAGTTTTCTGAAAATTGGTGTATATTACAATTTGTGATTCGGGATATGCCTGAATGAAGAGGATTTGCTTATAGACCCAAGTATGACAGCTTGTTGTAGTTTAGATTCCATAGCTAATAAGGGTAGGTTTGAGTCACTTTTGTAGTTATAAATACACATAAACAGCCAGAGCGTGTTATATCTCAGACTGATAGATAGCCGAAAGCTCGCTGTAATAGCTCCATTCTATATTACAGAACAAGGCTATCTCTAGCTTCCAAGATTGGTTCTTTTATATGTTGTGAGCCTTGGATCAATACAGCCAGTTATAGTAAAGTGTAATTTCCTCCCTACGCATAGCATGATGGAATATTTTTTTCCATTAAAGTCAACAAGTAGTGGTTTCTCTTTACTCCTTAATCTCTACTATATGTATAATCAGTTCTGGCAGAGCTATACTTCAGTTTATATAGAGTGTAAAATCTTCTACCATAAGTAGGCTAAGCTTTTAACAGTCCTTTAAGAGAAGTTATAAGGATATGGGAAATCGGTTCATGATTGAAAGTCAACAGGGGATATGATGGTATTGCATAAGATGTGGTTTGCTCTCATTTCCTGCTATAAGCAGAGGTGGCTGTTACTCTATTGCAGGTGAGGGGAATCACTGGATGCAACTCCTTTGCTAGGAAGTTCCAATAAATTTGGTGGGACTTTTGAATAATTGTTTTCAGAATCAGTCTTGTGTCTCCTTGCAGTACTCAGACCTTTCTGACCTAGGTTTGTTATGGAGCTGTCCCCTTGATTAGAAGTGGGGGTGGCTGATAGTTGCCTTGCCTTGGGTAAGTGGATCCCTTTTGCAGTGGCTAAAGCCTCATCCTTTGCATGGTTCTGCAGTCTAGGTCATCTGTGTACAGTACACATTGGTCTGTAACTGGTATTCCCTTCACAAGACTTGCGTCAAGTTCAAGCTGGGGCATGCTTCATAAAACCCTGGTGGCCCATTCTCCCTTGCAGTGTAAAAAGGTAAAGGGACCCCTGACAATTAGGTCCAGTTGTGACCGACTCTGGGGTTGCAGTGCTCATCTCGCTTTATTGGCTGAGGGAGCCGGCGTACAGCTTCCGGGTCATGTGGCCAGCATGACTAAGCCGCTTCTGGCGAACCAGAGCAGCGCACAGAAACACCGTTTACCTTCCCGCCAGAGCGGTACCTATTTATCTGCTTGCACTTTGATGTGCTTTCAAACTGCCAGGTTGGCAGGAGCAGGGACTGAGCAATGGGAGCTCACCCCATCGAGGGGAATCGAACCATCAACCTTCTGATCGGCAAGTCCTAGGCTCTGTGGTTTAACCCACAGCGCCACCCACGTCCCTTTCCTTGCAATGTACTCCTGGATAAAAACCTTGCCAGTCTCTCTTCCACTGAAACATCTTCTTTCCAGCTTCTTTGACCCACGTTAGCATTCTGCACTCAAGCATACCTTACAAACACAGGCCTGGAACTGTAAAGAGGAAATGTGAGTGGATACCAGAGGAATGTTTTGAGAGAAATCCCTCCTATTCTTTCTCTGATACAAACCACTCTCTCCTGAAGGCACTTTGCAAAGGAAGAAGGGGCAGTTGGGGATTCATTACATCCAGCTTGGTTTGCCCTTAAGAGTCTTTGTTCACTTGATGGAAATAGGGAATTTATTTTACTACACTATTTGGATGATGCCTTTCATGAGGGAAATCTTCTGTTCCCTGACGGTCTGCCTGGAGGTGTTTTCAGAAGTGGCTTTGAGTCTTATCTGTTATGACAGGGCACTCCAACTTTTCATACCAAGTGGCCACAAGAGTACATTGACATGGGACCCATGAGCTGCACAATACCTTGTGGGCATGGGATGGGGGGGGAGGCAAAACCAAAAGTTGACATCTCTCCAGCCCTGTGCTGCCTTCGCAAAGCTGGTTAAGCGAGGCTCCTGGCTTTGGGAAGGAGGCGCAAAGCTCTGGCAGGGTCCTAGAGCTCTTTGACCTCTTTCCCAAAGCTGGGAAAGCACTAGCTAGACTTTGGGAAGGAGTCTCTGTACCTGAGCTACATCCACCACATCAGAGGTGGGAAACGTTTTTCAGCCTGAGGGCTTCATCTCCTCCTGGGCAATCTTCCAGGGCCAGAGACAGAGGCAATAATGGGTGGGGCAACAAATGTAAATTTTGCTTTTGTACAGTACTCTCTCAGTTCTCTATCCTCCATCCTGGAGAACAAGAGGAGTTGTCAAAGTCCAAGGACACGTTCTAGCAGGGCAAAAACACTCCAGGAATGTGAGACAGGGCTGGTAAGTGTGTGGCCTGGGGAAGAGTGCCAAGGGCCAGAGAGAGTGATCTGAAGGGAGGCATTCAGCTCCTGGGCTTGCGGTTCCTGCCCCCCTTGCACTGTATCCATGGATGTTGCATGTAGATCTGAAATACTGGAGGGTGATCATATGAATTAATGCATGTCTCTACGACAAAGAACTCATTTTTCAAAAGACAAACCCTGTGTATATAGAAAGGCGGCATGCTGAGGTTAATGCTCTCCTTCCTGACATCCAGTTTCTTGTCTCCTACCTACCTAAGGTGAAAGTAAGGTTGATTTGGAGAAGAAACGGCACCACCTCATTCATTGCAGCAGCTGTTCTGGAAAACCTTGCCCCATGAGGTTCATTCAGCCTTTCGCCAGCTTTAGAATTTTTATTTTTATCTTTTCCAGCCACGTTTTCATTTGTCATGCTGATCTGGTTTTAATGGGAAACTATGTTTTATCTGATGTGCTTGACCTTGTCAAGTTTGTTTGATAATGCTGATCTGCATCTGCTTTTAATATGTTATGGATATATGTTGTTTTTGTTTTTGTATTGTTTATATTTTTATCTGTTGATTTTAATTGGTGTAATACACGTGTGTTAGGAAGGCAGGCTGTCAGTTCTTATGTACCTAAATAAACAAATGGTCAATTATTTTGATCTGTAGAGTGGCACAGTTTAGTGGAAAATTAATTAGACACAGTATTATTGCAGGTCTAAGTAAAATGTTTGAAAAGACAGTATTTTATAAACTCTAAGTGGGGTGGCCAATGAGGTGCCCTCCAGATGTTGTTGGACTACAACTCCCATCAGCTAGTGGTCAGGAACTGTAGTCCAAAATAGCTGAAGGTCACCATGTTGGCTACCCCTGCTATATTTCAATGTGCATTTACACAATTCTGCATGTTGGGCGAAACAGTGGTCCTGAAAGCAGACTGGATGTTTCTTTAAATTAAAATACCTATTTCCCAGCTGCAACAGGTATTGCTGCTAAAATGGGAGAATATCCAAAGAACCAGAACTAGCATTTTGTCCGTGACAAAAAGACAGTCAATTCACTTGTTTGTCGAAGATAATTTTTATGGTAGAAATTAAGACCTCAGTCAAGCTTAGTGCCGGTGTTTTGCCTGATCCCCTTAGTATTCCACCTGGAATTGCCAGGTAAGCATTTGGGAGGGAGACAACACAGATAATGCAGGAGAAGGTCAGAGCCAGACTGGCTCACTCCTGAAGGACAAATTAAGCTCAAAGTGAAGGAATGGTGCCTGGCAGATTGTCAAATGTTTGATGATGTAGCTTTTGGGCTAATAGCTGTCCATTCAAACAGTTTGGATATTGCAAGTAGATGGCTTGCGAGCTCCCATGAAAGGTTTTATTTCCTTGGCAGTCATTTTGATTGAATTACCCTAAGTATTTGCTGTGGATAATCCCTTGTTTTATGTCTTGATAAGCCAGTGCTGCTTAAATTAAATTTTTAATGAAACATGTAGAAGATTGCTGATGTTTTCAGAACTGCACAGAAGTCTCCTTGCTTTGGATACACTAATAAGTTCACTGGTAATTTCTTTTGAGCAATATTTTTTAATGGTACAATGTGCTAGCAAGGCAATATTGTAATGTATACAGCTTTTGGCTGTTAAAATACCAACTTGGAATGTAAAGAAATAATTTAAAAATGGGAAATATTTAAATATTAATTCTCAAATATTTTATGATGATTTCAGAAATATGGGAGAGAATAGTTATTCACTATATACTGTTCCTTAGTATAGGTGATAAGCAATGATGTTAAATTACAGGAAGGTAGATTTCATTTACAATATTATCCTTAATGGTAAGAGCTGTTCAGCAGTGGACAGCTACTAGGGAATGCTACAAATCTCTTTTATTAGATGTGGGAAGATAAAACGAAGAGGCATTGGCTGAAGATATTTACTCTATGGGGAGTAAAGTAAATGGTCTACCTGATATCTTTCCAGCTGGTAAATGCTGGTCAACTTGTACTCAGTTTTGAAGTTTTCTAATTGTATAAGCAATTATTTCTTCTATCTAAACGTGGGGTGAATCTGGAGCTTACTTAATGCTGAAATCATTATTAATTATAAAAAAATGCACGTGAACCTTTTGGGAGAGGTTGAAATGCTGTCACTTCAGATTAATTATAGCGTCACAGGAGTTAGTAAGTGTCCCTGTTAATGTAATGTTTTTGCAGATCTATATAAAATTTGCTTCCCAATGTTTTGCCAAATTTTGGCCTGCAAGGGCCATATGTGTTAGCAGATGGGGGGGGGGGCACATAGTCAATGGATGTAGCTTGAGCTGGTGGGAAGCATGCTACTCTCTCTCTCTCTCTCTCTCTCTCTCTCACACACACACACACACACAGTGTGTGTACAGGCTTGTGGCCTCCAAATATTGTTACCCCTGTAAGCAACCCAGCCAGGGTTGATGGCAGTTGCCGTTCCACAACACCTGGAGGGCCACAAGTTCCTCACCCTTGATCTAGTGCATCTGAGAAATGGGAACCCAGGAAACAGGACTGTGCAAGTACGTACGTGCTGACTTAGTTCTTCAGTGCTCTGATAGTGTGTGGAGAAAGTTAAGGAGGCTGTCACCTGGAAGGGAGTTGAAAGAGGTTCAAACATGCCTCTTATTCCACCCACTAGGATCACCCAAGGACATTCTAATCAACACCATAGTGATGTTCCAGGCTGCACGCTCTCATTATCTCCTACATCAGTGGATGGTTGCCATCCATTCCTATGAGGACTAGTAAGGAGATGAACTTGGGGACACTATTATTTGCAGGGGCGGAGTGTACACAAAACTGTATTGGGTGCAACTATCATATGCAATTGATCTGTGCTTCTCGACAAAGTTGGCTAGCTCAACAATATTTCAACAGACATATCCAGGTTCTTCTCTAGTGTCCTTATTCCCTTAGTAAGTTATTTTTGTTAGATTAAGGGCTTCAAGGCTTGCCCATGTGGAACAACTCTCCTGCAGGCTAATTAATTATTTCCCTTCTCGTTTTTTTTATTTTTTGCCTTCCTTCACATATAAATTAATAATTATCATATCTGCCTGTACACACTCTTTATTGCTCATGTAAATATGGGTGCTGATAGTAGGTTTATTTAATATTCAGCCATGCGTGTATGCATTTAGTTTTTAATTGTAAAAATAACTGGTAGTATGTTTTCATTAGAGAGCGGTAGACATTCATTCTTAATTGCAATAGTAAGCATTTTCCATAGTCATGGGTAAATTACAATTTAGTATCGGTTTTTTAAATTGGGATTTTTTTCAGGCATTTTAAGCACTGGTCTATTTTCTGTTCCAAATGTGCAAAAGCTTAAAAAATAATAATACAGAATCGCTTGTGCTGAGTATGTCCCTGTGTCCCTTTTGCTATAAATTCTTTGAGGCATGAAATAGCCTGCCAGTTGTCCGTTGCATTCGCACTTCGATAAATGGATATCAATTTATTGTAGCCACAAATTGTAATTAATGCATGATATCATTTCTCAGAATATTTGCTTCTAAGACAGTTTGATTTAATATGTTCAGTAATATGCTAGACTAAATTCCTCCCCCTCTCTTTTCAGTGGGGGTATGAATTATTTTCTTGCACCTTCTTTTATGGCAATTGATATGGAAACTTGCCTTGACTGGAGCCACATCAGACTAGGGGCCGAGGCTTATGATAGTCACTGTAGAGCCAGGGTGGACTCCTGGTATCAGTTTAGTTGGAGTCTGTCTTCAGTGATCTTATGATGGGTAGTCAGAAGACACATGTTTAGCATTTAACAAAAGAATAAAGGCAATAGCAAGCTGCTATGCTATATAGGCCTTTGGAACTCTGGAAAGATTTCAGCAGGTACAACTTCTCCTGCTTTGTTTTATCTGAACTTTTATGCTTGAGTCTTGGGGGGGTCAGTGGTACAGCATTTTCCCTATATTGTGCACTACATTTAGCAAGCAAGGAGTTGCATATTTGAATACTCCTCTACAGAAATAAAACCTTACCCCTACAAAGAGAAAATGAACCTAATGTATTTCAGGGGAAAAGATTCAGCTTGGTCTCTCACTAATAATGTTATTTTTGTGTCCATCTGTGTAGCGAGTTGTTTTCATCAGGGAGCTTTTAAATATACAACCCCATACCCCTCTGTTAATAACAGTGTGCCTATGGGGATATTCAGAGTGCTTTCCCCCTAACCACTGAGCAACTGCAGCCTCCCCTTTTCTCCAGCCACTTAGAATTAAGAAGCTGGACTTGCACAGTAATGGCATATTTTCTGCACAGATGAAAGTCCCACAACCTCTCACTTCAGATATTATTAGGAGGAGAGATGAGAGAGCCCGCTGTGAACCATCTAGCCTGGTGAGAAAAACCCATCTCTTCTGTACTGCATTTCAATCATGCCGTAGCTCATTGGGCTTCAGTAAGACTGGAACAAGTAGTGTGGGATACCTTTAATTTTTTTTACCCATTAACATTTATGTTTTGCACTGTGTCTGTGATATATTAAGTAATATTCAATTTATCATTTGTTTCCTAAATTGCTATTGCTGTTGATTATATATTAGATTCATATGCTTTGAAGCAAACTGTTTTTCAGATGTTATATATTTTGATAATTCATTGATGATGTAAGTGTCTTTTGGTCACAGTTCACCGTGGGAAAGTGGCATACGAATAAACTAGACTTAAATTTTAACAAACATTTCACCACCCTCCCCATCCACTCCTCGTTTTCCTCTGGCAACTCTTCACAAAAAAAGTGTCCTTTTTCTTTCCGCAACTCTCCTTCCATTCTTGTTATAGGCAAGCTGCTTTTGCTTATTCCCCCACCCCACCCCTGTCTCATCCTAAATAATTGGTGTCGACCAGAGCTCAGCCTAATACCAGGGTTCAGACCTGGAACATGGGATGAAAAGTACCTCTGAGCATGCACTTAGTACCATTTCCTTACCACTGAATCTGAAATCTTGTGTCTCCTCACATACTTAGAAACATGCCTAGCTCTGTACTTTCAGTATAAGCATATATTGAACCTCTCCTAGTCCACTTCTGGTTGTCCAAGCCTTTTGTTTCAGTAACCAGAAAAGAAGTCTTAAAGCCATAACATTGCAATGAAAGAAGACATTTTTAAAATGATGTTTTAATAGATACAAGACTGAATAAAACAATTCCCTTGCTCTTTATGCTTTCCACCCTCTTTCCACTTCAGCTTTTCATTGCAGCAACCAGCAATGGATTTGGGGAAAGCTGTGGATGTTAGTCAATATCACCCCATTTACATGTGATGCTAAGTTTTTGGGAAGGAAGGTTGATAAGGAAAAAATAATCAAATGGATTTAGAAGAAAATGTTTTGCCCATTACTTGGTTTGCCTAAAATCATATTGCAACAATTTATGTGAAAATCATGTTTGGTGTCAGAGTAATGATGTAGGTATCAAAAATATGAAGCTATGCAAACCAACTTGATTAGCATGCCTGTACTAGGCTTTAGCTACTATTGGCGTTTATAGTTCAACTCTCAAAAAAGTAGTTGCTTCCTGAAAATCATCTTCAAAGAGTCAGGTTTCTCCGGTATGTTGTTACAAACACGGAATTTTATATTTCATTTGATAAAAGTATTTAAAAATATTTATTTATGTGTATCTATGTCTATTACTGTGGGCCTGTTGAAAAGTAGTTGTTCTGTAGCTGAAAAATTGCCACTGAAAATACACCATTGTTTTGTGTTACGAGGCCAGTATAATGTAAGGTTGAAAATGGGTGTTGGAAATCAATTTGCAATTTGATGAGCTTTGACTACAAAACCCTGTACACTGATTACTTCTGAACTCAGTGTTTTGGGCAAGCATTCACATAAAATGTGACATAAACATTATGGGAAAAACATTAATTTGTATTCACTTTGTTGTAAAGAAAAGGCTGTTTTGCATAATTGTCTGATTGACAGTTCAGTCACATATAGAACTTTGAACTGTTATCTTACAAACATGCTAGATGTAAATAAATGGTTTATTAGCTTTGCGCTTCCTACACTTGTGATGTTATTTAAGCTAGCATTTGGTAAGCACTGGAAATTGCTCAGGAAAATTCCATTACCTGAGTTAGCAGTGGATGCTTTCAATTTTGTTTGTTTGGTGCTTTAAATGATGGAAATTTATATAAAAATTATATTAATTTATATTAAAAATACTCTCTAGAAATTCCTGTAAAGTGGCACTGGCTACCAAATTGTTTCTGGGCTTAAGACCAGGTGTTGATTATTATCTTGAACCCTATATGGTCCTATACACATAGGAATATATTAACTTCTTTCTAGAATAAATCCAAGCATTCTCCTCCTACCTTCATTAATTGATAAACTCCTGGTACCTTTTCTCCTTCACTATAGCAAGTGGGGTGTGGTCTGATAGTACTGCTTTTAGGAGCCACACTATAGGCAACTCCCCATTTAGGCAGCGTTTACTTTCTGGCTCACTGTGCACAGAAGTGAAATGCGTGTAAATGGGGAACACCCTGCTGCTCCTCCAGTTTGCAAGGAGTCCTTCCCTGGAGTCCAAAAGAGATGTCCTCTTCGGGGTCCTCGTCAGCTGGAGGTGCATCAGGGCTTTGTTGAGGCTCTTCAGGTATCTTCCCCCATTTCCAGGTTTCCGGCACGCAGTGCATATGTGCAGTCGTGCATGACTTGAACATGCGTAAGTGGAGGGGATGCCTGTATAACAGTATATAAGGGGGAGCTGGACCGCTGGTGAAGAGGCTAATAATAATAATAATAATAATAATAATAAATTTATTATTTATACCCCACCCATCTGGCTGAGCTTCCCCAGCCACTCTGGGCGGCTTCCAACCAAATATTAAAATACAGTAATACATCTTTGACATCTGGTGGGAGGGCGTTCCACAGGGCGGGTGCCACTACCGAGAAGGCCCTCTGCCTGGTTCCCTGTAATTTGGCTTCTCGCAGTGAGGGAACCGCCCGAAGCCCTCGGCGCTGGACCTCAGTCTCCGGGTAGAATGATGGGGGTGGAGACGCTCCTTCAGATATACTGGACCGAGGCCATTTAGGGCTTTAAAGGCCTAGCTGACATTTGCCCCTTTCCCCTGCCCATTAAAAAGAAGTGATCCAGTGTAGATACTGATTCACATTCATCGTGGCCTTTGGATCTTACAGCTGAATGGCTTGACTTTTATAAACTGTTCGCCAAGAGTAATACAAAGATTCTTGGTTAACATTATAGTGGGTGATGTAACTCACTTCATTTGCTCTTCAGTTCTAATGTTGAGTGGAATTTGGAAGTGGCCATAGCCACAGATCATAATTTTTATTTGTCTTCAGCTGACATTTAAAATATATTTCTCCATTAAACATCTAGTTTACAATGTCTAGGGCTAACGTGCAACATAGCTTGCTGTCTACACAGCCATAACATTTCTTCTCAAAGTGAACTTGTACAGAATTTATTAATCTTATCAAAAAGCCTGAGAAGTGTATAACATGGAGTTATTTTGTAATAATATGCTAGATAATAATATTAAATATACAGTATTTTCAGTTTTTAATAATATGCAACTTCGTGTTCAGTGTAAGATAAATCTAAAATTTGGCCAGTAAAGGAATGAAATAAATAATGGGAGGCTTGAATAACCAGGGAGACATCGCCGTTGTAGAAGCTGAGTGTCTAGAAGGGAGACCATCAAACCATATGCAGACATACTTGCAAACAGGACCAGGAATGTTTTATTTTTATGCATGTTCACCCCACATTTGCATTCAGATAACACATGTACTATCTACATATGAATTCTGATATCCCCTTCCTCTTTGCTTCTTCATCCCCTTCCAGGTGGGTTGCTCACTCTCCTTCCTGCCCGAAGCACTGTTAATGAGTTTACCTACTCCCATTTTTTGTGCTTTGTGTGCTCTCCCTCACATATACACACCATTGTCTCTTTTTTAATGGAAAAGCAGCTCAGGGAAAAAGCGAGATGTGGTGACACAAGTCCCCAATCATTCAGCAATGTGCATAGCCACCTCTGTCGGAAACTTCACAGAACTTGTTTGTTTCTAAGAAGCATATATGTCTGGTAAAAAATGAGGATGTAATTCTGCAGCAGCTTGAGCACTCTTTGTGCATCTGTGCTCAGTTGTAAATGCTCTGAGTTTTCTAAAGGAGGACCAGTTAGAAATATAATAACTAAAACATGTCCATCATTCTCAGCAGTAAAGGCAAATCAGAAATTGTAATTGGCTCTTAAAAGGGCACCCATTGCTATATTTTAAAGGCAGATGCACTTTAAGACTGCAGATTGATGTCTTGCAAGCAAGCAAGCAAGCAAACAAATGACTATTTGAATAACAGAATAAAGGGTCAGTTTAAAAATTCAGAATGTATATTTGTGATTGGGGGTGTTGATTCAGGAATCTGTTATAACAGAATTTGCAGAGACAAAGATAATTAAATTTCCACAGAGGTCATCCTGGAGCTGTATTATCTAACTGGCCAGTTGTCAAATATATGACTTAGGTTTCTGTTATGCTCTGTTGAACTAGCACCTTTCACTTATTGATTGCTGATGACATGATTCATTTGACAGCGGTTTCTATGCACTTTTCTAGTGCTTGTTGAATCTGTCCAAGTCTTTAATTTTCAAGGTGGTATTAAGTTCATAATAAATTCTCAAAATAACAACTGTGGAATTTGTTTTGCAAAGCAATGTATTTCTTTGGTTCGTAAAATATTGCTCATGCAGGCTATTTTTAGTGATATTTGTTCCCTTTTAAATCAGAAAAAAAATTATTTTCTGAAGCGGTACAGTCATACCTTGGTTCTCGAACGGAATCTGTTCTGGAAGTCCATTTGACTTCTGAAAACGTTCGAAAACCACGGTGCGGCTTCCAATTGGCTGCAGCAGCTTCCTGCCAGCCAGCATGCCCCATGGTCAGGAGACTATGGGGAATGTCACCCAGCAGCATCTGAATGGCTACATGTTCCTCATTCCTGCTTTCGAGAGCTGGTGTGGTGTAGTGGTTAAGAGCAGTAGACTCGTGATCTGGTGAACCGGGTTCGCATCTCCGCTCCTCCACATGCAGCTGCTGGGTGACCTTGGGCCAGTCACACTTCTCTGAAGTCTCTCAGCCCCACTCACCTCACAGAGTGTTTGTTGTGGGGGAGGAAGGGAAAGGAGAATGTTAGCCGCTTTGAGACTCCTTCGGGGAGTGATAAAGCGGGATATCAAATCCAAACTACTCTTCTTCATCATCTACATCTTCATCTTCTGTAAACCATAGTTAACAAAAATTTAAAGGTGACAGTGCAGCATACTGGTTCATGCCACTGGAACTGTGGGCACTTTGCTGCTCCTACATTTCTGCTATATTGCCAGGAGCTAGGTCACTTTTTGGTGTAGCGTTACGTCCAAACCCAGGCTCCTGGTCTCTTGGTTTGCTTCTCACAACTAAGTTGCTGTGGAGCGGCAACCCCCTGGCTATCTCCCCAGGCTATTTCCATCCTCCTAAGAACGCTTGTTGCTGCTGTCCTGAGTTGACTGTCTGTCATTCCCACTTGCCTTCTCCCAATGCATCAGAAGCGGTGCCATTGTGAAAGGTCCTGATTAACCAAGCAGGCAGGCAGCCTGTCTAGGCCAAACTATGTAGTGGGCATTACCAATGTGCATGGACTGCCCTACTTGCAAGTTGCAGACTGGTGCTGCTGCTTCATTGCAGCATTTGTTTGAGCAGGCATCTGGTAGGCCATTTTGAGGATGGGATTCTGGACTAGATGGGACTTCTTTCTGAGCCTTCAGGGCTCTTGCATTCTTAAGGTGGTGGAGGATTTACCTGTATGTGCTACATGGCCTGTCCTGCACCACCTTAGCTAACTTGCTGGTCTCTGCTGCACTAGATGTTGCTGCATTGCCCGTGTTGAAAAGAGATTAAACTGCTATTTTCTGTATATGGAAAGGGGAAGTGGTGCCATCTTGTCTTTGCCTCAGGCAACAAAATATCATGGTCCCTCCCTATTCCCTCAAATTCTGTTTCTTTAATATTATTAATTGTTACCAGCTAGGCGATGGCATGCCTGTGTAGTAGTTAGGGTAGCCATTGATTCTGTAATCGACTGGGAAGCTTATCTAAATATAAATGAGTTAAAAGCTTTTTGAAACATTTTTTCATGAATGATTCCTATTTATAGTCACGTGAATGCACAAGCTGGGGAAATCCTTGGTTTAAATCTAAAATTAATGTTTCTGACATTTAGTGGATCTCACTGCTCCCAAGAAGTGTTCGACTAATATTTTATTTGGGTACCGTTTATTGCTCCATGATTTAGTGGTCTGAGGCAGTGGGGTTGACCGAGGTTGAAGGGGAAAATATATGTGCTGCTGCTGGAGGCCAGAATCTATATTAGAGTTCAGAAATACATTAATCTGCTTTGTATATAATCTTCATAAATGCTACTGTCAGTTCTCTGACTGGTCTAATTCTTAAGGCAAAGCAGTATCATCCATTTTATTTAGAGCAAGCTGATAGCAAAGCAATTATCAGCAAGTCATTTGGTTATGAAGATTATTTCATAAGCCAGGGAACCAGAAACAAGCGTACTGTAACAGATTGTGAAAGGGAACTATTCAGAATGACCACAAAGTCATTGCAGATGTACAGTGGAGCATCTGTGCAACCTTCAGGCAGTCATTTATATACATTAGTGAAGCCATTGGTTTAGTTTGATTTTTTTTGGTGGTATGCTAACACAAAGATTTTTTGTGCCAAATATTATTAAAATCTGTTTTGTACATCTGTCCATAAGATATTGAATTAAATAGCTAAATATATAAGGTGTGTGCATTTCTACTGTTTGGAAGTAAAGTCACTATATTAATTTCTAACACAAGTCTTTCGCAGAAATACCTTTTTGTTCTTTGTTCTTCCACAGGCTTTCCTCTTATCAAAACGATTCTCCTTTCCTTACCTACAAATAAATTTATACATACGCTTTTCTTGTTGCCGTTGCCTCTATCATTCTTCTCTCCATCTGTTGTTTCTACCTTTATTGAAAATTAAATTATAGGTCCCTGTCTTTCTTGTTTGCTGCATGTGTTCAGGCATAAAACTAAGCTATATATCCATAATTTTTTAAAAATAGCCCGCTTTGCCTCCTCCCTTCCTCCAGCAGGGAAACAAACCACTGAGCAGTTCTGTTACCATTAGGTCTGAAACAGCAAACTTGTGGCCAACCAGATGACCATGGGAAATCAGGAAGCAGAATATGAGCACAAGAGCACTCTCCCCTCCCATGGTTTCCAGCAACTGGTATTCGGAAACATTGCAAGTCTGCTATTCTATTCTATTCTATTCACTTCAATTTATGTACTGCAGTGGTAGGAAACCTGATGCCATCTGGATGTTGTTGGACTACAACTCCCATCATCCATGACCAGTGGAGGCCAACAACATCTGGAGGGCCACAGATTTCCCAGTTCTTATGGTATGGTACACATGAGAGTGCAGTGTCCTATAAATACATGTACACACACACACACACACACACACACACTCTGTCATCCTTGACAGTGTCTATCCTTTTTCCTTAACAACAGAACAACAGCAGTAATAGCTCAGTGGCCGAGAATCTTTTCCATTTCCCTTTTTCTTACCAGTTGTGCTCACCTGTTGTTCTCAAAATTAAATGCTTCCAAAAGTGATACTATGTTGGTATTTCATTAACTCCATGGACCACAGCATGGCTCTTGATTCAGACCATTTTCTTGCAAAATGGATTGTGGGTATGGGTTAGTGAAAACCTCTGGTTGGTTCTTCATCCTTGACCAGTGAGCGAAAGCTTGCCATAGCTAATAGAAAATAAAATATCTTTTTTCTTTATTGTGCAGAGCGTAATTCCATGGCTGTCAAGCTAAACCAAATAATCTTATTTCACTGAAAACCCACTCTATAAACTACTGGAGGATGATTAAAGGCCCATGTCTTCTGGGCTCAAGGCAAAAGGCAATTTGGCTCAGTGATGAACATGTAGTTATTTTTCAAACCTAAAATACAATTTTAACTAAATGTCTCTGGAAAAATCTGTCTCAAACATTCAGGAACACGCCATGTCAGGTTGGCATTTTCATACCAATTCATACTGTGCTGCAGTGCCTGTGTCTCTTTTGAAGTAACTTCAACACCAACAGCAATTTTTGAAATGGAAATGTGCTCACTGATGTGATGTGATTGGACCAACTGAGCAGGAGAGTTATTGACAATCTCTCCTCTTGTGACAGATAACAGTGACACTGTAACTCTGCTTCTTAGGATGTATATAAAGAGAGACAGAGACATCAGCGCAGGAGAGGCTGAGAAGCAAAGCTTAGAAGCTGGAAGAAATGCTGCAAATTGGTTTTGCAGTCGATGATGATTATTAGCCATTCAGTAGAACTTTCCCAATGTCATTTGGCTTGCAATTGTCACACCATTTTGTGTACTGTATGTTGAATACAGTGCAATATATGGTGCCAGAACAGGAGGTTTGCATTGTGGTACAGGATGGTTTGCATATTTAGTAGGAATAAGCTTGACCTCTCCGGGGCAGATATGCATGCACAACTCGTCCAACTGAGTTGCTCCATTTACTTCATTAGGCAGTCCAGCTGACAGAGTAATAACATTTGTTCTGAGAGACTTGCCTTTAGATCTTTACTGGGCCATAGACATGCTGAGTGGGTTGCGGAAGTTGCTTCTTTTCCATCCTTGGTTTTCTGTCTGTAAATTGAAATATTAGTAATGGTTTTCCATTCCAGGAATGAGAAATCTCAGGCACAGGGCAGAATGTGTCCCTCCAGCCTACATAGGCTTTAGGTATCTCTCTAGGCCTCAACCTCACCCCATGCTAGCTGGGCTTGCTCCACCACCTCCTTGAGTGCTTAACTGTGACTGCTTCATGCAGGATGGAGTTGAGCCTGTTATCTATAGATACCTCTGACTTTTGCAGGCCTGGAATGCCACATCCATTACTGGATATGCCCATTTTTTGCTTCTGGTGCTGCCCATTCCTAGCATGCAACCCGTGAAGGTTGCTCATGGGGGAATGTGACATTTGGACTGAAATATGTCCACCATCCCCTCTCTATTCCATTATGAAGGTATTCCATATTCTTCACATTCTGGGATAATCAATAAAACCAAGGAAATGTCATCCTTCTCAGCCATTGGAATCCAAATCGATCAATAAATATAGGCCTAAATTCAAAACAGTTAGGCATGGTTAAGCCTATTGACCTCCAGTGGACTTAAACAGTTACCTGTGTTGGATTTAGGCTATATCTGAATTGTTCTGAGTCACTGTTATTTATTGATCAATTTCCTTCAAGCTTGTAAATATGGTCATAAATGGAAATCTCATCTGTAAAATAGAAATTATAAATATCTATTTCTTTAACAGAAATGTTGATTAATAGTTGCAAAATATTCTTTTCAGCCTTAGTATATCAGGATGGCACAAGAAAGAAAAATATGAGAAGAGGAACCAGAGTAGATTCTGAAGAGAAAAGCTCTTACACATTAGAAATTTAGTAAAACTGAAACATCTTTATATTTCACATAAATGTCCAGATCCTGAAGCTGTTTACTCTTAGATAAGTTGCATTGGTTTTAATAAGGGCTCTATATATCCAAACTAGTATATTTAAGTATTGCAGAGTTAATTAAAATTCTAATTTAAGATTCTATTTGTTTTGTATAATCTTTAGATGTTGCAAAAATGTGAGCCTTTTTTCTGAATCGAGAGCAATGGTGGGAAGCCTTCTCTGTGTGTGGTTATTCAGCAATCTTTATTTCTTCTACAAAATTCCAAGTGTCTTGACAACATCACAACCTTGCAATCAATAGAACAAATCAACAACAGGCAAAATTATAGCAAACTAAGCTGTCAATTGACAGGCATATCCCCAGCTATAGAAAAAAGATGGAAAACAATGTGTTTTGATTCTGTTTTAATTGGAGCAGCCTAGATAAGCCAGCTTTCCAAAAATATGTATTTCAAGCTGGCAGTTATATTTTGAGTCTGCTACTGTTTACATAGAAGCCTACCTTCCCAGCCTTGCAGATGAATCTTTCTAGAAGTCGGGCTTTTTGCAGGTAGAAATTTTTACTTTTAACAGCTGTAAAACAGGCAAAAATGCAACATGTGATACAGTGGTACCTCTGGTTGCGAACGGGATCCATTCCGGAGGCCCGTTCGCAACATGAAAAGAGCGCAACCCGCAGCGGCACATCTGCGCACACGCAGGTTGTGATTCGCCACTTCTGCTCATGCGCGTTACGTCATTTTGCGCTTCTGCGCATGCGCGAGCAGCGAAACCTGGAAGTAACCCTTTCCTGTGCTTCCGGGTCGCCGCGGGACGTAACCTGAAAGAACGTAACATGAAGCAAACGTAACCTGAGGTATGACTGTACTGGAGATTTCAGCTGTTGAATTTCTGTCTCCTAGAGCTGTTAAAAACAATGGATTGGATTGAAAATTGCCTAACTAAAAGAGGAGGCAATACAAGTTGGTATGTTAGGTGCCCTGAGAAATGGCCTCATAAGAAAGTAGAATGCTTGGGTAAGTGAGCCAATCACATTCCCAGAGCAGCAAGTGAGGATGTTTGGACAGCACTTGGACAGCAGATCTCCAATGCAGAGAGTGAAAGGGAGGCTTTTCTTGAGTCAAAGAGGGGAAAAGCTGATATAGCGAGGGTTAAAAAGTATTTGAAATATGTGGAAAAAACACTTTTCAACACAAAGCATTTACGAGTGTTGAGGACTAGTGTGGGGTAAGCCAGTTATGATTCTTATTTTTAAAAATACATGGTGAAGAAGCACATATGGGAGGAAGACAAAGGCTGTTTGTTGACAATGCTTACTTGGCTAAGTAAAAGTGGCATGCGAGGGCAAGTAATTCCCTTATTCATTCTAAAGGTGCGGTTAGTCTGTAGTTAAAACATCAACAGGGTTCTAACTGTGGTTGCATATGTATACATTTGTTCTGCTAGGTGGGTTGATTTGGGCCCCCACCCACATGTTTGATAGTGTGAAAAAAGAACATTCAGCAAGTATATGATCAATTTATAATTTTTACCATGGGATGTCACTAGAGTGCAGATAGAGATGAACATGTTAGATTGCTATCTTAAGGATTTGTTTAGCTTGTTCATTAAAAATAAAAGCAAACAACCCTTCATTAAAGCATGAATGCATATTATAGGAATGAAATTCAACACTATAGGAAGTAGAATAATTTTATATTACATTTTTTATTCATTTCTCCTTCATTTTTGTGATAATTGAGTTTTTGCTGATGTTAGTCTTATCTAAAGTATTTTTTTCCACGTTGTAAGCCACCTTGAGCATGGTTTGAACTGTGGAAAGGTGGCATACAAATGAAATTAGGTATGTATGTGTCAGATGGCAATGGTGGTTGCCCGTGAATAACCAGTCAGGACACCGACCTGTCTTTTACAGGTTTTATTTTGGTGCAAAACTATTTACTGTACAGTGCAGAACCACAAGCTCATGTCTGCCTCAATCGCTAGCAGAATCCGGGAGTTGTCGTTTCCGGGTCCTCCCCCAACATAAGAGCTTAGTCACCCCCAGCCTTTTCCTTCCTTCTTTGCGTTTTACACCTCTGCACAGAGTGGGCAACGGAAAAGACGTGCTTCCCTCCTGGCCAGCTTGGCCAGGAGCGGTGCTGAGGCTCCCAGCAGCATCCTCTGGTCCCTTCCCCTCTTTCCTACTGGAAGTGTGGCTTTCCCCACCACAGGAAGAGGAACTGCTTCTCAAGATTTTCGGAGGTTCCCTGTAACCCAACTGCTCCTCTGCTTCCCTACCCTGTTCCGATGGCAGTACCCTGACAGTATGTATGTAAAGTAATGTGCAGATGAATTTGGATAAGGGTTTTGGCATGTTCATTTACAGGTTAGTGTGCTGCGTGCATTGATGAAAGCTTTAGATTCAACTCTTGCTTGCTTTTGGATTGCATCCAGCGATGTGATTTCTAGATCCACCGAGCCATCAATGAAGACCCGCTTAGCTGGGTATGCATGTATATTCATCACTTAACTGCATATCGAACCATTACTTCCATGTGGGAATGGCTCACCGCAAGGAAAGTGAACTTTAATTTCATCTTGCCTCATGTCAAAGGCAATATTTTTTTAATGGAGTCAGTTCATGCATTCAGCTACCCATCTCTAACGGAGCTTGCCAGAGGTCGAACAATGTGGTTCAGGCAAGACATAGTATTCACATGTAGTAAAAGAGGGGAGGAGGAGCCATGGAGGGGAGATGTGTGTCTTGGGATTCTGGGTTGTCCTGCTGAACTCTGATGGGTGTTGTTCTGTGTTTGGAGTCCTGAGGCAGGGCTACCTGCTATAGGCACAGAAGCGTTAGAATTCTGTTGAGGTTCCTGTTTGTGTTCTGGAGGCTGTTTTGTATAATTGCCAGGAGGTCCTACACACAAGTAGGAGTCTGGCGGAGACACATGCCCGACTGGCATGTTCTCTCCCTCCTGGTCGTTCGTTCGGGAGATTCAAAATCTTTCTCCAGCCTGAACTTCACAGCGACTGATACCTTAGAGGCATCAGCACACTTCAGGATCAGCATAGTATAGGCAGTCAGTGTACAGACTCAGTAGCGCAGCATTTGGCTAAACTACGTTTATTTACATATACACATTTGGAGCATCGTAACTCAGCTCCTTCCTCTTCAGCATCAGACAGCAAAGGGAAAGAACAAAGGACAAACGTCCTACATCACAGAAACACAGTAATACAAACACCCTGTCTCCATGACTTCCCACAGTGTGGAATGAAAACATACACCGTCATGTGATAAAAACAATCCCATGACTGCAACGCGGGAAAAGAATCCTAACAGAAGTGCCCTCTTTGGATGCAATGTGTCCTTTCTCCATAGTTCATGGCAATGTGGGTGGGCAGCTTGCTTAATATTCTATTCTTCCCTCCTACTGAAGTCCATGGGAGGGAAATAGCATGTGCCAGATCTGCTGGTGTGAAGTTGCCTTGTTGATGGGTGTGGTCACAGATGGAAGGGGTATGCAATATAGTGCAACTATATTCCTTTCCTGTGCCACCCATGACTTGCTTTCAGTTTTTCTGATTCTGTATTGCAGTCATGCTTCTGCCTAATCGTGTTGACTATCATCTGGCAGGTTTCTAGCACAGGAACCATATTTATTCAAGGAAAATAATAAAAACAAAACAAAGATCAAAATCTGTGTGCAGTCATTTCACCCAGTTACTGGGTTAATTCCCATTAAAATTGGCATATCAAGAAGACAATTTATTCCAGGTTCTCACCAAATCCTGCCTGAACTGAAATAACCTTAAATATGTATGATTTTCAAATAAGGAAAAAGGAAAAAGCCTCCAGGTTCCTAATGAATACCCATGATGGCAAGGCATAGTAGACCAAGTGCGATAAGAAGCTTTATCCACAGCAATAATTCAGGAGCCTGAAAAATGCATAATTTATAGATCAAAATATTCTCTAGTTACTAGTTAAAACTGACAAACCAGTATCAGTTGTCAGATATTGATTTTTGCTACTCAACTGATCATTGGCTTCTTCCTTCTCATTAATGTAAACATGGATATATTCATGGGATTCATTGGGAGCTACTGGATAAGTGCCATGAGATTTCTGTTGATTTCCATATATAAAATGTAAAAAAAGAGGCTTCAACATTACAGTTCCATTTGAAGTCAAATGCTAGCATTGCTGCACACAAAAAGGAATGTGTATTGAAAGTATGGGAAATTGAACTGTTTCAACCATCTACTCCAGGAATTATTGATGCTCTGCTTCAGTAGTGGTGTAAAACCTACTCCACGTTATAAGGAAAGGTACACTGTAATACCATCCTCTATTTAGTATAGATTTGTTTATTTGTTTGTTTACCCTATGATTATTCTTGCGTCTATGCTTGATTTCCTCTCTGGTTGGTGCAACTGAAGTTTGACCTTGTCCACATAATCTAAAACTGGTTTATTGTCCTAACTCAGTTGTAACAGATGAATGCTTTGCAACCGCTATAATTATAACCTGTACAAGGAAGGCAAGCAGAGCGGAAACGGACAAGGGTTCAAAGATGGCAAGACTTACATTGGCTTGCTCCCCAGGCAGCACTTGAACTGAGGATTTGAGGAATGGCAGTCAGGGATTAGGCAGAAATTTATGCTGGCTACAGGGGAAAACTAAGGAGATTAGCCAAGGAAAACTCCTTGCACCAATAGGCTACAGTGTGTCAGCTATTAAATCCTGAACTGCGTTAAGGCTTTTGCCTCTAGCTTCCTTGCTGATCTGACTAAAAAGGATACCTTCATTTACTTAAGGCACGCCTTTGCCCTTTCTCCTTCCTTCAGTGGATAGGACCTGGGTCTGGCATCAGAGGATTCTAGGTTGGCCGTTCTAGCAATACTGCAGCACAATAATAGAATGGGATTTTACTTGCAGGTCTTCAACTGGACACAAAGGCAAAATTTGGGATATAAAACAAGTAAGCAAATAGATAATTAAATGCTGCAATGCTTAATTACCTAGAACTGGGTTGGGGAACCTGTTGCCATCTAAACGTTATTGGACTCCTAATTCTCATTAGCCCCAGCCAGCATGGGCAATGGCCTGGGATGATGGGAGTTGTAGTCCAACAATATCTGGAGGGCCACAGGTTTCCCATCCCTGATCAGGTAGAATGGGTACCATAAGAACCTTTTGTGAGCGCCAATATAACCTTGAAAGGCACTTTGAAGCAACCCCCCCAAAGTGAAGGCTAACCTAAAAAGAAAATTGACAGAAATAATACTTTTTTTTCTTAAAGTAACTCTATGGTCTGCTCTGCATTTATCCAGTTTGCCTAAGGCTTTGTTTTACTTACAGAAGTCACTTATCCGCAGATTTTTTTTAGTCTCAAAGGTTTTGAAAGCAGCATACCATCATTCCAAGGTTACATGTGAAGAGGAGAGATAAGGAGATATTAATTGTTTGAACTTACCCTGACTAGAAGGATATGGGTAGGTGGGGGCAGGGGCAGCAAACAGAAAAGGTTTGTCATGTTTTCACTGAATGCCTGCTGTGAATCTAACCCTCTGCAAGTCAAAGAGCAGAATAATAATTGCATGTTGGTTCATGCACAGATTCAGCAACTCTGACAACCATGTCTTGTGACGTCAGTCTTGATTTTAACACAATTGTTTCCAACAGAAAGTGTTACAAAAGGGATTGTAAAGTAACATAAACATAAAAGTTCTGCATTAACAGAAGATTTTAGATACATCAGGGTGGTGCCTTGTATCAGAACACAGAGCTGTTTAAATATTTGCTTTAATGTCCCAGTCTTCCTTAGCCCTGCATCATGAATCAGCAGAGATAGCATGAACTAGAGGCTACAATGTGGATTTTTCTAAGTGAGAGCTTCCAGGTTTTGAATTCCCACTAAGCTATGAACTCAGTGAGTGGCCTTGTTCAAATAATCCCCTCTCTTTCAGGGCCACAGTCAACACATTGCTGCCAATATAAGTGACAGCCACAGATCTAGTTCCTCTCCCTCCCTCCATAACATCTACAGTGGTACCTCGGGTTAAGTACTTAATTCGTTCCGGAGGTCCGTACTTAACCTGAAACTGTTCTTAACCTGAAGCACCACTTTAGCTAATGGGGCCTCCCGCTGCCGCCGCGCCACCGCAGCATGATTTCTGTTCTTATCCTGAAGCAAAGTTCTTAACCTGAAGCACTATTTCTGGGTTAGCGGAGTCTGTAACCTGAAGCGTATGTAACCTGAAGCGTATGTAACCCAAGGTACCACTGTAGTAGAATTTGTTTGGTGTCGTTACACTACAGAGTTCTTGGTTTCACCAGTGTAGCAGCCAGTGTTTAAAGTGGTTCTTTAACAAGTGGTTAAAGTGGTTAAAGAACCAGTGGTTAAAGAACTGCAAAACCTTATGCTACCCTGTCCAGAGGTAAATTAATCCAGATGTTACAATTAGCTGCACAGCTGTTGTGTTTTGGAGTTTGGTCCCAGGGCTTCTTGGGTGCGATGCAAAATTCTGCCCTGGGTTCTTTGGAGGAAAGGTGGGAAACTTAGGAAACAAATATAACCTGATGACAGTGGCACTATACTAATGGTGTGCATTGGCACAAAGTTTTGTGTCACTTCGTTGCTCCGTTTCTGTGCTGTATTTCCGTGATATCATTATGTTCCTCTCGGACCGTGGGCTTTTCAGGGATATTCAAAATGTTGTCTGCAGAGCACTGCAGAGCTCCATATTGCTTTTTAATTCTATAGCACAGCTGTGGAGGCTTTATTTTTAAAGTTAAAACTTTCATTTAAGTTTTTTAAAAATCCATATATTGCTCTGCTTTTTAGAAAAGAAAATCCAAAACCCGCAGATCAACCCTGAGCGCTTCAGAACTCTGCAGGCAGCAGTCTAGGCAGTCTCATATTGTTAGGCCTATTGGTCACTTGGAGGACACAACCAACCACTAGATAGAAAGGGTGATCTGAAGCTGCAAAATCCAAAACCCACAACACACAAACACGTACCACCTCTTAATTAAGGTCAGAAAGAGACAGACCCCAGCTCCAAGGCATTGTGAAAAAAGTCCCTATTACTTCCCCCACAAAAAGCCTCTGAACCCATTTGACCGCAATTTGGCAGGCTTAATCTATTCTGGAGGAGCTATGGAGTGAAAGTGCATTTCATCCATATTGGTCAAAAGGCGTTATAGCTGTTTTTAGATTCCTCTTTATAGTGAATGGGGGAACACAGAGCTTTGTTTTATATGGAGCAGCTCAGAACATGAAACACAGATTACAGCTGAGAGACTACAGAGCGATTCAGAAACAGATCAGCTTTTTTTTTAAACACACACACACACACACACACACACACACACAGATACAAGGCACATCCTTACAGTGCTGGGGGCAAATGGCACACATGACCATCACCTTATAGCCTTGTTTGTGAGCTTGTAGAGACATCTGATTCGGGCATTTTTTGAAAATGGAAAGCTCTGCTAGTTGGGCCTTGATCCAAACCAGGTTGTTGTAAAGCTCCGACAGTATTGTTGAAAAACGTCTTTGTATGGAAATGGAGAGCCCTGTGTTTTTATAAAGACTGCATTTGTATAATTACTGCAGTTCACAGAGTGCATGGACCAAAACCTATTGAAATATGCTGCAGGCATACCATTGATTCAACAGGACTTTGGATTAGACCCTCAGAATCGTAACTCATGCCGTGATTTATCTTCTTTTCAGTATTGATGCATTGTTGCTGAACTCTTACACACCTCAACTTATTTCAAAGTCCTAAATAGCTCCTCAAACTCCTGTTGTTCTTTTATCTTCGCTGTGTGCTTGAACTGTTACTACGGTGAAAAGAAAGGTTAGGCATGCACAGAGGAGAAAAATGACTCATAGGTAGGTCGTTTCCAAGGCCAGCCTGGCCTCTAGCAGTGAGCGTAATAGACACAGGGATGTGCTGATGTTTTTGTGATGACTGATAACGCAGAGCAGTGGGACATCTGAAGGAGCAACGTGACAACATGCAGACTGAAAAAACAACAACTGGGGAAAGGACCTTGAAAGATCACTTATACTACACTGAAAGAAAATTTGCTTGTTCACCATCTTAGCCAGACCACTGCACAAATGATCCTGGCTATTCTCTAATATCATCAAAACAGGATGAAGAAGAAAACCAGAACTTGGATAATTATTCTTTACCTAAAATATGTTGCTTATTTGACATATGGGACAATAAAGTACATGGCCCTCCACAAAAGACCCAAACATTTGCACCTAAGCTCTACTAAGCTGTTGATGCTTGTAGCTAGCTGCCTGGAGGCCTAGCTCCACAGTTATGGGTGAGACAAGTCCTGAGCTGCCAGGGGGTTGCATGCCGTGGGCCACTGGGTGAGTTTCACATAGATACAGCTTTATGGCTCGGACCAAAGGTCTTGCCTATTGCAGTAGTCTGTTTCCCACCATGACCAACAAAATGCTTCCAGGAAGCCCCCTCTCCACAATAAGCCTTGAACGCATCAAACCTAGCCACCACGACAGCCATTAATAGATATTTGTTTCATGCGTTTCTCTTACTCCCTTTTAAAGCCTTCTTACGTTATTGGCCATCTCCACATACCGTGTCAGTGAATTTCCTAAGTTTTGCTTTCTGTTAAGAAGTTGCTTCTTGTGTCTGTTCAGAATCCATTGTCCTGGGTAGCCCCGAGTTTTAGTCTTGTGAGAGGAGAAAAAGGTTATTGCTATCTGCTTGTTTTGTACTTCGGTTACAAAAATCTCTACAATGTCCCTCCTTACCTATCTTTTTAAGTTTTACTGTTAAGCTATCTAATACATTTTTAACAATCCTGTAGTGATCTAGAAACCCCAATGTACAATCCAGTTAAACCAAAATACCTCTGTTTTAACCTGAATGGATTTCACTGAATTCTGTGTAGGCGTCATTGGCATAAAGCCAAGAAAAACAGATTGAATTAAGATGCTGATTGTCATCACTTTGGGGTTTACGTTTTTGAAAATCAAGATCTATAAATCCTGCACAGGGCATTAATATCAACTATTTCAGAAATATTATATGACTTCTGGGATAGCTCAGTTGGTACAGCATGAGACTCTTAATCTGAGGGTCATGGGTTTGAGCCCCAGAGTGCATTGCAGGGGGTTAGATTAGATGACCCTTGTGGTCCCTTCCAATTCTACAATTCTGTGGTTTTATGAGTTTGGATCCAGTATGTTTTGACTTCAAAACAGCTGAATTTTGTGCTGATCCTGAATAATGGTCTGTGAAATGCAGCTGCTGCTTATTTTCACACCTGTTACTATAGTGAGAGTAATAACTGATATGAATCTCAAAGATGAAAGTAGTGAGAGGGAGAGGAGAGCGAGCCTGCAGTTCAGACTATTACTTGCACCCATCTTCTTTCCATCAAGTGTATCGGGTCTGCACATTAGCTAGAGAGATGTACTGTATTAGCAAGATGTCACACTGTTCAAATGCTGTAGAGAGCTGGCAGTATGGCAAAAAAATAATAATGGTTGAGGCAAAACAGGAACGTGCTGCCACCATAGCTTTTCTTACCTGGGTTGTATGGCAGCGCCTGTAAAGCGGCAGGTTCTGGCAAGATCTCGCTTCTGTGTTCATGGTGGCAGCGCAGGTGGAGTGCCTTCATGAGCACTGCCTCTTGGGCTTCCGCTGCCTCAGGTGACGGCTTCACCCCACTTCATGACTGAGCCAGCCCTGGCCCTGTAGTTACTAGCACAGTGGACATCTTGAATCTGAACCCAAACAAAACTGATTGGTCCAGAGTGGGTTGTGCCTGTTCCAGCTCCTAGCAGTATTGTTATGTACTGAAGTTTTCACCCTGGGCCAGCAGGGGATACTGTAGATAGTTTTCACTCAGGTCTACATATGCAAATAAGGGATTGAAAGTGACGTTCAGTGATTGGATAGTTACATAAAATGGTTACTGTTATGTTCTAGTGGAGCACTATATAAGCAGGCTGGCTGAACCCTTCAGTTCAGTTCTGTTCTGGCCTGTGAATAAACAAGAGCCGTTTGAAGAATCGCTGTGTCGTCTAATATGTTCACCCACAACCTAACAAGTATACTTCCCTTGTGTCTTAATTCTATTGTGTTTTATGTTTGCTTAGTACGGAATGTGAATCTGGTCTGGGACCGTGATAAATTTCATTCATTCATTCCCTTGTGTCTTCAGCAATGCTTGCATCACACCCCATGTCTTACCAAGTGGAACCATGGGAGTCACCTCCTAGGGGTCGAGGGTCTTCAGATCCCCAATAAAATATTTGAAGGGGCGGGTCCATCAAAGTTGATGGGCATTGCCATTCAAATGCTGCGCGTGCACGATGTCATGTGATCAGTAATGCAGGGCGGGGTTTACCCCAATATTTTATTCAAGTTAGCACCTCAGCAAACTGAATTTTTCTGCCATCGCTTTGTGTGCCCTGTGATCTGAGTTATGAGCTCCCTGTCTGGGGTTCATATACGGGCGCTGCTCTATGTGTTGGTGCTTTGTTATACCGTATATTATACTCTGTCATGGTGACATGGGTGTGGCTCAGTCTTTGACTCAGAGGCAGCTTTTAAAATTTCTCCCCTTATTTGCACTATGTGAGGGGCTGGTGTAAAGTTAGATCATTTGGAGAGCATGACTGTGGGATGAAGGGGCACAGGATATATGACATCTCCATCCTACCTGCCTTCTGCCCACAGCTGCAGCCTGTCTCCCGCTGTGTATCTTCAGAGGCAAACAACTTTGTTCTGATGGCATATCTGGGATGTTCCTGTGGTATACCTGCTGTTGCATTCTCCTTGTATATGAGCCCTTTGACAGCTCCATGGACCTCAGCTGGCAGATTGTCAGTACGGAATGTGGCTTTTAATTACTTAATTAATTAATCAGAAAAAAATCTGCTGCCATACGAGTTTGGAGCTACTTTTGATTTAACTGATCAATCTACTAAAAGTTTTGTAACCCTACTTAAGTGTTCCAGTTAAAAGCACACACTGGAAAGATATTTTTTTTAATTGATAATATTTTAGTCATTTATTTCTTCACTTATATTTTGGGGTGTTTTGTTGAGCATGCTAACTGAAGGACTAAATTACATGTTTTTATTACTTAGAAAACAATAGGAATTATATAAAAAAGCATTTCTACCAAGCGTCATAACGGTATACAAATACACCTCTAGTTTAAATTCCCCATCTCTTTTGATTGTATGCCCCCCTTCCCAAGTGCCTTACAGACCCTGGAACAATTTAGATAGAACTTTAATGCTATTTTATATTGATGGGGAATTCAGAGTACAAATATATGCCACAACTCAATGCGCCTACAGATTCACAGCAAGAATTTTGCTTAAGGCAGATAAAATATGGACTAAGATTTACTGGATTTTAGCTTGCAATGGAATATCACGTTTTTGACCTCAAAAGGCCAGCCATATCCCACTGTGTTGTTTACTGCAAATCAGCTTGGGATTTCTCCTATGTTAAACATAGTTTAACACAAACATAGTTGACTGTATGAGAAGAGAACAATAAATAAAAAGGTTATTTCTTTTATTTACTGTTGCACCCAATAAAAGGTAAAATATATTCTACCCGGATTGTAGCATTTCATTTTACAGCAAACAGGTATTGCTTGAAGAGCCCCTATAAATATTATGAATTATTTACATACAGGATACAAAAGCTGTAAATTGTTCAAGCGGAGCATGAATATTGGATTTTGAGACTTTCCATCTTGTTTATTTTTTATTTTTTTGAGACTTTCCATCTTGTATATTGTTTAATAATCAAACAGAGTTAAAATAATTAACTTTATGCCCATTGAACATACAAAAATACAAGTTGTAAATATTCTAGGTCATTTTTTTGACCTAGAATTCTCAAGTTCCTTTTTATTGAGACTTTAGGAAACACAACTGGGCACAATACAAAGGTGATGTGTACAACCACAAGGACACAAGTTGTTTCTCTGCAGTTTTTATTTCAGATGAAGAGCCAGACCACAAAACAGCTTGCCTAGTTGTCAGTAGCAAAGAATGCTGTTTCCTAGAACCACAACCTAGGAAGCTAAAAAGTGCAGGTTTGTCAGTTCACTCCATTAAGCAGCCTTATAAACCATTTCAAAAACCAACTTTGAAACTTGGCTCTAAAAATGCTCCCTGGATTGTGGACTGCTACTCCAGCATTAGGCTTTTCATACTTTTTAAAAGTTTACCTGAAAGTTATTTGTCTTAAATATTCAAAGTATTTCACCTCCTTTTTTTCCTTTGCAACAGGAAGGATCGACTACTTAGGTGTTCTCAGTGCAAAGTTGCAAGATACTGTGATGTACGTTGCCAGGTAATCATTACTCTGATAATTAGCTGCAAATGAATAATGCAAATACGTTACCCTTTTAGCCTTGATATTTTCCCCATTAACTCTTCTTAAGATCTAGGAAATTGGTTGTCATGGCCAGCAAAAATTATACATGCATGCACATGCACAATGAATTTTTTTAATGGTACAGTGTCATTATGTTGCATTTTGATGTAACTTTATATATTTTTATGTTCTGTATTTGTTTTGTTTTTGTGGTTCTTGGTTAATTTACTTATGTACACTGATATATTGAATTATGTTACTTAAAAATGAATTATTATTATTATTAGTAGTAGTAGTAGTAATAGTAGTATTCTTAGGTTTTGAATGTGGAATTTGCTTTGCATTTCTTATGTACTGGTTCTTTTTTGCTAGGATTTGTTAGCTGGTTAGACAGTTCTATTGAAATATGAAGCGGTATACAAATTAACTGGTACTAAAAAACTAAATAATACTTAGCCATAACAAAAACCAAACCAAATACCTGCCTAAAAATGCAACCAGAAGTAAAGCACTATGTTACGTTGGCCGGACTTCGCCAAGTTAAACTGTTCATGCAAAATACAAACAAGGTTTCTGGGTTCTTTGCAGCAGCAGGCGCAGCCATGACAGACCCTAAACAAGGGAAGGCTATGCCTGTTTGTAAGCAGTCCGTATTCACGATGTGAATGGATTCAAATTGGCAGTGATCATAAAGATGTGATTCCAATGTCTTTCTAACTTTAAAAAGCACTGCTAAGATTAGAAGAATGAGACACACGATTTTGTGTGATGTTGCATATTTCATCTCCTTGCTCCTTTAAAGGCTGCATAAACAGTTGATCATCTCAGTGTCACTTCTAGCATATTTTAAACTCCTTCCCAGCATTTATTTTAGGAACAAAGCATGTCAGATAAAGGCTGGCTTCAAAGAACAATTTTAGTTGGCTCGGGAGGAACATGCCAGTACAGCTACGTTATGCAGAATGATGTCTTAATGATTAGAGACACGACTGTTTATTTAGGGTGAAAGAAACTGGATTCATATAACCTTTGTTTTCTGGATACTTTGAGTTACAGTTATATTCCGATAGCTCTCACTTTGTAGTCCATGCGAAACAGCAGATAAGTTAGAAGGGTGAACTTTCAGTGAAGTCCAAAACAATTATTTGTGAGGGGGAATAAAACCAAGTTGAGAGTGGGAACTTTTCACAAAAACTTGCACAATAAGCTAAATGCACCACCCGCCCTTTCAGCAGTTTTTGAGAGATGGCCTGGTTAAGCTTCTGTGCACACCTTCACTTTGAAATGGCTTTCTAGCATCATGAAGTCAAATCTGTTTGGGTATGTGAATTATACGAATATACCTTATACTTTTTTTTTATTAAAGATTTTCTTGTTTTACAGAAGTATGTGTAATGTCTCTCATATTTTTTCCATGTAACATTTTTACAAATCAGTTTCATTTGTTGAGACATTAGGGGGGGAAAGGGGTGGGGGGGGAAGATGGGTGGGGGTGGGGTCGGGTGGCGATGTTTCTGTTTTGCTTAATGTATGTAGGGTTTGGTGTCAGCGTTGCTCGTGCAGGTTCTCTGCTGTTCATTTGTGTTCCTTTGGTGGTGAGAGAGGTTGGGGTTGGCCCAGGCTGTGGTTGTTTGTTTGTGATTGGCTGTGGTGATCTTTGTTTTGGTGTGTGAGTGGGGTGGGTGGGTGTTTTGGATCAGGTTAGCCATATTGATTTGTATGCTGTTGGTGGATTATTGTCATTGTCTTGTTGGGCTGTGTATGTGATAAAGGGGAGCCATACCAGGGTAAAGGTGTCTTCTTCTGTTTGTCCCCGTGTCAGTTTCAGTTTATTGGTTAATTTTTCTAGTAGGGCTATTTCCCATACTATTTGGTACCATTGGTCCATGCTTATTCCTGACAGGTCTCTCCAGTGTCTGGTTATGGTGTTTCTGGCTGCTGAAAGTAGGTGGGTTATGAGTTCTTTGTGGTGTAAATGGGCGTTGTTGTCTTGGAAGATGTTTAGTAGGGCCAATTCTGGGGTGATGTCTAATACTTGCTTAGTTATTTTACATATTTCTTGTATGGGAATATACCTTATACTGAGTCACACCTTTGGTCCATCTAGCCCAGTAAGGTCTGGCAGGGGTGCTTCTAGCTTCTTATCAAGAGCCCTTTTAGCTGGAGATGTTGCGGATTGAACCTGAAACCCTGACTCTTTCCTCTGACTTAAGATGTTGTGACATCTTCACATTGATTACATGATCTCAGAGTGGCCGGAATTGTGTTGGCAGAATAAAGAAGCCACCCCTTAAAAATAATGGCACACAAGGATTCACCCGTTGGGTAGTGAACAACGTACAAACAACTCTGGAAGGTGTGCACTGAGGATTGATTTAGGGGCCATTTTGGCTTCTCCAAAAATATTTCTTTCACACTGAAAATATTGTGACCATTTGGTGCAGGCCTAGTTCAAAGAGAGCAAGGGTGAAATTAAAATATGAGCTGTATAATTTTAAACCACTATTTCATGTGCCAGAAACAGAAATGCTTTTTGTCCATTCAGCTGCTCTTGCAGATTTGTGTGTAGTGGCACTCCTTAATCCCATGTCATGCCTCTTGCTTCTGTTGTCTGCCTGCCTGCCAGCCTCTGTGCAAAACCTTAAGCAGAAATCTGGCATAGCAGCAGCAGCAACAACAAAAACCCAGAAAAATCTTTTTGAGGTAGAAATCAAGGGACAGTCAAAATTGGAGGCTGAACATAAATATTCTGAGGAGAGGATTACTGATTCCATTGGGCCAGGATCAGAGTTGCTGCAAAGCAGAAAGCTCCACTGAAAAGAACGGCATCTTACAAAAGGCAGAGATTTGTTCCTATTCATTTTTCCATAGGAGATCAGATTTAGAGAAAAATAAGGGGGACCTGCAACATAATGTTGCACTGTTGACTGATTACTGCTGTTTGAGTGTTCTAGTTAGTCAGCCCTGCCTCCAGGACAATCCATTCCCTTCCTACCCTGTTTTATGTACCCCTCTGAAGAGTCAGTCATCTTTCTGTGACCACTGAATGTGATCAGTCTTCATCAGGCTAGTTCTGGGGTTCCCACTCTCTTTAGGAGGTATTTTAGATGCCCCCAAATACCTCCTTATCTGCTTAAATGGTCTGTTTTGTCTACTTTAGGGATCCACACTCATCTATGAATGTAGGATATTGGTACATATTGGCTAGATTCAGATGTTACTCTGAACCAGAGCTTTCCAAACTTTTATGTTGGTGACACACACTTATGAGCTACCACTTCCCTCCCTCCCATGCAGCTGGGAAGAGAAGTACGTAAGCTTCTGCTTCATTAATTGATTATTCACAGGTCTCACCTAGATCTGAAATTGTGCTTAATTTTACCAGCAGTTCATTTCAAACAAGCAAGCTTCACACACCATGGTTTGAAATTTGCTTGTTTGAAGCTAATCATAGTTAATATTGACCAGTTTGTTTGTAGTTTTTTCATTTATTTATTATAACAACTGACAGGTTGCGGGGGGGGGGGAGTAATAATGGAAGAAAAAATAGTTTAAAAATAATAAGTTGTTACAGTTGCTGATTAGGAAATATGGGGAAAGGAGGTATAGTTTATGATTACAAGGTCTCTAAATCAAAACAATTACAAATTTCTATTTCAGAAAAGATAAAAGTATCAATAAACTAAATTCAGACATTTACATAGACCTGTGGGATATAACACTCCAGTTTGTATATGAAATAAAATTAAACCAAATGGTGAAGAAACAATTTTGAGCACTTTGGCACCCGGACATTTTTAGCTTATGTGAGATTTTTTTATAATAACGCTGATTTACCAAGTCTTGACATAGTCTAATAGTTCAGATTATTGAAATCAAAGGTCTTCCCAAACTTAGCAGTTCTGGCCTAGGCTGCAGTTGAAAGATGTGAGATCAGTTCCTTGTTATTCAGATCTTGACCCAAATTTACAAATTCAAAAGAGTCAAACAAGGGGAGGGGATGAATTGTTTGCCTGGTTATGAGTGAGATCTCAGAAAATACTTTTGTCCAGAACTCCTTTCAGCACATGTGTTGGTAGGTCCCAGTATCCTGGCAGAGTAGCTTAGTCTGTAAAACAGTTGAAAGAAGAAATGTAACAATTATATAGGGAAGTTGTTAGTACTTCGTAGACAGCTGGATCGAGGCGGGTCGGGGCTGCTGATTCTTCTAGATCTGTCAGCAGCTTTCGACATGGTCGATCATGAACTTCTGGACCACCGCCTTGCCGACGTGGGGATCCAGGGCACAGTCCTGCGGTGGCTGCGCTCTGGTCTCTCGGGTCGGGGACAGAGGGTGGCGCTTGGGGGAATTGTCATCGCGCCACTCCTTGGTGTGTGGAGTACCTCAGGGTGCGATACTCTCCCGATGCTTTTCAACATCTTTATGCGCCCTCGCCCAGCTTGTTCGGAGTTTTGGGCTGGGTTGCCATCAGTATGCCGATGACACCCAACTCTATCTGTTGATGGATGGCCATCCTGACTCGGCCCCAGACACACTGACCAGATGTTTGGAAGCTGTGGCTGGATGGTTACGTGGGAGCCGGTTGAAGCTAAATCCTTCAAGACAGAGGTCCTGTGGCTGGGACGGGGCGATATGGGATTGGGGGCAACTCCCATCTCTTGCGGGGCGCAATTAGTGCCAGCACCGTCCGTTAAGAGTTTGGGTGTAATCTTCGACACCTCCCTTTCCATGGAGGCGCAGATTGCAGCTATAACAAAGGCGGCATTTTTCCATCTCCGCCAAGCTAAGCGGTTGGCTCCTTACCTCTCTCGCCCTGACCTAGCCACTGTGATCCATGCAACGGTCACCTCCAGACTGGATTATTGTAACTCGCTCTACGTGGGGCTGCCCTTGAGACTGACCCAGAAACTCCAGCGGGTGCAGAATGCTGCAGCGAGACTCCTTCACGGGTCTTCGCTGCGAGACCACATTCATCCGGTGCTATACCAGCTGCACTGGCTCCCGGTGGAGTACAGGATCAGGTTTAAGGTGCTGGTTTTAACCTTTAAAGCCCTATACAGCCTAGGACCCTCGTACCTACGGGACCGCCTCTCCTGGTATGCCCCACAGAGAAACTTACGGTCTTCGAATAAAAACATCTTGAAGGTCCCAGGCCACAGAGAAGTTAGGCTGGCCTCAACTAGAGCCAGGGCTTTTTCGGCTGTGGCTCCGATCTGGTGGAACACTCTGTCACAAGAGACCAGGGCCCTGTGGGACTTGACATCTTTCCACAGGGCCTGCAAGACAGAGCTGTTCCACCAGGCCTTTGGCCAGGGCACAGCCTGACTCCTCCCTCGGCAATCTTCGCGGAGCTCTGGCCCAATAGTTGCCAGTGGCTTGAATTAATTAATTTTATAACGAATGATTTTAGACTGTTGTTTATGCTGTACTTTTGTACTGTTTTATTGTTGTTAGCCGCCCTGAGCCCGGCTTCGGCTGGGGAGGGCGGGATATAAATAAAATTTATTATTATTATTATTATTACTGTATGTGGGTTGTGTTTTTTCCTGCACAGATAGTTTTAGTTAATTAATCAGTGGGGTGAAATTTTGGCAGAGAGCTTAAAATGGAAGGGCACTTTTTATATTACAGAAATAGGGAAAATATTTTCATTTAATACACAGTGGTAGAATTTTGCTTAAATTCTAATATGTCTCCAGAATCCTACAAACTCACTTATACTGAGGTTTGGGTAATATGCAAAATTATTTAGATGTAAAAGACAGATGGTTGATCAGCTAAAACATTTAAATGGTTGGTAGTTCTAATAACAATTAATACCTTACTGTAAAAATAGACCGAGTGTTTCAACAGCATTTCTTGCAAAAACCATATGTCCAACCATAATCAGTGGCTTGGATCCAAATATTCTTATGCTTGCGCAAAATCACTTTTATCTGTGCACTGGTCTCTTGCAGTAATAATTCATATTTATTATATTTCAATATCTGAAAAGTTTACTGGCAAAATAACTTCTGTTTTCTCGCAATTTGTAGAAAGAAGCCTGGCAGGACCACAAACGGGAATGCAAGTGTATTAAGAGCATTGAGCCTAACTTCCCCCCAGACTCAGTGAGGCTTGTTGGCAGGATCATTTTCAAACTAGTAAGTAAACTTTCTACCTGTGATTGATCCTTGAAAAGGTGTCTGCCCTGACTCTGTGGCTGAGGAGGCCTATATTTCACAGAGTTGTTATTGCTTCTGTTATGTACTGAAGTTCTCACCCTGGGCCAGCAGGGGGATACTGTAGATAGTTTAGGTCCACATATGCAAATAAGGGATCGAAAATGACGTTCGGTGATTGGATAGTTACAGAAAATGGTTACTGTTGCGTTCTAGTGGAGCTCTATATAAGCAGGCTGGCTGAACCCTTCAGTTCAGTTCTGTTCTGGCCTGTGAATAAACAAGAGCTGTTTGAAGAATCGCTGTGTCGTCTGATATATTCACCCACAACTTAACAGCTTCATAATAGCTCTTGTTGGGGAGAGGCTAGAATAAGAACTGGCCGCCCAAGTTTCCTTATGCTCCTTGCCGAAGCTAAATTTCCGTCCCGGCCAGTGAGAGCCTGGCATATTAATGACCTCGAGTGGAACTTCTTGAATTGACTGCCTACGTGGATGTAGGTAGCTTCTGTTCATGTTGCATTATCCTCTGCAGTTGGCAGCAGGGATGAAACTATTGTGCCATCACTTACTCAACTTTTAAGATACATGCATGCAAAAAGGCAGAAAACGGTCACGTTTGTGTGAACCGCTTTTGTATTTATTACAAATGTATCCTTAGGCACTGGGATGGAAATGCAGAAGCAGAAGGACAGACTATACTTCAGAAGAATAAATTCATAAGTAATACATGTCATAAAATGCAAGCAAGTTGCATCAGAATAGTAATATGAGTAAGCAGCATTGAAGTCCTGACTGAATCAAACTTGCTGTAAAGGTTATAATTGCTGGAATTTGTGTACTTAGTGCTGGCTTCAGAGTTTAGTCCTTAGCTTGATCTTAGATGAATCCAGAAGTTGTATGTTTATTCATATGTCGTTTCAAAATTTTCACAGCTCAGGGAGCTATGGGAGGCTCATCGTCTGACATCAGTTTCAAGGGAGCTTCTTTTGCACATGTTCACAAATGGTCACAAATGTTGCATATCAGTAAAATAAATACCTTGTGTCAGTGAATGAATTCAAAAAGGTTTGTAACAGCAACCTCAGCTGTGCTTGACTCAGTGTGGAACTCAGTGGAGCATATGGGTGAAATGTGTTCTGCAAAGCAAGGTGTGAAAATCAAGAGAATAAGAATAAATGAGTTGTAACTTACAACAAAATGCTACTAATGTTTTCACAAATATGAACAAGAACGGATTAATGCTAATGATTGCTCTTTTAGTGCTATACATAAAGTATTAAAAGAATGATTAAAAATTGAGTTAATGATTTAGTCTGCCATCCTTTTAATTCATTATTATTGTGCTCACCAGTTAAGACAATCAACATGTCCATCTGAAGAGCTCTACTCTCTTTCTGATCTTCAGTCAAGTAAGTAGACATTAGCCCTACTTTTTGTAAATGCTTCCCATGTTTACTGTGTAGCATCCTGAGATTTAACTTCCTCTTGGAACTTAAATCTTGACTCGACTAAGTAACACCTGAGAGAAGAGCTAGAAGGATTGTTTTTCGAGTTTGCGTTTTTGTTTTTTTATGCTAACTAATATGTTTTCATTTTTGGGTTGTACAGTGCTTTTGGATTTAATTTCAGAAGTGATTTAGAAGAAAAATACAGACCATTGGAAATCAAAGAACAAATGTTTCTGGCATTGCGGATAAGCAGCTCTTCTGTATTGGAATCCATTTATTCCCTCTGCCATTGGCATCTGGTTGTCCTCTGTGAGAACAGGATGTGCCTTTGGCCTGATCCAGCAGGACTGCTCTTATGCTTATACTGCTCTTATGCTCATTACTCATTACTCTAATATTTTGCGAGCTTCTTGGTAATTTGTTCCATCACCTTCTTGAGGATGCCCTATCCAGTGCTCCCCAACCTTTTTATCGCCGCGGACCGGTAAATGTTTGATAATTTTTCCGTGGCCCGCTTGTTTTGATTTAATAATTTTAATTTAATTGTATTTAAACATGCCTTCAAAATAAAATACAGCTACACCAAAAAATGAATATAAAGTGATCTATTTTATTTAACTCACTAGAATGCCAAATCAATGAGAACCCTGAGCTTGTTTCTTTGCAATGAGACGGTTCCATCTGGGGGTAATAGGAGACAATGACACCCGAAGTGTGTTGCTTATGTCCAGTTTATTCCGTTGTTTTGTTTTGGTTGCTGTCACTGCAGAAAACCCCGCTTCACACAGATAGGTTGTCGGAAATGGCAATAGGGATTTAAGTGCTGTGGTGGCAATCTCAGGGTATTCCGCCATGACTTGAATCCAGAACATCGGCAGCCTGTTGTCTTGAACGTAGTTTTAAGGCCACCGTCATTTGCAATCTCCAGCAGTTGTTCTTCTTGCATAGACATGCTAGATTCGCCTGATTTGTTGGCAAATGGGTCGCGGATCCATTCCTTACCAGTTCGTGGGTCTTTTGTGGTTGGGAAGTAGCGCTCAAACTCTTTTAAAAGCAAAGACAGGTGATCGTGCACCAACTGGCAGAATGAATGTTCAAGCTCAGTCTCGCCTACAATCCCTGCTAATGTCTGAAACATGTCCAAAATGCCTCTGTTCACGCGCCGTCCCCACAACTCCAGTTTGGCTTTAAATGCAGCTACTTTGTCTGACAACTTGAAAACAGTTGTCATTTTCCCCTGAAGGCCCAGATTGAGTTCATTGAGCAGGCTGAATATGTCACACAGGTAAGCCAGTTTTGCGACCCATACCTTGTCACTGAAATGTGCTGCCAGCGGTGACTTCTTTTCTGAGAGAAATCTTTGCAATGGCTCTCGTAATTCAAATACTCTGGTTAGCGATTTTCCTCTGGATAACCATCTTATTTCTGTGTATAAGAGAAGGTATCTGTACTCTGCGTCCATCTCCTCACAAAGCTGCTCAAACAGGCGCGAGTTAAGTGCGTGTGCTTTGATGTGGTTAATAACTTTAACGACATCCATCAATACGCTGTTAAATTCCGGTGACATTTTTCGGCTTGCCAGCATTTCCCTGTGAATGAGACAATGCGTAGATTCACTCTCAGGTGCAACCTCCTTAATCCGAGCAGTTAAACCAGACAGTCGTCCGGTCATGGCAGCAGCTCCGTCTGTGCATATGCTGACACAAAAGGACCATTTCAGTTTTTCTGATATATAACCATCCAGTGACTTGAACAGTTCTGCTCCTGTGGTGTTGTTTGGCAAAGATAGTGCACATAACAAATCCTCATGCACATCCTCCTGATATAGATATCGCACATAAACAAGTAGTAGTGCCTTGTTGTCGATATCTGTAGATTCGTCAACCTGGAGTGCATACCACGGTGATGTATTAATCCTCTCCAACAATTGTGCCTCAATGTCTTTGGCTATTTCCTCAATGTGCCTAGTCACAGTGCTAGCTGACAAAGGCACATGTGCTATCTTTTCCACAGCAGCCTCTCCTAGAAGTTCACGGCAAATGTCTTTAGTGGAGGGCAAGATCAATTCTTCACCAATAGTAAATGGCTTTTAGCCTTAGCAATGCGGTTAGCCACCAAATATGATGCTCTCAGTGCATTCTCCTTTATTGATGTGGTGGCCCTCATAAATATCTTCTGTGCTTCGTGCTCCCGTTTTTTTCTTTCAAAATACTCCAGGGGCTTGTCTTTTATGCCAGGGTGCTTGGCGGTCAAGTGGCGAAGCAGTTTTGAAGGTTTCATTGCCTCATTAGAGAGGCAGAGCGGTTTTGATGCGTGGGAATCACCTGTCCCGCTAAATCCATATTTCAAATAGGACTCATGGTATTGTCTGTTAAAAGTTGCATGTTTCTTTGATGTTGAAGGCTCTTCTTCTGTCTGTTCACTGGGCCTTTTTTCTTCCCAAGGAAACTTTCTAACGATGTCTGTTTCATACTCATTTTTGCTAATTTGTGGGTTAAAGCAGACACAATAACACGTCAGTATACACGAGTACCGGTGAACAGATAGAAGAGCTAGAAGAGTGATACCTTCTCTTTCTCTTCACTCCACTGCTGCTTGCAACCGCTCAGCTCCAGATGTCACCTAAATCCGAATGTAAATCAAAAAACTATCAACGCAAAAATGTGATCAGTGTTTTAAATATATGACCAGTGTATCAAAATAACTGTGAAATATATATATAAATCACAAAAGATGACTGTGCCCCCTTTCAATACAGAGATGCCAGCGTTCCCCTTTCAATACAGAGATGCCAGCGTGCCCCTTTCAATACAGAGATGCCCCAGCATTCCCCTTTTCAATACAGAGATCATCGTGCCATAGTGCTGAGTCTCCTCAATAGGAGAGAACCCCGCCCCCTCCGTGCACTTATGCCTGAACTCGCACAAACACATTCGACCCAGGAGTTGTTGACCTAAATAAGTGCAATAGGCCTGGGTGAATGAGAGGGCATTCTAATAAAACCATTGCTGCTCCTCTTTCCGTTTGATAGTTCTGAGTCCCCCCCCTCCGTGCACTTACCTCACGGCAGCTTCTCTTCAGTCCCTGTGTCTCCGACCTTGAGTCCTCAGTCCTCCGTGGCGCCTCCTTCTCGGCCAATGGCGTGAGGTTTGCCTTTCGGCCAATCAGGAAGCGGGAGGACCCGCTCCCTGATTGGCCAGGAGGAGCATCAGTGTAACAATAGCGAATTTTCATTCGCTATTGTCACACAATGGGCGGGCTTGAGAGGGCGCAATGCTCTGTGCCTCGGCCGCCCGCCACAGTGAAATGATTTGAAGTTCCTCGGGCGGCCCGGTGCCGATTGATCCACGGACCAGCACCGGTCCGCGGCCCGGGGGTTGGGGAACCCTGCCCTATATTACTTTCAGCCACTGTTGAATGATGGGCTGATGAAGGATTTTTAGGAATATATAATCAGTACACATTATTAAAGTGGTACCTTGGTTCTCAAATTTAATCCGTTCCGGAAGTCCGTTCGAAAACCAAAGTGTACCAAACCAAGGCGTGCTTTCCCATAGAAAGTAATGCACAATGGATTAATCCGTTCCAGACTTTTAAAAACAACCCATAAAACAGCAATTTAACATGAATTTTACTATCTAACGAGACCATTGATCCATAAAATGAAAGCAATAAACAATGTACTGTACTTTGCAGCTTTGATCCATTTCTGCAGTCACACAGTCAATCAATCAATAGCTGAACTGGGTTCCACACAGTCACAAAAATGAAAAAAAAAGCCCCCCAAACAAAAATGCAAAATAAATAGCAAAAACAGACAGATCTCAGCGTGGCACTCAAATCTGAAGTGTAACACTCAAAACGGAGCATGTTCGGCTTCCAAAAAGGTTGCAAACTGGAACACTTACTGCTGGATTTGCAGCATTCAGGTTTCAAGTTGTTCGACCACGAAGCCATTCGAGAACCAAGGTACCACTGTATTACTATTAGTATTAGTAGGGGTTTTTAACCACCTTTCTGCCCACAAGAGCCCCCATGGCAACATCTTACTACAGTCCAAAGATCATTGACCTGATTTTAACTTATTTCCAAATAAGCATGCTTAAAATTGCACCACAAAGGTAGTATTCACATGTGGCATTTAAATCATTTTATTTTTTCCTGCATCTGCCTAGAAATGTCCGTTTTATTTAAAAGCAAGTTTTCTTCTTCTTTCTATCCTGCTTCCATAATATTCACCATCATATGCACTGATGGTGGGAATGGGGCTCAGTGGTCCTTTTAGTATAACATGTGAAAAAGGGGCTGCATACACTATTCATAGCCATACTTCTTGCAGCGTTTATCTTCCCGGAAATGGAACAATTTTCATTTTCTAAACCCCAGAAAATTAAAGCAATTTGTTTACTCGATATCATTTCACTGTTTACTTCCTTTGTCTTCAGTGTGAGATGGGAAAGTTAGCTTCTGATCACTTGCTGTGAAAACTCTTACGGGACAAATTTTCTCAGACAATGTTTAATTCTGACATCTTGGCCAGATTCCATTCTGGATAATTGCCCTCTGTTTTTGATTCTCTAAATTGTCCCTAAAGTTTTGGACGGATATATTATTCTTGTATGCATCTGTCCTGAACTGAAATGTCCCCCACATTGCATTCTTAAACGGTTGCTACTCTCCATCCCAGAGGTGGTTTTGCTTCAGCGATGGGTGAAGTTAATACTGTCTGCCTGTCTCTGAAATAAATCAATAAATTCTGCAATGTGCATTGTGCTCCTTTGGGCTGAATAGGTTCTTTAAAAAAATATAATATCCTGTTCTTAAAATGTAAAAACGGAAGGAAAGAGGACCATGGGGCCACTTCCGAGGGAAAGCTGTAATACAAGCACACAAGTGTAGTAGCACTACATTTCCCTGGGGGTGTATAGTTCAATGGACTTTCTTAAGGCTTCCCCCTTCTATAGACAGT